GTAGTAGTAGTAATACTGATTAGCAACCACTATTCGCAAGTAGTCAAACTGGGCATCATCTTTTTTTTTTTCCCCCGAAGAATTTCATGGCATTGAAAATGTTATCATGATAATCTGAATAAAATGTTGCCATGAGACCACATGATAATCTTAAATATTGAGTCTGCTAAAGGGTTTACTACTGAATCGATGTTACTTCAGAGAACAAGCAACTCAGTTTCCAGATTGATGTAATGAATCAGCCATTACAATTTCCAACCCCATGTGGTGTTTTCCTTATCCTTTGTGTATACACTTGTAAGAAAATTCGTTAATCAACCACAATAATGAATCATTCAGATACGCCATTGTTATCAAAGCCTATATCATTCACACAACGCATACCAGCCTTGACTTACACTTACTTTGTTAATTCATTCTTTCATTTTCGGTCCGTACTTTCAATAAATTAGTTAATCAGGACAAAATATTTGATTTGATTCGGGACTATTCGGAGTGACATTTGGTAGAAATGATTGCATGAATTAAACGGGGAACTGGAGAATATTCGAATCAGTTCGTGTCACTTTATTATGTGAACGAGAACATCCTGTAAAACACGTGAATATAACAATGCACATCAAAAGAAATACACTATTTTTTAGAAAATGAAGAAGAAGAAGAAGAAAAAGAAGAAAGAAATGCTAAGGAAAGTTTAATCTTCATGGAGTGTGATCGAAATTTTTGTTTTCACAGTTTTTTTTTTTTTATTTACTCTTCCTCATTCTCAACACATTTTATTAATCGGACCTAAAATGAAGTATTAACATCTAAATTAAACGACATATTACCAAATTATTAATAGCTGAGCAAATGGCAAAACCGACAGATAAATTGAAGGAGCAAATATAATCGAAGCTATCATTAATGTGATCATTCAAGTCGTAATCTTTAACTAACTTGGTAAAAGAGGAGCTCCAGGATTCATCTTTTGATCATCAGCTTCAATGTATCCATGAATCTGGACATGATGATGATCGAGTGCTGCTGCATATTGAACCTGGACGTGATCATGCTCACATGAACTTAATTCCACGATCATGTTTATATGGCATGGTTCATTAAATTTGAATAAGTTTATTACAATCTAGTCGAAACTACAACAATGAACTTCACATGCCAGCTAATACGTACATAAATTTGAGGGAGAAATCACGTGCAATATTTTCTAATACAGTTTTATTTAGTTTTGAGGTGTATTATGCGGATAACATGTCAATTTCAAAGCTGATGGCACTTGAATTATTTAGAGTTTGATAGTTCTTCTTAATTATTCTTGCTTTATATTTATGATCATCCGTGTACAACGTTATATTTTTATTTTTATACAGAGATATTCTCATTATACAAGTTTCTTGAATTCGATATTTTGAAAATTTTTACCATTCTTTGTGTTCTTTTCGTCCCCTTAGGATCATTATCAAGAGGTCTAGTAGTTCTTGTGTCCACGAATAGTTTTAGATTTTCACAGTTCAAATTAGATAATCATTTCGAAACTAGGAGTAATTAATTATGTATAGTGCAATGAGATGGAATGAAACATTATTTTCTTTCTTAATTTGAGTTTTTTAGTTTTATTCTGAGTGCTAAACATATAATATCTCATATTTGACGATAATTTTATCCGATTTTTCACTTAACCTATGGAGAAATTGAGGCTCAAGCAATTTCATAAAGTGAGGTATTCATCAAATTAAATTACTACTATACTAAAGTATTTGTTCCTTGTTAATGCTCACGTCGTATTCTTTATGCGGACATGGATCCTGGGGCAGGAGCCAACCATTAATTCAAGTTTAATTGATGAAAATTTGTTGTTGCGAGAATTTGAGTAAAAATTTTTTTATCAGTTTATGCACAAGAGAGATATAGCGTGACGTGAGATTTTAGAAAAGAAGTCTATGGGCTAACAAACTTTAAACTTTTGTAAATTAGTCAAAAAAAATAAAATAAAATAAAATTCTTTTCTAAAAGCAGCAAACTTTCATAATCAAATCATGAATAACGCGGTAGTTCTACGTTACATTAGTAGTGCAATTTAGAGGTGTGCCCATTAGAGTTCGATTCTGCTTGTTACTATATGTTACAGAGTCATATGTCATTCATTCAAAAAGTAATAATAGATTAGACATTACATTTTTCTTTTTCCCTTGTGGGTTTTTAAAGGTATATGAAACATTTTGAAATTATTACTATACGAACCTTTCCTTTTGCGGTGCGCCATTGGCAACTTCATAATTAACAACTTCTTGTGCAACGGAAGGTCACATCAGGTTATGGACAAGTAAATTTCAAAGTAATTCTATAATATCGTGATTGAACGATTCAGTTAATGATTCAAGTTATTATTTCATTATCTTTATCAATGTGAAAATTATTGTAAATCTTGAACTATTGGTTGAGTCATTTAATAAATGACGTTATAAAATGTATTTTGAAAATGTTACTTGATTTCCGTGCATGCCATTTTTATCATCAACTTTATTATTTTGACCCTAACCCAAAAAAAAATTAAAAAAAATAATAATAATAAAAATCCTGACATACTATCTAGTTATATTGAATGGGCTAACCTTAGAGCGAACAATATGTAAATTAACTCTAGTGTGCATGAGGAGCCGGGTCATTTGTAACATGTCTCTTCTCATGTTTTGTTATGAACTTTCGGATTCAAAGATTTTTATTATTTTTCCACATAACCAAAGGTTGGCTTTTAACGGGAACATATTACATTTTTACAAATCGGTTATTACTCAATCTAAATGGCCATATATTTAAACTCTACTCGTTAAAAAGATTAGACACTGGGACACACTAACATTTCGCTCAAAAGGACATTGTCACGTGTGGATTAGAGGGAGTAGTATACATAATTCTGTTAATTTCACACCGCGTGGCATGATGGAGAAGAAGATATAATAGTACCACTACACTACTACTATACTAACTAGTACTCGTATAAAAAGATACTAATAATTGTTTATAATTCACTATATCAATTGGTCAAACTGATTTTTATTCCCTATCAATTATCATGTATTATAATTCAATAATTTCGCATATGTATTTTTTTCTTCTAAAACAAAATCATCGTTGATATTGCTGAAAGCTATCTATACAGGTCATAAGAGATAACCACAATTCCTTTTTTTTTTTTTTAAAGTAAGTAATCGTACGCAGAGTGATGGCTCTACGTACCAAATGCATTTTATGGGATTAATTATCAACTAGCTTTATTTGAATTAAAAAAAAAAAATTCTTGCTGCCGAAATTGAGGGTTGACAAAGCATCATGAATTAAGTTAATGGGTGAATAATGAAAAAGGGGAAAAAGAAAAAAAAGGATCATCATTGGATTACTAAATTAAACTTTGCTAAATGCAATTAAATAAAAGCGACTCTTCCGAGTAGTAGAGGTCAGAGTCTCAGAGACAAGCAATTTCTAAAAGATGAGCAGCTCTACGCCTGACCTGGTCTAAACTGATCTACTAGTATGAATTGGATCACATTGCCAATTGTGATCCACCCCCATGGAGGAGAAGTTTGAGCCGCTAAGGTTCCAACAAGGACGAGCATTAATTGAATTAATAATAAATGTTGCATTTTGGCCGAATTTTTAGTACTACTAGGAGAAGTTTATCTTCCCTTTCGTTTTTCTATTTTATTATTGGTAGGTATGAAAACTTGTGGTATTCTAAGCGATACTGTTATCGATCTAAAAGATTAATAAGTTTTTTTTTTATAATCATTTAGTTTAAACACACGTAATAGTTTCAGCGTCTCGCTACTACTTCTGTTTATCGATCTAAAAGAATAATTGATTTTGTTAAATTATAACACCATATTAAACAGGATTTTCCTTGAGACCATTATAATAATAATAGTACTAAATAAATTAAAAGGTTGAGAGATTGGAATGGAAAGGGTGTAGTAGTACATTGCACAGGAGCAATACTACAACTTTGCCGACCATGCAAAATTTGAGGCGGGCGCTAATCAAAAAAAGGGTGCTACACCAGTAGTAATAAATAAATAAACCTTCCCCAAATAGAGTCCCAAATCAGCTTCAAATGGCTAATGCCCCCGCCAGGAGTTTTATTAGCCCCTCACCCAGACTCAACTGGGGGAATGTTTTTTTTATGTAAAGGCCCCGCGAACAACCACCACCCCCACACTAAGCTATACACATTTCTAGATTGATGAGCCCCATCTGTTTTCAGCTTCAAAATCTAGATGAATGCATCAAGCCTTCATCTTCTTTGGCTGTTCACGCCCTAGAGAAAGTGTTGCGAAAATTCCTAGGTCAGGCGGCTGCCTTACCGACATTGTGGGTAAAACAATAATTAACTCATCTAATGTAAGTTGCGGTCGTATTTCCCGAATCAATTCACCCCATCATAGTTTAACCCTATGTTGCCGAAAAATACTACTAACCCATATTGAAGCTGTAGAAAAATAGTATTGTTCTTATTTTCATTTGTGCTTGTTTCTAGTAGTATTCAAGATTGAATCTGTACTCCCAAATCACAATCTCTGGTCGACATTTGTTCCCACGTTCTCAACCCCGGCCATTGTTTTATTGTCTTATTGTCAAGTGTCAGAAACACATACCGCATACGTTATGTAAAACTAATGGAAATAATCTCGCTCAACCAGAGCTCGAAGGTTGTTACATTTATCCAATTTATTACTTTTTGGACAATTGTAAGTGATACTGGAGCTTTCTTATCCTGTTGCATTTTTGGACTAAAGGTAAGGATGAATTTTATGATTTTTGCATCACCTGCCTACGTCGAACCGTGCTGAACCATCAAAGAAATTCATATTTCTATAAGTATATGAATAGTGAGATTAATGTTAATTGAGTACATATCACAAACTAATTTAGCCCTTTGAACTTGACAAATTTTTTTGGCACAAAACTTGACAATTTTTAGATCGAACTGTTCACATTACAAACATCTGGGGAATAGCAATGTGTTCTAACTTATTATTTAGGTAGAACATGAAACCCGGACCAAACCCAAAAAAAATAGTGGCTTTTAGTTGTGGACGGTTCCAACTTTAATTTTCTGTTTCCAATACGCGTTTTGTAAATTTCCTCCTGTACAAAATTGAAATACTACCAGATTAACAGGCATCTCAATTGCGAACTTGGTTTTTGGACCAGATCGTCTCTAGTTTTTTTATTCATCTAACGTACATCTCATGGAGCTAATTTTTACTGGAAATGCATCCCAGAGTTTCTAATCAAACAATTAAAAAGACTCTTCTCTTTTACTATCACTATTGCCGTTACAACAGTACAGCCAGGAAGGCTTGAATGAATCAGTGATGGCAGATAACACCATCAAACATCAATGGGTGGGGGGGAAATTTTGTGAAAGATCTCTACATGTTTTTGCCCTACAATGCTGTCAACTTTTCATGGAAAATTGACTGAATTCGGCCAGGCAGAGGCTTATTCGAATGATTCAATGATGAGGCGTTGGCCAAACCCGCCTGCTGAAACCGATGATCAAAAGCTCTTCGGAGCTCATTATACTTTTCCAGATCGAAGTTGTGAAGCTTCATCAATCGCTTCTGCTTGGCAGCAAACCGGCTCTGGAAAAAGCCTTCAAAAGAAGGCTCTATGGAGGTCCTGAGGAAGAACGCATATCCAGCCATACAATAAAGCGTGGTGACATAGAAGCAAATGGGCTCCATTACATCCCAGGATAATTCCCAGAATGTCAATCTCATGAAAGCTGCTGTCTGGATCACAAAGTAACCAAGTCCGCACCAGAGTTCCCTGCGAACCAACGAATCGGCTTTCCTGTCAATGGCTCCCTTTAGTTCTTCCATTGCCTGGAATTCCTTCAATCTTGGATCATTCGGGTTGGGTGATGGCACAGGCATTAGGCCTTGGACGGCTTTCACCACCTGTAAAACAGAGAAAAAGCACAAAAACATTTGGGTAAAACTTGTCTTCCACCCCATCTATTTTTCAGTTAATCAAATCAATGAGTACTTCTGCACTATCATTCCTTTATTATTTCATTTCTTCACTCATTTTTTGCACTTTCATTATACCTTTACTAGAATATATAAGTCAATCCCCTACATTTCTATGAACTACCCCAATCCCACAACCAGGGGGATCTGTTCTTCCTTTAACTCGTGCCACCAACCTAAATCACTAATCACTCCACGCCTAAGAACTCAAAACAAAATGAGAACTTTCTGCAACTAGTGTTCTAGAATATCATAATGCTTCAACTAAAGAAAGACTACTCAAAAGTCCTTCTTTAGAAAAAGTAATCTCTGTTTTTTTGGGAGTTGGGTTTTTTTTTTCTTTGAATGTATATAAGTATTGGTTAATGGGTGGTGGGGGTTCATTGAAAAGAGGTTCCGGGATGGAACAATAAATCCGTTCCCAAACAAAAACAACAGTCACCGTCTTGGTTTAAGAGACCCGTCGAAACACTGTTTCAATATTCCTGCCCAAGAAAACATGGAGAAAGAAGCACACACGGTGAAAAAACTATCAGTCCTCGGTAGTTTCCAAATCGAAATTGAAATGTAGAAAAAAAAGAACACTGGTTTTTGTTTATCATCTTTTTTGCTGTCCAGCCAGCATTGAAGGGTAATATAAATTCCATGTTGCACTAACACTGTGAAAAATGTGAATAGAAATACCCAATCGAAACTGTGGTCAGTTAAATTAATAGGATTTCACGTTTGAATAAGGGGTAAAAAAAAAAGAGGGGGAAAAGGTTCCAACCTGTTCTGGCCGGAGGAGAACGACGTTTCCCAATACGACAACGGTGCCGGATTCATCCAGCGTTTTGGCGAACATCTGAGCGTCATCCCGGCTCCAGCAACCGTCCCGGCAGATCTCGACGAACTCATCGTGTGAAATGTAGCTCTTCTCAATCTGCCTCAGCTTCTCCTTCACCAAATCAAGCTGCGACAATCTCAGCAGCTTCTTCAAATCCGTCACCGAGAAATTCCCTTCCGATGACTCCGGTACCGTCTCCACCGGCGGCGGTATTAATCCATCCAGCCTGATCCTATCCCGGGAAATGTCCATCCCCCTTAATTTCTCAATCAATCCCTGCCCCGTCGGGAGCGAGCGGATCTCCGAAGAGGAAAGCGACAATGGCCGGCGGTGAAGGAAGCGTCGGAACACACCGGCATCTCCCGGATCGGGGGCTATGGTGTCGGGCTTAGGCCTGGAGGCTACAGTACTCGTAGCCGCCGGTGAGGACGTAATCCGGCAACTGGTTAAAGAAGGAGAGGTTATTCTGTAAATATTGGATAAACGTTGGGCCAATGTTTTCTTGAAAGCCATTTTCTTGAATAATAATGTATCGAAGCTAATGAATACAGAGCTTTTCTGTTTCAACAATGGATAGAAATGAGCAGCTGGGAAATCAGTATTTATAGGTCCGATCCTAGGGAAGGGAGACAAGTAAAATGACTGAAAACTCCTCCCCCTCCAAACGGAATAAAATAAAATAAATTATCGTCAGTTCGACTGACAACCAGGAATATGGCATAAAAGTGTGGACATATTCGGATTCCATGAGCAAAATCTGTTTTTTACTTTTTACAGTGGATAGTAAACAGTAAAAGTAAGATCACAGAGTTGGAGTCACGAGTACGAATATCATCATAATGATATTTTAATCACCGTACACGTGCCTGGCTGGGAATCCTTTCGGTTCAACACCGTCGGATGATTAGGAAAATAGTATCAGTTGGGTGGCTCTGATGTGGACTAAGGTCAGCAGGATGAATAGGTAGAAACGTTGTACATAAGACACGTGTTGAACGAGGTGAAAATTTAGGTTAGCTGTTGCAGAGGGAAAAAAGAAAACAGCTTCCCGGAGACGTGGGTTGGATGGACATGGTGGAGTCACGAACTAGGACAGCTAATTTTCAACTTGGGTAAGTATTATTGTAACTAATTAAATGCATATTTATGGTTTTGAATTCTTTTTTTGGTATTTAAGATTACAATGAATAATGAAGAGGATAGAGATGCGGGGACTCGAAAAAGTTTGTTTCAACGCAATCGAGTAGCCACATACATCCGACGTGGAGGCCGGAGGGTAATTAAATGATGATAGACTTTGTCTAATGCTTTAGAGAAAAGTCAGGACATCAACATAGCTGGACAAAACTTGCCGCGTACTTACTTTTTACTTACCTTTTTTTTAGATAATTTTTACTACCTATTACTTAGAATATTTACTGTATATATTAGAGATACGATACAGGTCATTTTCTATAATTTGACTTCTAGAATGAGTAAATATTCATTGTCCATTACTCTTTTGGATTATTGAATTTTATTAATACTCATTACTCCCTCCCTCCCAAATTATTGTCCAATTTTCATTTTCAGTTTTAGTAAAATTTCAACTAGAAATAAAAACTAAAAGTGGACAATAATTTTTGGGACGGAAAGTGTATTTATTTTTGTCCCAAAAGGATTGCATCAGTTAATATTGGCATATTGCATGATAGTAACTTTATAAGTTTTGCTATATATTCTCTACGGTCTTCAATATAAGCTATTTTGATTTGTTCAATGTTTCATCCACTACGTAATTAAAATTGACAAAAAAATGTTAAAAATATTTCATAACAATCAAGCGTACTTGACAAATGTAAAAATATCTTTTTAAGATTTTTTCGTTAATTAAAAATATATATTAAGTAAAATCTAAAATAAATCAAAATGTCTTTATATTAAGAACCGGAGAAAGTAACATTTACCGTGACGAATTATATGTACGTATCCAGTCAGGCAGGCGCACAAACTTTTGGACTACAACAACGCCTCAAAATACATAACTAAAAACGCTATTTTTAGGCTTAGTTGAGTCATGAATCGTACTTGAATGAATACATTAGCCTCGTTGCATTTCGGGGACTCAATGTTGTCAACGGATTATGTATTTGTTAACTATTTGTGGTGTTTTTAGGTAACAAATTTGAGTTGATTTTTATGCAGTTAGCCGTTAGCAACTTAGCATACACAAACAGGTCAGGAAGAGGTCTTTTTTTTTTTGGCTAACAGTATATGATGAGACTGTTTTTTTCCCAAACAAAGTAAAGTGGATATGAGTTCACGGGAGGTAGAAATTCACAGTAAGAATATATGCATGGTAGAAGATAATAAAGTGAATGAGGTAGTAAATTGGTGTGTCCTATAGACTAAGACAATTATTTCATTTCTTAATGGACAGTGATCCTGCCAGGACAGTTTTTAGTATCCAGGGAAAATTTTGTTAATCTTTCATATATGCCCCTCATAAAGTCAAACAACATAATCTCTCTCCTATTCTCCCTGCCAGTCTCTCTTCCTTCTTTTCACGTTTCTCCCCAGATCAATTTCCATCCTAATTAATTAGCCCTCTCTCCCTCCAAACAGTGAATGCCGACCTTCAGCAATAAGCTTCTCCGTTGCTTCGTTCTTTACCTTGCCGGAGGACATGGCAAGTTCTCCCAACTGTTTCCACTTTGACTCACTCTGAGCTATTGAAGCGATTTCCTTTAAAGAAAAAGAAAAGCATAGGAGAAAATGGAAGTGAAAATCACAAAAACAAACAAGAGCTGAAGACCGCAGTAGAAATAAACACCGATTCATGAAATAGACTCTACCTTAATCGAGAACTAATCGACTTCCCATAAAAATCTTACCTTGTCAAATTCAAGCGAAAGTTTACCATTTTAGTTATAGTCTCCAGGATTAGGATTGAAATTTGTAAGATAAACTCTAGAGTAAACCTATTAATAGAAATAAACAACAAATAACATTGTCCACCACCACCTAATGTCTTCCAGAGTTCTCCTTCAAATAATTTGGTTTTTAAACATCTATGAAATCTATTACCGATTAAAGTCTACATTAATCTCTCCTTAAAATGATTCAATCGCTGCAGAATAAAATGCTTACTTCCTCAAAAAATAACAAAACATGCTAAAAACAATCTAATTAGCATAAACCATAGCTAATCAATTTCCCAACTTTTCTTCAAGGCGGCCGTATGAGAGGCTTTTTGCTTCCAAAATCAATAACAATCCCTAATTTTTATAAGTGAGAAACTTTTTCCCAAATAGAAAAAAAAATTAAAATGAAATTACCGGATGATCATTTTCTTCAGAAATCAACCACAGTCCTTTTGTATTAAAGAGTAAGTCACAATCGTGAAATGTTTCGCTTGCAGTATGGAAACCAATTCAAAAAAGAAAAAAAAATCATAGTCACACACTTGCATCCGCCACAAACAACTTGCAGAAAATTCAAATAAAATAATTAAATTAAAATCGTACAGAAAACTGGAGACAGAGGTTTCTTAAAGCGGAACAGAGAGCTTGAATTCCTTGAGTGACTTCTTGAGCTTCAAAATTAGATTACTGATTCGTTGGGCTTCATCAATTTGAAATCGGTCACCAGGGCACATTTACCTGATTTCAGACATTGGTTAAAATTTTTAAAAAAAGCAGGGCCATGGCCACCGCCTCCGCCACACCAATTCTATCTCCGACCACCACCACCGGAGCCACCGCTTCCACATTTCACCCATCACTCCACATCATTACTAAATTTCTCTTCTCCAAACCAACTCCCAAAGCAACTAGTTGGAAGGCAAATCGCAAGACTCCATGTGTTCACCTCCAATCCCACCGCAACCTCCACTTCCGGCATCGGCACCTCCAAAGGCGATGATTGATTAACTGATCAAAATTAGGAGAGATTTGTTTGACTTCATGAGAGGCATATTTAGAAAATTAACAAAATTTTGCCCTGGATGCTAGAAACTGTCCTGGCAGGATCACTGGCCTTTCTTAATAGTAGTATAATTTAACGATTTTGTTTCACTAGAAATTTTGGAATGTGCATAAATTTTATAAATAAGATTATCATGTTGTAAGATATATCTCTGACAAAACTACTCCCTCCGTCCCACGAAAATAGTTCACATTAAGTTTTGAGTTTTGTATTATTTTAATACAAATTTGAAAACTCAATGTGGACTATTTTTTTGAGACGAGGGGAGTATAACATTATTGACTAATTTTACGGTACACAATATTAGGTTCCATTATCGACATCTTGTGAATTATTCATTATCGACATCTTTTTTTTACAACCATTTGATGTTTACGAAATTCGTGATGTCTAAGTGATGAAGATTTTAGGAATAGATGCAAATTCTTGAAAGTATTATAGAGATGAGCGAATGACGGAGTTGATGCATGTAACAGTGTAACTACACCAACCTCCATAATATATCGGAAAGCGAGCGGCCTATACTTTTGGAATAATAGGTAATTTTTATATCCCAAAATTATCGTACAGTTTAAATTTTTAATTTTAATTCAAATTATACTAAAACTGAAAATTCAAACTAGGCAACAATTTTAGGATGGAGAAAGTATATTATTGTCTAAAAAAAAATAAAAATAGTCACGTAGTTGAATAATTCAGTAAGCAGTTTGAGTTACTGGATTACAATTTTATTTTGACATACTCGTTATTTTTGGAACAATTTGAGAAAACTTTCAACATCTTAACTGAATAATTCAGTAAATATTTAAAATTAATGAATCATAATGTTCCTTCGCCGCGTCTATAGCCTTTGAATCAATTCATGAAGAGAATCAACAATTTTTTCACAAATATGAGCTGACAGGAGAGGTGGATAAAAGGAGGCGGGTGGGAATTAAAAAAAAAAAATGATACATATAATTTGAAAAACTAATAGGATGCTCAATTTCAAACGTATAGTCCATCTATCGTTATCAAAATTCTGGAACGTTCACATCATTTCCACGTTAAATTGTTCCACTCAATCGATAAATTTACGTCTTTGAGCGGCCACCTCCCAAATTTAGTCAGAACTTATACCCTTTATAATATTTGCAAATTGCAATTAGTAAAGAATAATTATTCCTCTCACCAATAACATTGACAATGTAACGGGTTAACACGCTGTCGTCGTCGTTTGTGTGTGAAATTCTTATTAATTAATGGAATGATTAAACTAATTATTAGGAATAAGGCATGTTGCAGGTAATTGTACGCATCTTAAACGTGCCATATATATATATAATTGCATCATTCTTTTAATGTAGTTATCGTTGGTTAGTTATACTATTAGCATTATTAAGCGTGGACGACTTTCCCAAACTTATAGTCTCTCATTATCTCCATTACGTATTTGAAATATTGTTGAAAACGAGCTAATTAGTTGCAAATTAAACTCGTGTAAACATGAATGGAAATGAAATATTAGTCCCATTTAACTGGAAAACTAACGACAAATCTTGAAATATTGTTGAAAATAAGCTAATTATTTGCAAACCTCGTGTACATGCATATATATGAATGAAAATGAAATTAAATATTAGTCCCATTTAACTGGAAAACTAACGATATCTTCTCGGCCAACCAGGAAACAACGATCAGTTCCATGAACGATTTGTGTGAAAATAGTCCCATTCACGTGAACTATACGCATTTGATTATAACCAAGATTTTATATTCCATTTGTTTTGTAACGATCCAACCCTTAATAGCGTTGACAGAAAGGCAAAAGTAACTACGTATTCATAGGTGCTGCTCCCCCTTCCCCAATTCCAAATTGTAACCAAACTATTAATGCCCATTTCTTAAATCAAGAAACGATCAAACACGGATATGGAGTTTTTATCAAGTTAGGAAATTCATCAATCAAATCTACAGCATAAATTCCTTTTTTCCTAGGCCTAGCTACGATGAGATTGAACCACACGAAACCACCTTAATTTGTTTGTTTACACAAGTTAAATGACATGAAACTACCACTCTGTCTTAAGTTGTCTATCAAGACTTGAGAAAGAACTCAGTTGTTGAGTCGATTCAATTAATTAGAATCTTAGAAATTTTAGACATAGGCATGCAGCAGTGATTAAAATAGTACTTGTTAGGAGAGTTTTGCCTTCTGAAAGGAGCCTACCCGACTCGAATTCGGATTAGTCAGAACAATGACTTCGGACACCTGGTACGTAATCTACCAGAATCTTAGAAATTTAAATAAGTCCATATGAATTGAAGTGTATCGTGATTCCTGAATTGGGCCTCACACGAATAGAGGAACAACGTGTGTTCTCGCTCATGTAAAAAAGAAAAAAAGAAAAAAAAGAGGTAAATGGAGAGATAAAAGTGATGGAAAAGAAAAATCAAAAAAGGAGTTCAAAAGATCAATTTTGTTTGGACTTTGGAGCATTGTTTCAAAAAGTTAAGGTTGTGCCAACTTAAATAGAACAGATGTCGTGTTTAGCAAAACACGAACTCCTTTGAAAATGCCAGCTAAAACAGAGGTCGTGTGCCTCCTTAATATATAAGGTGTTATTATGGTCTTGATCACCAAAAACACCGCCTCTTCCCATGAAGCATGTCAAAACATTGGGTTTGCGCCATTTTTATGGTCAAGGTGAAGCAGTAAAGTCCATGTTGATTCCACAGATTTCAAGTTTTTAACTTTTAACTGTTAACAGCACCACCATCATCACTCGTCAGCACGTAGGTCAAGCTATGCAACCCATTTATTTAGTTAGATAAATCCGCAATCCTCATTTTTGGAGGATAAAAAAGGATTACTGTTTTATGAAAAAACACTCTCTTAAGAGATAAGACTTACTAATTTTTCGATAATTATCTAACTCTAAAATGGCTTACTAAGACCCCAACGACCCCAAGGGAAGATCTGTGGCCGTTGTTTTTCTCTTTTTTCTTGATGTAACTTTTAGGCCTGTGTTGTATTCATGTATTCTTTTCTTCGCGGTTAAACATCTTAATTTGGAGTCTTCAAGCTATATACTGGCCCAAGTACATTTCAGAATAAACTGCCAAGACGATATTACAATGAAGCTATGATCAGACTCCGTTCCACATTATTCCTCCACCCTTGTAGTAGCCTTTGGTCAGTCAGCAATGATACTCCGTATATTGTTATTACCACGAGATTTCGTCAGACAACATATTATTATAAAATGAAAAACACTGTAGAACTTTGTACCAAAAGGCACTTGACTTTTACAGTGATAAAAAATGGGAACCAGGTAATTTAGGCCCATAATAATAATGAGATTATAACAAGTTTAACTCTTAATTTGGGTCTGGAAGCGTGGGCTTTGTAGCCCAAAAAGAAGGCGTTGGCATACTGTATGAGAAGAGAACTAACTTTACTTTTATATTCATCAATCATGTCTCAACGGAGTGTTCTTCAGGCTAGTGATGCATTTTAACTTTTATCATCACAGCCTTCCATTTCCGTAATGGTCTTCAACTTGGAGGAGATAAAATGTATCGGAAATTCACAAAGAAGTATCCGATGAGTTATGCAGAGGCCGCGCCATAAAATGTATCCGGATCGAAGATTCTATCCCGCGCTATCAAGATATGACAGAGAGATAGAGCAGCGGCCGTAGAGAAGTAACTTTTCCTCCAGGAACAGAACGCGGGGAAGGTGAAACCGTGGAACAGGGTAAGGTGAACTTGCATGGAGAAGAGAAGCATCAGTTTAGTTTTTAACTTTTTTTTTTGTGTTTTCCGTTCTTTTAGTCTTCAAGCAGAAAATCCCAGGATAGTATTTACTACTCATTAAGAGTTTAAGCAGGATTTATCTACTAACATCGATGACCAATGTTTCTTAATCGATGCAATTGGTTCCTTGTGGATGTGTTCTTGAAAGCTGGCGCTTATTTTGCAGTAATTTTGCTTTGCAGTTGCCATCTCTGGATACCTTGATAGGACCTGAAACAGCTAGTTAAAAATTATGGAACTTCAGTATGGCTCCATTGTAAGAACAAAAACATCAAGCAAAGCTTTTCACTCGAATACCTACATGTAGAGGTGTTACTTGCAGCTACAAGGAGAAAAAAGAAACTAGTCATGTGGGACAAACCTTTCCAGCAGCAAAACTACGTTTCTGATATAGCAGACATTAATAAACGGGCAACTTGTTTTCCAAGTCCCAACCCACATGAACTATGATGTGTGGTTAACTGAGCAGAGAGACTCACCTGCTTGAAGCAATATTACTATACAAAGTAACCTTTCTTGTCATTATACTTTGGAAGATTGCATTCTTCTTAATTCTGGAATACTTCCATAGAGATATGCATATACCTTAATAGTGCAGTGAATTATCCTTTCAGAACAAGCAATACTAGCTTATCTGAAAAAACCAGCTAGAGCAGTCTACTTCCAAGAAGTTCTACTCCATGGCATCTGATATCGAAAGAGAATGGGACTTTGAGGAAGTCCACTCCTGGTATAACCAAAACCCTTATCTGCAGTTCCATCTTGAGACCGATTGTTCCAAGTTCGACTGAAAAGCTCTTGTTTGGTCATAAATTCAGTGCTTTACTGCCCAGTCCAGTAAAGCTATCTACATCGACAACTTCAGAAAAATGTCGCAATAGTTCACCAGTTGGATCACATGAATCCAAGACCAACTAAACTTGCCCCATTAAGGAATGTTAGACATTTTTGTTACAGTTAATAATTCAATAGAGATCCAAGCACATTAAAGCCCAGAACTGAATTGAAAAAGTGTTAGAAGGTCTATTCTGTTCCAAACTACAAATCATGATAACCTACACATTTGATATTTGCAGCAAATTAACTGCAGAAATACAGCACAAGTGTGCTAATGCTTTTCCTTCCCAGTACTTATCTTCAAGTAAAATTTACCAAATTTGGCAATTGTTAGGGCACTTAATAACTAAATTGTTAACCCATAGTGTACGGTTGGTCTAAGAACCTTTATCCTGCTATTTAAGGTTGGACTTGCAGACCGTATCTTATTTGAATGCTTACCTTCTATCTTGTATATAATACAACCTGTATCTTCATCTCAAAATTTGCCACACTGATTTTCTTTTTTCATTTTTTTTTTTTTAAAAAAACTGGTTTATAAACCGCTGCTGGACATAACAACAGCACATAACGGATACATTCCGCACCATACCTAGAGGAGCACAATTCCCTTCATACTGAAGATACGGTACTAGAATACAAATACAGCACATTATTTTGCTGAACAACAAAGAAGTGCAGAATATAATGAGCCTACTCACATTAGGAGATCAGACAATCATAGCTCAAATGCAGGGAAACCCATCAACAATCATGAATTCAGATCATGTAGAGCCACCAACAATGAATAACAATGGATTGCCTTCTCATTCAATTGTTAAGCATTTGAATTGAACTAAGTGATTATGCAGCAGCAAGTGACCTATCACTTCAAAACAGTGCCTATAAGCTCAGTTAAGAATAAAATCATAAGTTCCACAGGTTCAAACTGGAAAATATCTATTAATAATGATTTGACAACTATTGGTAAGGGTCACAAAAGAAAACATGATACAGACCCAATTTGCATCTCAGTAAGTTTATACATTGTTCAATGTAATGAACAAATGTCTAGAAAACAGTCATGTCAATGACGACAAAAACGTACCATTTCCCTCATTAGAGCTACTAGGATAATTGATAATCCTCCTCAAAATCACTGCTCTGGCTCTCCTTATATCCCTGCTGCACTTATCAGCATGATCATTCAAATCCTGAATGGTTTTCATGAATTTATTCACATTCTTCTTTATCTCAGCTACCCCAATCAAGACAGCCTCATCTTCCCTCATAGCAAAAACAGCATTTTGTATCAATGCTTCAATCTCAATCTGCAACTTGTCCACAAGCACCTTCAGACCATCCAAGTCCTTAATGACTATGTAAGTCCCAAGTTGCATTGAAATAATTATTTCCCTCTGCCCTTTTAAATCCCTCTCACATTTGCTCCAGATAGAGTTCAACCATTTCCCCATTGAACCCAAAGGAACTGCAGCGGCCGCCGCCATTGCCGTCACCACTGGTGGTGCTGTCACGGCTGCAGCCACCACAGAACAAATCAAAACCGATATAAACGCAGCTACAAAGATGACATTGGAGACTTTTCTCCATGTCTTCATTCTACTCACTTTCCGGTCAAGTTTCCTCCTTTTCTTCTGCAACTTCTCTAACATCAAAACTTGCTGCTTATAAACACCTTGAAACAAAGAAAAGAACTCCTCCGTAAAAGGGTCACCTGCAGCCTTGAAATTAGCCAATTCCTGCAAAGTTCTAGGATACGGATTATCCGACCCAGACCCTTGACCATTAGCATGTTCCTCCTCGAAATTCTGAAGGGCTAATAGAATTATGGATTGGCTATGTAGGGCCCTCTTCAAGCAAGCCTCTAAGGCAGTGCAAAAATCCAAACTTTGGAGGCTATTCTCCAAGTAATCATTGACCAAATCGTATAATTCGGGATCTTTCCAAATGTCTTTCTTACATTGAAGGATGACGCCGACCACATCTTGATTCATCTCCAATAAGCACTCAGTGACTTCCCGGAGGGAATCCAGCGAAAGGGCCCGCGCATCAAGGCCTACGGCAATCGAATTGATGGCCCGGCTAGTGCGTGCTTGAAAAGCAGAATCTAAAGACCGGAGCTCCGGATCGGCTTGGCAGGCGGCTTCATAAGAGTTCAGATAAGATTCAGGAGTGACCACTTTATCCTCACCAGATGAATTCGATGACCCATTACTGCTAGCATTATTACTGTAACTATGACCAGAACTAGAACTGCTTCCTTGCTCTAATGGCGTCTGACTATCTAAACTCTGTCTTTGCTTCTTTCTACTAAATTGGTTACCCATTTGATAACTAAAAAGATTTTTCTTGGGGTAGCTGAGAATGAATCAAGGAGAGGATAATTACGGCTAATATGTGGGTGGCGGGCGGCTGAACTCCGGAGAGGAGACAGGGGAAAAGGGTAGTCAACGAAGAGGGGGGTGATGATTCATTTGATGGATTTTGACTATGGTGATTTGATATTGGAAAATACTCAAAATAGTAGTGGCAGAGTATGACTCAGTCCAAAAGAAAGAAGTGGACTGGAAGTTTGAAAGAGTGTGAAAGAAAATTAGAAATGCCCTGGAATTTACAACTTGTTAAAATGGTAGTTTAGTTCATGAAGTTTGAATGATTAATAGTTTCCGTCCTTAATAGCAGACATGGAACTCCCCATTTCAACAGTTTTTAGGATTTTGGATATGAGTTAGACTGGCCTCGTGGTTTTGTCATTTGTGTGAGAGTTTTATGTTATACTCAGCGTGACAATATGTCATCGATGCTAACATGTATAAATGATTAAATATGTTTAAATCATTTGAGTAATGTCACAATGTGTAACAAACTGAATTTGATTAAAATAATATAACAAATTGAATTATTAAACTAAGACGAGAAGAATGCGTATTACTATTTATTATGCAATATTTTATTTTATTTTTTCATTCAAATGCTGAGATATTCCGTTGGATACCTGTTAATGCAACTTTATATGCATTCTGGAAACTCGAAAATTTCTCAATATCCAAATAGCATTTTCTTTAGGAGTGTATGATTATGGGATGGAAGGATGCCAATTTTCGAGTCATAATTGTTAACCTCTTATACTTGGGGGATTACAATGCAACTGCTGCTCTGATTTGGACCAGTTGACAAATCCCAAATGAAGCTTCGTCGTATCATGCATGTACCCAACACTAGCAAAAAGATCATAAAATTAATATTCCATTATTAATCAATCAACACTTGATACTCAATTGAGGTCGATCAATATTAATTTTAAATTACCTGTATGAGGTTTATAATAATCATTAAATAACCTACTTTTTTTTATAAAAACTTATTTCGTATTATTAAATCGAAACACTTCATTAATACACTCACTTATTACATGGAAAAAATATAGTGTCAACTAATAAATACAAAGTATAGTGGAAAAAGTAGATAGTATATCTACCACACGAGAAAAGTCACATCTTTATTATTACGTCCGTTTATGACTAAGTAATAATATTAGTTGTTGATCATTTCCTAGTAGATGCATGACAAATGGGACAAATTTGTGGTTCAATTAATCAATTCATTGGGCATGTCTTACTTGTGGTAATTTATATGGTGAACCATGTGTACCATATATGGTACATTTGTCTAATTAATACAATCTGATTATAGAATGAAAAATTAAGAAAAATTTATTAAATCAATTCATTCTCTTTTATCATTTAATTTCTCATACCATGCTTTCAAATATAACAGAAATAATATTCTAATTATTTATAACTCTTTCTTTTATTCATAATTACTGACTCTTTTCTCTGTTCAAAACTATTGACGTAGTTTGAAAATTATGAACAATTTAAATTTAATAAAAAATCGTGAAATTTTGATATATATGTCATGAAAAATATTACTATAACTCATGAATTTTTCATAGAATGAGTATGAACTATAAATATAAGGATTTTTAAATATTTAATTAATATTTTTATGTTCTTTGTATGAAAATTTACATAATTCTCATGAACATTATTTTATATGGGTATGAATATAGACCATTTATTTGCATTAGTCTTTTAATTCTCTAAAAAAATTGTGAAAATTGGATACTCATGATATGATATGAAAAGTATCATTGTTATTCATAAATATTTCAGGAAAAAGTATGAACATTTATTGTACATATGATTAATTTTTTGAAATTTCTCTAATTTGTATGAATATTTAGCATAATCTTCATGAATAGTCATAGTTATATGTATGAATAGAAGATTAAAAATATTACAACCTTTAATTTATAATTATGTGTACAATTTTTTAATTAAAAGATATGAATTTTTTATATATTTGATATGAAAAATATGTTTATCATTCATGAATCTTACATTGTATAAACTTTTAGTTTTTTTTGTATGAATAGAAATATATTAATAAATAAATATTTCTTCCTTTTTGAATTTTTTTCTAATCACATAATTGCTTTGAAGATATGATATATAATATTAAATATAGAAAGATGATTGACTAATTTAATACTAGTAATATTTTAATTAATAATTTATTCCTTAAATAGTTTCCATTAATTAGACCAGTGAATCATGTGCACGATATAAGAACTCCTTACTTTTAGCTGGGAATTCTCTTTGACACTCAATGTGGATGATTAAGACTTTGATTACGAGTGATAAAAGTATAAAACCGCAATGGATACTTGATAGGGAAAAAAATCCGTATCCATGACCGCTGTACAAAACTTCAAAGCAGCCATCCTGCTTAACTATACTTGGTACCAGAATTAATGCTTGTCCCCGAAATGGCCAAAATCTGCCATTGAGTCCTATTAGGACACGGATTCCGTAATAATACAAGCAATTTATGTCCGTAAACAGAGATAAATCATGAATTATGTCCCATAATAATGTTCATTTGTCTGTAACTTGCTATTTTTTTCACCATTATCAGAAGCAAAAGCACTGAAAATCTTCACAAACAGAAAAGAGCGGAAGACATGTTGCGGAAATGCATCATTGGTGCCAACTCTCTCCCCATAGACAACACCAAACGTCGACGATGTCGTTGACATCATTAATGAATTGCAAAATTCAACGAAACCCATGATCATCAGGAATCCTAACAAGATTATTGGGAAGGACGGGTTTGATTACGTGACTTGTAAACCCTGGAGGTATCTGGAATAGATGCTACTCCCTCCGTCTCACAAAAATAGTCAACATTAAGTTTTGAATTTTGTACTGTTATTAGTACAAATTTGAAAACTCAATGTGGACTATTTTTGTGGGACGGAGGTAGTATAATAAATTCCGAGCTTATTAGTATGATCGCAAACCTTCCAAGCTCAGGATACGTTTGGTTATACATTTTTTAATCCGAAAAAACAGGTGCTTCTTTGTCAACTGAATAAAGTGCTTGATAAGGAAGCTGAAAAGGCAAAAGAAGCCAACTGTACAATGTCTAAAACCCAGATGTGGTGATTCAATCATACTACATTTCAGAGTTTCGAGCTTAGGGTCATGTGTTTTGGAGTTCAGTCTAGAAATTTTCGATACATATAAATCGATAGCAAATTATAGCAAAAAAAAAAAAAAAGACATTGCTTTGCATGGGTATCTTCTTTTTCTTTATTTCTTTTGGTAACACAAATTTAGACTTCATATAGTATATTATTTTCGTCCCAAAATGAGAGTAAAATTTAGATAATTAAAATAATTAGACAAAAAAGTTCTTTTTTTTTCATATTTATAGGGTGTTCACCGTCAATAACAATAACAAATTCTCCTCGCTGAATTGTAGATATCTCGACGGGTGAGACAGATTCTTATTAAGCAATGATGTTGACCCAAAATGAAGTTTCAAAGATGGGTTGTGTTTGTAATCGAATACACAATTACGCATTTCTATTGCCCAAATACGACCCCAAATTCGCATTTCTCTTGTCCAAATAATTTAACAGGCTTTCTCAAGTCCAGTTTTCTACTATCTTCATTCATTCCTAAAGTCAAAATAGATTAGGCCAATAAGTGTCCCAATTGGAAAACACAAGAAAACAACACAAATGTAAGTTCACACTCTATCAGCAGTCATCAATTCACCAAGAGAACAAGGTGAATGAAAATTGTTGGCCAACCGACTAATTTTTTTTATCAGAAGATACTCTCTATTTTCGAAAGAAAAACAATAATAATAACATTATATACTCTCTCTATCAATATATAATAAAATTTTATTTATTAAATTAAAATACTGTAATATAAGAAATTCTTATTTTAGAGTAAAATGGGTATATGTTTATTTCACCTGCAAAAAAATAAAACTTAAAATTTTTACTTATAGTCCATATTGAATTTTGAGTTTTGTTAGTAAAAAAAAAAAAAAATACAAAACTGGACTTTCAACGTCAGATCATATTTCTGGAAAGAGATAGAGTACATCAATAGTGATAGATCGCCCCATTGTAAGTCTCAATTTGATTGCGCTACACAACACAATGCATTACAAATGCATCATAATCCGATAAATCACACACTAAACCTATACTCCCAATTAATGGAGGTTTCTTAATATATATATATATATATATATATATAAAACACTATTGAAATTCTTATTCCAGAATTCGGTTAGGAGAGTGCTTATTCCAGAGGGTTTGAAGGAGTGCATAAGTCATTTGTTGTTCAGCTGCTTCAGCTTCAGCAATATCCGAACTTCAAATTCTATCAGTAGAATAAGAATATCACATCGCTAGTCGCTACTTAAATTAATTTATGGGTATAACTACTCTGAAGAAAGGAAGAAAGTTAAGGAGATGGCAAGTATGAAAAGTTGATCAAGTGTCAAATGTTTCAATTGTTGCAGTCCTTGTATTCATTCATTCGTCGTTATTGGAATGCGTGCCTCAGCAATCTTCGCTATGTTCAATTCAAAGCGTATAGTATATATACAGTACCGTACTTTTTCCGATTATAAGATACTACAAATTTAAACTAGATCATACTTTTTCGATATAATTTTTAAAGTTTCCTTAGGAACCATATCTCTAGCTTTATATTTTTGTCATTCGACGGTACACATTTATGCACAGTAATTTTCAAATGATGATTGGTTTTCCTATATCCATTCACTTTATTCCTTATGTATGTTTTCTACACTAATTATCAAAAAGAACAGAAGTATAATTATTATCCAGTTTGAGATTTCACTTTTAGTATAATTTGAACTATAAATGAAAATCCAAACTGGACAATAATTATGGGACGGAGGGAATATAACAAATTATAGAATGATCCATAGCTAGGAAACAAATAGAAGATGAGTTATCCATATAGCGGCACTCCTTCCTAACAACAGCTAAAAAAGAACTGATTGATACTCCTTGTCGTAAAAGCATTCAACAATCCAATGTTTGGTTCCCTTGGCTGCTTGATGCAACTAAGAATGGATCGGTATTCATTGTCGCTGAATCTATCAATACTTCCGTCTTCAACGTTATACATTCCAAAGCCGCCATTCCCAACTACTTCGTCTGAAATTTCACTGAAAACATCATCCGTGAAATAGATACAATTAGCTTGGAATCCACTTCCTTCTGCCACTGCCCTTGAGACGGATACTGCAGAATTGAATCCTAGGAATATAGCATCTCCACCCAAACTGAAAACCTCTTCCAAATGGCGTATCTCGACATATAGTTGAAACACTCTGAACTTCTCTGTGGTGAAAGTAGAATCCATTCCTGAGATCACCAATAACTTATGGTGAAGATTCCACTAAATATAAGGGTCTAGGGCAGATTAAGATATTCGGATCTCTGAACAAATAGATTCCAGTCCACGGAGTGGAAAAGGTAGGTTACTGAGGGGTCCTTACCATGGCAAATCCAAATATCTCCATCCTCATTGATTGCAAAAAACTTGCCATCATAGTAATTAACATGCATGAATTGGCGTCTTTTCGTTGAGTGAATGGAGCTCCAAGTTTTATCTCCGGACCTAAAGAAACCCAAATTCACACGACCGAGAATCGCCCACAAGTATAAAATCGGATGACTTTGATGGATTCTCCGACAATACTGCTCCTTTGATAAAATAAAGAGGTGCGATTACGCAGAGAGCGTTACATTCAGAAAAAGCTCGAACATTGGGGAGCTTAATGCGCGCACGGGATAAAGGGTACAGAAGATTGGCATCGCCTGAATTGAAAATGGTCAGAAACCACCCGAATCTTACTTCTAGGCTTTATTTCTGGGAGGTGTAATCTCATGCAAACCTTTCTTTTCGACAGGCTGTAAAAGTCGCGATCAAATGATACTTTTAACTCTCCGCTTCTTTCTTCCACTTCCATCGCCATCGTCTGAGATCTGATGTTCTTGTTGTGCTACCATAATTACTGGAATAGTTGGCGATGAGAAGAGGAATTTATCCTTAGTGGCAAAGGCGCGCCAAGGAGTGCATACACCTCTAGAGGCCATGAAATCTTCTATGGATGATATCCGGCCAACTATGTCCTCCAGTAGGTCGGGTAAAAGAGCCGGCCAATCCCTCAACTCTTCCATGTTAACTTAGTCGGAAGGAAAACCTAACAGAAGGAAATTCAAGAGTAGATAAATTCAACTAAGCTGGCTACTCGGTATGATTGGGCAAAATGATTGTTCTACTCCCTCTGTTCCAAAACGATTGTTCTGCATGGATTTTTAGTCTTGGTACGATTTGTACTAATAAAGAAAATCCAAACTGGACAATCATTTCGAGACGGAAGAAGGAGTATCACTTGGATTTGAATAAGGGGAAATGTGACCCGGCACAGTTTCAGCGCGCCTTAGATTTCAGGCCATGATTATCACTTAATTATATAGAATTCTCTTCCAATTCAAGGTCAATCTCAATCAAACTAATAAAACTATATATATATCCATCTATGACTAGTGATTCATTTTCTTCAAAATATCAAAAGTTAGGGCAAACATAAAAATGATAAATTACCGGAGTACAGAGATCTTCGCAAATCGTTCGGCTCCCCCAAAGTTATCTCGGCCGCCCAAGTTTTACAATCGCGGCGGTGACGGAGATCTGTACTTAGTCTGGATGTGCCTCTAGTCCTCTCTTCGCAGCCGATAGAGAGTAACACCTGATCAGCTAGGTTTTTTCAAATCCGAACCGAATAGCGACGATTAACCCAAGACCCAACAAATCGAAACACTATTTAAACGAAAAACACTATTTTCATTGTCATGAACGGATGAACCATTTAACTACAACATTACTACCCTTTTCCAAAATGATTGTCGAGTTGGAATAGTAGTTTTGTATCCATCATTTTGGACCAAGAGATTGTAAAATTTTGGCTAAACCATGTTACTGTCTTACATGACTCAACCATGTTGTAAAATTGTAAATGTAATCATCTTTAATTATAAAAATAAAAAATGGTCCAAACAAAGTCAAACAAATGTAATTGTGATAACAAAAAGTCTAAGATCTAAAAATCACCTCTAATAAAGTGAAAAGATAAAACATGAAACTCAAAATCTTCCAAATCCTGACATTGCGCGTAGACAAACTTACCACGAATTTGCCGCAACTTCAACCTTTGGTTGGAAATTGTATCTTCAAAAGACTCCAAACACAATATAAAGTTTAAGATAGTCATAAAACTAATGGAGTGTGATATGGTATGATATAGTACGAGGCACATAATTATTATTGTTACATATACATATATAATGATGTTCAACAAATTACTATAAACACATTATTATTCACGACCATATCCATTGTACATACTTTTGTTATATGTGAAAATATACACGGGTTTTCGGTTAACCATCTGAATCAAACCACAATGTTATGTCCGATTAATCAAAATAATAGGTACCGTTTGACTATATTCTATAAATGGTTAGGTTAAACGACAGTACCAAAAACTGTAATGAACCAAATAGTTTCCGTGCTGTTTTATATTATTTTTGCGATCTGGTTAAACAGTGCTCATCCCTACTTTCAAAAATCAAACATCATTGGAAAATATGTTCGAGGATAATTGCTCTTTCTTTCTTTTTTTCTTTTTTCTTTTGTGTTTTTTTTTTTTTTTTATTCTTATCCCCGTGAGCCTTTCTGGACGAGAAATGCGAAGTTACAGATTATTATGAAGCTTGCAAACTACTATATACAGCAGCGGATGCGCGAGTGAACTCTCTAAAAAGACAGTAGTCCATGCGAGTTTCGAGACTAATATTGCATATATTAATAAGGATACCCACCGTAGAGTATGGAATTCTCACTGGATACATTTGGGCCGCAGAGGGTGGACTTGCTAAGTTGAGGCCCAGACACCAAATACAACTCCAGTTCTGTATATTTATTTATACGAGCATTCTGACTGTCAACACCAAAATGAAAAAAAAAAATAAAATAAAATAAAAGTAAAAGCTAGTTTGGGTCAAATAGTCCCCATTGATGGTTTATTTCGCTATTCTCGCATTCACTAAAGAGCACAAGGTGAATAAAAGTAAAAAGTTGTTGACCATCATCAGCATTTTAATCACATTCTCTCAAGTCATGTTCAGTTTGGAACATACTTTATCTGATCAATATTTTTTATAAGGAAAGTTTAAATTTACATTATATAAATAGGACCGACTAAAGTATTACATCTGTCCTGAATAAATTGTTTATATTAAATTTTCAAATTTATATTAAAATTAATACAGGTCTCAAAATTCAAAGTGAATTTTTTTTTTTTTTTTTGGTACAGAGAGTACTATATTTTTACACAAAAACTCATAACAAGCCGTTACAATGACAGTAATTTTTTTTTTCAGTGCTGTTCTCATTGCCGATCGTAGTATAACCCCCCAACTTAGCACTCGCAAGCCCTTCAATTTTTCATAAGTTTTCCTAATCTCTATCTTTATTTTTGTTCTTGGACACTGCAAGAATATGCTGGATGGTTTTCCTGGAGACCACAAATAATGGTAATTATACAATTAGTGACATTATACAAAATAATAATGATAATATTATTCACAATTTTTTCCAAGTTTAATTTGTCAACGGATTGATGTATTCATCGTAATTTTGTTCTTTAGAGATTTTTGACCTACTTCTTGTAGTTGGTTGCTCGTGTTCGTCAGTGATGCTTCTTACACTCAGTATTGTTTATGGTTTTTATTTGAGAATATACGGTCATAATATATAAATGTATTCATTAGAGATCTATTATTTATTGTTTCCCTCAGAAAACAAGTGATGTATTTTGGATTCAATTTTTGTGATACGTCTATAACAAAATGTAGTGTTATATTGACTGCAAATCCCTCCTTCGATCTATGACTGCATGATTTCCAGCAAAAAAAAAAAAATGTTTTAGATTTTATTTCATGTAAAGGGTAATCAATATAATTAAATATTTACGTAGTTGTTGAGAAAAAATAAGACATTTTTTTTTTAATGATGAAAACGGCCGTGATTTATTTGCGAGATATTGGACTATTTTTTGTGATGCAAAAGCCTTAAAAGTATATATTGAGATATGAGTTCATAGGACCGTACGAACATGGGATAATAACTCATTGATACAAGTTTACATTCATGACCGGATCTTCTTGGCTTTCACTGTACATGATTCCTCATGAATATCAATCAAACCGTACGTATGTACATCGATGGTACGAGGATAGATTCATGGATGATTACTTGACTTCCACACCGGGCAAGTTCGTCCCACTTTTTTGGGTAACATGAAGATATCTTGCAAAACTTGATTCTCATCTCAGCTGATCATTTTCCTGAACGCCAATGTTGAGCACAAAATTTTGAGTAATACGGTAATTAGTCCACATTCAGCTAATGGATCAGCCTAAGTAGGAGTATATAATCTTCATCGGATTGTGTACTTCTGTACGGTCTGACCACCGAATCCCTTAGATTAATCCATTAAAAAGATTTGGCAAATCGTATTTTCACTCACCAAGAAGATTTTTTGTCTTTAATTAAGACCAAAACAAAAGAAAAAAACCAGTAAACAGCAAACGTCTCACTACTGATCACTAATTAAGAAAGGAAGGAAGGAATATTAACACTAGAAAATAGGAGTTTGTTATCTGTAATGAAGGCATGTGGCACCTTGGTTTTGCGAATTCGAGTATCGTGTCAAACGCCCTCGTATTGACCTTGTCTGTCAATGGCGTCATAGTGCAAAAATCAGCATGAAGAAAACATTTGGAGACACAATTTGGTCCACCCTCTCACAATATTCATCTGTTTTTTCAAACCTGATATTCTATCTAAATTTTACATCGCAATTACTTAATGTTTTACACTCCTTACATTTTAGAGTTCGAATTACAACTTATAAAATATATTGTTTTTTCATAAAATTTACAAGTTACAATGTGAAGCATTTTTTTAAAATCGAAGGAGTATATCTTGATCTTGTTCGACTCTTCTTGGTCTTTTTCTAAGTTTCTCTAAGCTTGGTTCTTCCTCTCGGGTCTCTAGTCTTTGCAATCTTTCGTTCAATTTGGTATCTCAGTCAAAATTGGAATCAAATCTGCTACAAGGGCTAATATTATAACTTGTAGAAACTACATTTTACGGAACACAAACACAATCTGAGCAGCTTTTTTCCTGAATCCAAACCAAACCCGATTTTTACAAGACCACTTAGAAACCGGCAAGCCTCAAAATTGCACTCTATATTTGTAGCATGTTGATAACCGGAACCACTACAAAATTCAGACACTTCTGATCAAATTATGAGCCCATTGGTTAAATTTGCTGCATTTCTTCTATTAAAATTTTTCAGACAAACCATGTTAAACAATTGCTGCTTTATGTCCATTAGAACATGGTCGGAACAAAGGCCGAACAAGTCATCTGGGACTAATTGCAATGTTGTTTGGGTTTGAACCAATAACCCCCATGAAATTTTTTTAAGATTAATTTAGAACCTGAATTGTCCCCATTGTCGCCAGCCTGTCCCTCTGTCATTAGTCCCTTTCTCAAATGTTAACAAATCATAGCAGAGGATAGAAATATATATTAATAATGCTGCCAAAGCTCAAAGTTTAGATTCTCATTTCTCAGTTCTTTATATCTATGGACCAGAATCATTGACCAGATCAATCGTGCAGAAACTACAGATTATTAGACCCAAATTGCAAAATGATTAACACCCCTTTTTTCAGATCTCATCAAAACTGAAAGGGATGAGACAGGGGACATATTAAATTGCTTTGGTGGCGAGACAAAAACTGGTCATCAATGGCAGAAAGGAAAAAAGAGATGATTAATTTAATCCTACATTCTGTAGACAACAATGTGGAGACCTATGTGGGGTTGTTGCGCATATTTGGCGCACGTGAAAGGTTTAATCATATTACTCATCACTAAGAATGATTATTATATGTAGTTTTGGTTAATCATCAGGCAGCAAAAACTGATCAAGCAACCTTATGATTGAGAAACATCCTGGTAACTTCGCAGCTGAGAAACAGAGAGAAGCCCAATTTTTGTATACAAAATTAATGGCCGACAAAGTACTTAACTTTGTTGGATGATGGCTTAAGTAATTCTTAATGTATCTTGTTTTGTTGATTACTAATATTAGATTATAGTACTAAGATTTGATGAATGCAGATTTGAAGATGGGTCCCCTTGTCTCTGGATTACGCCAAAGTGAATGACTTTTGGACGGTATGAACTTCTTCTATATAAACAAGGCCAACTTCTTCCATCATTTTCAAACACACTCAATTAGCTCAACATTCTTAAAGCAGTACTCATTTAAGCTCTGCAACAAATTTTGAAACTACCCACTTGATTTTTCTCTGCTGATTCAAAGATGGAAGGGAAGATGTTCAGATCATCATCGTCGTCGTCGTCATCAAACATTAAAGGGTCGTCTAAGAAGAAGTTGTCAAGCAAGAAGCTTGGGAGGTTTCTGAAAGAACAGAGAGCAAGACTTTACATTGCAAGAAGATGTGTAGTTATGCTTCTCTGCTGGCATGACTAAGCCATTAAACACATCAATTAAGAAAGGTCAATTTCTTGATTGAAATGTAAATATATGATAGAGACACAATTTTAGGCGTTCTTTATTATAGGAACTTAACTAGGATAATTCGTAATTGCGTCTATTTTTAGGCATCAATGAGAAGCTCATTAGTTGCATGGAAGATGGGAGGTTTAAGGGAAGAGTTTCAACTTGCAAGAGGGTGGCAATTTAGACATTAGGATTTGCTCGAATTGCAGAGAGCATGGCGATTTTGTCCTCTTGTTTTTTCTTCATCTTTCTCCATGCAAATTGACACAATAAGCATGGGCACAATATTCGTTAATGGATACTCTTTTTTCTATAATCCTTAATCTCCTCAACGGATCATAGTTTTCTGTTTGACCATTTGCTGGTCAATTGTTGGTTTCTCTGCCTCTTTAGCTTTTGAATTTTGATTCTTCATCGATATCTCAAGGTGTCCATTTTGGTCATTTTGTTTTAAATAAGGATAATGGTCTGACCAAATGCAATCATATGGGTAGTGAAGATATTAGCGTTCATTTTTACGTTACCTGATATAGAAGAAAAGTTAGTTTCAAATTATGTCTTGTACATAAGACCGGGAGTATAAATATAAATTTGATATCACAAAATAATGTTTCGAAAAACTTTAAGGCATTTTGACTTTTCTTAATTTTCACCTAATACACATTTTTAATTGATAAAAAAAATTTTAAAAATATATTTTCACATTCGTTGTGTTCTCTTGATTGTTATGAAATATTTTTAAGTTTTTTTCGTCGATTAAAAATGTATACTAAATTAGACCTATGACAAATCAAAATACCTTATATTAAAGACCGGAGGAAGAAGTACTATAAAAGGAATAAATTAAGTAAAGCTTATGGTGTTAAATGTTGAGGTTGAAATCTGAGCTCCGCCAACAAATATTCATGACCATTGTGAATATAATTCTGTGATGACTAAATAAAAATATAGTGAGACGAGAAATTAAGATGGGAAAAAATAGAGAATAAAAGTCTTTACTTCTTATGTATCAAAATAAGAATCATTTTTATTATATTAATTTAATTTTAAAAAAATAGATTATTTTAAGACGGGAGAATATTCATTCATTGGGTGGTGTATACAAATGGTGGATGATGATATAGCTGGAAACTACCATTGAGAATATTCAGAACAAATAGATAAGCTGGAGTATCATCAGTAAATGGTCCATCACTCGCAGCCCTTTTCTATGAAAACTTACAAGCTCCAGCCACAAATGGAATATTATTTTTTTGTGATGGGTCTTGTGGATGGACCCTTTTGAGAGGTTGGGTTCATTTCAAAGCTAGCTATTAAGGTGAAAATATCTCAGGTCTATGACTAAAATTTACAATGGAATTTTCAATATATTACTCCCTCCGCCCTATAATTATTGTCCACTTTGTCCAAAAAATTTTGTCCTAAAATTATTGTCCAATTTTACTTTTTATGGATCAAGTTACACATTTGTCCTTAGTAAATAACATTATCCATAAAATCTTTGTGGTTAAACAATTACTTATATAGGGGTATATCCGGTTGTTTAAGGTAAAATATAATTAAGTTTGACCAAAAAAAAATATTTCATTTTAGTAAAACTGGACAATAATTATGGGACGGAGGGAGTATAAGTTATTTCTTTTGCAATCTAACATGAAGAGTAAGGATCATCCTGATACCACTCGTTAGGGAAACCGAATAACAACAACTGTTGAAAGAAGAGAGAGGTGGAATAAATAAAAATACAAAATTTAAAAAATGAAGGACATCAATGAACCTGAAGATTAGAATTTCTGTTTCATAAGATCCATGTAGAATTCAAATGGAGTAATTACACTTTGGTATTTCATGCAAATATGAAACTATGATAGGCTTCTGATTTGTGGTTTAATCCCTCATTTGGGATTCTGAATTATTTATTTTCTAAACATTGAACAACATGAATAGTATTTTTTTTATTTTGGAATTAAATAACATTCTAATTGTTAGGATGATGTGCTTACTTGCATTAGATCTTTGATTCAATTCCAGCCAATAAGTATGTAAGGGTTTTTTTGACCAAAATTTAAGTGGAGTTCATTGGAGTGGTTTTTTTTTTCTTTATGAAAAAATGAATAGTATTTAATTTTTAAGGAAAACATTATTTGTCCCTAAAAACTTTTTAAGACTACTTACATATAAAAGAAGATTAATCATTTACGGTGTGACAGACCTCCCTTTCTTCTCTTTTGGTTTTGGACTATCCATTCAAGCCGTTGGCCGATCAAATCCAAAAGGCCCACCGACATAAATAACTGTGTATTTCTTGCAATCAGTTGAGAAACAATTTGGTCTTTTCCACATAAAGCTTTAATGTATGGGTTTAAGCCCAACAGCACAAAGTCCACCCACCAATCAGCAACTTCTTTTAAAAATCATAAATCATCACAATTATGGTGAATAACAATAACTACTACATCACGCGCAAGTCTCGATCCTTCTGATGTCCAATTGGAAAACGACGAAACAAATCAAACCACATAAATCCCATGAATCTTTGATAATTTTGCTGGTAGAAGTTTTACCTGTTTTTGTTGGGATCTTTCTTAAGTTTTATGTCGGAGGCAGAAGGAAATGATTTTCTGATGGGTTTCTAATTTGAAAAACAATATTTTTTAAAGTACGCATTTCGATTACAAGTGTATACTGTAAATTGTTCACTACGGGGTAGATACTATCTTCGTACATTATATCTAAATCTTCAAAAAATTTACTCTCTTCGGTCATTAATATAAGACATTTTGATTTGTTCTAGATTTCACTTATTACGCATTTTTACTGAACAAAAAAACCTTAAAAATATATCTTCATATTCGTTGTGATCTCTTGATTGTTATGAAATAGTTTTAAGGTTTTTTATCAATTAAAAATATGCATTAAGTGAAAGTTAGGACAAATCAAAATGTCTTATATTAAGGATCGGAGGGAGTACTACAATGCGAAAAAAAAAAAAAATTACTTGCACCGGCCGGATAGGTGCGGTGGTGGGAATGATTTGACTGAAAAATCACGAATGAACATGGGTTCGTTAAAATAAATAATAATAAAAAAAAACTCCAGCATTAGAATTATCTAACAAGACTTTTATTATGTTAGAGTTGTAGCCTCATAATTTTATTTTTATTTTTGTAAAATATTTTAATCGCAGTTGTTTATGGTTATTATCCTGAAAAAGAACATTTAATCAGCAGGTGAAGTTGGAGTTAGAAGCCGATTCTTCTAAAAAATTCTTAAATATCAATTTTAGAGGAAAAAAATTGATATAGACAGTGAAATTGTGCCGTATAAATCGCCTAATACTAATTATAATGAATTTGTTCTGCGAGTTGGATGTGGAACGATCAACATGCTAATAAAAGATAATATTTCCTTTAATTTGCTTGTAATGTAACCTGACAGATTAATGGTGAAGGACCATATAGTACTGCAAAGTCTAACAAGAGACGCAAAAAACGACATTTTTTTTATGTATGTAAAAATCCAAGGGTGCCTTTGTATTATTCTGCTAATTAATTTGACTAGTGTATCATTTTCATCAGAACAACTTTGTCCACATACAATATATGCCACCTTTGTGTGGTTTTAATCGCTTTCTAGATCTCTCGTTCAACAGTTGTGATGTGACGAAATTAAGAAAAGAATGAACGTGACATTTGATTCGCTCCGTTATATTAATGGTTCAATTTAACAGCCTTAATTAATTACAGTCTGATTGTAACAATTTGCAAAAAATGAAGGATTTTGGCCGGAATTCTAGAAGTTGTACTTACTATCAAGTATCAAGTAACAACTTATTTATTTCATTGGACAATTTATTTCAATGTCGAGTAAGAAGAACAAATACTTTACCACTAGACTGAAAACGCTTTTGCTACTCGTGAGTGAGCCGTGACCTTCCTATCACTCGTATCAAAATTTCAAATTGTAATGTCCAGGCTGGCTATAGGTTAATATAGCACGGGTAATTTACTAAATTACCTAGTCCAAAGGGGTAAAAAGAAAGAGGGGAGTACTACAGGGAGAGTAATGTATAGTAGTAGCCTTTTAGGTCTTGCCGACTTTGCTAGTCAAAATGATGTTACATTACTACGTACCAAACCACTTCCTCCCCATAGGGCATATTTTTCAAGCTGACGGTCTTCGTAGTATATAGTATCAGTAGCTTATCATTCCGGTTAGGTGAAGAATTTTCGGGTTTGGAACTTAGAAAGTTGTGCTCAATTAACGTTATAACTTGTAACAGCCCACAAGTCCGGCTTGACTTTTTTGGCCGGAATGACAACCTTCTGCGGCGACGCTGCGGAGACCTGACATATTTTACCAACGCCACAGCTATGTGACAATTAGCCATCATTTTCTTCATTACTTTCCTTCCTACTCCGGCCAAACGTTGGACATTCTGTCTTGTGTCTGAACGGTATGTATTATGTAGTGACCAGATTTGTTAGAGAAGTACTACTTCTCTTATTATTCAAAGGGCAAAAACTAGCTACTACGTAGTACGATATATTAATGCGACTTCCATTTTCCTAGAATCCCTGTCTTTTCAGCACTAAGTAAAAGAAAGCAAGAGATGAGAAAATTCGTCTCCACTAGCTAGGTTTTTGTTTTTCCAATTCCCTCATGAAAGGAATGTTGAAGATTCATGTATTTAGTGGCTTGCTTGATCATGGTATGGATTGATAGCAAGCATTAGCAGGTCACACCAATTCAGACAATCTTAATGGCGCATAAATTCTAAATATCTTCATCATCAGTTTTATGTGAGGAAAAAAAAGGAATAAAAAGGACGGACTGGGGGACCTTACCTTCAGGTTGATAATAAGGCTCCCAATATAAGTTTAAAAATTTTAAGAAGAATACAATCTTTTTTGGGATTTATGGGTTGTAAAAGATAGTTAATGTAAGTCAAGCAGCACGGATCAAACAATTAATTCTTGTCACAAGGTTTGGCAATAATATTACTATTCCGTAATGAATGGCTAGTATGGATTTTTATCTTCAGTCAATGATGTGAAATTAAAACTGGATAATTATTTTGAGATAGGAGGAATATGTAATTTATTTTGCAACTTTTAACAATCATAATTCATTGTATGTTTTTATTTATTTATTGAAACTAGTACAGTATTTGACGGTTACGTCCAATTTTGTAAATAACTAAAAAAATACATTTTTTGTCTCAAAATTATTGTCAAATTTATATATTTACTTTTAGTATAAATTGTACTAGAAATGATATCCCAAACTTGACAATAATTTCAGGACGGATGAAATATATACATATGAAGACCAACAAATAAATAAGATCATGTGCTAATTTAATTAACCGGCCTGATCAATGGGTTTTGATTTTTGAAAGATAGATGCATGTTCACATAATAAGCTTTTCAATGATTGTAAGAAAGTGCATGATTTGTGTCCCTTAATTTTAGGTCGGATTAAGCTCGTTCATCTCACCACTTTCTCAGTCTAAGGTCTCCCTATCGACGTAAATTAGCCGTACACAAAGACTTATTTATTTGATTATTTTAAATCATGGTGGCTAGGTTAAATATTTCTTGCAACTCCAAATCAAATGATAAAACACCCTTCGCTGCAAATGGTCACTGGACTAAGTTTATAACACATTATAGTATCATCTCTAATTGTAATACATGAAACCAAAAGGATACGGTATACGTTTACACTTTTATTTTGTTCCAATTTTTCATTTTATTGTCACCCTTTTATTTTCGTTAGAATTGCTTGATGGCCACAAAACCTAAAATTGGTCATTTTTAATGCTTTAGGTAAGTTGCTTGTTTGCGAACCAGTAAGGGACTTGCGCTACTTGCTAGGGCTGAGTTTAAAAAAAAAAAAAAAAAAAGAAAGAAAGAAAATTTCCCTCTCTTTATTAAAGTTTTAAACTTTGAACATCCTTATAAATTCTCAAACGCTAAAATTACCAAATAATCTCACGTAAATCAATGCCTCAAATCATAAAAGAAAATCTTTTATCTCTCTCTGGTGGAAAAAAGCAAAACATCAAATCCTTTAAAAGTAACCTGTCATCTTCTGATTGATATAATATCACTCCTGCTGCCTAAAGCCAAAATACCGTCGCCCACATAACGCGACAAAAAAAAAAGAAAGAAAATAAATAAATAAAGACAATGCATATGAAAACCTTTCACAAAAGCCAAACTTGATTCGTAGTATTCGTACCATATTTCTTCAAATATTATTTCAACAATTAAATCATCTTCATAATTGAAAGGAAAACGAAAAAGAAAAATGCTTCCCCGAATACCTGTAGATATTTGCAGCAGATGGGAAATGTGTACGACGTTATTATTACATGTTTTGTCGTTTGCTTAAGATCTTAGACATCCAAACGTGGTGGTTTTTTCCCCTTATGCACTTCGTTATAAAAACAGTACTATTAATTAGTAATACCACCACCAATTAAAGGCTAATTTGTAATGTAAGTATATTCCAAATTTTCCAGTTATGTAATAATGTTTTCATGCAGACTATAGAGTAGTCCAGAGCTAGATAATATGGCTAGCTTTCGTCGGTACCACATCTTATATAAAGCTCGCGGCCATTAAAAACCCTAAAAGCTACATATATTACATAATAATGTGGACCAATTGTAGGTTATAATGATGAAGAGAAAAATACAGGGTAAAGTGGGGTGTATTTGGTACGTAACGTAACGCCACTTTTGCCTATGATTAGATTTGGATTCTATGTTCCCCTGTCAAAATTGAAATTGAAAAAAAAAAAAAAAGGCCGGGGAGATGGGGGGTAAAGGGTACAAAAGTAATGATCCCATCTAATATATTCTAGTGTGGTGTGGCACTGAACTTTTTTTCTTGTACGTAGTGGCTCAGAAAAATTGATCACTACAAATTGTTCAATGGCCAGTGCATTCTTGAAAGGGCAAAAGGACATCGATTCCTCTGTACATGGTTTGTTTTATGTGGTTCAAACGAGGATCTGATAACCCAGTTAACTAAGATTACTGTTTAAAAAGAATATTTTTACGGTACCTGAGGAAATGTCATAGTTAAGTGACTACACTATGTGCTTTCTCTATTAGGGTTTAGATGTATTTCATACGCACGTTGAACGATTAGGAAAAATTTAGGTATACTTTTGAATGGAAACAAATACACTTTTCATCTGATTTAAAAGCCTATTCAGTTAAACTAAATAAATTACTCTCTTCGTTCCAAAATTATTGTCCAATTTACATTTTCAATTTTAGTACAATTTAAATTAGAAATGAAAATCCAAACTAGATAATAATTTCTGGATGGAGGAAGTACTAAAATGGAGCAAGAGTGGGAGGAAGTATTATCTCAAGTCGTAGTACAATTTCATTGAATAATATTTGAAACAATATGAGCTCGATGACGAATCCATAACCATCCCATGACTCTCTCTCTTTTTTCTTTTTTTTTTATTCGCGTGCGACTCTTTATGGGTTCTCAAATCTTGATTCAGAATGTCATATTTTTTTGTCCCAAAATTATTGTCCAGTTTAATCTTTTACTTTTAGTATAATTTGAACTAAAAATGAAAACTCAAACTGGACAATAATTATAAGACGGAGGGAGTAATTGTTAGCGATCCTGTTTGGCACTGAAACTTTTCGGACTTAGATTCATTACTAAAGATTATTAGGCATTTCACTCGTTTCTATTTGATTTTAAAATGAAGGCCTACGTTCTATTATAGTTATAGTACTTTGAACATTTACACCAATTATATCCGTTTGCAATTTTTGAAAATTATAAATGTTCATTATCTGTACTGACACACATAGATATATAACTACTATGATGATTTTCAATTCAAGGTCAAAATAACTTGGATCCTTTTTTCTAAAAATATATTCTACTCAACGTGAATTATATTTTTAGAATGGAGAGATCTTTTAGTGTACATGATCTTGATTTATCAAGAGTAAGCTCTTTAATCATGGAAAAGGAAAGATTTAAAATTGTTTTATTTTCATAGCGGGATTTTCAAATCCCTCTACTTATATTTAATTAAGAATGGAAGAACTACTACTCAACTATAACCTCTCCTTTTTTTTTTTTTAAGAAATCAACTTCATTATCAACTCAAATTAACCAGTACTGAAAGATAACCAGCACTGAAATTAAGAAATCAACTATAACCTCTCCTTTAGTTTGGACATTTTTCCCCTTTATAATGAAATTAAATACCTTCATTTTCTACAAAAATGAATGCAACTATATATCAAGACTGGCTTAAGGTAAGGCGCTGAAGTTAGAGTTTTAAGCCTCATATTATTGAGTTAGTTTTCTTATACCTCCAAGTTATTTCTTTTTTGCCCCTTATAATGAAGATGATGATGATTGACTATCCTCATATTCGACAAAAATGATTGTAACTACTAGTGAGGAGATGTTCATGTTGAAGATGGTAGGCTTAGTAATTAATTTCATGGTACACACTTGCGGGTTTGACGCATTTTGCATGCTATTGTTGTGTCCATTAGCCAATCATTTCTGTTTATTAGACATATAATTCACAACATCAGCAATCAATATTTTGTAAAACAACAAAATTGAACCACATGAAGAAGACAATAAACAGTATACACAATTTTCTCCCCCTTCTCGGTACAAAAGAGTACACAAATAGTGGACTGTTGAAGGTTTATTGTAACACCAACACTTGCGTGTTTGAAGTATAATTACTACTCCCTAGACGATTGGAATGAGACTATAAAAGAGTAGAAACATACAAAGAGAAACAACTATAATGATCAGCTAGGTAGCTTGGTTTTCTTTCTGTTTTGTTAACATTGAAAACCTATATTGCACCAAAAGAAAAAAAAAATTGAAAACCTATATTGCACCAAAAAAAAAAAATTGAAAAACCTATTTAATTTTTCTATTACTTTCATCTTTATTTTTCATTGACATGTTCAGTGGAATGGTATACTTAAAGAAGGATTTATGGCAAAAGTATGTACCTAAACTTAGGATAAATGAAAAATAAAATAAACCCATTACACACCTTACAATGTGAAATGTTAGAGAACAAATATTTGTGTGACATTAATCACTTTATATTCCGCTTTAATAGAATTTCACTATCATTTAGAGGAATACGTAGTCTAGCTAAGTACAGATGTCACTATATTTCAGTGATCACTTTCTGTGGCTTTCATTTTGATTTTGTTTTTGGTATAATAATAGACGTCCTAAAAGCTCAAACAAACTAATTAGGGAAGATCTTTGACTCTAAACAAAAGATACTTTGTAATGGCAAAGTGTCTTGACACTTGAAGCTTTCAAGTATTAATATTAATTTTATTTTTTTAAGTCTTTGTATTTTTTTTTAACTGAACACAGTGTTTTCCCCATACCCGAAACATCTATTTTAACCTGACAATCGACATTGACTATTCTCCCAGCAATCCTTTTCCTTTCATCACATGGAGGTCCTCTGAAAAACTCCCATCTCCTCTTTTTTCCTCCTTCACTCCATAATACACTACTTGCTCTCTCTTCTTCAACCCTAACCCTAGCCCTCTTTACCTAAAAGATCATCATTTATTAGTTTAATAACGATGCATATTATAGTACACCTTCTAGCAGAATCAGACTGCAAAAAACTTCATCATCAAAGCTTTTGAATTTTTCAAAGTTATCTCATGAAAAGAAAAAAAAAAAGAAAAAAGCTTACTTGATCAGTTTGACCAGCCACTGAAAAAAACAAAACAATATTGATTTGATAACGATTGCTTCCTAAAAACTAAAGAAAAAGAAAAAGATGCTTTCTTCCAGTAGCAATGGCATCTCACTTTTTCCACCATATTTGGACCGAAACATTAACCCTTGTTGTAATCCTTCTTCCTCTTTCAGCCTCAGCAGCAGCAGCAACAACAATATTCATGACAATCATGAAGATCTGCTTTCTTATTACCTTTCTGTTGCTCCTCCCATCATTGAATCTTCAGCCAATAAAATGACTTCATCAGTTTCCACCAAGAACAACAAAAGCTCACAGATTTACAGCTTAATTCGTCAAGAATGTTGGGCCAGGAAGAAAGCCACCAAAAGGGATCGCCACAGCAAGATTTTTACAGCTCAAGGCCCTAGGGATAGGAGGGTTAGGCTTTCCATCGAGATTTCAAGGAAGTTTTTTGGGCTTCAAGACTTGCTAGGTTTTGATAAAGCAAGCTTGACTCTTGATTGGCTGTTGACCAAGTCAAAGGCAGCCATAAGAGAACTCCTGAAAACCAAACAGGCTGATGATAATAATAATGAAGCAAACATTGCCAGGTGTCTACGCTCTTTGTCAGAAGAAGAAAAAGATGGAGTTTTTGTTGAGAATGAAAATGAAGGGGCTGATGGTAAAAACAACAATGATGATGAATATTCTTCTTCCAAGAGGAAGAGATCATCATCAAAACAAATAAGAGGGGGGAAGAAGAAAAAGAAACCGCCCAAAATGATGACTGAATTGGATAGACTTGCTAAAGAGTCAAGAGCTAAAGCAAGAGAAAGAGCAAGGGAAAGAACTAGATTAAAGAAGCATCATCAAGAGCAACAGAAGCTGTTATTCTTACCTGATCTAATCTCCTTCAATAATCATCATCCTCCTGTTATTCCAAATAGTCAAACCTCCAGGGGGTTGACCACCTGGAGCTGCAGCACTAATTACAACAATATTGCATCTTGCAATTCTCCTGATTCCAGTAAGCAAAGTACTGTGTCCTCTTCCTTGAATGAAAATACTCCTCCGGCCGAAGGATTCTTCTTTGTAAATCCAAGGATAAGTACTGAAGCAAGTACTACTACTATTGAAGAAATGTTTCTTCAACAATGTGGAAGCATTAGAAGGAGTAATAATAATTTTGTAAAGCCATCGAGCTTTGGTCTCCACATTTGGCCTTCTGTTACAAATAAAGAAGCTGTGAGTTCAGATTTCAACATTTGGCCCTCTGGCACTAATGATCATCATGCGCTCTAGCATTTTTTTTAAGGTATTGCATTGCCATATAGCACTAATTAATAATTTAATAGTATTAAAAAACCTATAAAATTTGTTTCTTTAATCCTTAATAAGTGACTAATGAGAAATGATCCCAAAATTCTGCAGGAAGCGAGAGTAAAGGAGAGGGCGGGCTAGTTACCATTTGCTGATGTGAGAAATTGGTTTTTTCCCTAAGATGATTTGAAGTTGTGCGATTTTGTAACTACAGGGGTGAAGGTTAGAATTTCCTTAAAAGTTCTTCACCACCACATTCAAATTACAAAGATGTAAAGAATATCAATATGTGTACTTCATGTTATAGTTACATATGATGATGCATTTGCTTCTCTATTTATGGAAAGTTTTGATTTCGGATTTATAAAGTTCTATTCTCGCCTATTCAAATACACAATGCTTCTCAATTTGTCTACACTTATATTTACATAAGCAGAAAATAATCAGAACTTTTTTTTAGATATTTGGATATTTCAAGAATTGAATGATTTTTATATAATAAAAAAAAACCGCACCTTCTTTGATTAGGTGCATTTTACATTAAAAAAAAAAAAGAAAAAAGGAAGGAAGACATAGAAATCTGAAACCAAGCTAGGCAGGGTGAGTAGAAGTAATGTCATGTATAAAATAATCAAGTTTGTATTATGTATGTGACACAATAGCTTATTCTCTACCCATTAATCAAAAGATGGTGAAATCATCGAATTAAATAGTTCAACGGTACTTGAGCCGCTTGCATGAATGAAAAGAAACAAACACCTAAAGTGCTTCCCATTTTGATGATTAGATTTTGGTTAACATTTAGCAGAACCCTAATGTCAAATACCTACCACTACCAGCATTTGGGGAGGAATACAAAACTTATTTTAAAGTAGTGAAGGATGGCTATTCAAATGTCATCAATGTAACATACACTTGTAGTGTTTTGTGGCTTTTTTGATTGACCGATATTCGAACTTGTGACTAACTTTCATGAGTTGTTGAATGAATCTGAAAAGGTGGTTAACTTGCCATTTTCGTAGATGATAATAGCGAGATTGGACTGGGACGGGGAAGAATGGGAGGATGTATTAATTGGTAGCTAGCTACTCTAGGCTTTCAATGTCAATCTCTTCCCGTTTGTTGTTGTTTAATTTGATGTACTCAACTTTTCTTTATTTTCTTTTTGAACTAATTCACTATTTATGCTTCATCAACAACTTCAAAACTTCAATTTGTTGGTATCATTATCTTAGTCCCTGTTGTCGAGTGATAAGAGATAAATGGCCGTTTTCAAGGCAAGTAATGAGGGCAGGATTGTAGTTGCATGGTATTGATGAATGTAACTAGTGATTTTAGCTAAACTTAGGAGGCCTAATATTGTATGCACCAAGTCTAAACCTAGTTAGTGGTAAGAGGATTTGAAAAGTATACATAATTTTTAGAAGTTAATGTTAGCAATCCTTGTCTTTCCCCTCTATGGGCGGTGGTTAATTGTAAGAAGATATTGTCTCATATCGGACGCACAAATCAAAATCTCTTAGTGTGTGTTTCAGTATCTGTATTAAGCACCCGGTGTTCAAAGGTTTCAGGCCGAGTTGGTCCCTTTTGGACATTGGAGCATTTTTAACATGTAATGAGAGAAAGGTTGAACATTCCACACGACTTGTTTCTGTTTTGACCTGGTTTAGCTACTTTGTCTTACTGTATTTCTGTGGTTTTGTTTTGAATGAGAATGAAAGAAGTATTATATATCCTCCATAAAGTTGAAGTTACAATATGTTAAGATCGATTTCACTGCATTAATGTTGTTGTTGTTCAAAATCTCCGCATTCATCCGATTTGTAAGCGGCTGTAAAATCTGCACAAAGCTGCAGCATCTCTAAAGGAAATTCTAATAACGAAAGCCTTTTTTGTATTGTCCAAAAGCAGTAAGAAAAGGAAGTAATGTATACATGAATGTCAGGTCCATATACTTTTCCGTTTGTTATGTTGCCGGTTTCTTTACCAGAAAAGGAACGTGTGTGTCTGTGTGTGTAGAAATTAAAACTGACCTGTAGTTGTCAAATCCCTCCCAAGGGTCCTTCCTTTCTCCCAAATGTTGGTCTTGAAAAAGGCTAAAAAAGGTTATGAATCTGAACAGAAATAGAGCTTCTTAGTCACCATTTGTGCTTCTTCTTTTTTTCTTTTTTTTTTTTCCCCGTTTTTGGACATTCATGGTGTAAAATGGAGTAAAAGCAAAAAAAAGATGCTAACTAACAACAACAATAACAAGAACCATCACTAGCATGCAGGATCAAGCCGGAAATCAGATCTGAAGTACGTAGTAAAAGTATCAAAAGAATTCACAAGAAATTTAACTTGGGGATGGAGTAGGCCAAGCTTATAACTTCTCTGTCATACAGTGATATACATATATATACACAGATTGGCACAGTTCATAAATGAGACAACGCAATAAAGCTTCCTTGTTCATTGAATGGACCGTATATAACATGTAAAATTTGAAGTCAAACAAGGATCGGAGCAGTCACTGTTGGATCACGAAAGTTCAGCCAACATAACCTCTAGCCAATTATACACTTTGTCGAGAACACAGTCCTCCAGACTGTGATTGATCAATCCTCCCACAGAAAGACAATTTAATTACGCATTCATGATGTAAATATCAACCCATCAACAAACTAATACCCCCTTTTCCCCTATAATGTCTGAAACCAAAGAATAGGACTTTTCCATATCTTGTAAAACCCCCCTGAGATTGGGATACGAAGAGGTGGAAAAATGACAAGTCCATCTCTCGCAGAAAGAAAGTAGTATTCCATCCGATTTGTAGTTTGTACAACAATAACAACAACATGCCTTTTTTTGTAGTTTGCACTAAAAGTCAAATTCGAACTGAACAATAATCTTGAGACATAGAAAATATATGATAAATCCTCTTTACATATTGGCTGAAAGAGGAAGAAAATAAGAGTGCGGTTTGAAAAGTTTGAACATAATTATAGCATAATTAGCTAATATTTTCTCTGTTTCAAAATAATTGTCCAGTTTATTCAAAAAACGAAGGGAGTAAAAGGGAAAAAAAAAATGTTTCATTAGAGATTGAGCTATCATTGTCGAAGTGGTTAAGTAGTACTAGTGCGTACGTTATTACTTATAAGTCCTATGACCTAACAATTCCTCTAGTAGATACCAGATCAAATCAGAGAAGTACATGTTACTATCTTTTTTTTAGACAAATGCTACTAATTTAATTAGTTGTACAGTACTTGTATTTTCAGACTTTCTGTCCTTAGATTGGGATGGTGCATGATAATTATTGCTCTCTCCTTCTTTAGAATGGCTGACTTTTTTCTTGGTCTAGCTAGCTTTCTTATAAGTTATAACAGATCATGTATGTATTATTGATATTAGGTAGCCAAAATATGTTATCCAAAATCCATAATTAGAGTTTTTCTTTGCTATCCCATTGCATTAATTGCCAAAAAAATATGATTAATTTATACGTTCCTGTTAATGATCTTCCAATATAGAGCCCCTATTCCCCTGAAGATCAACGGTAGTCCATATAGTCATGTTACATTATTATGACAGTTCTCCAATTCTACTTCTTGAGCAAAAGAAAAAACCCTGTACATTTCTACTATTCTTACATAACAGAGTTACTTTCTTGCGCTAAAACGGCAATAGTAGTCGGGAATTTACCGGCATACAATATCTACTTTCTCAGCTACACAACCTACTCAAACTACTGCAATAAGAAAACCCACATTTCGGCACTATACGTACCAGGCTACTTCTTCTTTTGCTTTAATTAATTATACTTTCTATGTACTCCCTCTGTCTCAAAATTATTGTCCAGTTTGAGATTTCAATTTTAGTACAATTTGAACTAGAAAAGAAAATCCAAACTGGACATAATTATTATGGGACGGAGGGAGTATTTAGTAAAGAATAAAAAAAGGGGAATATTGCAAAATCTCTCGTTCTGTTTCTTACCCCCTGGCCTGTGTGACTACTGATTGGCAATCATGATCTTGATATGAATACGTACCTACAATTACATGCATGGCGCTCTTCGAAATTGAAAAGTAATATATCAATGTATTTTATACTCGTTTTAATTTGCCTCAGATAAATCATTCATTTTGTTATAACAATAAACTAATTTGTTTTTTGGAACCACGGAGTAATGCTCACCACTATAGGTCATGAATTTGGCTTGAAGTTGATTTAATGGGATCTTGAATTGTTTTCAATTGCGATTCATATCTTTTTTTTTCTTTCCCCAAAACTGGCCGACAAAGAATTGAGATTCATAAATTCACTTTAGCTTCATCTTTCAACCCTACAAATAAATAGCAGGAGAGTGAAAAATACAACATTAGCTTCATGTCGTGTAAAATGAAACATCTTCAAGCTACAACCAAATTGAACTTTAATTAGATGGGACATTGATTTTAAGGAGGGGTCAAACGGGCAAAAAAAAAGGACTAGAGTTGATTTATGGTCTTCCCGGGATTAAATGTGATCCTAAAGAACAAGTCAAAAACGCCTAAGAAAGCACCAAAAAAGAAAAAAGAAAAAAAAAAAAACTGATTATTGCAACATTATGAACAACTACTTATTAGTTATGATGAAAATGAAAGTCGTATATTGTAGTAATATTTTCAGGGTTTTGTGCAACAAATGTAAGACATTACTCTGCTTTCTTTGGTACCTTGGGCTTCTAGAGTAAATATCAAATCAAATCTTTAATGTAAGAGCTTGAAATTACTTTTGGGAAGAATTAAGAAAATAGCTAGATTAGTTGAGATGTTTCTTTCAGCTGGAAAAGAAGAATATAATAAATTCCACCGCAACTAGTAGTAGTAGTGTACTCTTCTGTCTGTCTTCCGTAGCAATTCCTTAAATTTGTATTGACCACACTGTCCACACAAGAAAATAAGATATAGCGTTAGCTATTATTAACTTGGACCTATTGTCTAAATTTCGTTTAGAAAGTTAGCATAGTTGTACTAGCACTTATGAACCAATCGCGGAGATAGAAATGTTAAACTGTAAGTGAAAATATATACTTCTTTCGTCCTGAAATTATTGTCCAATTGGAATTTTATTTTCAGTACAAATTAAACTAAAAGTGAAAATCTAAGCTGAACAACAATTTTGAGACAGAAGAAGTAATATTTTTCATTTAGCAGCAGCAAAATTATATATACTATATATGTATATATATAAAATCTTAACTTGAAATTGAAAAATTAAATCCTCTAGTGACAAGAAATTGGAGCCCTATAGATCTTTTTGTCTTCACCACTAAATTGTACTACTCCCGTCCAGAAAAAAAAAATTCATATTGAGTTTTGATATGGACTATTTTTCTGAGACAGAGATAATATTATACCGCATATTGCACTCGAATTGAAAATTTGTAATGGTAACTTGAATATTTGCACTATTTGCCCTCTTTTTTAAATTTTTTATTTTTTACAAAAAGAAGCAAAAGTCTAAATTATAAAATTACAATATTTTGTAGATAGAAAACACATGGTATCTTTTAATTTTTTCTTCTTTTCGGGGTAGTATTTTAATCTAGTTTTTACATGTAAAGATAGTATCGGGTTTACAATGGGCTGTGTGTTTATGGCCCAAAGGTCCAACCGAATGATGTTGCAGTAAATTATACTTGGGCTAGATTGGCCTATTTTGGGATGGACGGGTTTCTTGATGGACAAGAACGCAAACTGGTCAACAGTCAATCGAGCATATAAATTTGCGGACTCTAAGAGGAATTTTTCCCCAAACTCGTTCCTTTGGTTCCTTCTCCGGGAAGTCCTACTGTCGACGCTGCCATCGCCGATCCACCCTAGGTACGGCATTCATACTAAATTTTTGTCTCTTATTAGTAACCACTTGTAATACACACAGCAGGTTCTTGACGTAATGCTTTGTTTGAAGTTCTGCCCTTTGCTTAACTGATTTTGCTTTTGGGTTGCTTTTGATCTTTGCTAATTCGCTGCGTCGTAGAGTTTTTGAGATTTCAATTGTTTAAATGACCTTAAATTAAGTGTGAATTCAACCAAGAGGGTTATGCTAGTTTATTCCAATTATGTTATCTAGGACTCCCGATCCTTTGCCCTGAAACCTAATTCCGTAATCAAGCCCTAAATATCTAATTGACCATCGCAAGCGTTTCAGTGCGAGCTGGAATCGATATTCCTGAATTTTAGGTGGGTAATCATTGGTTCTTTAGTTTTTGAATGGAGATTTAAGCTGGTTTATGAAATAATTGACCTTTTTATGGTTCCCTGTCAGGCAAATCTTGATAGTTGAATAAGGCGGATACTTTAGTGAAAAAAACAATGGAGCAGGTGAAAGATGTTAGGCAGGAAATTGGAGAGCTCAAACACGATACCTTCCGATTTGGTCTGCAAAGCGTTCGTGGGGAGATTCTTGAAACTCATCCTGTTGAAACTGCTTTCCATTCGGTACCACTCTTTCTCTCTCTGTACATGTGGATTATTGGATTCAGTACCAATAAATTTTATTCGCAGAATTCATGTTTACTTTTCTTGTTCACTACTTCAGGTTAAATTGAAGCAGCAGCAATATAGAAAGAAGATGTTGAGCAGTCTTTATGGAACTGCGATGCCCTTGAAGATGGAGTGGGACCAGAAAGTCCTCTCAAGGTTGGTACTTTTTGGTCCATCTAACATATACTCTTCCTGGTTTTGCTGTTGATTTGGGGTGTTTCTGATTTCTTTGTTATTCTAGTTTGGTCCCGTTCTTCCTGAATTCTTCTTTTTTCCAGTCTATGCTTTAGTTATTATTTCAAATTGGATTAGGGCATTGGTTTTCTGTTCTCTTTTCCGCCTTTTCTCTTGGAATGCTTGCAAGTGTATCTTTGTGGATGAATGGTGAAATAATAATGGTTTGTATTTTTATAATACAGTCAGGATTGAGATTCCTTTAGCTGTTCCTTTGGATGTTGATGTTTCAGGCTCTTCAAGTCACAGTTTTATCTATGTTTTTCAATGTTCCATTTGTTTGTGTTGATAAAATCAATTTTGGTTGATTCTTTTTGCAAGCTTCACACTTCATAGTAGAAGTCACTTTACTAATTTTAGACCCAGTTGCATCAATGTTAGTTTGATGTCAGTTTACCATGTGCTGCTTCACACTTTCACGTTCTTTTTCCTAAGTTATCACCACTGTTTTTATGGACTTGGGATAATTTCCAGCTAGCTCATGTTTATATGCTTGTTGTGCTGGAGTAGAGGAGCGGACTATGAACCGTTGTGATAATATTTTTTTAAGTACAATTTTCATTCATTAATCTCAGAGAGTTTTGGATACGGCTGAAATCCCTTATCACTATAAGTCTTTAGTATGTCATTTACTTTGGATTTGAATGGATGTAAGAGATATTATATGATGTCTGCTATTGCATGCTATATATTTGTTTCTTAGGGGCAAGTTCTTAGACAATATATGGTAACTAAACGGAACTTCAATGTCATGTTGTTGACTTTATGGTGCTTCACGTGATTCTCAATTTTATATGCTTGATTTATTAAAAACTAATAACTAATAAAGTAAGGTAAAGCCAGTGTGAAGCATTCTTGTCCTTTGGCGGATTAGAATTTCATAAGATTGCCTGCTAAGCAATTTTCCCCCCTCTTTTCAGGAGATTCCAGAGACCACCTGGACCAATACCATCATCTTTTCTGGGGTATGAAGCTGTTACTGGCGCTTTGGATGATATTGGTGTTGAGGATTACCTGAATGGTATGAACGCAATTATAATAACTCATATAGCAATGTGTAGAGTTTCTGATCCACTATTTCCTGGACAATTCTTCAACTTGTTTTAGCCGAGAATTCACAGTTTTTCCTATCTTCATTGCAGATCCTGCTGATTCTGAAAATTTCCGTCCTGCTGACATGCACCATGGAATGGAAGTTCGTCTAGGACTATCCAAGGGACCAGTGGCTGGCAGTTTCATTTGAATTTAATTTGTAATCAAATTGTTGGAAGTAGTTGCTTTGATTTGTGTTGAGTCTTCTCTGTTTCATCTGAAGACGCTAAAACTATAAGACTTGCTATTGGAATTGATGTTCGCCAGTCTCCACCTCTTTCTCAGAAGTAACAATGTTTGATTCCAGTGTGTATGAACCTCAAATCTAAAGTATAGAAACGTCGAAAATTTGTTTCGGGTTAGAAAACTGTCAAAGCAACTAAGCAAAGGTAGCATGCATCAGTAGGCAGAGATAAGACCATTTCTGACCATTGCTTCAATAGTTTATCGTTTATATGATCCCTGCAAAATGACCAACAATGGACATGTAGTACTACCACAGTAAATTATCTAGTTACGTGGATGTATTGCTTACTTTTATTATCACATTTAATGATTTAATTAGGTGGTAAACTTTATTTTACTGGAAATATAACACTAAGATGTTAATTAAAAGATTGCAAATAACACACAAAGTTGTTTAGCAAAGTAGAGACTAGTAAGGAGTAAATTAAAGATGGAAAGGGGAAAAGGATGTGAAAAATCCATTATATTAACTTTGCCAAATTTACAGAAGATTTCATTGCTGTCGCTTCTGGTCAAACTAAACTCTAAAAATAAAGAGTTTGTTTGGCCAACTCAATGGAAAAGGAAATATCATCCAAACAATGATCTGATTTACATTTTAAATTTTAACTTGAAATATTTTTTGTTAGTGTAATGACCATTTTAGAACTAAAAATAGTTCAGTGACATATTTGGTAAAGATTTCGTAGTCAAGTGATTGTTTTTTGAAGTGTTCTTTTTTAAAGCAACTAAAAATGACGTATTTTATTATTTAGTGATGATTCGAACTTGATATTTTCAAAATGTAGTTCAAAATATTTTTTTCAAAACCAACATCCAAACAATTTTTTGCGCAAAATGACGTCCAAACAACATTTTCATTTCCCATTTAGTTTTCAGCTTGAAACACTTTCCACTTTTAAGTGGTAAAATGAAATATAAGCTGACGTCCAAACAAGAAAAAAACTTTCCATGAAAAATACTGCAAATTAATTTCTGGAGATAACTATATATTTATTTTTATACTGCCACGAAAAGCAACTGAACTATTAAAAAAAAAAGGAAAAAAAAGAAAAAAAAAAAGATGACAGAAAATAAGATTCCAAGTTGGCAGATTAATCACTAATGATTACTCATTAGACTTGGACCCATTTGGCCAAATATCCATTATCCCTTTTCCTGCGTTAAAACTTTTTTTTTAGTACAGTGGCTGTTTTACTGTTTACCCACTGGATTTTGAGTAATTCAATCAGTGAATGGCTTCAGCTTCTCTCTCCTGAGAAATGTGCCCTTTTTCCCCTGAAAAATCACACTTCCTCCTTCTTCCTTCTTTCTCCTCCTCCTCCCACGACCTAAACCCTAGATTCACACAGAAGCTCGCCTCATGGGCTACACCTTCATCTTTCTCTAAAGGGATATAAAACCCTTCATACTCCACAAAAAAAAAAAAAAAAACCTCAGAACCAGTTAACCCGTCCTTCCCCCGGAAATGGATGCACGGCGAGTTCCACGAACGGTGAGTGATCCTAAGGTGAGGCAAGTCGGGTTTTTCACTCCCGGGGCCCCACCTGACAGGTCCCAGTCTGGCCCACCACATCTGGTCTCTTCTTCTCCTCCGGTGTCTGAAATCTCGCCCTCCGGCAACTCTCTCTCGCCGGTAATGATACCCCCGCCGCGTCATCTTTCTTCCGACCTCTCCCGTGTGACTCACATACCTCTTGCCCCGCTCTCACCTCTCCGCGGCCGAGATTCTATTCCCGTTGGGAGCTACAACCCGTCCGAGTTCTCTTCTCCTACTGCCACTGAGTTTTCTGAAGATGCTCACTCACCTAAATGGGCGGTTCGCCGGAGCAATTCCGGGAAATTCGCTTCTTCGCTTCCTGCGGGTGGATTTGACATGTCAACTGTGAAGCAGAATAACTTCCCAGCTAGTAGTTTGACGACAGTTTCGATCGTCAATATGCCTCCCGGCATAACAGGTTGGTATTGGTATTTGTTTTGTTTCTTTGTGGGTTTCTTTCCCTTGTAGAAATTGATGAAGTACTTTTTTTTGTTCATTTTCACGAAATGATTGATATCTATGTTCTTAATACGAATCCTCATTAAACGAATATGGATTTGAATATAGAAAAAAATGGTGGAGCTGGTGTTGAAGTGCAGAAGGACAAGGCAGGTTCGAAACCACTGAAAGAGAAGACTACTAAAGCAGAGCGGCGGGCACTTCAAGAAGCTCAGAGAGCCGTCAAGGCTGCTGCTAAAGGTGAACATTCACTATATGTGCTTGCCTGAAGCTGGATTTTATATGAATTAGGTGTGACTTAGGTTAATAATTTGAACTTCGGTTATTGCTGGATTCATTGCATAAGAAAATCGAGTAATTTGTATGTGTTTGTAAACAAAATAATTTCTCTTTAGTACCTTAACGTTTGGTCCCTCTGTCCGAAAATGATTTGCTTTTAGCACAATTTTGTTCTACAAATAAAATTCCTAAGTGGACAATCATTTCGGAATGGAGGGAGTATATCGAATGTATAATAGTTGCCTTTTCTGCATGTAGTTTATAGTTTTACTAAGAGATATTTCCTCTTGTTGTAATGTTTATCCCAGGTGATGGTGGTAAGACACCTGCTGCTCCTTCTGGTGTAGCTTCTGCAAATGCAAATACTGGTAAGGCTGCTAAGGCCTCTTTACAAAGGAAAGATAGCTCCCCTGTTCCAGTGGCTGAAAAAAGATGCAATGATCGTCCCGTGGACAAAGACAGAAAGAAGGATGTTCCACATCCGCGGATGCAGTTTGATGATAAGAACCGAGTTGAGAAGGCAAAAAAGCGGTCTGTAGTTAAACAGACTGAAGCAAAGAACATAGTTGAGTTGTTCAGGCATTTACCTCAATATGAACATGGAACGCGATTAACTGAACTAGAGTCAAAGCTTTTTCAGCTCGATCCAGTTCACCCTGCTGTTTACAAGGTAAGAAATAAATCTTTCTTGTGTGCAATTCACATTGTTAAAGTTGGATGGTTGTTAAGTTGTGAAAATATTAGTAATCTAACATTTTTCATGCTGATAAATTGATACTAGGAAGATGATTCATTTCTCTTATCTTAGTTGGGAATGATTTTTGAAATGTCCTTTCCAAACTGTGTGAGGAGCTTTTCGATTTGTCTTAATTGTGGATATATTGCATATTATCAGGTTGGGTTTAAGGTATTTAGCTGGTGACGTATCTGGTTTTATCTTAGTTGGGAATGATTTTGAATTGTTTTTTCCAAATTGTGTGTGGAGCTCTTTGATTTTTCCTAATGTGGATACATTGCATATTATCAGGTTGGTTTAAGGTATTTAGCTGGTGACATATCTGGTGGCAATGCCCGCTGTATTGCAATGCTACAAGCATTTCGAGAGTCAATTCAGGACTATACTACCCCTCCCGAGAAAGTCCTTGTCAGGGACTTGACTGCAAAAATAAATTCTTATGTCTCTTTTCTTATCCAGTGCCGGCCCCTTTCAATTAGTATGGGCAATGCTATTAAGTTTCTTAAAACAAAAATAGCCAAGCTATCTTTGTCTTTGTCTGAATCCGAGGCGAAATCAACCCTATGCACAGATATTGATAAATTTATCAGTGAGAAGATTATACTAGCTGATAAGGTAATAGTCAAGCATGCTGTAACAAAGATTAGGGATGGCGATGTTCTTCTTACTTACGGATCATCTTCTGCTATTGAAATGTTGTTCTTGCATGCACATGAGCTAGGCAGAAAATTCCGTGTTGTGGTAGTTGATTCACGTCCGAAGCTTGAAGGAAAGCTATTACTGCGCCGGTTGGTAGGAAAGGGTATTAGCTGTACATACACTCACATAAATGCTGTTTCTTATATCATGCATGAAGCAACTAGAGTATTTCTGGGTGCTTCTTCAGTGTTGTCTAATGGAACGGTTTACTCAAGGGTTGGGACTGCTTGTGTTGCAATGGTTGCACATCAATTTCGAGTTCCTGTCCTTATATGTTGTGAAGCTTATAAATTTCATGAGCGGGTGCAACTCGATTCAATTTGCTCTAACGAGCTTGGTACGTATTTATGGATGTCAAGTGAACGTCATTTACAGACATTTTTAAATCTTCTGTACTGGTATCTCACAGTTGGCTGTACTTCTACATCTCAGGTGATCCAGATGCAATTGCTAAGGTGCCTGGTAGGAAGGAGATTAACGCCTTGGATGACTGTGCTAACAGTGACAACCTGCAACTTTTGAACCTTGTGTTAGTTTTCTTCTTTCTCGATGGTTCTTTATTTGGATTTCTTGGCTTGCACTAAATGCCCCTTGTTTCTTTGTTTTTAAAAGTTTGTTTTTGCTTCTATTGGAACAGTTATGACGCAACACCATCAGATTATGTTTCAATGATCATCACAGATTATGGCATGGTAAGTACTAATCTTGCTCTTTGGTAAGAAATGATTATTATCACTACTATAAATGCTGACATTGCCTATAGCTTTTGAGTTTATTTTGTATGTGCCAGAGCCACTGTTCTGGTGCAAACCCCTCCCTCCCTCCCTGTACCAAATCCCACTAGAAATGGGGGGAACAACCTGTCTAATTTTTCCCTTCTGGTCTACTGTATATCATATATGATGAGTTTCATTAATATGTTATCTTCAGATTCCTCCCACTAGTGTTCCTGTTATTGTTCGTGAATACCGCCAGGAGCATCTATGGACTTAGTTGAGCATAAGGAAAGCTACATGTGAAGTTGAAGTTTTGAGCGTAATTCTCTCAAAGTCGAGAGAATTACACATTTAGCTGTACCGGATTTAGTTTACACTTGATTCCCTTTATTGAATAATGAGTTTTGCATTACATGTATTTACATTTTGGGTTCTTTGTAATTTTTTTACCTGACTCTGTGAAGAGTGTGTATTATCCCGCCTCTCCGAGCAGTTTTTGGAATATATTGGTAATGGTAGAAAATTTTTGTCCAAGGACAAACGTGCATTGGTCCTGTTTTTGCCATGAGAAATCAACAATCTCTTTTGCTCCTCAAATTTTTTGTTTAGTTCTCATATCAAACTTATGAATTGTCTGCACTCCTGGGCTACAATTGCACCTTTGTTTACTTGTTCTTTTGTCGCTTCAGCGTGGAATTTCATATTGATTCAGTTATATTAGCATCTCTTCAACGGCTGTAAATATTTTGCAAGTCCTCAGGCTATTACACGATGGAATCCCATGATTCTTAGCAAGAGAAATTGATAATACTGACAATATGCAAGTTTCACAATTTTCACTGTAATGTAGAAGTAATGATGAAAGGACAGGTGCCGGAAAATAGGTTTAGCAAGCATGTGGAGACTTGAGAAAGAACACATGAAGCAGTGTACAGACAATAACAGATTGTATAAAACTTTAGGAATATCAATAATTCTGGGACCAAACAGCTATTGTTATTTTCTTTTCACATTTTCTCTCCATGTACAAGTCACCCTCCGGAATTTTAAGGCTAGGAAACACAAATAACCTTATTCCATATTGCTTGTTCATTCGACTGTGTCTTTTGGAAGATCACCTCTGCCATTAGCAGGGGCGACGATTGCAAGAATAACAAAACCACCCAAAGCAACAATCAAGATGCCCAGGGAGTTCACCAGCAAAGCCTCTTTCGAGTAGCGTGATATAATCTGGTGGGTTTGGAGAAATGTAAGTTTCTCTAGAATGCCAGTGGCGCATGTAGCAACAGCAAGCGCGTAGATATAAACACCAAAGAACACGTGCCATGGCAGCAGACTAGCTCGGCTGTTCCTTGAACCACCTGGATACCAGAAAGTTATGAATCCAGCAGCCCACTGTCAAAGAAACATAAAAAAGTTAGGTAACATACAGTCAATTGTGCTTATTCGTCAACCAGAAAGAAAATCCCAAATTGGTAAGACATGGAGTGGTAAGGATTACAGCACCTGAACGCCAAATAAGAAAAGGCATGCAAGACCCAACCATGAGTGAAGACTGTAGAAGTGATCAATTCCTCTGTCACTGTGAAACTTCCATGCAGCCCAGAGACCAATTACGCTAAAACAGAAGGCTAAGAACTGCAGAAAGAGATGAACCAACTTCTTAAAGCTCTTTGTTCCAGAGACTGTCTTGTACGCCAGCATACCTACAATGTTGAAAAAGTGATTAAAATTATAACTGCCAACATCGTAATACAGACATCGAATAGCCCATACATGTATTCCAGACCAGCATGACCAAAAACAGGCATGACTTTCTTGTTTGGGAACTTCCAAGTGTTGTAAAAAAAGACCACAAAACGAAAGATCCACTAGGGACACAGAAAACATAGCATGAGTTGTAAGTGTACGTATGGATCATATCCCATCTGTAGATGATACTTATGAAACTTCCCAACATCATAATTACTTTAAAATGGCTGAATTAGGCAGTCACTCATCCAAAAGATGTTCGATAAAGCAAAACTAGGGGATGGAGGATTATGCTTTGTTCTGAAAATGAGAAAGGGAAGAGGCCAAGAGGTATATTCACCAGATAATTTATCCATTCAGACAATGCATTTCCATCTCAGCAACCTTACCAATCAAAAGATCACTGAAGATAGTTAACGACTAATAACTACGATTTGAAGTGCTCAACTCCTGAAATTGTCTTGAATGAGATATTGCACATAATAATGACTACGGAACATTAAGAGCAAAATGCGAGCCTATTTGACCCATATTTATTGTTTGGGGCATTATCGTTTAAGCTGACATGAACATGCAACTTAATATTGGAGTTTCTTTTCCGCTTCTTGGAAGTTGTCAAGTATGATATCCAATGGATTCACTTGGAAAAGTGGCGAAGCAATTCATCTATACTAGTATATCCTATTAATAACAGTCCACATCGAAGCACAAAACAAGTAGAATGACTATACTTCAACATGGTGGAATCTAACAAAAGTACCATCATACCAAAGTACAAAGCAAGTTCAGCTAAAACAAGGGGATGTATAACAAAATTGAAACAAATTCAAACCAGCACAAACTGTAAAATGTTACTGTTCCTAAGAGAAACCACACCTTCACCATTTAGCAGTAAAAGGCCTATGACCATCAAAACCGGGTGAACCTGAAGAAGATAAGACCAGAAGGAAGCCAAAAACAAATAACAGAATAAGACCAATTGCATAATATAGAAACTGCAAAAAGAAGCTGAAGGTCAAAGCTGCCCCCCACCGAACAAATCAGTAAGAAAATACAGGGGATTTGAGTGAATTAAGGATAAACTCAGTTAAGGAAAAGGAAATGAAAGTAGCTATAGAATTACATTGAAGATAAGACTTTTGTCGTCGGAGACGAGGGCCAATCCTCCTCTGTAGTGAACATTCCAGGTCAACACCAAGGCTGCCACGGCGAATCCAAGTATTCTGATCACCAGGTAGATGGGAAACCTCACCACCGGAACCGCCATTCCCACCCAAACCCGAAAAAATGATGATAAATCTGATTCCTCTTCGATTGCTGCAACAGATTGGTTTCACACTTTCAAAGTTTCAGATCAATGGAGAAATCGTACAGTTTCTATTTTGATTGATTCAGATTTTTGTGGGTTGAAGAAGCCAATAATATTTTTATTAGTACCAGTGGATTATGAAAATTGTTGTTAAATGCAGTTTGGCACTCTTTAATTCCGTTGACTTTTCTTTGTCTGGGGATGCGTGCAGACAAAGTGTAACTACAAGGTCCATGCTGGTGATCAAGATCCAGTTTTACTATAACGTTAAAAGGCCCAAATGATCAATCTTATTAGTCCATTTCAATTTGATAGAATCTCCCGATGGGCCAAATGAGTCCATTTCAGTGTCTTCGTCTTTTGATATATTTTCCCCTTTTTCTTTTTGTTTTTTTGGAGTACCCACTATTCCACCATGGTTGGATTTTCAGAGAGGGGAATAACCCGATTAGATGGACGTCATACTTTTACATCTTCATCACCATTGCGATGTATTGGTGTGAGATTGATCTAAAATTCATTGATTTTATATATAAGATCGAAACACAGTAGAGTCACTACATTTAAAATGTTAGATTCACTATTCGTTCTTCTTCTGTTATATTTTTGTTACAACCGTTCGTTTTGTACCACATGGGCTGAGGGAATCTTGAACCTTGATTGTGGCTAAAGGGAGCTAATTAAAATGTGGATGGTGGAAGGGGCTAACCTTAACACACCCTTGTTTTTCTTTATTTATTTATTTTTTAATATTATAGTACTCTCTCCGTCCCATAATTATTATCCAGTTTCGGTTTTTATTTCTGGTTCAAATTGTACTAAAAGTGAAATCTCAAGTTGGACAATAATTTTGGGACGGAGGAAGTATTATTTTATTTCCACATTGTTGCAACTTGGGCAATTGGTATTTTCCCACTGAAGCAAAAAAGTGAGTGTGACAACCAAATTTAACTGTAAAAGTCAGTTATGATGTCTGCTGCCTGCACACGTTTGATGTGGTAATTCGGCTATGAATAATTCTTGTGTAATCAAACAAAACCAGATATGCAGTTACTTCAGCTCCAAGTCTACTTATCCCTCAAGATTAACCCAATGATAATGACACATTCATTTACAAATCCCTCGTTAAAAACGACACCAACTACTACATTCTTTGCAACCTTTATATCATCTTTCGACTGGACAAACAATGAATTCTGATGACGGAAAAGAGGAAACTCAAACAACAAGTTATGTAGTGAGACATTATGAATGCATGAAGGGATAGATGACTTTTTGGTCATAATTTTATTAATATTAATATTCCTTTTTTTTTTTGATAAAATATTATTGATTATTCTTTTTGCCAATACAGCCAAGCAAATGTAAAAGGCGCCTCAATTCCCAAAACTCACTTTCCCATCTCTCTCCCATAAGCAGCCAGCCAGCCTATAGACACCGTGGCATTTCCAGTTTAAGGATATTCCTTTATCCTCTCTATTTATTGTTTACCAAATAAACCCCTTGGATCATCCTCACTTCTCCCCATACTCCCACATTCCCATCCAAGAGTCTTTTCGTCATTTCCAAGAGACACTTTCAGTTCCCCCCCGTTCATAGCCAAAAACGACACAAGTCACAAAATCCCAAAACTACCACCCCATCACGATGCGGATGAAACGAATAAAGTCGGTGTGGCAAGAGGGGTATAAAGGGTAAAACACACAAGGGAATTGCTGTCGGGCCAGTGATCAACAGTACTAAAAACAAGAACTCTGGGTAGTAGTACAATAAATAAAGATTAAAAAAAATACATTTAAGTTTGAAAATAAAAAAGTTAAAATATATATATAATTAAAAAGAAAAGGAAAAGAAGGAAGGAACGTGAGAGACCCGCGCACACAGCACACCACAAAAAGTGGGGTTCAGAAAAAAGCAGCCTTTGATGAAAGGGGATAAGTGTTAAATAACCCAAAAAAAAAATAAAAAAGAAAGACGTTATCGGATTTCACACCTTCCAATTCGCCGGAATTTGGGAACTCTGTTCACGTCCGGCTCTTTCTTTCCTCTCTTTCTTCACTCCCCTCCTCCAAAGTAATTTTCTTTATTTCTACTTAACCTAATTCTTCCAGTTTGTAGTAAATTTCCACATTCTCGAAGCTCTTTTCTTTTTCCAACTTACTGTGAGTCTTTTGAGTAGTTTACAGATTGGGGAATATTACGATGAAGGTTTCGTCTTTGTTGATATGAAACTGTTTGAATTCCGGGATCTGGTGAATTTGGAGAATTCAAGAACGTCAATTGGGTGAATCTTCAGTGATGTTTACCCCTCAGAAGAAGACTTGGTCTTGGTCGCTGACCCCTAGGAGGGATCAGAATCGCTCTGGTGCCACTGCTTCTGGCTCCAGCCCTCCTAATGGAGAGAGTTTAGGGAAAGAAAAAGATTCTTTATCTGAGAAAATTAGCCATCTTGAAACTGAGGTGAGTGATGGTGGGTGATTTCTTGGGGTACTTTGGGTGCATTTACCGACCATTATTGCTTTTCTCAGTTTTATATGTTTTCTAGAGGCATTGTCTGCTTAGAATTTAGTAGAATTTTTGTTTGCTTGCGCTTTGTTTTGTTTTGATTCAGAGTGACTTAATGATTGGTTGATGGAATTCTCATTTTCCCACTTTTCAACTGTTTTCATGGATTTCTTTTAAGCCAATTGGCTATGTAGATCAAGCTTCTGGTAATGGGACTATACCAGCTAACTTTCATGTTTTGGTTTTTCTTGTTTGCAGCTGTATGATTACCAGTACAACTTGGGACTTTTATTGATAGAGAAAAAAGAATGGACAGCCCAGCATGAAGAACTTAAGAACAGTTTGGCAGAGATAACTGAAGCTTATAAAAGAGAGCAGGCAGCCCATCTGATTGCTATATCTGAAGTAGAGAAGCGAGAAGAGAATTTGAGGACCGCATTGGGGACTGAAAAGCTGTGTGTACTTGATGTACGTTTTGGATTATCTTATTTAGACTCTATACTGCCCATTTTTTGATGACTTTTGCTGTTTTCTGAACATCATATTTCTAGGTTATTGTTAATGAGTGAATACACTTTTGGTTTGAAGACTCATTTGATGTTTATTTTTTGGTGTATTGCATGGAGAGTTAGTTGACATTAACTTATCATGAATGTATCGAATTGCATGTAGCTGGATTATAAGTGTGTGTCTGTTGGGATTGAAATTCTATCTATGGTTAGAGTTTATATGTATGTTTTTTTCCTGGACATTCTCATGGCGAGACATTGTAGAGATAAACCCTCTTCGGTGTGTTTGTTAAAATTATCGGGGTAATTTGCGTGTGATAATTTGATATCTCAAAAGCAGTTTTTGGTGTTGCAAGTTTCTATTTTAATATTTCAAAAGTGTGGAGTCTCAGTAGTTCTGTCATGTTTGTACCTTTGTGAACAGTGACTACCTATCTTCATGTTATGAATATATTTAGTAATAGATATCATTTATACTTTAGAGTTTATGAGATTCCTATTTTATAAGTCGGAGAGTTGTTGGTTATGAATGCAGCTAGAGAAAGCCCTACGTGATATGAGGTCAGAACATGCAGAGATCCAGTTCACAGCTGATTCAAAGTTAAATGAGGCAAAGTCTTTGGTTGCTAGCGTTGAACAAAAATCTTTGGAGGTGGAAGCAAAATTGCGTGCGGCAGATGCAAAGATTGCCGAGGTGAACAAGAAGACTTCAGAATTTGAAAGGAAATCACAGGAGTTGGTGGCCCAAGAAAATGCACTTCGACGGGAACGTTTATCATTCACTACAGAGTATTATTCCTCATGATAAATCTTTTCTTTTCAGTCTATTTTTTGTATTTCCTATGAATTTTTCCATCCACACATTATGTATTTCTTATTATAATTTTCCCCTTTCCAGATGTGGAATGCAGGAGGCAAATTTGGCTAAACAAAGGGAAGACCTGCGAGAGTGGGAACAGAAATTACATGAGTCAGAGGAGAGGCTTGCTGAAAGTCGAACGTTGCTTAACCAGAGAGAGCAGAGAGCTAATGAAAATGATAACTTGTGGAAGCAGAAACAGAAAGAACTTGAAGACGTGCGGAGGAAGGTTGATGAGGCAAACTCATCTTTGAAAGAAAAAGAAGAAGATATGGCGAAACGTCAAGCAGCCCTCTTTTTGTTAGAGAAGGCTCGTTTTCTTTATTTTCTTACTCCCGAATTTTGAAAGCTTTATTTTATTCTACATGCTCATCATCTTTATGTTGTTGCAGGAAGCTGAAGACATGAGAAAGAGTTTGGAAATGAAAGAGAAGCAGTTGATTGAACTCGAGGAAAAGCTGAATGTTAGAGAGAAAGTAAGTAATGATGTTTTGAACTTTGTGTTGCATTTCAGTGTGTAGTATTTGCATTGATTTCTGCATGTGGTTTTTAAGCACCAATTAACCGCGGATTTTGCCTCAGTTGCGAAGTGCTGACCCAAGGTTCTTTTTATACTTTTAATCATTCTTATATCGCTGCGTTCCTACTTGCATTTGTTGAATATATGTCAAATTGTGTTACTGATATTGATATCTGATTGTGCTTTTCATATTGTTATTATTATTATTTTTTGTGCTTTTCTTATTATGATTGTGCTTTATTTTTTGTGGAATATGTTCTGTTTTTTCCTCGCCTTTATGGCTTCAAGTCAATGTTCCCTTTTCTTTCTTTCTGTTTCGCAAGTTGGCTCTAAAATGCTGACAATAGTTTGATGTATAGCAACTCAAGCTTTTGAGTCTTCTTTTTGTTATGTGAAATATCAGGTGGAAATGGAGAAACTCTTGGATGAACACAAGGCAACCTTGGATGGTAAGGAAAAGGAGTTTGAGTTGGAGTTGGAACAGAAGAGAAGTTCAGCGGATCAGGAATTAAAAACTAAGGCAGGTGAAGTGGAGAAGAAGGAAGCTGAGCTTAATCACATGGAAGAGAAGATCAGAAAAAGAGAACAAGCACTGGAGAAGAAAATGGAGAAACTGAAAGACAAAGAGAGTGAATTTGATTTGAAGTCTAAAGCACTGAAGGAAAAGGAGAAGTCCTTGAAAAATGAGGAAAAGAACATGGGGAATGAGAGGAAGCAGATAGGTTCTGAAAAAGAGAGCCTGCTTTCTCTGAAGGTTGAGCTGGAGAAACTTAAATCTGATGTTGAAAATCAGCAACTTAAGATTCGGGAAGAGACAGAACTGCTTAAAGTTACTGAAGAAGAAAGGTCAGAACATGCTAGGTTGCAGTTGGAACTTAAACAGGAAATAGACAAGTCTAGAATCCAAAATGAACTGCTTTTGAAGGAGGGTGAGGATTTAAGGCAGGAAAGATTGAGGTTTGAAAAGGAATGGGAAGAACTAGATGAGAAAGGTGCAAAGATTAAGAAGGAACTTGCTGATATTGCCGAGGAGAAAAAGAACATTGAGAAATTTAAGTGGTCCGAGGAAGAAAGGTTGAAGAAAGAGAAGCTGGAGACAGAGAGTTATGTTAAAAGGGAGCTGGAAGCTCTTGAACTGGCCAGAGAATCATTTGCTGCTAATATGAAGCATGACAGGACTATGCTGGATGAAGAAATTCAAAGTAAGAAAAGCCAATTGCTCAATGAACTTGAAATCCAGAAGAGGGAACTTGAGACCGAAAGGGAGAAGCAGCGGGAAGAGATGGAGTCTCAACTCCGTGAAATGGAGAAATCTTTTGAGGAGAAAAAGGAGGAAGAACTTAAAAATATCAATTATCTTAGGGATGTGGCCCATAGAGAAATGGAAGAGATGAAGTTGCAAAGACATGTAATAGATAAAGAAAAAGAAGAAATTTCTGCTAATAAGGAGCAACTTGAGAAGCAGCATCTTGAAATGCGGAAGGACATTGATGATCTTGTTGGTCTGAGCAGGAAGTTGAAAGACCAGAGGGAACAATTCATCAAAGAAAGACAGCGATTTATTGCGTTTGTTGAAAATTTGAAGAGTTGTGGAAATTGCATGGAGTTAATTCGTGAGTTTGTGCTTACTGATCTTCAATCTTTAAATGAAATTGATAATGATGAGGCTCATTTGCTGCCCAGGGTTGTTGATAATCATCTGAAAGATGCTGTTCCAGGTACTTCTAAAAGGGTAAATGCAAACCAATCACCCATAGTAGGTGATATAGGCTCCCCAGGAACTGTATCGTGGCTCCGAAAATGTACAGCAAAGATACTTAGATTTTCTCCTGGCGGAACAACTGCACCAAATGCTACTCAAGGTCTTAATGGTGGGGACTTATCTGGAAAATTAGTTACTGTAGAGTCAAAGAAAGTACCTATTAGCAATGAAATTGAACCAGAAACTTTAGGGTTTGCTGAAGATTCTCTTGATGTTGAAAAAATTCAGTCTGAGAATAGTATGAGAAATTTGGATGGCGGCCCTGATCCATCAGTTGATGACCAAAGATCCCATCCTTCAAATACTAAGCGAGGCAAGCGCAAACCAGTCAGGAGAGGCAGATCTCGGGTTACGGGTGGGAAATTTGGGCAGGCAAATGTTGCAGATAAGACGGCTAATCATGTAGGATCATCTTCAGATAACAAGGGTCAATATGATAACGGTAATATTCAGGCGAGTGAAGGAATGCCGATGGAATCAGGACCGCCATCAAATGCTAGAAAGCGGAAGGGTGTGTTACAACCAACTATTAGTGGGAATAATGATGAATACAGTGAACATTCTGCTAGCGTCACAGGTGAAGGGCCCAGGAGAAGAAAACAGAAAGTCACGGAGCCGGTTCAAGATTTTGGTGAAAACCGGTACAATTTCCGAAGGCCTCGAAGGTGATTTACTGCTGTTCTCTTTGTTCTCTGCTGTAAACTAAGATTGAATGCCTTCTGTTTTGCTGGCCTAATGCACTGTTGTTCATTCATGAGCTTACATAAGGGAGTATCACATGTACCGACCTTTATTTTGAAAGAGTTGGGTGGTTTTACTTCAAATATGGAGTTCTTGTTATTTTATTTTTTTTTTGTGTTCCAATTTTACATTTTCATTTTTTTTATTGTTTATGTTATTTGGGCATTCTGTTGATAGGTTTTTATTCTTGTTTATAATGTAATATGATTCCAGGGGCGCGGCTGCTGCTGCTGCTGCTGCGACTAACGGAAGTTTGGCGAAGGAAACAGAGTTCAGTCAAAGAAGTCATGCAGAGCAAATATCTAGCACAAAGAATACCCCTTCCAATACTCTTGAAGTCGGTGGAGGTGCAAGAGAAGAGACTCGAGATTCTAATGCTGCTCCTGCTGCTTCTGAGGGTGCTAATGGAGATGCTGGTGCAGTAAAAAGCATTCAGGATCATGAGTTTTCGGCTGACAGCCCTATTCTGGTAAAATAGAGCCACTTTATTATAAAGCTGATAACAATCTGTTGTCAACTTCTCTCTTACAGAGCATGGAAAATAAATATTGAGGATGAAATCATAACATGACTCTTGTTGACTATTTAATGCTGGGTAGTTTTTTATAGATACTTCTGATTTAGATTGAGTGTGAATCTTTTTGCGTGCGACTGTTTGGGGGGCATAAATTTAACTGAGAATTTCTGCCTATGACAGTCGAAAGATGCAGCCCTTGCCCAGGAAGCTGTTAGCAACTCCGCAAACCTCGCCGAAGGTGATGTTGGTACTAGCGAGGAAGTTATTGGGACACCGGAGTGCGGAAAGAGGGAGAGCAATTTGGAGAATAGCGGTGAACCTATGGACGATGAAGAAGACGATGATGATGAGGACGATGAAGTTGAACACCCTGGTGAAGTCTCCATGGGAAAAAAGCTGTGGAATTTTCTTACGACGTGACATGTATTAATATGCTTGTATTCTTTGCATGTGATTTCATCATCAGGAATACCTCTACAGATCTTGGTTTAAGTAGTGTGCATTGCTTTAGAGTGTAGTTTGAATTGCATAATCTATCTTTAGGTGCAATTATTTGGTTTTTGGCCCTGTATTGTTATTATTAGAAGTATATGGGGCTTAGCTACTGATTGGCAAGTTGTAATGTCAGATTGAACCCTGATGTTGACTAGTAGTTTTCTAACAGTGAACTGGCTACTTCCAAATTGATTTCCATGATTATTTCGACTGTTGTGCTAATGTGTCTGTTTGATTCGTAATTGTTTATTCAGTTGAATTGTATTCTTTCACTTCGGGCACTAGTCATTCATTATACTAGACGCCATCTTGTTCTCCCAGTTCTATTACAAGATTCAACTATTCTTATTTTATCAGATAAGAAAATACATATCCCATTTACGCACATTTTGACCGGAAGGGCCATATCTTCAATCAGAAAGTTCAAAGCTAACTCTGTACTCTGTATGCGAACTATTTCCCTTGATCGGACAGGAAAGAGAACTAAAAAGGAATAATAAATGTGATAAAAAAAATTAAAAAAAAAAACTCAACATTTTTATGTTAGATCCAAGCAATTGGCCGGAAGCGAATCAGAGAGCTGAAAACTAATATCTAACACATTGAACTTATGGCCATGTGTGATGTTTCACCCTTGCATTCCCTAATCACATTATATACAAATTCAGTTGCTAGGTCCAGCAAATGATTATCGCAAGAGTGCGACTATTCCTGTACAGTATTGAACCGCCATTTTGATGCATTTGTTCCATTCTGTATGAGTTTGTCCTAAATCATCCTATTTACATCTAGCTACAAAACGTCGCCAGTCATAGCAGAATCTGCAGGACCTCTCTGAACACTCTTCAATGTGTCTTCTGGCATCCCTGGAGAACGAACAAAGCTTGTCAAAGAAATGAGGAAAAAACAAATAGAGCTAAAAAATGCAAAGAACGTACGCTGCTGCAATGATTAAGACTATACCTGCAACGTGGAACCTGGCAATTGGAATCCTTGCACCTAACTGCATGTATACATATCATTATCCATATTTTGCGGCAGTTTTCACATCTTCCAACAAGATTCTTTTTGCATTGACGCGAATGACGGAAAAACTTTTTGACCTTAGAACAGTCAGGATGCAAACAAGGGTTGCTTTGGTCTGGAAAACATTGAGAAGCGTGTTCCACAACATTTCGATATCGTACCTGAACCACAATAGTAAAATAATTAATCATATAATCACACACACTGATTGATTCTAAGGGAATACCAGTATGAACCATATCTAGAGTTTTCTGCAGTTAAATCTGACACGGAAGAAATGCAGAGTTTTCTTTTGGCAGTGAAAAAAGGAAAACAATTCGGCCACAAACCTAACCTACAAGATACGCACAGAGACTTTCCCTTTAGGCTAGTGGGAAGGAGGTTGAAAACGTAGCCTTCTGATCAGCTTACCCCATACATAAACTTATGACATAAGAGCTCATTATCAATACTTTCACTTGCTAATTCAGCTTAAATATTATATCTTCAAACTGTATAATTTAAGTTCCGGAATGTAAACTAAAAACTGGGAACAAAATGTTTAGAAGACCTTATTTTGATTACAGAAACAATTCCTGGATATCTTCTTACCTGATTCGCTGTCTCTGGTAGAGCCTCATATCTGAGTAGTCCGCAGTCAGCTTTAGGAATATTCACAACTGACTTGGGATTACAATCATCAGTCCTAACTTTGTAACAGCATTTATCACAAACATCTAACTCTGGACGAATCTCAGAATGCCAATGTGCCTGAACCATGATCTCTTTCTGGCAAATCCTGCAGGCCATCTTTCTAATTATCCACATCTGCTTCCTCAGGTCATACAAAATCATCATTGAAGAGTGCTTGGCACGGCGAAGGGTGTTGAACTGGTAGTTATTTCCCTGACAAAAGCCCAGGAAGGAATGTCTATTCTCAAATATATGATTTTTTAGAAGGCCATCTTCCTCAGCAGTGTCAGCTGGCAAGTCATTTATCACAACCTGGATAACCAGAGCGACAAACAAAACCCAGATTAGAAAGAAATGTTCTAAGAGAAGGATCAGTAGAAGTCAAAGCATAGGCAATCTCTTGCATCAATTGAGAGTGGGACCTTTGAGAGCAAATGTTCTTCCCCACCAATGGAAGTGTGCATACTGCTTTCTTTAAAATTTGGATCCTTTTCATGACACCTGTAACATACTCAAGAATTCAAACCTCTAGGGCAACCAAAAATAAAAAAGAAAGAAATTCCAAGAAAAACAAACATCAGTATAACGAACCATTCTACAGAATTCTTTTGTACATGATATAAACTCTCATCCATTAATAGTACAAGCATTTCGATCTATATACTAGCTTATCTGCTTGATTCACCAAATGCACTTGTGGCAACAACTTAAGAGTAACATCATCCGACGTATATATAAACTATCACTCACTAATTGTATAAGCAGATCAATCCATTTACTAGCACTTAACCTGCTTGATTGACTAATTGCACATCATAGAACAAAAGATTATTTCGATCTCATGACTGTCATCTTAAGACTCATTGATGAAGGATGTAAAAAACATGACAAGATCAATATGAAATAACAATCAGTAAATCCAGAAGATCAAATTCATAAACTGGTGATAGGATCTGACAAGAGAGTAAATAGAGGAGAAAGTTAAACAGGGCGCTCACCTAGAACAAAAAACAGAAGTTTTACATTGGTTACAAAACCAATGGAATCCAGAGAGTATCGGATTCTGGCAGTTCTTGCAAGTGAACAACAGTTGAACAACTAGAAAGTTTTCCCTCGTTGTTAACATGGCGTGGCTGATCTGAAAGTAAAGAGAGCCAAAAGGCCTTACAAAATCAGTACATCATCCAACCAAACCACTAATATGAGGCCAAGCATATAGACAATAAGCTAATGAAGCGTGTCTATCAAGCTAGATAGTTTGAGAACTCTATTTGAAGTAACAAACTTCTCTTGATATCACCAGAACAAGTGCTTTCCAAAGAAGGAGAAGCAAGGGGTTGGGACAGGTGTGCAGGCTACGAAAGGTCAAAATATTATCCCCAAATAAAATGATGAAGAAAATGGAGCTTTATATTAATATAATGATAGACAGTCAACCAGGCACTAAAAACCATTGGCTTTATTTTCACAAGGATCCACCCCTTACAAAAACTATCAGATCACCAACGATTTCATAAATTCTTCTTTTGTTTCAAAGGAAGCTATCAGATTGTGATACTTGAAATGAAGGGAAAGTACGACATACTCATGCCCATTGCAATCTCTAGATTGATTTTGTCCAAATAATAATATAAGTGCTTCTTGCAAGCATTGCTTACATAGCCTTTACCACCATGAAGGTAAATACTCAATGACCTTTGATCAAAATGTATCGAAAACCAGAATTTAACATTAAATTTGATTCTCTTGAGTATACCATTATATCATAGAACAGATCACCCTGACTCCCTCGTATAATAATTTGCATAAAATATTTGAGGTTTAGATTGTGCCTAACATGAAGCCTAAACATTGAGAAACCATTTAGGAGGTTAGTGTAGCTGCAGACACATTCATTAAGAATAAATTGGCAGAGCATGTGAATCTAACCACAGAAGTCAGTTATCAACAAATACACCAGTGCAAAAAGCAGCATTTGCAGGAATTCACCTTTTGCATATATAAACACATTTCATTTAGATTAAATGTAAGGGCATGTGAATCCAACCACACAATTCAGTTATCAGCAGGATCACAATTGCAAAAAGCATCATTTGCAGGAAGTCACCTTTTGCATCACAAGAATATCTTTAGTTGCATCAATGTTAAGATCCATATGTCCCATTGATTTCATAATTCGTTTCGTCACAGGTTTTTTCACCTTCCCCTCCGTTTCTCCACCATCTTCTTTCTGCATTTTTCTGATCATATCCTCGGCAGCATCTGACCAATAGTCTCCATCAAAGTATGGTAAACGAGCTGCTGTTATCTTGTTATTACACTCCTCATTTTGAATAAAGAAGGACTCGTAAAATGTTTTGTAGTCCACAACAACCTCATCTTTCATAGCTTTCTTTAGCATTGACTTGTACCTGAAAAGTTAAGACACCAGTCAAAGAATGCTAGAACTAGAGAAATGTCAGACACAAGAACAAAATGGATCGTGGTAGTCAATTTAGGGTAATTATGAAATATAGACAACTGAAATTAATATATATTGAAGCAGAGTGCTCTCACAACTAGGGGAGTCAGGGAGGTCTGCGTTCAAAATCTTACCCCCTCACCCCTCCCCCAACAAAAAGAGAGCTATTTGCCTGTAATTTCACTTCATACGATGAAACAATGGTAAATGGAAAAGAAAGCAGAACGAGAAAAATGTATACCACTGTCTCAATTTATCTTGCTTTGGTATTTTCTGGGAGTCGGGATGACAGTTAAAAATGTAATCTTCCTTTCTATAAGGAGGGCAAGCCCAAACGTAGCAGGCTACAAAACCCCTTTTCTTGCAGTACTCAAGATAACCAATCTGCAAAATCCAGCAATCATTCTGTAAGTTCCCAGTGAAAGTAGGTATACACACACACACACACACACACACACACACACACACACACATATATACATATAGAGAGAGAGAGGCAGTTACTGGGATAAAAGACAAAGTACCAAAATTTCGTGATATATGAAGGTGCGAAGAGCTTCGCCACTAACTGTATGTATTTCAGGCCTGAAGTACTTGATGGAATCGAGGTATGAAATATATACACTGCGCTGGTTCGGTTTATCACATTCTGATCCGTACTCCTGGACATACATACAAAATAGACAGACATCTATCCCTTCAATTTTCTGGAACAATAAAATGACCTGTACAAAAAGGAAAATGTCATGCATCCACGTCCTTAACTAGCAGAAAGAAAATGAAAAAACTTCGATTTAAAAAAGGATAGTACATCATTGTTTTAGCATAAACTCACATACTGTATACTCATAGAGAGAAAATCTTCAATTAAAATTTGACGAACTTCATGACCTCTATATCTCAATTACCAGGCAGAAAAAAAGGATCAAAAAAAATAAACCATCAATTTTCAACTGCAGGTAATCCTGCAAGTGCTATTAAGAATTCATTTTCTCACCTTTGACTTGTATGGAAACTCCTTCGGGTAATCTTGTTCAGGAATTATATTTAAAAATTCCGGATTCACTTTAAGAATTTTGCTGACAGATGAGACTACTCGAACAACGAGTTCTCCTACCCCAGGTACCTGGCCAAAGATCACACATCAGACAATAATATAACAGCTGTTGCTAACTTGAAAAACCTCGCCAAATTAATATTTCTTGGTCCTCTTCTTCCAATCACAACAGGTTCATGAAAAAAAACAAAAAAATGACAACAAAATTTTCACATCAAAGCCATTAATGCTTAAGAAATGTGCCCGTTCCATATGACCAATATTTCCTGAAAAGCACAACATTTACTCACAGACACATATCACGGGATTCAATGAAGCTTGTTCCTGTTTCTGTATATACAACTCCAGTAATCCAATATTCAGCACAATTATTCTTTAAATTCCCCACAGAGTTTGTTAGCACAAATCTTTTTTAGATTCCCCTATCACTTTCTTGAATGATCAAAAGCAGTATCGCACTACTAAAGAGCCTATCTGGGATGAAAACTGTTATACCGCATGGTAAATACCATTGACTGTATGTATAAACATTCATGAAATGGACATCCAGTAGCAGACAAGTTGGTAACAAAACAGATTATGTGCATTAATTTACACAACCTGTTTGCACAATCCCAGAATTATACATTCAACTTACCTCATTAATATCTTTGTTTGAAACCTTCGCCCTCTCTTCTCTTTCTCTTTTGAGCAGCCTAAAGAGCCTCTCTTCAATGTGATCACTAAGACCTGTACGAGGAAGATCTTTTGCCCCAAAAGTAGCAGATGAAGGTACATGTTTACCCAATTCAATCTCTTCTAAGCGGCAATATGGACAAGCATACTTAGCCTTTCCCTCAGGGTCTCTTTTAGCATTAAACAGCCCACAAATTTGATGCATCCAGTGCTCACACTTATCACATTGCACCCACTGTGGAAACAAATAGATTAAAATAAAAAAAGGTTAAGAAACCATCAACCGAATACACAAATCAAAAGGCTATTACAATTACTGCACTCACCGATTCTTCATTTTCCATATTATTCCGTTCCTTCCACATCTGTGCCTTAGAAAAAGAGTGCCCCTGAAACAAAATGCTAGATCCACGTGACAGCTTGAAGCATACAGGACAAAAGAAATGCCTTGAACCCATATCATCTTGCGCTGAGTAGTACACTGAATTTGGCTTCACAAGGTTACAACAACGTGAACAATACAAAGGTGGTGGTCCAAACAAAAGCTTCTCTGTAGAGCAGCACAACCGGCACAACCAATTTTCCTTCGGGGTTTCCTTTGTTCTTGTCCCACTAGGCTGTTGAGGGAAAAATGAAAAATGAAAAATGAAAAATAAAAAAATATCAATAAATTATGTCGTTTAATCACAGCAAACATGTCGACAGAAGATTTTCACCATATTGGTAACAGAAGAGTACAGATACACAGAGAATGCTCTCAACCAAGAGTGAACCAATACCCAAGAAAAGGGTAAAAAAAAAGAAGCAAAACAATGATTAGAGCAACATTGACTGCTATGTTACGACAAAGAGGAAGGATGATCTTAAAAAGGAAGATATTACACAAACCTGTCCTGATGATGATTTGAGACTGCTTATGTGTTCCTTTATTTGCTCTGAATTGAAAAAGTCAATATAAGAAACTGGCAACTTCCCCGAATCCTCTGACCCTGTTCTTAGTTGGTCACTTTTTTCACATTCTCTAGAATCCATTTCACCTTTGGATTCAAGTTGCGGAAGGTTGGAATTGCATTGCATGACCCCTGGTTCTTGAATGATTTTTGGCTGCTCTTGAGGCTTGGACAAACATTTTATCCCAAACTTTGGCTGTTCCTCACACTTGGATGCGTATTCTTCAACAACATTTTGCTGTTCTTGCACGGCTGTATTGTCAGAGGTGGAATGAAGGACATTCTCACTTCCATTGTCAAGTTCTTTGAAAAGACTGGGATTTTGGCATCCCAGTCTCTCAGTCTCGTCAGAAATGTAATTTATACCATCTGATGATTTAAGAATGTCTTCACATGGGAGGGACTGTTCTGTCGTCACTGCTTGATTTAAGACTTCCTGAAACTCTTCCTTTTTCTTGGATTCGATGTAGGTTTCTGGACAAAAAACTTGCTGAATCCTCACCACTTCCTTTTGAGAATCTTCATGCTGACTGTTATCGAGACTTCTGTCAAACCTGCATTGATCATCTGAACTACCAATGAGACTGTAATGTACAGAGTCCCCAGTCCTTAAACATTTTGGGGGAGGTGGAGAATCATCAACCATGGAAGTGGTAGAGCCATTATGCTGGTGTGTAGAATTTCCACTCTGCTTTCCGGAAGATGATTGTCTGCATCTGGGTGTAGACAGCTCGGCCTGTTCCTTTTGCCCATAGCATGGAGAACCCTCGTGCCCACTGTCATCTAGAGTTTTTTCAAATCTACATTGATCATCAGAGCTGGCAATGAGACTGAAATGTACATAGTCCCCAGTCCTTGCGCGCTTAGGAGGAGGTGGAAAATCATCAACCATGGAAGCGCTGGAGCCATTATGCTGGTCTATAGAATTTTCACTATGCTTCCCTGGAGACAATTCTCCACAGCGGGGTGTAGACAACTCATCTAATTCATAACGATTTAGCAAATCATGAAACTGAGGAATTTGATACTGATCTTCAAGCCTTGGTATCACTTTACCAGCAACCATGCTGGAAAGAGAGTTGCGCCTCTGAGGAATTCTCTTAGAAATTTGTTCCAAGCTGCACGTATTAGGAAGAAGCTGGCTTTGATCTCCATGTCTTGGCACTCCAGAAATCACACTAGAAAGAGAGTTCAACCTTCTCTCAGGAATTTTTCCCAAGATGAATGCATTTGAATGACAGAGGTCCATGTTATCTATAAATGGTTTCGGAAGACACCCATAAGAAGGAATCTGATCGATCTCCAGGATTTCTCTTCGATTAACCGAAACAAACTCTCCTGTCGATGAAATAAATAAATGACAGCTGTTATGTGAAAGTTAGAGGAGAAAGGGACAGTCTAACCAAGAAGGGTCATGAAAACATGAACAATAACTGTAGGCCACAATGAATGACAAAGAAGAAAGTGAAAAATACTACAAAAGGATTATATGAATCAAAACATCTCCTAGATCCCTCACAATTGCGAATTTATTCGTGATTCTCTTATTGCAACGTTTTTTTTTTTTCCTTCAGGTAGTAAATCAAGTTAATGCATTTCAGTATCAGAAATCATAAGAATCTGAACCAACAGCATGCATTTATTACTTAACTATGAGACTTAATTGCCTAACTTACTAGGGGTCACGGGTTGTCTTGGAGTGTAGGTTTCTGCTGATGATTGAGATAAATAGTCAAAGTCAGGGCTAGAAAAATTTGATCCACTGTCCAAATGTTCACTTTCAGAAAACAAGTCTGCTTCAGAGCATGCAGTGACAGAAGATATCTGCTCTGGGGACGTAATGAACTCCTTAGTCAACAAACTTGTTCTCATTGGAGAAAATGAGGTATTCCCATCAGATTTACTAAATCTAGAGCAAGTGTGATTATTATTCTCTCTGGGGAGAGCGCCTGCATCAGAATCAGGTGCCATGAAACCAGTTATAATTAAGCAACTAGGGTAGTAAAAAAAGAAAAAAAGAAAACAAAAGTTAGGAAACACTATGATTCCCAGAGCTAAAAAGTACCTTGAGGTAATTGATGTTGGTTAACATATTTGGTTGAAGGAGAATTAAGGCTGAATCCCATGAATCTCGACTGATTAAAACCATCATGTTGCAAGCTTGCATTGTAAAAATCGGTCGCTGAACCAAGCCAAGTCCCGTACTCCGCTTGTGCCAACTGAAATGTGTTAGGTACACTGTTAACCGGGTGAGAATCAAGCAGTTGATATGATACCATGTTCTGCCATTCAAAGTAACATCAACAGCTATTGAATGAACACCCTAAGCAAATTAAAAGTAGCAGGTTTAATTCAACAATGCAATAACATAAATTCCAAATCCCTTCCCAATCAACATAGTTTCTGGGCGTCATTGATCCATCATTAAGCAACAATTATTGTAACTCAATCGAAGTCATCACGTCAATTATACTTCCTGACCAGAATCTAATCAGATAACCAATAATAGAACAGAATATCCAAAAGCAGACAATCCGCAAGAAGCCGACAATTCCGGGATAAAATACAAATTTCCCGATCGAATAAGGAAAATTCTAGGGTTAATACCCCAAATTATAAAAGAACCCCAAAAAACTCGAAATCGTTAATGGAAACAATCAAAATTAGGGAACCAGAAACCTGAAAACAACAATTAATCGGGGTAATCGCGAGAAAAACATACCCGGACGTCGAACGCGGTGGGGTTGCATTCATGCATTACGTTCTGGAAGGAATCTCAAATTCGTATCGAAATCATCTCACATTATAAGGCAAAATAACCACAGCCGTACAGGTTTTTTGATGGCCTAGGTTTTTCTTTTTTTCCCGCACTGAAGCGCCCCCAATTCAAAGGGTATTAAAATAATTCGATTCTCAGACAAAAACCAACGAGCGCGCCAGAATATTTTCAGATACGGACAACAACCGATCGATGATGAGAGTTTACTGTTCCTAAAATGTTTTTTTTCCCCTTAGGTTTTTGCGCCATGGCCGATAAGGTTGGGCTTGCAGTCCGGTTTTCTCGGCCCGTGTTTTGGGTTGGACCCAAGTCAGATGCTGCTTACTCGTGGTCCAATACCAGCCCATCTTCTCTGGGTTGACCTGTCTAATGCCCATTTCTCTCAAAACTATAATTTATTAAGACCTTCAATTTTGTTTTACATTAGAAACAAAGATATAATATAAAACCAAAAAACATACTTACTAAATAAAAAAGATAGGTGCTTGAGGAATTTATCTGTTTGTTTAGTTTTTTGGATGATTTTTTCAAATTATTTTAATAATAAATGTCCCATCCAAGCATATTTTGTTACATTTTCAAAACAGATTTTTACATTCCCAATACAAAAAACACCTAAAAATACACCCTAAAAAAACGAAACAAACATATCTTAATTAGTAGTAGTAGTAGTAAGTATGATCAAATAATAATACCATAAATTGTACTTTGATAATCGTAATCTAATGTTTTGAACCAGTAAATTGAAGTATATTTAGTGATACCACTAGCGTTCACTTTGTAAGTTTGTGTAGTCATCAAATCGAATTCGTAATTTCATAATTCGGGTCATTAAACCAAACCGGTTATTAGTGTGTAGCTCTCTATTTCGTAAGTTTGTTCACGGCATCATGCTATTTCAATAACATTAAATCGAACCATTTAGTCACAACACTATATACATAATTTATATATATTATTATAAATACGTACTATGTAACAGATGGACCGAAGCCCGTGCGCGTGAATACGTTCGTTTGGCGGAAATCTTTCTTGTTGGACAAGAACGGGCACCTCAATATTATTTCGAAAAACAACACTACTTTAATACAGTAAGTCTTTTCTTTTTCTTTTTTTCTCACTGATCTGAAGAAAACCCCTTGGCTCCCCCGTTCCTGGATTCTGAGTTTTAGCGTCTCCAAGCTCTGCCATTAGGTATGTTTTACCAAATTATTGTCTCTCCCGAAGTCTTCCCCACCGTCAATTTACCCTTGTTGAAGGGATCCAATTCATCGCTGCTAAATTTTTTATAGATTATATGTGCTGCAGTAGACTTCTATTTTTGTATCAATTAAGAGTTTTTGAGAACATTAGTTTATTGGTATTAACCTTATTATTTTCAGTGTATCTTCTTTGTGCTAGTGAAGCAAAATTAGGTATCCTTGTTCATGAGTGAGAAATTAGTTTTGGAATTGATAAAAGTGTAGCCTCTGTTGTTGTTGTTGTTGCGATTGTAATAGTTTTGGATCGAGTAATTTCTTCTTCTTTTTTTTTTTTTTTTTCTTTTAGTTTATAGGATGCTTGTGAAATTTCATGAAAGATGTTAATTTTCCCCATTACTCCATTCTTGGTGCAGGGTTTTTTCAATTTTGATTTTATATACAATGGGTGATAGTCAGTACTCCTTTTCGCTTACTACTTTCAGGTATGGAATCACTTTCTTTACATAGGAAATACAGTGAGTAAAAAAGTTTTTGTACTTCTCTAGCCATCTTTGGCCCAGCTCAGCTAGACTCATGTTTCTCTCTGTTAATTTTCATTTTTTTAACAGCCCTTCAGGGAAGCTTGTTCAGATCGAACATGCACTGACTGCAGTTGGATCTGGTCAAACATCATTGGGAATTAAAGGTACTACTACTATTTTTCTATTCTTTTTAACTCGTCTAGGCAGGATTTAGAAATACCCTAACCTGCAATATCGTTTAATGGTGCTTTTTTGGCCTTCCACCCTTCTCTGTGAAAAGAATTGAAAGAATTCATTAGTTGATAGATTGGCGACACTGTCCTCCATTGATTAAGTATAAGAACTCACCTCGGGAATTCCTGAACACTTAAAGACTGCTACTTTATACATGCAATATGATATAATGACTCTGTGGTTAGTGATGGCAATTTAAACTTTGTGTGTACCTGTTAGTTGTATGCCTTCTCTAAAAAAAGATGGCATCTTTCCATTCTATTTTAAGTTTCGATGGAAAACACTGTTGTGCTTGCAGCTGCTAATGGTGTTGTGATTGCTACCGAGAAGAAATTACCATCCATCCTGGTTGATGAGACATCGGTGAGTGTTTCATGACGCCCCAAAGACGTCTTTTAGTTCTATCTTTGTCGGATATTTTCTCTTCTCTAGACTGTTTTTAGGCTGTAACTTAGGAAGAGTTCCCTTTTTTTTTCTTTTTTTTTTTTCCTGATTGTCTATTTTGTAGAAAATTTTATTTCTAAATATACTTAATCGCTGAACAGAATTTTGATTAAGTGCTTGTTTTGTTGCTTCAGATGAATAAAATTCAGAATTTGACATCAAATATCGGAGTTGTGTACAGGTATGCCATATGGTTGTTTCCTTATAGTGGTTGGATAATGTAACATTGCATACTATGTTGATATCTCTTAGGCGACTTTTACTTCTACCTCATATGTCTCGAGGAATCTTTAAGTGGATGATTTAAATTAAGCTATTGGTCCCTCATAATTGTGGGCCTATTATTCTTCACAATCTTGGGATGAAGCATATGCTCATTCAAAAGATTGCACGGCTTAAGGTTTCTCTATTCCTTTTTAGTTTAGGCTTGCCCATTTTTCTTATCCCAACAACCAAGACTCATTCGCCCTCTATATTTGCATTAAGCTTTGATTCATGTCCATGAGAGTGAACTTTATCTGGGTTCCTGGAGTTATAAGTTATATATCTTCAATATTTGCCAGTCTAACAACAAACTGAAATACCTACCTTCTGAAATGATCTCCCCATTCTATTTTGTTTTGAGTCTTCTCTACGTATTACATAATTTTACCTTGATTTTTGTTTGGTCGTAATCTTTTGTATTTGATGATGCTCCTGTTTTTCCTGCAGTGGCATGGGCCCTGATTTTCGAGTTCTTGTTCGGAAAAGTAGGAAGCAAGCAGAGCAGTATTATCGACTTTACAAAGTAAATAATCAGCTGTGAAGTTCTTACTCCTTTATCCCTTTGTCATTGTTTAATTGTTGTTGCAATGTTTAAATCTTGACTTTCTTAAGTTGTAGCTCATCGTAGCTAATCTCTTTTTCTTCTTTTCTCATTTCGGAGTAGTATCATTGAAAGTTTGTATTATTTGAACTGTTTCGTGACTATTTTGAGATTGAGCTTTACTCATGAAGGGAGATTGTTCAGCTAGCTCTCTCTGTCTGGCATTGGTATTATGATTTAGATGTGACTGATGAGGCATCAGCCATTCATCATCCTCACCACAAACATTCGCTTCGATTTTTCTCACGTGAATATTGGTTTATTTCCATAGTCTTAGGAGTTTGAATACTTTCTTTTTTTTTTTTTTGTGGCTCAATATCAAAGTATTTCAGTTATGCATAATTTTTCATGCTTAGTAGTTATTGTATCAAGACGTGAAGCATGTGGTGCTTAAAATAAGGTTTTCTCCTCAGCCGTGAAAGCAGATTCAGTAGCATGCTTATGTTCTTTAAATGTGTTGGACCATTTGTTGTGTTCCACATGGGATGTGTTGACATTTTGTACTTTATTCTTCTTTTGCTGTTTTGCGCACAGGAAGCAATACCTGTTACACAACTAGTCAGGGAGACGGCTGCAGTTATGCAGGAATTTACTCAATCAGGGTAATGATCATTCAATGCTGATGTCCTATGTGTTTAAAACTTCTTTATTTGTGATATGCTTTTTTTTTTTATGCATAATATTACAACCATATAACGGTTGCTTCTTGTTAGTGTTTATTAGATTTGTTCGTTAACTCATAAAGTTGCGTGGTGTTGAAATAGAAAACATGAACTTCAGGGAGCAGACAGCTTTTGATTATTGTGGGGAAGTGTATATATTTTGTAGTAATTAGGACTAGATGAGAGCATTACTGTATGTCTTACCAAAATAGGGGGTTGTGGAGGGAAGGAAATTAGAAAGAGGTTCAGAAACTTTCCCTAGCTCAACATTTCCATCGCAATTTTGTCATTTCCCTTGATGGAATTTGAACCAAATCTGGAATGGAGATGGTTCCACAGATTCTAATATGCTGAGCTAACTGGTCTCTCCTGTGTACAAACCACACCTAAATATTTATAGTCATACAATGATACAATACTTGTTATGTTGCTTTATCATAATTCCTTGTATTTCTTGCAGTGGAGTTAGGCCTTTTGGTGTTTCACTCTTAGTTGCTGGTTACGATGACAAGGGTCCACAACTCTATCAAGTAAGTCAGCCAGCTTTCTGCCAAATTATGATAGTTTTCTTGAGTCATTTTTTTATGGTTTAGGGTGAAAAATTATTCTAATAACTGGGACTAGGTCCAGGATCAGAATTTTGACAATGTACATTAGTTCCATTCGAGGCTTTTGTAATAGTGCCTCCCACACTAAAGTTGTGGCGTGAAAATCCAAGTGTGGCGTTCCATGCCTTTTCATGCTAAAATTCTCTTGAAATTCTGTTTTAAACTTTTAGTGTTGCAACATTTTAGGGTAGGAAGTTATGCATAGTCTTGACACGGCAGTTGTTTTTTGTGCTATAGGTGGATCCATCAGGTTCATACTTCTCCTGGAAAGCTTCAGCTATGGGAAAGAATGTTTCTAATGCGAAGACGTTTCTTGAAAAGAGGTGAGTCATTTCTGTTTCTTATAGCTGAACCCAAGTCCTCGCTGGCTCAGCTTCTGTTAACATTTCAGTATAGGATGTCCATAGTTTAGAACCTCTTGATTGCTTGAGCTTGTGTGATTGATCTATTGCGGCGAAGATCTTAAATTTGGGTATTTCTTGCAGGTATTCAGAGGATATGGAACTTGATGATGCTGTTCACACTGCCATTTTGACCCTCAAAGAAGGGTAAGCATCACTTTTGACCTCGGGTTATTTAGAATAGTTCTTTGCTATAACAGTGGGTTAATCACGTTTTTTTGAGTAGTTGCTCTTAGTTGATAAAATAAATTTGTTCGCCCTTTGTTCTATGACGAATCTTCTTTGTGCTGATTGCTCAGGTTTGAAGGGCAAATTTCTGGGAAAAACATTGAGATCGGTATTATTGGGAGTGACAGGATATTTAGGTAATTGTTTTATTAAGTGCTCACGAGGAACTCTGAATTCCAGGGTAAGTTTTTATTGATGTTGATGTTAATGTTAATGTTAATGTTAATGTGGATTTGCCTCTTTCTTGCAGAGTTCTGGATGCAGCTGCGGTTGAAGATTACCTGCGGGAAGTGGAGTAGTTTCTCATCTGGTGGAAGCATAAACAGTTATTGAAATGGCCCCGAACCTTTTGCCTTTGTGCTTTCATTCTTTAGGCGGTACAGAAGTCAGAACTTGCCAGGGTAAAGAATGTCATTGTCGACATCGTTTTGCCAAGGGCAGTCATTGTGAACTTATTGTTGACGACTTCCTCTCATATCAAATTTGGTATTGCCAGCACATTTTGTTGGAAAAAATGTGAATGTTGATCTTCTGGTTAAGCATTTCAATTTGATTGACAATTAGATATTTTTCTGGATGAATCTGTATAACTAAAATTGAAGTCACCAGAAACGGCTTTTCGCTCCCGTGATTCATAACATAATACTAGAAACAGAGAAAACTACAAGTTCTTTTGTTTTTAAAAAGAAAAAACAAATTAAAAATAAAGTCTCAGATGGTCTATCAATAGGCTTGAACATGGCCTCATATTTATACTAAGTATACACACTATGCCTACCCAATTAATCGGGATCAGAATCGCGCTTAATCTTTGTAAACTCTACTAATACAATCAGCATTATCAAGCACACTTTATCTGGGTGACGAGCTAGACAAATAACCATAAGAATGATGCAAAGAACCATCACGGTCCAAAGGGTGTCTTCTACCTCTCTCTGAAAAGGATCTTCCAAAACTAGAACTTCTTGGTTCTAGACTATCTCGTTGGGAGTAATAAGCAGAGTCAGATGTACTATGTCGTCGCGAGTTACCAAATGCCGTGGGGCTTTCATTTTCACAGCCTGGAGGAGGGGGTTCATCATCGTCAAAACCCCTTGAAGGCGGCCTCCGGTCATGAAAATAACCTCTGCTCCTAGAATCCGGAGTTTGATTGTATCTGCTGGAGGAACGATCTCTGTACAAACTAGATTCCGCCGGACGCGTTGACCAGAGCTTTTTATCTGCTTTCTCGGGGATTGGTGCATTCACCCCAGGAAATTTGACAATCATTCTTTTGTCTGGCTTAGTAAAGCTGTTCTCGAGAATCTCTCCTTCCTCCCCATCTTCTATAATTTCATCATCACCAAAAATCGTAATCCCTGATGGTTGGTCTTCTTCTTCTACAGCTAAAACATACAAAAGAAAATGATGAGACTACTACTTCTCTTCACTATAAAGGTTAAGGAGAAAGGATAGATACATACACAGAAACATATAGTATATTTCTGGCATGGCCGGAAACGAAGAGGGAAGCAATCTGATAAAATTATATCTTTGGAATCAGTCAAGCAAGTCACATAAAATCAAGCATATTTTAGAAAGTCTATATACATTCCACTAAAAGACAAATAAGCATTATGCAACTGAAGCATTGGTGTTATTAATATCAACAAAAAAAACTTGAGAATTTTACATAAGGGTAAAAGAGAGAAGATTCTGAGCAGTGTTTTCAGTCAAAAGCTCAGGCAGAAATTCTTTTCACCATCAATTTCGAAAAATGAGACCAGATGCTCATCTGCCACAACTTCATCACTCGGAATAGAAAGCAAAAGCAACAATGAACAATGAGTTTTATTTTGATTGTGAGACCAGGGAAATGCAGTATTACCAAAATAGGCAGGTGGATACCCTATTTGTCGCATTCTGTTAAGCCATGGAGGTGGATCAAGCTCCTATACATTCATTGAAGGAGAAAAGTCAGAAACTTTTAAACAGTAAATCTCTCTAACTCCGCATCAATTGCAACATAACCTACTCTAATAGATGCATTATATCATAACTATGGCTGCAACAAAATTTCATTAAAGAGCAGCAAAATTGTAGGGAAAAAAAAAGAGCTAACGTACCCCAAGTCCTAAAAGCTTCCGTGTTTCAGGATCGAGGGTGCCTGGTTTTAGTCCATCATACTTCCCACCAGGAGTATTTTGGTAATATCGAGTTGGGTTCCGGGAGCTGGCATTTTGATTCCGCCTAGATATGTGTTGCTTTCGAGCATTATTAACAGCAGCATTATCACGAGGCTTGGGGCATTCCTTCAGCGAATGGCTGTATGAACCACAATTGAAACAACGGGAGCCTTCCCCTACTTCCAGTATCCTGGTATAGAAATGAAGAATATTGTTGGCATTTGAAAGGGGCAAGTACAGGCTGTAAAGTCAAATACAGCAAAAATTGACAAGGCAATCTGATTCCTCAGTCTAAAGTGGAAAGACATGGCAAGAACACTGAAACATTTGCAATCAAATACAGTGCTAGTGGTGAAACAAGAAGCGAAGAAACAACTGTATGATGAAAACTCCCAACCACTATCGGCAATGCCTTGTTGAATAGAACAATAAGCATCAAAATCAAAACTGCCATAATGCCAGCAAATCACTTCCACTATCATAGACAGCTACACAAACAAAGAAAAAAATGTGGGGGAAGACCAAGTAGAATAATTGCTTATAAAGCATATCTCCGGACATTTCGTTAAAGAGAAACAAGGTCCCCTTTTGGTAATGAATTCATCATAGGTTCCAATATAAGGTGAAGGTTATCCTGCCAATCAACTGTTTTTATCAAGTCTGAGCATAAAATCGCGCCTTGGATAGAACCTACTCCCTGTTTGGAAAACACAAGTGAGGCCACATCTATGCAGCCTTAACATATATTTGAATAGGAGGCTATTTCCAAGAATTATGTATGCAATCTCAGTTACATGGCAACAGCTCTACCGCTGCTCCAAGGCTACCATTACCTGGGTCAGAATCGACAAAACTAAAATGCTATGGCGAATTGGTGAATCAAAGGTTAACTGAAAAATAAGCCAAACCTTTCCTTGACTTTTGTAGTGTATTTCAAATCAGATGCTAAAGAAAGTGGATCCATATAAAATTTTATAGGTTTTTTTCTCTTTTTTGGTACAAAATGCTACAGGTTTTATGTTAAGGATACAGAGAAAAGAATGGATGAATAGGTTATCGGACAACTATTGACCTTTGCAATGCAAACCAAGTAGCAAACTGAAAAAAAAAAAAAAAAATCGATAAATAATTTCATTACCCCTGATTATTTGAACCGTCCATTGAAGTTAATGCTAACGAGAATCCACGATCATAAAGGGGAACAAATTTTTCATCAGGTTCAATGAGCTTGTTTACATTCTCCCTCGTCTCGCTCTCCATCCAAAAGGACTACATGCCAAACAGAACTCCCAGAATGAGTATGAACAGTACATTATGACAAAATTCGTTAAGGATATTTTACACCTAAGATTGTTAAATTCTAATGTTTAATCTGGCAAATTTTTTCAACTGCAATTAAAAAAGGCAGATAATGAAAATGGACCCTTACTTTAAAGTTAACAAAAGGAAAGGAGAGTTAAAAATGTAAACTGAGCAACAAATAGGACAATCGTGAACCAAGCTTGTGGTCTTATTATTAGGATACAGTCTTGAAAGGATCCTCCTTTGAAGACGTGGATCAATAAGTTGCTTCTTTCTTAAAACAGAGACACCCACACTTCCTATGTAGTTCACCATTTACCTACTATCTCTACCAGAGCACTGTTTACTGACAGTTTGTAGTATCTTACTCAAAGAATTAAAAAAAGGCACTTCTGTTTTCCCAGGTCTTTCCCCGTACCCCTTTGTGATTGTGAGAACCTAAGAATGTACAAGGGACGGAACCCAAACATACCACAGCAGAAGACTTATTTGTACCAACTTGAATAGCAGGAAAGTAGGTATCTTCACCAGATTCCAATGCATTGCCCAATTCCTGAGTAAATTAAAGATCGTAACATGTCAGTATTTGAGACAAAAAAAACAAAGCACAGAATACGTAACTGGTTTCAACAGCCTGGCTAACTTTTTGTACTTAACAGCCATTTTGGTTGAACAATTTGAAAGCACAATTTTTTCTTCCCTAAAAACTCTTTCCTTCAGGCTTATGCCTCTCAAAAATCAGGAAGTTGATAACCAAGAAAAAGGATGCTACAAATCATTATACGATGTAAAACATCAAAAACAAAAGCATTTTGGTAAATGAAAAATGAGAATATGAAGTCATAATGTCAATCTTAAGAGCAACTTACAGTTGATGACGAGCAATGCTGTGCATGCCACTTGGACCACTGCTGTAACAGCTCCTCGAGCTTCCTCTTACTATCTCTGAAAATAAAACACAAGCAAACTAGACGTTAATACGTTTCTCTTTCTATAGTTAGCACCAGAAAATCACACGGACTCTTTGCTACATAAATATCAACAGTAAATGCTCAGAGCATAGATCAAAGCTTACGAAGGTCCACACCTTGTTAAAGACTTATATGCCACCTTTACCGAGGGTAGCTCCTCATCTACAGTTACTCTCCGCCTCTTAACACCAGATAAAGCTGGGAGGATAAATCATGGAAAACATAGCATAACAAAACTAAAACAAAACCCCACTGAAATCTGTGGATCCAAATCACAGTTGCAAACTTAATAGTGCTCAGTTAGCCCAGCACTGAAATAAAATCATATCAAAAAGGTTGCAACGACAAACTTATTGCAGAAATCCTAAATCCTAAAGAGTCATGCGTCTCAAGTTTGAACTTTTCTTCATTCAAATGTGATAAAATAGGCAATGGAAAAAAACAAAGAGAGATTTAAAAGAAGGATACAACTGGCAGAAATCTCCCGATCACTAGGAGGAAGATCATCTCCTCGGTCATTGCTAAGAATAGTTTCAGTTTTGGCGGTAAGACAAACATTCTCAGCCTGAACAGGTAGGGAGCTTGCCATCGTTTCCGTTACAGCAACAGTTTCGCTGGTTTCAACGCTAATTTCAAAGCTAGGAGGAGTTTCAATCATGATGTCACCATTATCAGCAACAGGCAAACATTGAGTCTCTCTATCTAAATCATCCCCTGAGCTCCCAGAGATCTCCCCAATCTCCTTGACTTCTTCAACCATATGATTTTCAGATTCACATTTCGAATTAAGCTCATCAATCTCATCACCGCCTCCAGGGCTATCAGCCCCAAGACTGATTATTTCCTCCGGCTCCATTAATCTGAAAAGCAACAATTACGCCAGCAATATACACTGCATTGAGTTTACATGATTAGTATACTAACAACTGGAAAAATTCAATCTTAGGGTTTGAAAGCTGACGAAAAGCTTCTAAAAAATAAAAAAGATGAAATTAAAACAATCTCTGCGGCACGATTGCAGCAAGAGCATATCCACATTTGAATTCCGAATTGAATTAGATTATTATCAACTAACCTCTTGAGTATACGTTGAAGGATTGGTTGGAGATCGCCAGATGATTCCTGAATGCAAAAAAGAATTGTGGAAGTATAGAGAGGGATTGAGTTGAAGAAGAAGAAGTGAGAAACTGAGGAAGACCTTCCCCAGATTGACGATTGGAAGAGACCACCTTAGATTTTGTTGGGCGGAGAATGGGGAGACTCAATCGTCGACTGTAAAACGACGCCGGGGCAGCAGAGATATGCTGGGCTGGGCTTTCTTCATTTTTCTGTCTATATTAGAAAATGTTGGCCCGTAACCATATTTTGGGCCCATAGTCAATTAGCCCTTTTTCTTTCCCTTTTTTTTGTTTGTTTCATTTTTTTATGATATTTTTAAATTAAATATTAATAACTGTTACGTCCTAGTATACTTTTTTACATTTCTAATACACCTTTTTACATTCCCAATACAAAAAATACCTAAAAAAACGAAACAAACATAAAGTTTTGCCATTTTTCTCATATTTAATTTTTTCATATTTTCGGAATATACTTAGTTGGCGATAATATTGCACATTATTATCTGAATTACTCTCCCAATCCCGAAACAATTGTTCAAGTTGCTATCTTCATTGACAAATTAATGTTACAAGAAATTTCTGACAAATTATAACTAAGATCTCAAGTCCTGCACAATATATGTAATGAAATAGTAGTTGGATGCAAGTTATAAAGCTCACATACTATTTCTACTTTAATATTGCACATGCAAGTTTTCCAAATTTCATTCAAATAGTTAAATCTCTTTTAACTCCAACACTTTACACTGAAAAATTAAGAATCTTGAATGACAATATTACACATGCATACCTTTTAACAATTAAATATACAGTATCAGTTAATCAGTTGAAGGCAATGTTCTCCTTCTTATGCTCCTGCTGCCAGTTTCTGCAAATTCTTGCATCTGTCCCTCATCTACTTTTCCAGCTTCTACAATTTCGTGGGACGGATGCTCAATAAATAAGGGATTTTCATAACACTTTGAACTTGAACCTGAGATGCTTGATGGAGATGGACTTGTCTGAAAAGACTGAAATTGTGTTTCGTGAAACTCTTCGTCAGTAGAACTGTAAAACTCGATAGGCGCTTTTCCTTTCGCCTTGTCGCTTAGTTCTGTTTCTTCATCTTGTGTGTCCTCATCAGTTGCATTTTCACTGCTACCATCTGAAGATGAGGTATCACTGTATGTATGAAAGATAGTCACACTCTCCTTCCTTGCACCTTGAAAAGAATAGCTTCTTCTCTTCCCATTGTACAGTGGCAGGAGGGATGATTTAGGTCGCAAGCCGGCTCCATCCCTTCCCAAACTGTATGATGTCGAGAGCTTCCTTTGGATACCTTCTCTTTCCTTTACTAGAACACCCAGTTTTTCCAGCACCTCATTTGCCACTGCTTCCTCCGCTGATTTTTGCTCAAGTTCTGTTATAGTCCTATCAAATGCCTTCTTCTGGAGCCGGAGGGAATGCTACGGAGAGTTGCAAAACTAAGTCGTGTTAGCAAGAGAAAGTGATGGTACAACTTGTCGATAAACTTTTCATTTCGAGACCACTGTTCCCTGAAGGAAATATGTGCTTTAGTGCTACTCTAACCTAATAATGAAATGATGTGCAGCATGTGCTGAGGCAGAGCAAATGTTCAGTTTTCCGTGGATTAGAAGCAGAAAATTAGAGGAAACAATATGGAAATGCACTCTTTATACATGTGCAATCCGCAGCTATTGAATGATCCTGATCTATTGCCTAGCATGAGACTTTAGACCCCCTAAAATAAGAAATTTACTTACTCTCTTTTCAAGAAATTTTCCTAGGCCATGAATTTGAAGCTTATTCTTCTTCCAAAATATACAGCAGAATCGTACAAGTGCTGCTAGAGTAATCAATACTGTAGTCTCGAATAACAAAAATAATAGAATCGTCTTCTCATTGCCTGAAAAAAGGACATGGAAGATGTGTTCGCTTAGTATGTATTACTAGTAAATATTACACGGTATGAGGATACTACCTGTATAGATGCTAATATACTTGGCACTAGTTTGTGAGCAGCTGGAGGCTAACTTCTGACCTGTGGAAAAAAACAAAAGAAAAAATATAAAACAAAGGCCAAAAATCAGATAAACTAAGTAACTTTGGATACAATTTCTTTTTCTGTTGTGAAAACGTTAGTTTGTGCAGTAATAGTAGTACTAATCATTACGTGTAGAGCGACAGGAGAATGGACTTCCAATACCTGCACAAAAAACGGAGGAAAAAACGTAAAGGTTCCATTTCCTAGAACTTAGAAAGCTAAAGACGGTAGCGATAATTTCTTCCAAATGCAAAATGATAAGCATCAACCATCAAATTGAGAAATCAGCCAAAATGTTAGAGCTTACTTGAAGAAACCATGAAAGCTAGAAGTGTACTCTCATCCAGTTTGAAATGTTGCAGGTCACTCAGCGAGAGATTCTGTGAAAATTGACCTATAACAAGGCAGCAAGCAACAAGGAAAATCCAATTAACACTGAAAACAAAAGGTAAACTTCTAATTTCAAAGATTACACAGTATTATGTAATTAATCTGATCATAGACCAATGAGAATTACCTGGAGGATAACTTTCAGACCAGTATACTGCACCAGTAGCTGGAATAATCATGACAAACAGGACCCTCTTTGGCTTCAAAGCTGACATGTAAGTATGATTTCCAAGTGTGTGGCCAACTTTTCCATCCATCTCTGTCTGTGAAACATAAACTCCATATCCAGAGCAATCAATAAGAGGACTAACTTGGATGACAAAATCTGGACTAACAGATTCGGGAAATTTCTTGCAAAAGCCCGTCGGGGAAAATGAGTACAGGAAGCCATCCAGTGAGCCTAGAGATATCCATCCTGATTTATTCGGAATGGTCACATCAGTGGAACCTTAATGATATGATTATTCCAGTTCAAACTTTTACAGGCCTTTCCGTAGCATCTCCACTATCCAGTTACGTTCTGAATGTGGTGATGATGTTAAAGAGAAGAAAATTTTGGGTTTTTCCACCTTTAAATTTCACGGACTACAGAGGCCTTCCTATCACCCAAAAATTGATTCCATAGAGTTTCAGAATTCGTTTGATCTTTCTTTTCTAAGCTGCTAACAAATCTTATCAAGAAACTTATTAGCTATATGATACTCAGATATTTTCAGATGTAAAACTCACAAACAATAAAAACATTATCATATAGATTAGTTTACCATTTGAATCAACAATTGGTGCATAATCTTCTGAAAATAATGGACCAAAGCTTCCCTGCCAGAGAATTTGTCCGGTGGAAACATCTAGTGCCAGCAGTAGAGCTTGAGCAGGCATGGTAACATATAAGAGACCATTGTTTGCAGGAGTTACTCTAAATCTGGTTCCATATGAACTAAGATCTTGGATCCACTTAAAATGAGGACTACGAACAGATAATGAATACAACTCCCCCTGGTTGTTTGAGACCTGCAAAGAAATTACGCACAAAAAGCTTTATCTAGATGAACAAGCATATTAAGCTATATGCACAAAAGAAGTGAGCCTTCATGTACGATACCACTGACTTAAAAAATCAGCCAAAGGATGTTGGATTGATTAAACTTACATATATACTAGCTTCACAGTGATCAATTACAGGGCTTGACGAGAAAGAACAATCAGTAACATTATTCTTACACCCTTGACGATATCCATGTTGATAAATAAGAGGCCCTGCACTCCAGATCATTTGCCCATACAACCTATATGCAAACAGACCTCTGTTGCGAACATTGATGATTACGCATGAACTCGAAACACTAACATCAAGACCAATAATTTCTTCAGGTTCAGGGCCAAAGAACTCCTCAACAGCAGATTCAGAAGTTCCAACATTAAAAGGGTTGACTTTAAGAACTCTATTTTCCGCAACCAAATATATCTGCCAATAAATGGCCTTGCAGAAATCAATAACTATGTTGAATTAAAACTCAAAAAATCAAAGGGTTCAGGAAGTCATTAGCAAGAAGACTTGCCTTGCTTGAACCACCTTGAACTGGAGCTATATTCGTATTACACGTATAATTAAGGTTTATTGTCCAAGCTATCGAACCATTGTTCTCAAAGGCAAAGAAGTTCTTCTCCGAGCATATATATACCCGCCTGTCATCCCCGATCAATGGTTTAGCAAGCGGAGAGGCTGCTTTCTTAGAGGGCTCCGATGCTGAAGCCAAACACAGTATGAGGGATCTACGAATAATAATCATAATGATAACCTAACAGCGGATTTTCCCTCCAATCAAACAAAATTGCAGATCTTGTCATAGTAGTTCCACTCTAATATACAAATCATTTGAACTCTATACCTTAACTGTATAAGTGTAACGTTCTATAATGATCACAAAAATGCAAATCTACACCATTTCCGTATTAATTAACCTATTTTACCATTTCAAAGATCGGCAAATAGAAATCCTTAAGTTAACGAAAGAGAAACCTGAAATTGAGCGGGAGAAAATGGGAAATGGCAACACTCGATCAGCCAAGGCCATAGTTCTTAGAGACAGAAGCAGCAACAGTAGCGGCGGAAATACCATAGGACGTGGATGGTCGGCCAATCCTCTGTAGGACGTTCTAGGTGATTCTTTCTCCTTCGTAGCTTCTCAGGTCGCCAGATTATGCATAGATGGAAGAAAATTACGCTGGAATTGGTAGTGGAGGGAAGTTTTAGGCGGTTATTATCAGAGAAAAGAAAACGGTTGGGGTCTTTAAAAAGTTTCACATTTGCACATTGGTACCTGAAGTTTAGATATTACTAATCTCACACGTTAAGATTGTAATAAAGATGAGGAAAAAAAAGGCAATAAACAAATACAAGAATAACAAGATGTATATAGTCTCCTTTCACTTCCAGTTACAATTCATCCTCCCCTGCTATCCAACCCAAACTTTTCCCTCCAAGTTAACTAGAGGAAGGAAGAAGTAGCAGAGATAAGCTTTTGTTTCACACATCCAAGTTAAAACAAGGTTGCTGGGAATCGATCTTTGATTAATTGGACGGACAAAATATACAAGTGAGAATCATTGAAGGTCCTTTGGAGATGTTTTCAGTTGTCAGAACTCAGAATGATTAAGACTATGGCAGTCGGATACAACTAAAAGGGACTAACTCTGCCTGCCAATTTCAACAATATTTCTGGGACAAGCCGCCTCCTTGGAGGAGCCAACGCATCCTTTGCAAGAGCTTCTTGGTCCTCTGCGTGTATGTATGTAACCACATACTCAAACAGTTCGTCTCTGCCACCTCTTAAAGGGTCCTGCATGAGAGGAAGAATATCAGGATAAATTAGAGACAGTTATATACTGCTTAGTGAGTCTTCCCACCATGCAACAGATTTTATGAGAGATTGAATGGCCACTATACTACTTGTTCTTCACCACCATGAAAAAGATTTTCAACCAAGGCACGTTTCTGTTATAACACGTGAAACTAAATTTAGAATAGTCATGGAGGAAACAATGAACAGATTAAACTCAAACAGAGCCAACTCCCATTCATATTATCTACTCTCAGTTCTCACGGACAAAGAAAAGCATCTGCTCATGGCAACCAGGTGAAGATCAAACAACTGAAATTGCCTAGCATATTTTCATGACTCTTGGACTCATGTAATTGATCAGTAAAAATGGTAAACCAACAGGAACAGGAAACAAGGTCTATATCTGATTTCACTTACCTGGAGAAACAAATCTGTATGAGTCTTTCCTTCATATAGAATCAACTCTGCTTGAGCCCCAATTCTCTTGAGAGCATCTACAAATGTTTTACTGCAAAGACAAACAAGTTAGACCACTTCAAGGAGACTTTACTTAAACCAGCAAAAGTTAACCTAAAAACTAAAGAAATATAAGATATATCACATAATCTATCTAATACAGCAAATAGATCCATCCAAATTATGCATTTCAACAGCTTTTACGCAGTAAAACGTAAGATCTGCCTCCCAACCAACAGTTGCCTTCAAGTTTTATAATTAATTACTCTATTTCTTTCAATATTCAACAAGTTGTTCCATAAGGATTTCGCTACTGCATCATGAACTAAAGGACAGCAACCAGTACTGCAAAGGTTATCATACCTTGCATCTGATGGTATGGAACTATCTAAAGTGCCATGGAAAAGAATTACAGGAGGAAGCAAAGAAGCTAAATTTTGTGAGCTCAATCCCTGTACAAGAATTTCAGGTGAAAACTGTTTTAAAGACTGCTCTCCTTCCATTATACTGCAAATAAAGATTCAAACTGTCAGCTTCACTCAAAGATATCTGATTAATGAAATTATATATAGAAACTTGGAGCATATTTTCTCCAAGCATCGGAGAGGCTTCCAATTAAACAGACCTCAAAAAGATGGATCTGTACAAGCCTCGTGCATGAAAGTGGTCAACTAAGTTTATTAGATTATACCTGTGAAATAGGAAGTTAGGCATCATGAGTGAAATGGTTCCAGTAATATCAAAAGCAAGAATTCGCACAATTAAGAAATGAGTCTTTGTTACTGGAAAATCTAAGTTTAGCCATTGAATGATCATTGCATTATTCACTTAACATCGAGAGTATCATTAGGCTGAATACACTAGGACGTATATTGGAAAATATCTGGGGGAAGGGAATGCTTGTAGGACCGTCACCAACATTAATTATGCTTACCCCCCTGATAAGCCAAAATAGGCTTTTATCTGAGAGATAGACCAGGAAACACTTTCTCCTTTAGATTCTTTGATTGCCTGCTCTACAAGAGCACAGGCAGAAATGTGCGCGCCAGCTGATTGGCCCATCAAATAAATCCTAATAAATTGACATGGATACACAAAGTGAGAAGAGAAAGAGGAATTGGCAAGTACAAGAGTACTTTTTGGAGTTCATCTTTGTTAAAATTACTTCAGAGGAAAGTTAATTTTCAAAGCAACCAAAGGAATTTCCATAGAACAACATTGACCTGTTTGGATCACCTCCAACTTCGCTGATATAATTGCAAACAAATGAAATGCCTTGAGAAACATCTTTTACCATATCACTGATTGTCCCTTGTGGAAAATTTCTGCGGAAAGAAACATGGAGGATAAAATAATTTTAATAGTTGGAAAACAGAAATACATCAAAAAAAAGGTCAGAACTCCAAAACGTTAACTAAAAGTTTAAAATGTTGCCTTCATTAATTTCTAACCGGAGGAAAAAAAATGAAATTGCTGTTGATCTAATGATAGATGGGCATCTAAGGGCAACTGATCTTGACCAAGTTTAAAGGAAAAGAACATATTTCCTATCCATGTGCAAGTTATTAAATTTACCGAAATCTTTGAAAGTAACTCCGATCTCTCATAACACTATTGCTCCTGAACTAACAAGCTATAAAATCCTTCACAGAATCTGACGCATTAAAAGCAATTTCTGCTATTCCTTACAAAAATTTCACATTGTTGCCAGCAAAGTACATGCCTCAATAGAGGCATTCAAAATGGGGACCAATTTGACATTATTCTTCAATAGAAAAAGCATCCAAAAGTACACTTCAAGAAACAATCATATACGTTGAAATTCAAAAGCATTTTCCTGTAATCCAGGACTACACTGTAACAAATTACCTGTAATCCAGACATGCCACTATGATGTCTCTTTCAGCTAACTGCAGCCCCAAGAAAGAACCCCAGGCTTTGTATCTGCATTTCCAGAAGATGGATAAAAATTTTAGTGTTCAACGATTAGAGTAGACAGATTATTCTCATTTTATGCTTGTAAAACAACAGGTTGCAGATAGTCCTAGTTTTCTTCAAGAAGCGGAGGATGGTTATACTCGAACAAACTATATAGCATGATGATATGATATAAGATCTGTTTAATCGATCTCTAGATACCAAAGAAAATCAATCTCTAGATACCAAAGAGGACTAGACCAATTACCATTTCTATATTCCATCATATATATCTATATGCGCAGGATGTTGACTCTCAAATCTTAATAAATTGGGGAAGAAAATTCAAACATAAGAGTACTACTGAATGTCTATAACCCTGACTAGTGACTAATTATAATCAGTACACGAAATGAAAAGACCGCATCAGATTCACCTACCCAATAATCCAGGCTCCACCAGTTACAAATATTACGACAGGCTTGGGACCATCAAGGCTTGGTGGTAAATACAGATCTAACCTGACAAAAGCACTCATTTTTAGTCACGTTAAGAATGTCAAGAGAAAATGATACTCATCACAGATACAAAAGTTACCTGTTCCTCGGTTGCTCTCCATAAACAACACTCCTACGCACATTGCTTGAAAAGAAGTAACAAAAAGCAACTGCAAAACATGGACAGAGAAATTATGTCTCATAACTAAACAACATAAAAGCTCCAAGGCAGATTTACAGACACTTCCTATGCAAGTATCCAAAAAGATCTACCCAATTATTTGTTATAGCCTAATCATCCACTGATCAGGAAACACCTGAAATGAAAATTCCCTTGTACTCAGTTTTCACCAGAAAGTACAATTTTCATTCCTTGCCGTTCAATTTTCTAATGTTGAAAGCTAATGACAAGTTAAGTAAATTGCAGAGATCCAAGACATATTTCTCAAATTTAAATTCACGGAGTGCACTAAAACAAGGGGAAAAACTTATAGAGATCGCGGCAGCTGGTAAAACGACAGGAGACTCTAGTCTATCTGAGAGACTTTGAGCAAAATAATTCGTTAAACAAAGATTACCCTGGAGAAAGCCTGGCATGAGCAACATGGCATAAAGTGCAAGAGCTAGAAGTCTAGTGATCCACCGGTAACCTACCCTGAATAAAATCCATCATCAGATATCTATGTACAAGAAAACTGCATCAAATCTACAAGGAATTTCCAGTTGTCAAGTTTAGGAAATACAGAGTTGCCGGGTAAATACTAATTAAAAGTCAATAGCTACATTTTTTAGACACTTTTCACGGGTGCAAAAGAATGAGCAGAATGTGCCTGAGTTATGATTCATAAAAGGCAATAATCATACCGAAAAAGGATAGTCTTATCTAGGAGGTGTGATTGTCAACCTCTTCAGGCAAGGTTAATTCATTATAGTCAAATTGGAGATACAGCTGAGTTCAATTTTTAATCCAACGTTCTAACTAGACCAGCCTTGAAACACATTACCATCTCGTTTCACTTGCTATAGCATAAACATTATGATTGTCACTAATGCCATTTCACATCAAAGCAAGCTTTTCCCAAGGACTTTAATTGCATAAGCGGATCGCCATTATTCGCTACCCCAAAACTTTTCAAATCAGGCATCACTAGCATCCTACAGCTACTAACGTATATGCAGTATGCTTCCAAAAGAATTGGAATTCAATGCAAATACTATCATAAATCCACAAATAAAGAGATTACGACCGAAAAGAGAGACACGAAGTAAAAGGAAACGGAAACTTAAAATAGTACAGTACAACTTACCCAAGGTAGCTAAGAAGCGTGAAACTGAGACTAGTGAGCAAATAAGTCTCGGCCGCAGCGTGGCACATATCACGACTGAAGGACTGCTGGCGAGCCGGCGCAGAGCAAGTCCTCTTGACCGGTCTCCGCCTCGGTTGCTGGTGGTCGGCGAAATTACTGCTAATATCACCGCCACTAGTAGCCGCACCAGCGCTTCCAGGAAGGCTCGAAATGTCATCGCAGGACCGGCTCAACGGAACACCCGCAGAGGAAATCGCCATCCTGGAACGGCGACACCTCTGCCGTATTTATAATAATAATAATAATAATAATAATAATAATAACAAATCCTCCGCCGGCAGTAGAATTCAGAACGCGGTGGTGTGTGGATCTGCCCAAATTCTTTGGCAGAAGCAATAAACACTAGAGAAGGAAAAGGAAGAGTTGCGTGCAAGAGTAAAGTTACTAATAACAATAAGTGAGACAGAAAAAAAAGGAAGAAGAAGATGGAACTAGAAGTTTTAAATTAAGCCAGAAAACCGGGATGGAAAGGGAGAAAAAGCCCCAATCATTTTAAGTCTGGTTTTTTTTTTCCTTTTTTTAGAAGTATTAACGTCAATCATCATGGGGATGCGTGGGTGGTGGGATTTGCTGCGCTTCTGCCAGAAACACAGCTTTGCATCAGTCACATCCTGTCATCCTCGTTGTTTTTGTTCTTCTGCTTCTGGCATCAGAATGGGCATTTTTTTTTGTATTTTTTATTTTGGCCAAGTTTTTTACAGTAGTAAAGAACTTCAAAATTTGCATAAATCTTATGTGATGAAGGTAGTATCGCGGGTAAAATTGAGACGGCCTAACGGTCTGTTAACGATCGGTTTACCTTGTTTATTCAGTTGAAGCCTTCCCATTTATACTTCTTCTTTTGACGGAGTCTTCTAGGCTTCATTTGGGCTTGATCGTTTTGACGGAAGTGAAGCTATCTCATTCTTCTTTATTAGTACTACTACTACTACTTGATTATTTATTGCAGATACGATACAACATACCATTACTACAATGTTGATGGGAAAAGGCACCGTCCTCCCTTTGATTTTTTCGTGTTTTTCTAATTTTTTTTTAAAAAAAAAACACTAAACATATTTTATAATAATTAAGAGAACACAATAAATGTGATAATATATGTTCAAAATTTTGTTTTTAATTTGGAAAAACACGTAAATGAAACTAAGAAAAAAAGCAAAATACCTTATAAATGGCGAAAACATTTGTGTAAAACCATAAATCACTTCTCTGACCACAATATTCATCTTGTGATTTTTTTTTAAAATAATTTTTTTATTTAACATAATAAATTATCAATATGGAAATATGATTTCGGAATCAATCTTAAAAATATCGAAGATGTGTTGTACTGACTAGGTGTAGTATTTTCATCCCAATGGTAACAACTAACAAGTGTACACATTGATTTGCATTTTGAACCTTGATGCCTGCCTGGTTCGACAATTTCCCCGTCCCGTCCTCACAAAATTTGGCACAACGACTATTAGGCCACACTGCTGGCCAAACAATACATACTTATCAATCTGCATTCGCTGATGCATTCTCGTGAAAAATCCAGTAACTATCATTTTCCCGCAAGTTCTATCCAGCACTGGCCAAGCGAACACATCGAATTTTTTAAGGTTTCAAAATTTGTATTAACACGTGGTTCAGGTGCTCAGGAACCCCACCAGCGTTATTCGTTGGACCAAAAGCTAATACCACCTTTAAACTTCAACTTTGCCTTTCACGATGATGACGAATAATTATGTGGAAGGTTACACAACTTAAAGCTAACAAAAAAAAAAAGAAAGAAAGAAAATCAAGATAAGCAAAATCGATAATGTATGTACGTACACGTTTTCTCGGGGTAATAATGTTTGGCTCATTTGGAGGCACACTCCTCACTGCCCAAACTGGCAAACAATCGGAAGAGATAAGAGGCAAGGTCACTTTCTTGGTCCCCTACACATCACAGGCCCCCGCAATCTTAACATTCCCTTGTAAGGTTTACTATTTTGAGATAATCACGATCTCAATGCAGAGACGTCAGTAATTTTGCAACAGCCTGCCTCCTGCCTGCTTTAATAGGCCATCCACTAGATTGAGGATCGAACTAGACATATATGGAAAGTACCAACTCAAACCAAACCGAGCGGACAGAAGTTAGCTAAGACCTTCAACAAACATCTTTCCTTTCGACAAAGTCTAACCAACAGGTCTAGAACACGTGTCCAAATCTCCAAGCAAAAGTTTTATAGGGGCAAAATGGAAAGGAAGAATGCTGAGCATCCAACCAAGCACATGATATCCAACATGACGAAGTGAGCATCTAGCAATTATGTAATACATGCACCCGAAAATCTTATCAAAGGATGCCTAGACAAAATATTCAATATGCAGTATACACTCTTACTCAAAATGCCACCATACTTTAGCCAATATTGGTTATCAGTATTTAGCAGCTTATTACAGGAGCGTAACTGCATGGTCACAAATTCAGATCCCCTACCATAACTATTCTCTGTATTCGCCAAACATCATTAACTCAAAAAACATCATTAACTATTCTCTGTATTCGCCAAACATCATTAACCCAAACACCATGTGAAATTTCAGAACATTAACGGAATGGCTGATGACAGTCGGGTATATTAGGAGAATACATAAACATTTCACTTAAACTCAACCAAAATTATTGGTTTAATCATGTTTACCTAGCATTGAATGTGGACCAAATATTACAGGCCATGCATCTGCTACTCACAAACCCTACTCCCAAAAACCCCTCGGGAAGAAAGCATTATCCGATGCCAATTTCTTCTTTCGCCTCTACCTAAACCACCACCTTTGAATCGCCGAAATAGGTGTGTTCAAGAACGGAGCATAACGATGGATGAGTGGATTAACAGTCCTCCCAATCTTAGCCCAGGCACTTTGGTGGTAATTGGCAGTTGCAGGAGCATGATACATTAGCTTTAGAAGCTGCAAGAAACGATGGTATAAGATTCTGGACAGTACAATATTGTAACAAATCAGGCAATTAAGTCACTGCCTAAAATTCCTCCATGGTAAACTCAATTTGGAACTAGAATATCTAATGCTATGATACATTTCTCCAAATTGAAGGGGGAAAAGAAAGAAGAAAAGGAAGTAATGGCATTTAATAACGGAGAAATTAGACGTGACTAACCTGCCAGTACATGAAAGCTTGTATTATGTTTCGCTGCCACCTGCACATTCAAAAAGTATCAGCTATCAGGAAAGAGGACCTTTACATGAAACCATATGGCTAAACAAAACCGAGGTGGAACTCTGCAGATCATGAAGCAGAACGCGCATAGATACTCACGAAAGAAGTGAAAGAATAAGAAGAAATCCAGTTCCAATCTCGGCCTGTGAGGACAAGATGTTAAGGGTAGTTGTGTTCGACTCAACCCAAACACAAGCATCTTCCAAGTACCTCCTACAGATAATCCACAAAAACAAGTCACAAAAGGGGAACAACCATGTTATTAGCTTCCAACGGTCACTAACAGAGCTTGTCCAGAAAGGCAGAGTTACTACATTTAATCCCATTTCCTTGTTATGTTATAAGTTTTTTTTTTCCCCTCTTTTCGTGAGTGGCTTGGGGCATAGGTCATGGTACCTGTACAAGGTAGATCTAGTAAAGTTTCGCCTCAGGAACTTGGCAACATGTTCAAGCGTTCGACACAGTACAGGAATCAAAGCAACTGCCACAAGAAAAGAAACAAATAAGCAACGAAACAGGCTGAAAGAAAGAATTAATACTAACCTAAACGAGAAAAGGAGAAAATTGATATTTACATTTCAGGTACAGATTTGAGGTGCCAAAAGTCAAGCAGTAAATGAAGTATATAAAATCCTTGGTGACAAATACTGATTGAAACCACACTTGCACTGCTTGCAAATTCCACGCTCTCGGTTTCTACAAGGGATGAATAGTTAAGAGTAGCCGCGAAGCAGAAAAATATTACATATTGATCACAAGAAGCAAAGATATATATATATATATATATATATGACCAGCGAGAAAATTACCCCATATAATGAGTACAATGAATACAGCGATGAACAAGCAGTTCCCACAAAAGATAACCGAAATGCTCTATTGGAAAGATTTTTAGGTATGAGCGGAAGGATAGCAAGAACTGCTACAACAAAAACCTGCCAAGGAAACACGAAAAGAAGTATTGATATAAGGATGTCATTGCAGGTTAATCATCAAGTAGTTAAACCATAGCAACAACCTAGCATACCCAAGCATTTACTGAAAACTGAATCGTCTGCTGATCCCATCGCAAAGGTGTTGCCCTAGGAGGTGCTGTGTTAGATTCCCCTGATGGTCTCCCAGTTGAACCTATAAGGACATATTAAAGGGATGAGATTTAACTAACAAATTATTCTAGAAAGGCTGACCTAAGATTGAAACCGTATATACAATCTAGAAATAGGAAACCAAAAGAAGGATTTCCATAGACAAGAAGCACCTGTATTACGTTGTCGTGACTGGCCATTTGAAGTCGACGAAGATGATGATGATGATGTCTGATTTCCTGATGGTCTTGACGCCTGGGAAGAACTAGTAGTAGACATTGGCTCAACAATAAGATCCGGATCCTGTGAAGGAGCGTAAACATAAGCGCGACAACAAAAGGGTCCACATGAAAGCAACATATGGCATTGCCAAAACGTCTCCGGATGAAACTACGAGCAGAATTGTACAGTAGTAAATGCTAGAATGAACCCAAAATAGAAAAATCATAACGAACATTTGATGATTAAGAATAGCAATATGCCCTGCAAACAAATGCACTAGACAAACAAACACCAATAACTCTGTAGCAGAAAACAAGCTGCAAAACACTTAGATAACCAAATAAATCCCCAAAAGGAATAGAGAGAACCATTGTAAACCCTGCCACTCATTTACACAGAACGCTCAACTGAATAAGAAATCATTCAAGAATAACAATAGAAACGACCCAATTCCGGTACACTTAGAAGAAAAAGTTAATCGATTGGTAACTAAAAACAGAAGGCATCAAAAGAAATTAAACCCTAAATGCATAATAACAATAACAAGCAAGCAGATTGAATCAATCTCAAGCTCAGATCAAATAAACATTCAATGAAATTGTTTATATAAGATCAAATAAAGTTACGCGGAAGAGGAGGAGTTAAATTACGATGTAGCGCTGATAGAACTTGCGCTTGAAGTGATTGACGACATCGGGGCGGGAAGCCATGTGAGGAGGGATGAGAACGTTGGACCAATAGTCCGCCCATCTCGGGTCGTTGTCGTAGTCGTACGCCGCCGCGGCGATTCTCCTCAGCTTCTGTGGATCTTCTTCTTCTCCCATCTCCGATATGCTTCGGCTTCTTGCTTGGCTATTCTGTTTTCTTTATTTTTTTTACTGAGTTTGACCACCGCCCGACTTTGCTGTCACAGGCTGAGCCTGAAATTCTTCGGTAAGCAGTAAACTCGAGATTTTTCTTCTCGACACGGCGTCGTTGCAGTGACGAAATAATTTCCTTTTTCTTTTTATTTGTTGGGGGAATTGATAAAAGAATCAAAGAAGATTCCTGCTATGGGTTGTGGGCAGCTTGGCCTGCAGCCTTTACTCTGTTTGTCGATTCCAAAGTGTATCTTCCGAAGTTGGATCGTTTTTAAACTGCCAAAAAAATGCTAAAGTAATATACAAATTAAATATAACAATATAGCCAAAAAAAAGTTTGGTACAAAAAAAAAAAAAAAAACTTTATTGAACAAGTGTATGCTTATTTGTAGTCATCATCATTGTTAAATGCGTGTAACCAACACAAAAAAGAAAAAAGAAAAAAAAAACCATTATAATCAAATCATCACATACATTATATTACTAAAACAACTTTTTAGTGTACACCTCCGGTTTTTAAAATCACAATCCCAACCATCCGAATTCAAACAAAGCAAAAAAAAAAATAAAAAAAAATTGAAACATCAATCTCACTTGTCACAAATTCACAGTGACTAATCGACTTCATGGGTTCTTTCTTTTTCAGTAAGCGCTATCACGTAGGTAATGAAAACTTATAGAAAAAATTAATATAATTTCGTATACATCACAACCTTAAAATTTATCCATTTAAAGTTAGATGACAATTGAACTTTCATCCTTATAAAATGAATATTTCTCGAAAACTTTTATCAAATAAATCATGACTCTTTTCTTTCAAATATCACCATCTACATATGATGAATTTGTCTCAAAATGATTGTTTCATTTTGAATTTTTGATATACTTTGAGCTGCTGAAAATGAAAATTCCCACCAAACAATTATTTTGAAATAAATAGAGTACATTATTTTTGTTAAATTGTGTTTCTTTTTCTTTACCAGAATGGAGGCAAATAATAGTATGAAATAGTTACCGGCCACACATTGCGGGATAAATCACCCCTCCACATCAAATTTGCTTACATAGCTTGGAATTTTTTCTATAAATGAAGTGTGCGTATTATACTATGGCCTCTTAAGTATGAATAGAAGAAAATGAAAATTGAAGAATAATGAATAAAATAATGGAAGATCTTCAAGAATTACATTGTGTCTGTGTTAAATTTTAAAGATATGTAGAGCTATATTTATAGGCATAACAAGTAAGGTCTTCTACTAGATAACAAAAAATAAATACATAAACCTATTAATTAATTCATCACTTATCTTTCTAACCTAGTCTATCTTGATTAACTTAAGAGGTAAAATGACACTTTTTCTTAATAAAAGAAACTCATTTTTGATAATTATCTTTAACATCCTCCCTCAAACAGGGTTAGAAACACAGTTTGTATCTTAAGTGATTCTGACAACGCTTTTGAGTAATGTACATATGTTGGTGTTGGAAAGAGAATATTGTAGGAGTTATGAATTTGATGAATTTGGAGTTTGAATATTCAAGAGCATGGACCAAGATGAAAATAGAAAAATGATGACTTATTTGGAAAAAAAAAAAACAAAAAAACAACGGAAGCAAGGCTATAGAAGCAGAACATAACATGCTCTGATACCAAGAAGAAAATGAAAATTGAAGAATAATGAATAAAATAATGAAAGATCTTGAAGGATTACATTGTGCTTGCGTTAAATTTTAAAGATAATGGTAGAACCATATTTATAGACACAACAAGTAAAAGTCTCCTGCTAGATAACAATAAAAAAAATAAACCTATCAACTAATTCATCACTTAGTCTATCTTGATTAATTCAAGAGGTGAAATAACTTTTTTTCTTGATAAAAGAAACTCCTTTTTCATAATTATCTTTAACATGAATTAGTATTACTATAAATAATAATATATTTTTTTACTTTAGTACAATAGAAGAAACGAAACCTCTAAATAATTTAAACATTATGTGGGTATAAGAAACTGATAATGTCATACTCTTATCACGATTTAATAACAAGCGGTGGGTTCAGAAATCATTGATATCCTCCTGTTGAGTTGTGTGCTGTAAAAGATGCTAAATAATCCGTGGGAAAACATTGATTCGTTGATTTTAATATTTCCATCTCATTTTCATCGTAATATTCCAAATCCATTTTATCAATTGACTAGTATTTAGAAATCACAAAACAGTCAATATCCATAGGAAAAATCCACAGATGTACTTGTAGCTAAAAGCTACAAGCTAGTAGAAGCCTAGAACTACTAACTAGTCAACCAATAACAAGCTACTACTTACTACTCTTGCAGAATTCTTTGCAAGAATTTCGAGGGGAAGCACGACATAACAATTTGGTGATCTTTCCATTACTAACGTTAACCGGAATCTCTTCCGTTTGCGGCCAGGTGAAGAATCCGTGCATCTTCAACCGACTCTCAAGTTGAACTGCATCTTCAACTCTTGTAATCACTTTCTCGTAACAAATGTATCGTCCACAGGCTCCATAGTCCATATCTTCGTAAACAGCTACATGGGCTTCTGCCACTCTTTTCACATCTTCAGTTGCTAAAACCCCTCTTTGCAACATAATTTGCCCACCTTAAAATTATACAAATTCAAATTGGATACCAATAATATTAAACGAACACGTATTATATTCAGACTAATCTTCGATAAGTTACAACTAATTAATTTAGTCATGCATGGGTCATGTCACCTTTAAGATAGGGAATAGCAGTCTCCACGTGGGCATCTGGAAAGGATGGGGCCATTGAAAGGCCAGGGCAGAGAGTTACAAGATTAACCCTCAACTCTCTTGACTTCATCCAAGCAACCTTTTCTGCTCTGGTTTTACCCAATGCAAGCCAAAGCTGCATACAGATTGATTGGATAAAATTTCCAATTAATCTCAATTCCATAAAGATCAAAATCGAAAAAGAAGGGAAATTGAACAGGTCTAGCCAATTGATTGATTCTTACCTTGTTTTCTCTGCAAAATTCTTCACTACTCCAACAGCTCTCGTCTATGATGACTTGCTCTGTGATTCCGTTGCCGGCCCAGAGAGTTGCGAGCAGAGAAGAAGTGAAAATGCATCTCTTCACATATGCTGCTCTGCCACAAGCTTCAACTACATTTCTTGCTCCTTCAGTCTCCAGAAATGCCATTCGCTCCTGGATAATTGAATTGCTTTCACCAAATCAGTACTTAATTTCTATCAACAGAAGACCCAGAAAGAGCAAAACCATAAAATCATCAATTAAAGAAATCAGTAGAATCATACGGTATATCCAGAAATTCCCCGGGGATCAATGAAAGTGGAGGTGTGGAATATAGCATGGCAGCCTCTGAAAGCCTTGCACAAACTTTCCACATCTCCCATTTCTGCTACCACCACACTCTCCAGTTGGGCCATCTCTTCTTCTCTCAGATACTCCTTCAGATCTTCAAAATTTGCTGCCAATTAATCCAAACCACCAAAAATTGAATGCAATGCAACAAAAGTATGAATTTTGAGGAGATAGATTTATACCAATTTAAAAAAAAAAAACCAAAAACCTGAATTCTGAACAGTGACTCTGACAAGATAACCCCGGGTCAAGAGCTTCTTAGCCAAGTGAGCACCAAAGCAAGAATTGCCGCTGGTGACACAAACCACTTTCCGCTCTCTCGAGTACAGCAAATTGCAATCAAACACATTCCCGACACAATTCCCCTTCTGTCCATACTTCACGACTCCCATTGCCGGCTCCGGCGTTAAACAACCCAACTCAGCTTCTCCACAAGCCATTTCTTGACCCGAATCGAAATCCCCTGTTCCTCTTCCTCCTTCCGATTCTTAAATAAAATGAAAGAATGAGAAGCCCACTTTTTTTTTATCCTTTCAATTTGATATATATATATAATATAAAAATGAGATCACGCCCCGGATGCAGTCCCGCCACTCGCTCATCAAAGTCGATGTTTTTGGAACGGTGGTTAGGTGCAAAATGTGAAGGACCGAAAGGCACGAGGAGCCGGCCGCGCGTCAAAACTCAAAACGTTTATTGTTGTTACTTGTTAGTAGTTGCGCTAAATATAAGCGTACGCGTCACTAACATAGTACTCTTGGCTGTCTGAACCACTTAAAGTAGTGGTGAACTTAATTAAATGCGTAATCCAGCCGAAGTTTCTATTCATCGTAATTAAAAATAAACCAAGTAGGCAAATATCTCCAATTTTATACTGATACTGCTAGTATATTTTAGTACTCCTCTAACATACTTATATGCTAGTTACCTAATTTTATTAGGTCACTGCATTAAATGGTCTAGTTATTAAGCTGAATTTTTATGTAGAAGGTTGTTTGTGATTCCACATGCTTAAACAACTAAATTAGTTGGTCATAAAGTAATATCCAGTGATATTGGGGAGATTCGTGTGTGATACGAGCTTTAGATAATTGATTGTGTCATTCGCTTTTACTAGATTATGATTTTTATTTTTATTTTTGTTTTCTCAATTTTATTACTACCTATTTAGTCTATTAATATTACTACCTATTTAACATCGAAAAAATTTGATACGTTTGAGGATAAATGTAGTGGGTTGGACGGAAAGGGATCAATGATTCCTTTTTTCAGTTGGTATTATAACTTTTCTCGAATAAGTTACGATAGATGAGAAGAAATATAGAGTAAACAAATGGAACTACTTTTGCGTTCAATGGCGTCGAGATTTCTTGGAGCTTGGATGGTGTAATTTGTAACAATGTACAAATTCTGCATGGGACGACCATTTTGTGGACAAATGTGCAATATGCATGCTACAGACACAAGGAAAGCGTCAAATTAAAAAAAAATAAAAAAAGTACAGTTCGGAAAAGAACGTAAACAACTCAAAAGGATAATTAAATAATAGCGGAGACTAAATAAGGACGACAAAACACATGAAAATTAAACGGGCGTCACGCATTTTTTCTTCCTTTTAGGTTTTCTGAATACCAAACGTTGAATATTAGTCAAATTTTTTTAGATTTATGTGTGCCTGGTTAAGAAGTGAACGACGACGACATGAATCTAGCCTCATTTTTTTTTCTTTTTTGATTTCATGAATCTAGCCTCATTTTCAATTCTTACTAGGGAGGTAGGTTTGGAAGTCATACACCATGAAATCGAACAATGCACATTCTGTAACTGCTGCATCACCCACGATAATGCAATTAGACATGTTTTATAACTTTTATATCACATAAGGTAGTGTAATTTAGGTTAGTTCATAGAATTAAACTACATAATTTGACAAAATAATACTTTTTTCGGTAGCGGAAAGCTGTATACCAATTTTGGAAATTGAAATATAAAAACTGGACTTGTAAAATCTATATAATTACGAAATTGATAAATAGACATAATATTATATTTAATTTCCAGGTTACTTTTTAAATTTGAAGAAATATTAAATTATTCATTTTATAGTTTCTTTTATTATCACTGGTATGTGTCTCGCGCTTTGCGCGGGTTTGTCAATGTTGAAGATTTATCTTTCAAAAGAATTAATTAGATAATGTAGTTATTAATATTTCTTAAAATCGTAAAAAATTTTTGATTAATTAATTTTAGATCAAAATGAGAGGTATTGATATTATTTATGAGATGTATATTTGTAAGATCTGGCCAAAAATATTACAACAAAAATTTTGAAAAGTTGTATAATAAAAATTGTCACCACTAACTAATGTTATGTTTGGATTAAAAAATATATTAAAAAATACATAAATTATGTCTAGATGCCTATGGCTTATTTATAGGCAAGGGGACGTTGGGGATTAGACACAATTAATCGTTCTTGAAAATGTAAAATCGATAAAATTGAAGACAAAGTAGTACATAAATAGAACTTTAAGGGCTAAAATGATAATAAGTTAAAAATGATGCTTGATGATCTCAATTAGCGACACGTGTCGATTATCTTTCTTTCCTTTAATATATATAATGATTCTATTGTACAGTTTTCTATTGAACTATAGCGGAATAGCCATAGTAAGAAGACTAATGTCGGAGTCAATGTTGGCATTGTGCTCGGCATTCGAGAGCTAGTACGCAGAGATTGGTTGGTTTAAACTCAGATATATATTCCGAGAAACTAACTTCGTAGCGGACTATTTGACATTTGTTGTGGCACAAGAACCAGACGGATCACAATGGCTTATGGTTCCTCTATCAAGGGCTAAATCGTATCTAGATCGTGATATTATAGGGTCTCGTACACCCACCATGTATTAATTGGAAACTAGGCTTTCATGCCTATCTTATTTGCAACAAAAAAATTTTTGCTCGTTTACACGTATACTACTAAGTTGTTAGTAAAATCATTTACTATTTGACCCCATATATAGTTTCTAGAACAGAAAACCCTTATATAGTTCACCAGGCATAACGCTTCTGGAAAGTAAGTGGTTGGTGATAGGACTTTCTACGTACGAAATTCGATTCTATGACATTAGTTCAACCATTTTAAAAGATATTACTCTGTCTTTTAAAGACCAAAATGGTCCAAAGATTCCTTTCACCCCATCATCGTCTATTGCGTTTACTTTAAGTACCTAGTATCGTTATTATATACTACCTCATCCAATGTTTCATAAAAATGTTCAAATTGTAATGCCATTTTATTTAAGAAAATAAATATTTTTTTTTTTTTGTAGTAAAACAGAACCAGAGCGATAAAAAAAGAAAGATTGGTTTAGATACTAAAACCTGTTTCATTGTCTGCTGGTAAGTTTGATTGTAATGCATATTGCAAATGGCTATTTGTTTAAATATAAAATTAGTACCACTTTGTAGCCTTATTGCCGAATAATCATTTGAAGACTTCTCTTCTTTTATAGATGACGAATGTGAAATCCTTCCATATGCAAGTTGTAAAGTACAGATGTGATTGAAATATTTGTGAAAATAACTTTTTTTTTTATTAGTTTATGAGGAAACATTGCGATTAAAGTACAATATGATTGAAATATTTGTGAAAATAACTTTTTTTTTATTACTTTATGAGGAAACATTGCGATTTTAAACTTACAATCTTAAATTAGACTCTACAATCTTAAACATTGCGATTTTCCTGAGACGGAGAATTATAAATGTATTTCGAGATATTTTAAATCTAAATTTATTAGGGGTGAATGGGTGATCGGATGTGTATTAAACAATGATAAATAGATGCTTTGGATGTTTGTCAAAAAAATGACTAGACAATCACTATCATTAAATAGAGCAAGCAACTAACTTTTAGAAAATATGTATTGAACTATAAGCTTTTTGATTATAATGCACACTAAGAAGTGTACTAAATTTATTTTGTTAAAAAAAAAAAGGAAAAGAAAAAAGACTACATTCCTATAGACTATACAGTAACCATCATTTAACTCGCTTATGAGTGGCCAAATTCTGACTTAGTTCTGGATTTCTGGCCAGCCAACGAGAATGTATCTAAATGCAGTAGTTGTTCAATAGTGGTTATGTTTCATTAATAAATTTTCAAAACAATGTTGTAAAGCACCTTTGCTACATCCAAAAGGTATTTCCTTCCTTCTAAAATAAGTGTTGTTAAATAATTTATATTTTACACACAATTTTAAAAATACTTAAATATAATAATTAAAGTATTAGAATATCCTCAACCAAACCCTTGAACATCAATGCTTGCCAATATTATTATTATTATTATTATTATTATTATTATTATTATTGGTTAAGGGTAAGTTCGGAAATTATAAATAAAAAGTACATTGTAATAAGAAAACGACACTTAGTTTGAAATTTTTTCATTTTGTGGAAACAACACTTATCTTGAAACGAAACGACTACGATTCGATACGATCACTATGGTCGTCTATGATCCTTGGTTTTGGTTGGTTTATTATGAATATTGAATATTGTTCAATAGCTCCTCGCAGAACAATATCAAAATGTAATTTCAATAGCGGTTATAAAGAACAAGAACTTTGTTACACACAAGGAAATTAGTGCAAGGGATTCATGACATGATGGTTAAAATATGGATTGCGGAGTTGATATATGTTATAGAGAATCTAATTGAAATTTTGTGATTGACTACCTACTAAATCTAGTAACAATAGAACTTGGTGATAATTTGAGATTGTTCGGTCAACTTACAGATGTAAAATCACAATTAAAACAACGACATAATTAGTGTTTCTAACTCATGTAGTATAAGTTTGAACTCCATATTTATCTCCTTTTATTTTACCCAATTTTTTTCTCTATGTGTCGGCACCTAATTATCTTGTGAGGCTGAGGGAGAAAAAGTTTCCCTAATGTGCTTAGATTTTTTCCCCATTCCTTTCTTAAAAGTAAAAAAAAAAAAAAGAAAAAGAAAAAAAAAATCCTCCAAAACCTTTTATGAAAGGAAATTAGTTACCATTTACCTCGTACTCTATCCAAATTTACCGCAAGTCTTAACGACCAGGGATGTGAAGTTGACAAATTAGTCCGTAGATCATAGGGCTCTAACCGTCACCGGAATCAAATCGGTTCTGATACTGTGCGTCGGGAATACGTAAGAAAGAAAAGAAAAATAAATGGCGGGGTTACTAGCCTGGGCGGCGGACGTAGTTGGAGCCGGCGGACAGCACAACGGCGAAGACGACGACCCCGATTCAATTCCCTTGATTTTCACACCGGAACAACTGGTTTATGCTCAGGAGTTGGATCGAAAAGCCGCGTCTCTGAACCGATCGATCCAAGATCTGCGGCTTAGATTGCCTCCTCCGGACCTATCTCAGCGATTGCCCCACCTTCACGCTCACTCCCTTGCTTCTAACGCCGCTCTCGCCCTCCAATTGAACGCCCACTCAGCCACCAAAGAACAGGTTTTCATTTTTCAAAATTAATTTTAGGCGACCAGCTCATATCGTAGGTGTTTACACACTTCAATGGATGTGTAAAATATTTATTTATTTTTTTTGGTTTTGTTTTGATTGGAAATGGAAGGTACAATCAAGAGAAATTAGATTGCAAGAAGAGAATGGAGAGTATGAGAAGGTCATATCGAGTTGCGAGATTAAAGTACGGGAGAAGTTGGAGGAAGCCAACATGCTTCAAAATAAGCTCAAGGTTAGGATTTTGATTCTCAAAAAAACTCATTTGCGTTGTTTGCCCCACAAAAAAGGTGTTTCTTTTTAGCTGCCATTGAACTTGAAACAGACATTGTTGTGTCTTGGCTCTGATTACTGTTTCAGTGAATTCCCCTGGTCGGGATATATTAAATTATTAATAGTAGATAAGCTGGCATGGGCAAGCTAGCATCTAGTTGATGAAATTGAAAGAAAGCCTTAGTTAGTCATGGATTGTTGGAATGGGATTCCTGATTGTTACTTTCAAGTCTGGATTATCAATCCTTCCAGGAGTGATACTGGGTTAGGTGTCAAAGTTGAATGAAAACCACTAAGATTTATCCTGCCTTAACTAAATTGCCGCTAGCTTTTCATTTCTTTGGCCATTCTTCTTAATCTGGTTACATATGGTTACATGGACAAGGTTTGTCAACATAAAAGTACAATATCTTTTGTAAAAGAATGAAATTTTCCAGTCTGTTATGTAAGAGGTATTTAAAACTTCTAAGCTGAATTGCGAGCTTGTTGCGTTGCTGGTTGTTCAGGGATACCTGTATAATTTCTGGTGATTTGGTCCTCCAGGAATTGGATGTTGCTGAAAAGAACCTGGAACTTGAGTTAGAAAGTGCGCAAGCTGCACTTGCTTCTGATCAGTCTGAGCGGTTGGCAAATTTATCAATTGAAGTTGAAGCCATCGATGAGGCTAATGAAGCTGCAGAAGATGCAAAGTCTGCCATTATGTATAAATTAGAGACTAAGAGACAAGAACTTGTAAGAATTTCTGTTATTATAATTTATCTTTTTTATTTATCTTTGTGTACTATTAAGATTAGTGTAATTGGATTGTTTTGTTAGGCTTCCATTGAAGAAATTGTGCAAAACTTGGAAAAGCAATGGGCTCAGGTTCAAGATGATGCAATGAAGAAACCTTCTCCAGGTAAATGCAATACATAATTGAAGCTTCCTATATTTATGGCGCAATTTTTCAACAGTAAATAATTATTTATTGGAGCCTGGCTATTAGCTGGTCTACTTCATATATGCTTTTGTATTTTACACGGTATATTTGAATGTCTATACACTAAATTGTATAATATACCAGTAGAGTAAAAGGTACTGAATTAAAAAGGGCGTCCCAGATGTATAGAAGGTCTATTTTGTGAAAATGATATGCTTTTATTCACTATTTTGGTGGAGTCACTCTTCAAGTTAGTTATGATTATAGTTTGTAATGGCCATGTTGAAAATTGGCGATGGAAAGCAAAAGATTCACGTATGGAATATAATGTCATGTAATAGAGGGAATAGCGTATAAATGATTAGTTTGTTCCAAAACTACCTTTAATACTTGTAAATCCAATTATCTTGATTCTATTGAACAAGATTCTTATATTGTTATCTGACTGCTGCAGCTCAGAGGGAAAAAATATTGGACAAACAGCTTCATAGCCTTATCGAGCAGCTTGAAGTGAAACAGGTTAGTTTTGTCTTGTTTGTTATAGCAAAGCTGCGATAGGTACATCCCATTTGCTTCTTCGAGTGTCACAATTGGGAAAAAATGGTTTTTGTTTTCTGCTTTTAGATTCAAGCTGAACGCCTTGTCAATGAAATTCATCTGAAAGAAACAGAGTTAGAAAGGCTAAATGGGTTGTCAAAGAGCCTCGAGTCCAGCACCACCGATGTAAATATAGCAAGAAATAGATACCGGAGAACTGCTTCCATGAAAGGACATGCCTCTTCAGATTTCGATTCCCAAAACAAAGCTGGCCGAACAGAGTCTTTGCAGAGACTAATGCTGCTCAGATCGGCGTTTGTGGTCTATATCTTAGCACTGCACATCTTGGTTTTCATCAAGATTTCGTTCTAAAATAACCGTTCACTGTCCGATTAATCACTGATGATGTGAATGTATACGAAGCTCAAGTACAAGGTTGAGGTAATAGTGGGGTAATCTTAATCTGTCCATAACAAAGTTGTGTTCTTGTGTACACAATGGAAAACTGGTGCACACTGTTCATTTTGCTAAGTTTAGCAACTGTGATAATTTCTTCATTTATTCAGTGAGGGAATACGCAATAATTACTTGGTTACTTCGTTTGATGTGTCACTAGAACGATTACACGAATTGTTGAATTTGTCAAAGTAAGAAAATATTAGACACAAAAGTCTGTACGTAGACCAGCAAATATTGACTGTCTGCATTTTGCCATTTTGGTGACGGAGATACTAGTTAACCTGTTACCGGTCGTTTATGTGGAGAATCATTATTTGTCGGTGTAGCGCCAAACAATGACAACAATGGTAGTTCGCGCGTCAGCAATCATGACATATACCAAAGCCTTGAATATTTATACCTAACCGTATGAGTGAAGGATGGAGAAAGAACTGAGAGCAGAAAAAGGCCATGCAAACTTGGGCCCATGGAATGGCTCCAGCTGGAAAGCGAAAGTTCCAGCAATTCTCAAACAATAGAAGCTCGATTTGGAATCGAACTTTGACCTTAGATATCTGGTTTTTTAGAGTATCTCCAATCATTCCACTATTACACAATAATTTGTACTAAATTTATTGTAAAAATAATATTCCAAAATTTTTTTTACACCAAAATTCTTTGATCTCCAACCTTAATGCACCAAATGGTTTAAATATTTAATGTTTTCGGTTAACAAATTACAAATCGAGCTATTTAAAAACATTTGAAAAATGGATTTCTGTCACTATTTAACGGAAAATATTGTGAAAAATAAAATTTTGTAAAAAAAATTAATGTAATTTGTTGATAATGTGTTAATTTTAATTACAATATTTTATTGAATTTAAATTTATTGAATATAATAAATTACAATTTTGTTAATAACCGCAAAATTAAATTAATATTTTGTTAATTTTACATTACAATTTGTGATAAATAATGTTGTTATTTTAATTAACCAAAAAATAAAATATTTTAATTTTTACATAATCCATTTGAAAAATAATTTTCAATCTTTTAAATTTTTTTTACAATATTTTAATCAACAAATTACATTATTTTTTTGTGTTCAAGGGTACTTTTTGTTTTAATTAACCACAAAATAAAATATTGTAATTAAAATATTGTAATTTGTTGATAATTTTGTGAAATTTATTTTTTGTAATCCCTTTTTATTTGATTGTAGTAGTATCATTTTTTTTTTAATTTAGTTTCATATTTAATTTTAATAATAACTAAAAATTATAAACAATACGGGTCTTATTTTGAAGATCTCAATAAAATATTTAATATGATATAATTTTCACAACATAATTCGTTTTACAAATTCAATTAAATAGCAAACATATATTTAGCTCAAAGTAAAAGATAGTGCACTAAAAATAGTGTAACGGATAATTTAAACCAAATTTGGTGTAACACTATTCACTGCACCAAGTATAGTGATTAATGTTTTGGTTGGAGTGTAATCTTTACATTAAATTTAGTATTTTGGTGTATTGGTTGGAGATGTCCTTAGCTTTTGACGGATCTTGGGAAGTTCCAAAAATGAAACCACGGTCAAGGCGTCAACCGCTAAGACGTGAAAAAGTTACAATCCAAGTCTTCCGACACAATATTTGATGTTTTTAAGTGTTTGATTATTGCTGTGGGAAAAAGTGGTTAACTAGGAGTACAATACAATTTTGTTTTGATATTCCGAACTTAGTTTTGTCGATTCATGTAGTAAACGTTACATAATTCATGTCACGGGCACTCATCAAGGAAGGTTTTTCTTAATCTCTGTCGTAAATATTCAAACGAGCAATAACTGGTCGCCTGGCCTGGCCTAGAGGAAAAAAGATAGTAGTACAAAAAAGAGGCAAACCAAAATTCCAATATCATCGTTATAAGGAGTATTAAAGTTTAACAACTATACTAGGACCAAATTAAAAAATAAAGGCCCATTTGAACAAAATTACAAAATCATCATAATGCTCCTTTTTCTGGAGATGGCGGGACAGTATTGAATAGTGGGAAGTGATGCGGCAGAAAGAGGTGGCAGAAGGTGGTGTCCCAACTCTGCTTCCGACAAGGCTGTGGCGGCAAAGAGCATATTTAGTGAATCCTGAAAAAGGTTTAACTGGTTGAGCCGGTAAACCTTCTTTGTACGCTACCATATTTTCATCGCCAGTTGAAAGTCAAAAGACACAGTCTCATATTTCATCACATTTTCCTCCTATCGGCTGCTGCAATAATGAAGGCTACTTTCACTTCCAGCACTCCATTTCCTCCCATCCCACCATGTGATACCATTTCCCGACGACTGAATTTCCTCATCTTCCCATCTCTTCTCCTTCTTCTCAGCACCGCCATTTTATGCTACAATTCATTCTCACCATGGCGGCAAGACATCAATATGGTTTATCCCAATTCAAAGCCTTCTCAGACCGAAAACTCTACTGGGTTGGGAAATCAATGCGATTTGTTCTCTGGGGACTGGGTTCCTCATCCAGAGGGACCTTACTATACAAATGAAACAAATTGTGAAATTGATATACGACAGAATTGTATGAAGAACGGCCGGCCGGACACCGAGTTCATGAATTGGAGGTGGAAGCCTGAACAGTGCGAGCTGCCCCTGTTTGATGCAATTCAGTTCTTGGAGCTCGTGAGAGGAAAAACCATGGCTTTTGTCGGTGATTCCTTGTCCAGGAACCAGTTGCAGTCTTTACTCTGCTTATTAGCCACTGTAAGTCTCTAACTACTCAAAACCAAAATTCTTGTCCTTTTTCTTTTTCAGTTTTTTGCATTTGCAATTTATTGTCCTTTTCTGCTACTGATTGTGTCTTCCCCTTTAAGGCTGTTGATTCAATACAAGCATCACATGAACCATTTGCAAAATCCAGAGTGTGGTTCTATCCAGAGTATAATTTCACATTAGCCTTTCACTGGTCCTTTCATTTGGTGAAATCAGAAGATGCTGATCTCAAGCTTGACCCGCCAAGTATGAATGTTTACTTGGAAGAGGTGGATGAGTATTGGCCACCCCTAATTGAGAATTCTGATTTTGTGATTATCTCTTCTGGCCAGTGGTTCCTCAGGGCACTTATGTACCATGACAAAAAGGGTAGGCTGATAGGTTGTTATTTGTGCAAGAATGAAAACATTACTGACCTCGGGGTACATTACGGATATCGAATGGCTTTCAGGACTTCGTTCAGGGCTATAATGAACTTGAAGAAATTCAAGGGCATTACGTTTTTAAGAACGTTTACGCCATCACATTTTGAGGGTGGAATGTGGAATGAAGGTGGGAAGTGTTCTAGGACTAGGCCGGTGGCGAAGCACGAGATGCAGTTAGGTGATTACTTTGCGGAGCTACATTCGACTCAAGTGGAGGAGCTAAGAGCTGCAGAAACAGAAGGATGGAAACTCAGAGGATTGAAGTTTAGGGTGCTAGAAGTTACTGAAATGATGAGGCTCAGACCTGATGGTCACCCCAGCAAGTATGGCCGTCCAGGTGGTGTCAATGTCACAACACTTGATTGTGCACATTGGTGCCTTCCTGGCCCCATTGACGCATGGAATGAGCTCTTACTTCAGATGTTGAAGATGGAATTGAAGATCCGTGGCTCGAGGTAATGAAATCTGGATCACTTTGAGACTGTAGGATCATCATAAATTTCATCTATACAACATTCTTTTTTGGTAAAACTTATTCATGGCATATTAGACTCAAAAAGTTAAGAAAATTTTTGATGCCATTTTGTTTTAGTGGTCGCACCTTTCTACAGAAAGAAGGAAAAATGAATGTTTTGTGTATCTCAAAATGATGTTTTACTTTGCTTCAATGAATAGTGTAACAAATTAATGATATCGCAACATCAACATTCAGATGATATTCTTCTATGTGAATCAGAGAACAAAGCTGCTATAACTGAAACAACTTGATAAACTGAGTTGAGTTCGAATACTACTAATGAAGTAAAATGAAGACATAAACATAAGAGCGGGATCAAATGATAAATAACACAACACTACATACACATCAGTATTTGAATCCTCTTTTCCATGGCGAAATCAGATAACATGAACTCAGAGCTCATCATGCCTATACCAGCAGAATCTTCCTTCCCTCCCGTGACCATGGTCTCCATCATCTCTACTGTGAATCCACCATAAAAGGTTGGTGAGTGAATCTCCATCATCATATCCCTCGAGATTCCTGATATTCTCCAGTGCACCTTCTCTGTCGTAAATGCCTTCCAAGGCAAAGACAAATCCCTTCCATCCTTCTCCAACTCCTTCCCTTACCAGAGCTGGCAGAGTCCATCTAACTAGCTGTCTTGTATACTGAACATCAGAGAACACAATCTCAGTAATAGGCAACAGGGGCAGCACCTGGATTCCTAGCCTACATTCTCGCCATTCAGGTGGTGCAAACCAAAGTCCGCTGTCCCTCTTGTTAGCCCATACCATACCCAAAACTCTGTTCTCTTCCGTAAATGCATTCCCATACAGAGTATCATCCTCCCTCACATGCCACCAAGTTTGTGCCGAGTGAATCTCAAAGGCTGCAAGAGTTGAACCAGTGGCAACAAGGTGGGTGTCTCCATAAGCCAATCCCATTAAAGCTGCTGAATAGTAAGCGCTTATTGCCTCACTCGTGCTTTCCTGATTCCGGCCATCTGCAAATTCTGTCAATCCTCCAGCCCAAGAATGCAACAGCCAAAAATCAAAACTTCTCACACGGGTGTAACTTGAATCTGCTCTTCTGCTTAAACTCATATAGTCTGCCATCAATGAGTAAGCCTTTGGTCTGTACTTCCTTCCCCAACAATGATCAATCTTTGCGAGCACAGAAATTGCATAAGTGAAATAGCCAAGATGATAGTGGTGATCATTGTAAAGTCCAAAGCCAAAATCAGCTCCAGAATCCAGTGACCCTTGTTTAGTCACAATTCCACCCCATTTTGAATCATACAGAAAACCATTAGCACCCAGAGTCCCGTCTAACCATGGTTCAATTGAATCCTTCAAGAACTTCCTAATAGCCGGGATAACATCAGGGTAAGAAACCTCTTCAGCAATCAAAGCTAACCTTGCAGCTCTGGCAACTAACTTCCCATAAAAATAAGAAGAAGTCGTGGTAATTGGAGTTGTGCTTAGAGCCTCAACATCCTTAACAAGGGCAGCTATTATCTCTTCTTGCGATTCCTCCTTAACACCTTTAATTGAATGCCAAGTCACAGAAATAGGATCACTCTTCAAAACCCACGAATCCGCCACAACTCCCACAAGGTCTCCATCAATGCTTTTATACTTAATGTTCTCCAACAAGGCAAAACAACAATCAGCATCAGAAAGAAGCTTAAGATGCAGGGGATGTGCAAGCATTAGCAAATCGCCCCATCCCTTTTTCTCCCATCTGTATTCCACAGAGAATGGCCTACTAAAAAGGGCACTACCACTCAAAGGATAACAAGAACTGAAGCGATCAAGAGTCGCCTCTGTAACTGGGTCACAATCAGGCAAAGCAGCTATCCTAATTATCCCACAAAACTCACAAGCAGTAGTAATTGAAGAAACACCATTCTGATCCAAATGGATGGGTGAAGAAGCATACAACACCCAAGTCTGATTGTTATTGAGCTTAATGGTATACTTGGTACGAGTAGGATTGAATGACAAATGCAGAATAGCATGAATGGTTGAAATTGAGATTGATGCATTACCTATAACCTCGCAAGTCAAGAAAGGGCTTCCCCTTACAAGATAGAAACGCAAATTGCTGGAGGGATAATCCAGTGTGACACTAAGGTCATTGAAAGCAGAAATTTCATGAGTGGCACTTGGGTTGGGATTATTCACGGTTGAAATGGAGAGATCAGGATTAAACACTTGGTAAAGGAACTTAGCGTTTTGGGATATAGATGGGTAACAGATGGAAAGCGTGGAAAGGAACGATTTGATTAGATACGGATGAATGTATTCCGGCTGGTCGCCATTCTTGAGAACAAAATTCTGGAAGAAAGAGTTTGTGGGAAGTGGTGCACGGAGGAGATTTTGGGCGAAGAATTTGGAGGGATCAGGGAGAACGGCGGATTGGGTTGTGGGGAACAGGAAAGGTTGTTGTTGATGCTCCATTTTTATCGGCGGCGACGTCGGAACTGGTGGCGGAAGCGGTGGAGGAGCTACCGAAGAAGGCGGTGGCGATTGGTTTGGGGGTTTTATAAGTTTCTTCTTGAAAGGCTTCGTCACGATAGCGACGACTTTTCGTCTGACTTTCTTAATCACCATATTTCCGGTCTTTGTTATTGTTACCTTAACCGTGTAACGTTGCCACGTCACCGCCGCTGCTAGCCATAATTTCGGAGAAGCATCTATTTTAAGTATTATTATTATGTTTGTATTAGTTGTAGTACTATTTTTATTGTTTCCTAAACGAAGCATTTAATTTTGCTAAGAAATTTCATATGCAAAAAATACCTGTATTTCCGCCAAAGACAATTTGATTACTAATGAATTCTCAATTGGTCTGGCGAGCGGCTTCACAGAGTGATTTAACGCTTCGGAATTTTTGCTTGAATGGATTCAGAGATTGAGAAGAACTTTGACAATTGGTGATATGGTGGGGATGATGATTCAATAGGAAGTGATGTTGGGACGCAATGTGGGTTTCTTTTTTTGTTTCTTCTTTTTATAAAGTTGTGGTTTGGAGGAATGGTGTTTTGTTGCAAAGATCCGTGAAGACTAAGATATGACATATTTGGAAGGAAAGAAAAGATGGGTGTTGTTTATGTAGTAAAATGGAAGAAGAAGAATCAAATGAAATAATGATCCTTTGCTTTGCTGAATTCCATTGCCAATACCCAAATTCTGAACTAACCTCTAGCTGCTGTATACGACCCTTTTACTCAAAGCAAGGAATGGTTTTTGTCCCTACTCCTTTCCGGCTTGATGGTAGCAAATTGTTGTCCCAGTCTACCAGAAGCCAAGAACCTATCATGTAGTAGAATTTCTACGTGGTAAATCGGTTGATGTGGATGAGATGACAGTTAAGCTGCTTCTTGTAAAGGAACCATTTACTGCAACCATTTTAACTGGTTTGTCAATTTGTAAGATCTTGGGTAGAGAAGTAACTTAGATGCCAAGAGCTGATGATTGCAGAGATTTTTTTGCTCTCCACTTCGAAAGTTGTTACATGTGTTCGGTTACACTGCTGTGATAAGTTTGAAATGATCATCCTAACAAGAACAATACTAATGCCAACAAATCAACAGGCTATGGAAAAGAACACGTAATTAAGCTGCAGTGTGTTATGACTTCATTATGTATATATGCAGGCTTTTATATATAGAGAAGGATAATATAATGCCATAATGGCACTTCTCGATGGAAAATTTTTCTCAACTTATGGTTCAAAGAGACAGATCACTTTACTGCTCCTTCTTCTGTTCTGTACCGTCCTAATTAGCCGGTACTGCAATCCTTTCACCTCATGGCAGAATAAGATGATAAACTTCCACCGTAGTGCATTGCCGTCAAGTGATCAGAATGTTAGTGATTCAGCCGGTCCAATGTCAGGAGCACAATGCGATTTGTTTGCTGGAGAGTGGATTCCTTCTCCTGAAGGGCCTTACTTTACAAATGCCAGCAAGTGCGAGATTGACGATCGACAAAATTGCATGAAGTTTGGACGTCCAGATACTGAGTTTTTGAAATGGAGGTGGAAGCCTCATGGCTGCGAGCTACCCCGGTTTAATGTATCTCAGTTCTTGGAGATTGTTAGAGGAAAGTCCATGGCTTTTATTGGTGACTCATTAGCCAGAAATCAGATGCAGTCATTAGCCTGCATCTTAGCCAGTGTGCGTATTGTTTCATCTACTATCAGCAGTCATTCTCATTTCTTGCGTTCTTTTCCCTTTGTAATTCTGCTGTTCTAATCAATCTTTTTACCCTCCTTAGGAAGCTGATCCGATTGATGTATCTTATACGCCAGATGGAAGATTCAAACGTTGTTTCTACGCGGAACACAATTTCACACTTGCAGTCTTCTGGTCTACTCATTTAGTCAGATCAGAAGAAGTTGATCCCTTAACTAGTCTTATGAAACTCCACTTGGATGAAGTTGATCAAAACTGGGCTGCTGAAATCGAAAACTTCAGCTATGTGATTTTTTCAGCAGGACAGTGGTTCCTCAGGCCTCTTCTGTACTACCAAAAGGGAAAACTCATTGGGTGTTATTTTTGCAATCGAGAAAACATTGCAAACCTTACTCAGTACTATGGATACAAGATGGCCTTCAGAACATCATTTAGGACACTAACGCGGTTGAAAAACTTCAAGGGGATGACCATTTTAAGGACAATTTCACCTCAGCATTATGAGAATGGAGAGTGGAACAAAGGCGGGAATTGCTTGCGCAAAAGGCCGTTAGGGAAGCAAGCAATGAAGTTGGAAGATTACATGTTGGAGTTCTATTGGACTCAGCTGGAGGAGCTTAGAGCAATGCAGAATGAAAGAATCAAGAGAAGGGGTTTGAAGTTCAGGGTCTTAAATGCTACTCAGCTGATGCTTCTGAGAGCGGATGGTCACCCAAACCACTATGGACATCCGCCCGGTGAGAACATAACAATTGCTGATTGTGTGCATTGGTGCCTACCCGGTCCAATTGATACGTGGAACGAGGTGTTGCTTCAAATGCTGATTGTAGAAACCTAGTTTGCTTCTCCAGGAGAACTTGTCCGTATACATCGAGCGCGAAAACTTTGCCCGTCAATTAGTACTATCCAGTATCAATTATGGTTTTGTAGTTCCCGGCGTTACCAAAAAAAAGTATGGTTTTGTAATGTCTGTGGTTTAGTTTACTCTCTATCTTCAGTTTTGATCATACAACAGGACTTTTCCGTAGCAACAGGTTTGAAGTTCAACAAGGAATAGGTTTTATCGTTGGAAAATGTCAAAATCTTCCCATAAAGAGAAATCAATTAACAGTGATAAGTCTTTTCCATAGCAACAGTTTTGAAGTTCAACAAGGAATAGGTTTTATCGTTGGAAAATATCAAAATCTTCCCATAAAGTGAAATCAATTAACATTGATAAGTTCTTGGAGCTAAGTACATGAATTTTTTTTTTTTTTTTTGGTACATATTTGCAAGGTGTTCATCGTCGGCAACAGTGACTAATCTCCCTCGCTGAATTGTAGGCATCTCGATAGGCAATTAACACTGATAAGTTCTTGGAGCTAAGTACATGAATTTTTTTTTTTTCCATATTTGAAAGGTGTCCACCGTCAGCAACAGTCACTGATAAGTTCTTGGAGCTAAGTACATGAATTTTTTTTTTTTTCATGTTTGTAAAGTGTCCATTGTCGGCAACAGTGACTGATAAGTTCTTGGAGCTAAGTACATGAATTTTTTTTTTCATATTTGCAAGGTGTCCATCATTGGCAACAGTAATAAAACTAAGTACATGAATTTTTTTTTTCATATTTACAAGGTGTTTACCATCGGCAATAAGCATCTCGATGGGTGGGACAATTAGTCAAAATATTTAAGATTGTTCTATAATCATGGTGTAGTTTGAACTCTCGACCTATGATTAAAAGTGGAGAAGTTCCTTCCACTCCACCACAACCACTTTGGTTAAATACATGAAATTTATCCACACAAAATATCATGGCAGCTGATTTCGTGACTTTGGGCTTTCCTGGCCCAACGGACACTTTTTTTCTTTTTCCTTTTTCTAGTTTTGTTTTTCTTTTAAATTGAATTATCTCTAAATTTAGTCATAATTCATCCACGGGAATCCATTCTAAATTTACTGGAAGAATTTCTGTAATTAAATTTGTGATTATTTTGAGCATTTTAGTAGGGATTGTAGCTAGACAAGCTTTTAGATCAAATTACTCTGAACTCCAAAGGTCATACCGGTGAAATCCAATTTTGACAAATATACGAAGTTAAAACTGTTTACAATTGGCATTCCAATTTAGTTTAATTTTTTTTTATCTAAAATTCAGGCAATCATAAAGTGCTGCATACATTACCCTAAAAATAATTCAATTGTGTAACTTATTCCAATGATTATATTTAGCTTGGGAGATTGGGGCTGCCAAGTGATTACTGAAGTCTATAGCGAATATGTAGTCAATGTGGTGAATATCAAGGATGAGATATTTGGACACAAACAAACAAACTGATTTCTTGTAGCAATTTGAGAACTACCTGACGTTGAATGGACTGTGGAGGCATGATTAAAGAGAGTATAATTTATATGACCCCATCCTTAGCGAACTATAGTTGAGGTTAAGTCGTGGTTAGAATATTTTACCATCGTTCATTGTATTAAAAAAATTATTCTTCATGTCCTAAAATTATTGTTTAGTTTGTGCATTCACAAATTAGATAATAATTTCGAGACGGAGTAACACATAAGGAATAATACAACATGGTTACGGGATGTTCACTTCATCTTCTCTCCTTGGTGTTCTCCTCATATGATCTCCTCTCTTCCATCTTCAACAATTGAAGCAAGAAATCACTCCAAGAATCAATAGGTCCAGGCAAGCACCAGTGTACACAATCATTGTACAATGTCACATTATCATTAGGCAAATGGCCATATCTACTCGGATGCCCATCTGGTCTCAACAACATAGCTCTAGTTACATCAAGCAACCTAAATCTCAACCCTTCTTTTTCCCCTTCCCTTTCCGCAGCCCTGAATTCCTCCAATTGAGTCGAATAAAGCTCCAATTGGGAACCCTCCAAACTAGTCTCATTTCTACTAAACGGCTTCTTTCTTAAACAATTTCCACCTTGGTTCCATTCGCCGCCTTCGAAATGAGAAGGCGCAACAGTCCTAAGGAATGTCACACTCTTCCTGTTTTTAATCCTTTGGATGGCCTTAAAGGCGGTTCGCCACGCCTTCCGGTAGGCGTAAACCATAGGAAACTCGGAGATATTCTGCATTTGACAAAACCGGCAACCAAGAAGCTGGTTATTCTCGTAGTAAATGCTCGGCCGGGGAAACCATTGGCCGGCGCTGATGATCACGTAATCAAACTCGTGGATCTTGGTTGTCCATTTCTCGTCAAATTCATCAAGGTAGAGGTGGAAGAGATTTTTATCACCCACTTGTTCTGATTTGACCAGGAATGATGTGAAGAATACGGCCAGGGTGAAGTTGTTAGACGGGTATTTGAAACGCTTGAAATCTACGCTATCGTCTGCTGAAATGTCAATTGGATATTCCACCTGAAAAATATATGCAACATTATTATTAGATTATCCAAGGAACACCTTTAGTAATCATATGTGGTGGATAAGCTTGCAAATGCGAAATTCCATCGGAACTAAGAAAATTAATCCAGAATGAGTTCGCTGTTAAATTCACCAATCACCTCGTAAACTAGTTAGTCAACATAAAAAAAAAAAAAAAATTGGTTATTTCTATACTCCAAAAAAAAGTCCCCACCCAGGCATATACGAGATGAGTTAGAAATAATTTTTTGTTTTGTTAAATAATAATTTAGTAATTGTTAACCGAGAGCAAACACTCAAAATTCTGACTTATATTGATTAGAGAGATTTTGGTTCAAAAGTTACATTAAAATATCACTGTAACTTCTGCAAGAACCAAACAATAAGTCTATTTATCTCGGACCGAGAAATTTAATATATATACAGCACTGCTATCACCAATTCATCTAAAAACATTAAAGCTACATAGACTAAAACTATATATATTCATGATAAATAATTTTCACCTTCAAAAATAATTGTCTTGTTCATTACACTAACATAGAGAGTAACAAACATGATATACTTGCATTGGAGCCGCATGCCAATTGCTGGAAGCAGTCCTATATTGTTTGAGTATTGATTGAACTTTGTTGGACTAATTATTTCTGGATACTTTGTCCATTACACAAGCACTCACTAATCCTCGTCGTCAACACGTAGTACAAATCATGTGGCCATAGCTAATTAATTTATTAAGTAAAAGATAATCAAAAGACGTGAAACATCATGTGTGAACTAGCTGCATCGTTTCACATTTGAAACACAGAAAAGTCTCTCAAGATTCGTTCTGCTAATTGGCAGCAACCCCTTTCATCAAATCATGAACAAATTCTTCATTTTCCCAATTAATGCAATCAAATTTAATCATACGTGGTTGTACGTACATATATGATCATAGATTCAGTTTTTTTGGGGTTCTAAATCACGAAATAAAGATTTGAAAACAAACTCAATCAAATCCTCTATATATATATATATGGCTCAAATTAAATCTTGGATATGAGTTAGTGAATGGGAAAAATCTATAGCTAGCTAGCTAGATAGAGGGAGTGAAGAAGATTAATTAACTTAACGTACCCGAGATAAGAGGCAGATCAAGGATTGAAACTGGTTTCTTGCAATGGAATCACCCACAAAAGCCATATATTTCTCCGTCATCAACTCCAAGAACTCCTTGGGATTGAAGATGGGTAATTCACAGCCGTCCGGCTTCCACCTCCACTTCATGAAACCATCGTCCGGCCTCCCGTACTTCATGCAGTTCTGATGCTCATGAATCGCCCAACACGTGGCATTCGTGTAATACGGCGCATCCGGGTTCCGAACCCATTCTCCGGCGAAGATGTCACACGACTTGTAGTCCTCCTCCTCCTCGGCCAACACGCCGCGGCTGGACGGAGCTGGCGCGGCGGCTGATTCTTCGCTACTAGTAGTAGTATTTAAATGTAATGTTGTAGTAGATGATGGGTAGCTTCTAGTTCTAAGTAAAGGGGAGTTGTAGATTGATGATGGTCCTCCAATAATGGAAACAACGATTAATAATGTGGTTACGGCTGTGATTAGGATGGGTACTTTTCGATTCTTCTTCAGAAAAACAAACTCCATCTTCATGGCGTCCACTCCCACTCAATTTTTAGGAAAAGAATTAATAAAAGATGCTCCAAACCGTGTGATGTGGGGTTGCAATTGGGTTGATTAATTAATTAGTGTTAATTCCAACCCAATCGATCGAGTACAAACACTAAGCAGTAAGCAGCTACTTCTTTCCGGTCCTTATTATAAGTCATTTTAATTTTGTCTTATGTTTCACATAGGATATATTTTTAAATTGTGAAAAAAATCTTAAAAATATATTTTCATATTCATCGTATTCTTTTAATTATTAAGAAATATTTTTAAGATTTTTATTTTAATTAAAAAAATATCTTATGCAAAATTTAGGATAAATCTAAGACAAATCAAAATGTCTTATAATAAGGATAGGAAGCGAGTACTATAACATAATGATAACCATTAGTGTTATTCCCGAAAAGAGACCAATCGAGTACATACACTCGCGAATTCATTTATTAGCATTTGTTTAAATTGGTACGTACATACTGGCAAATCTTGCTTATCTGAGCTTTTACAGCTGCCCATGATCAGCTTTCTAGATCAACATAAATAAACTATTGATTATCTTTGGATTTTGGGGCATGATGAAATTTATTATAATTGTAGCTTGTGTCTGCTTAAGAGTTAAGGCATAACCTCGTTATTACTATACATGGGAAAAAATAAAACACCTTAGTCCAAGAAATGGAAATTTTTGAAATTTATCATGCCTTTAAAAAAATTTCTTTTGATGATTAGAGAGTCTCTAGTCTCTAGTCGTATGCTTGTGCACATGGCAATATAACATGATGTCATGCACAATTTTGATTGGAAAAATGTAACATTTCAGTCGTGTTGTGCGCATGAAATTGCTAAACGCGGGCGCGACATTACGTAACGTGCACCTCTTTTTCTTTTCGGATTTGCTGGATGCAATTATGCAAATGCCTAAAATCCCAAGCTCCAACCATGTAGAAGAATAGTCTACTTCGTTGTATCTCCAGAACAATATAATACAATAAACTATTTAATTTATATTTTAGAAAAAGAAAATAACAATTATATTTTCAAGGTATATAACTATCACAATAATCAATAAATGTTATGATTGAGCCAATATTTCACTTCATCCGGTGGAGGATCATGCACACGTGGAATATCCCTCTCCTTTATATGTATATTTTTTTTAATTTTTATTTTATTTTTTAACAAATATCCCTCCTTGTTGAATGTGGCGTTGTATGCTCAAAACTTTATGCAATTAACCAGTGCTATATTTGTGTCGTTACGTTCAGCTTCAAATAACCAAGCATTTGTGTAATTATGGTCAACTTCAAATTGCTATGATGTTATAGTCATTTACTTCCAATTTGGACAATGCCTAATATACCAAAAAAAGAGAGAGAAAGAAATTAGAATGCCTTTTCCTTTATGATTACAAGGCTTTTAGAATCTTCTTAAAATCTCCCTAACTAGTCTAATTTTATTTTAATAATCCAAAACCCCCCTCTCTTTTGGTGATGCTCATCTTTATTTCGATGCAAAAAATATTATTTCTTTTTTCTTTTTCTTTATTCGTTTCTTTACATTTATAACAATCCCACCCCTATATTATTACTCCCTCCATTTGGTCCCCTACATTTGCTCTAAATCAAATTTTAATTCTCTACATTAACATATATATAAAATGAATTTTTACATTTTATTTTATAACAATTTTAGTTCGTTTTCACTGTTCTATCAAAAGTTCCGTCACAACCACAGTTGACCCTATAAAATAAAAAAACACAAACTCTATTTTTAATAATAAAAAATTTAAAATATTATTTAATAAAGAAAGTAATACTTTTTTTTTTAAAAAAAAAGTATTTACGTGTGCCTCTTTTATTGTACTCAAATGAAAGTAAAATAATATTCTGTTATACATAAGGTTATGTCCAAAATAAGGACGATACACCTTTTCCGGTGATAGTATACGTACATATCCAAGAAAATCTATAATGTTTCAATGGGAGGAAGAAATTTCTTTTTCTTTGGTACAGTAAAAGAAGTGAAAATATCTAACCTTAAATTAGTAAAAATTGGGGGTGAAAAATTAATATTACATAATACATTGTGTTCTTCAATCACACTTCGACTCCATTCCGCAAATCATGCAACATTTAAATACCTTCTCGTCTCGTCAATGGCAAGAAAGTTAGGTAATCTGCAGCTAATTAAGTGCGCGGCCAGATGAATAATCAGCCAATGAAACAAGTGAATGAGGAGTTAATAAAATTCACGTCCAAGCAAATAAACATTCACTTAATTGATTAATCTTCTCTCCTTTCTCTTAGGTTGGATCTTTTCCTCATAGGATCTCCTGCCCTCCATCTTCAACATTTGCAGCAAGAAATCATTCCAAGAATCTACGGGACCAGGCAAACACCAATGCACACAATCATTGTACAATGTCACATTTGCATTAGGCCAATGCCCATATTTACTAGGATGCCCATCTGGTCTTAACAACATAGCTTGAGTTATATCAAGCAATCTGAACCTCAATCCTTTCTTTTTCCCTTCTTCTTCTATAGCCCTGAATTCTTCCAATTGAGTTAAGTAAACATCCAAACTTACACCCCCCAAAGTAATCTCACTACTCCTAAATGGCCTTTTTCTAAGACAATTTCCTCCTTCATTCCAATCACCGCCTTCGAAATGAGACGGCGCATAAGTCCTAAGAAATATCACACTCTGCCGATTGTTGTTGGTTCTGATCGCCTTAAGGGCAGTCTTCCATGCCTTCCGGTAGGCGAAAGTGACCGGGAGTTTGGTGACATTAGGCATTTGACAAGAATGGCAACCCAGAAGTTGGTTATTCTCATAGTAAACGGTTGGCCGGAAAAACCATTGGCCGGTGTTGATGATCACGTAGTCGAATTCTTGCATTTTGGAAGACCATTTTACGTCTATTTCGTCGAGATAGAGCTTGAATAGGTTCTCGCTGCCCACTTGTTGAGATTTCACTAAGTATGTTGTCCAAAATGCGGCTAAGGTGAAGTTGTAATTCGGGTATTTCCAACGCCGGAAGTAGTCATCTACGTCGGCTTCGTCCAAGCCGGAATCATCCACCGGATATTCAACCTGAATATATATATATATATATATATATATATATGGATTATAATGAAGTTTTGGTAAGCAAAGACCCAAACATTGTAATAAAAAAAAAAGGAGGAATCTTGCTAAAAATATTAGGTAGCTCATGCACATGCATTTTGTTTGAGCAATGAATTGTTCAAGATAGATCGATAATTTTACAATATTTCATAGGTATAAGAAGACAAGAAATATCATGTGGCAGAGCTGGTCGTACATGACATTCAGTCTTTTTGCTACCAAACATCTGACATGATACTTCTTTATTCTCTTTTTCTAAAACCCGTAGCCAAAAAAAATAAAAAATAAAAAAAAATGCCAACTGAAACTTCTCGAGAAAATAATTTTAAAAAATGGTAAACACAAGAAATTGCAAATCTTTGTTGACAAATGTTGCATGTTCCATCTAGCTTAATACTCTTCATTACAATTCCATTTGCTTCATTTCACCAACAAAAACTTTAAAAGGCCAAGAGTTTCATAAAAAGTACGCTTGTAATTGTAAATTAATCATTGATAAATTCATATCCTGAAGTGACTTATAAAGAATGATGACAATGGGGTGTAAATGAAAAATGAAATCATGACTGACTTATATTTCAAAGATTGAAGTATAATAAAAAGAGAAAAAAACTTCTTTTTTTTAAATTTTTTATCCATATACTATTTCTTCATATGAAAAACTTTCAACAAATTAGAGTGTGCGCTAATTGTGATGTAGAGAGAGTGTGTAACATACCCTAGATAAGAGGCAAACCAAGGATTGCATATGGTTTCTTCCAACAGAATCACCAACAAAAGCCATGGATTTCCCTCTCATCATGTCCAAGAACTGATAAGGATTGAAGATAGGTAGTTCACAACCATCAGGCTTCCATCTCCACTTCATGAAACCATCGTCCGGCCTCCCATACTTCATGCAGTTCTGATGCTCATGAATCGCCCAACAGGTGGTGTTCGTGTAGTACGGCGCATCCGGGTTCCAAACCCATTCTCCGACGAATATGTCACACTTCCCGCCTTCCTCATCCGCCACCCTAATAACCTTCTCCTCCACTAGGCGGCTGTGGAGCGCCGCGACGGTGGCGGCGGGTTCATCGGAAGATGTAGTAGTAGTAGTCTTCAATAATGTAGATGGATAATTTCTCAAAGGGAAATAAATCAATGGGACAATGGAAAGAATGATTAATGTTGTTGCAGCTGTTAGAAGAACTACGATTGGGACCTTTTGGACCGCGGAATTGTTCTTCAGATAAGGAAACTCCATTTTGATATATTGCTTTACAAATTCGTTAAAAAGGGGGGAAAAAAAAGAGGAGGAAATTATGTTGAGTGAATGAACGGGAGGCAAAGTGAAAGTGAAATGTGTGAAGAAGAGATTTGGTGAGTTTTATGTGTTTTAGTTCGAAACAAGCACAACTATAGCACATGCAACATGTTACAGTTACAACCAAAATAGATAGATGTGGTTTTGTTGGCAAGTCTGAGCCCTGACGTTAAATACTATATTTTAAACTGACCAAATCCAAATTATTGTTGGTTTGGTTCAAATTGATTGAATGCTTATGTGTATTGTTCATGGGCTTGCATTTCTATTCTTTTTTTTTTTTTTTTTGGTTACTTGAATTTGAATTTGTTTTGATTGAAACAAGCTTTATTCTAAAAATGGTGGGAGAGAAACAGACTTGTTTGAGAAACGAAGCAATCCTCAATTTCTACATCAAAGCTCAAATGTATATAATTGGGCATAATGACTCTATTGTTAGTAATTTTTGTAAAATGAGTAGAGAGTAATGGTGACGTTTAGTCCAAGTTTTGTTGATTAGAGTCATCCACACTTTGAAAAAGTTTTGACGTTCGTGCAAAGTTTCCTTGATTAGATTCATAAAAAAATTCACTTTCCAAAAAATCAAAAAGTACAAAAAGTATTAGTAAAAGGTGTTGCAGATAGAGTAAAATATGCTGTGCGATCCGAAAGACATAGTGTAAGTAGTGATGTACTCTTAAAATTCATTGTTAATTTCTAAATCGACCAAAAATAATGTCGGAAAAATCTTATGATATTGAAAAGGGTCACTTCGAAAATTGAATTAGCATACTCTTTTTCTTTTTTTTCCCTTTTTTTTTGAAAGAAATGAACTTTATATTAAACAAAGTTAAAAAACATATTAAATAATGGTGGTGGCCTTGCAGGAGATGTTTGCCTTATAGTTACGAAAATGAAATAATCCCTTTCTCGAGGTTGATCAAAACCAAAATTGAGTATATCTAGGATAAGCTGAAAAACAAGAGAACGTGACTGATATATTAAAATATTTATTCAATTACTCTCCTCATTGTCTATTTTCATCAAAGTGCAGAGACATTGATTCCCTTGGCTTTAAAAAACAAGGAGATTTGTATCTCTTGGATCTAATTCCAATGGAATCTTCATATTTTTCAAACGCGATCGACGGTAGTATAAACGTCCAATTTCTCTGATCAGCCGGTGTTCTGCTTCGTCCGTAGTACTCCCTCCATTAAAAAAAAAAAACAATTTGTTAAACTAAAATCGTCTAATAAAATAACCGTAACAAATAAATTACCATCCTTAATAAAAGTTATTTTGAAGTTATACTCATTTTATAAATTTAACTATGTCCACTTCTCCTCATCCAAATTTTCCCAAATTATATGTAGTACTAATGGCTTGAAAAATTTTCGTAAAATTTTTTTGGTTTTAGTTTTAATACAAATTGAATTAAAAGTAATAATCTAATAAAAACAATAATTTTGGGACATGGGGAGTATATTTTTTTGTCATCCTTTTCCCCTTGCTAGTTTTCTTCAGTGACTTTGCGTTTTACGCCCTGGTAGTATTTTTCTCCGAATCAGTTAATTGGCTTAGAAAAATTTATTTTATTTAACACAGTTTTGTTGCTGCTCACTAGACTTTTCCTATGTTTTGTCAAAAGCCTATATATGTAAGTATATGTATATATTAGTGGATTGACCATGCTATAGCTAGTATTTTATTTATTTGTGGTCTGAAAGACTACTACAATGTGCTAAAGGTGGATATGTGATGACAAAGTGTATCTCTCGGAGCAATGAAACTTTGTGTTAATAAACTTAAAATTGAAAACCACATCCTACTTGCAAAACCCTTTTGTCTTCACTAAATCGATCGATATTCCGGTTACAAAGCAAACATACCAAATGAGCCATGCACATTTGTCACCATCCCTCTAGGTTATCAAGCCGATTCTTACATTCAACCTGGTGATCATTATAAAATTCAAAAAAAAAAAAAAAAGTCCAGAAAACTGTCCAACTCTCCAAGGACCAAGGCCATAACTTTGGCTTCCAATTTTATTAGATGCTTGTCTCGAGTTGTTGCCCGAGCAACCGTCTGTATTTTCAAATAGTTAAATGAAAAATATAAAACAAATTATTCACATCCCGAGTTGTTGCCCGAGCAACCGTCTGTATTTTCAAATAGTTAAATGAAAAATATAAAACAAATTATTCACATCCCGAGTTGTTATCCGAGGCTGCTGAACACAATCATAAATAACAACGTTTTATTTTCATTTTGAAATTGCATGTTTTCATTGTCCTTTAAAGGTCCATATGTCAATAGACTGTAAAAAAATAAATGTCAACTTCTAAGACACATAAATTGAGTTGGAGTCTCCATTTGGAATGATGAAAATATGCTTGCAAAGCCCAAATCTAGAGTTGCAATTGTCGGGCAAAACATTTCTCCAAATTCCATGGATAGAGATGCCAAATATGCATTTGTAGCTCAGTCATCAATACTGTCAAGAAATTTCACTAATAATCAGTCATCTTCCAGGGATCATAAGTTGTGATCCATAGGTCGGATTTGAATGTTCTTTATATGGTCGCGAAGCTGTAAGAACCAATCACAATTTCTTTTCAAAAGTTAGTCTCAAATTCTAACTGTATACAGGCTAAAAAGGGCTCTAAACTCGGTCACTAAGAACTGCAAATGTATTTAAGTCAGTTAATTAAAAATAACAGGTTATACAACATTAGCAAAAAGTAGCAAAATAAGGGAAGATTTAACCGCAGAAATAGTGTGATTTGTGTTTCCCTCAAGAGTTTTTTTGGGATGAGTTTCCTCCCTAATCACATATGAACTGATGTCTGCCTCAGCTTCCCAAATAAATTGCTTATGAGACTTTAGAATTTTCTAGGATACAACAACCAGATTTAAAGAAACCAAACCCAGTGAGTTGCATAGCAAAGCGAAACAAAACATTGTGCAATAGATGACCAAAAAATCAATAAGACTGTATCTTTTGAGCTACCAAAAATGCAGAATAGAATCCAACCATAAATTGACCAAGTAAACTATTGTTATATCCAAGGTTCTTGTTTCCTAACAATAAGGAAAAAGAATTTCAGATTCTTCATAAATCAACCTATTAAAAATGATGATTCCGGACCATATAAGTAACCAAATGATCAACCTATGAAAGAATGATAATTCCTGACCATATAAGTAACCAAATGGAAAAAATGATGATTTTGAAGTCTTGATTACTACCCAAAAAACAAACATATGTCATCAAGGACATTTTCAACGGGGGAGTCTTCTTGGAGGGTTCATTGGAGCTGGCCTTACCCAAATTTTTGGTGTCACGTAGGACATGTTTGACAACTTTGTTTTTTTTCATTGGAGCTGGCCTTTTTTTATTCTTACAACACCAAAAAGAAAAATAAAACAAAAACCGCAAAGATGATAGGTGAGAAAACCATTTTGCTTCACACTAATCACTAATACAAACACGCAAAACATTTTTAATTGCAAGATTTATATACACGATCATTAAAGCATTGTGCATCTTACCAAGAAAACTCTCCGTAGTCAAGAATGCTTGTCGTTGATTGCTTTTCTTAGTGCATATTTGAAGGATTTCACCTTCGAAGTCTTTGAGCACCTTCCTTCCCCTCTTCCAAGTAGAAGGCAGAACCACTATTCTTATGAGATTTTTTTTTTTTAAAAAAATCAGCACTAAATAAAAAAGAGACTTTCAATTACCAAAAATATGAATTCAATTAATTCTACATTTGAGGAATTACCTGAGATTTTTGTCAAGCCATTGGGCTTTTCTTATATAGTAAGAGAAGATTTAGGCCAAAGAAGAATTTGCTCCAAAGCGGCAGTCGAGGTTGGCGCTAATTCAGCTCCTTCGGTTGAAAAAACCCACATAAATCTTTGTTGAAATTCGATTCTATTAATTTAATAGAGAAGATAATTGGGAGATATTATTATCCTATGCTAAAATTGAGGAGATGAGTTATTGGATTGAAAATTAAGGAACCCTGAGTTTATGCCTGATTTTTTTTGTTAATAGGATGTACGTGACATTATTATCCTACGGTAGTTTTATTTTTAAATTTAAACTCAAATGTAAGAGTTAAAAAGATGTAAAATCTTTAAATTGGGGAATGTTTAAGGTGAATAATTATTTTTGCAAAATGTAAATTTTTTAAATTAGGGAGTGTTTAACGTTATCATTTTGTATTTTACAGAATTATAGAATCTTATTTTTTCCGGATGAAAACAGGACACGTGGTATCATTCTTTTGTAAAAGATATTTTTTTTTTTGTTTAGGCGAGAAAAAAACTTATGTAAAACTGACACGTATTCTAAGTGTCATTTACTTTTATGAAGTGCAAAAAGCGATTGTTCCGCCACAGCATGCAAGTCCTTCATTGAAAAGGCAAAGCGATTTTTGGTTTTCCAATCAAATCATTTTGAAGGCTTAAACTACTATTCTATTCTAAACAACCCGTCCCGATAATGTTGAAAAACAACACATTGTGAATTATTCTTCCCAAGTAAATTAAAAATTATTTGTTTAAAGAATTTCTCTTTAACAAACAAGATTTTTTTTTATTTTTTTGTTGAGAGGGTGACAGATTTACTTGGTATGTGACTCGCTGACATATACAAGACACAAAATCATACATTCCAAGGTAAGTAGTCACACTTGGTCAATATATATGCAAGAAGTTAATTGATGAACATACCATGAATCCAAATTTCTTATATGAATTATTTAAAAAAAATGACTAACTAATCTGAATCTAGTCGAATTTTTTCCCTTCCCAATTTTCTTTTCCATTCATAATGTTGACTAATTTTGGCTTCTAATACCAATTAACACTAGGTGCTTGCCTGGGCATTGCCCGACCCGTTTACAATAATATTTTAAAATTAAATATACAAATGAAAAAAGTATTTTTAAAATTTAACTCAAATGCAACTTGTTATTTTTAAATTTTAGAAATAATGAAAGAATCATTTATTTATATCATTATGTCTTATCTATTGATATTAATTGATTGATTATAATTAAGGACAAAAAAACTTAATATAATTAAAAATTGTAAAATATAATTTTGTTCTTCACAAAAACACGTAGTTTTTGTTGGACGGGAAATTGATGCATGCAAACGTGACACCTCAGTATGGATCTTCATTTGGACTTTTGTTTTAATAGTATACTAGATGTTCTATCCGTGCGATCCACGAGATTAAATAATAATTTTGTAATAGTTTATTGTAATTGTTTTATTATAATTTAACTTTTCTAATTATATTAGTTATTGAAATCAAATAAAATGTTACAGAAATGGGAAGGGGCGGAGCCAAGCCCCTACTATTAGGTAGGGCAAAAATACTACATGTAAATGTTATTGGGGCAAGACCATATTTATTTTAAAGTTTAGAGGTAAATTTTTAATTTTAGTAATACGTAAGGGATATTTCAAAAAATTTCAGTTGGGCTACTGGGCTCAACGTGGCTCCGCCACTGGAAATGGGTTTGATGTCCAGATATAGTCGGTCAATAGTTCACTTGGTAAAGTTGATCTAATAACACAATACATTAAAGTATGGACCTACTAAAAACAAACCAAATGTTAATACTGAAGACTAATGTGATGCCTATAAATTTATTATTATTATTGGATGAACTTTTTAGTCAACAATAAAATATAGACCTAATTTTTATAGTTTAGTTAAGTTCAAAAGTTCTGAGAAGAAAAAAAAAAGACAATATTTGCTTATACACGCACAAAAAAAAAAAAAAAATTAATAAGAACAAATTTATGGCTACTCAACTCCAAAAATTATTCAACTTCCTATTCTTTTTTGTAAATTTAAAGCGGGATATCATTGAATTTCACTAATTTTTAAGGGACAAGATAATTTAAACAATCCAAATTTAGAGGATTTTTACACAATTATATTAAATTTTATTTTGAGAATTTATAAGAAAATTACACCTAGGATTTTTTATGATGTGGCACTCTAGGAATAAATATTGTTTCCTCTCTCTGGTTTCTCTTTTAAAATATATACTAATAGATAGATAATAGATATAGATAGATAGAAGATAGATAGATATTGATATATTGATTGCCTGTACTACGAATTTTATGATCACGCATGCAACTTAATTACTTGCACATAGGAATCTTTTGTTTTCGATTCATACCATACTAACAAATAGTGTAATAGTGTTAATTTCCCTTTTGTTAACGAAGATATGGTTTATTTTGGGGAACTAATTTAATTCAGCAGACTAAATCAGTTTTATGAATGTAGACAGTTATTTTTCATTACCACCGACGTTAGAACGGGTGCCTAGGGCCCTATGGGAGCGAGAGTTCTACAAGAGAGATTACTATATTAAGTTTTTTAGTCCAGTTCTTCCTATCGACTTAATTTGAAACGCAGAAATTAATTCAGGTAGATTTTACCAAAGGATTTATTTTTATTGATCTGCTTTCCTGGTTTCTATGTGCTTGAAATCTGTTTTCATGTTCAAGGTTTGTGCCTTTATTTCACTAGTTTTGTGTTCCTCTCATGATTCCCTAGAATTTGCTTTAAAGGCTTTACTTTTAGTATCAGAATTCAGCTGATCGCAGTAGTTTATTCTGTAAAAGGTGCCATTTTTATGTAGGTTTTTTTATGGGTAGGTTATGTGATTATGACAATGTGAAGTATTGGATTTATCTCTCTAATTTTCGGTTAGGATATATATATGATGCTTACATTTATTGCTTTCAGGGTTATAATTATTGCTTCATGTCTGTATATCCGCAATCTATTAGTAGTTTTTGTCATTTTTCCGGTTCTCATATTCCATCAATTTGGAACATTCAATTTCTAGTTTTGATTGGATTAAATGGAATTCCGGGTTGGGGCTAATTCAGCTCCTTGTTGACAGATATGGCTCAAGAAGATGTTGTTGATGGATTGCCAACGCATTTGGATATAGTGCAGTGTCCTTAATGTCATAGGTATTTGGACCCTCCTAGAACATGGTTCCAGGAGCCGAATCGGCTGCTTCTTATCTGCAAACTTTACTTTTGACGTCTGAGAACACCGGTTCGGAAAGCTGAGTTCATTCCAGCTGAACCTGATTCCAAAGGGATTAAAGTTAAGTTGTCGGTTTCTGTGCCGAATTTAAGGTCACACACTGTGGAGTTTGTTGTGCTTGAAAGAATGTGTGATGTTTGCTTCAAGGTTCAGACTGATCCTGGTAGATGGATCACTGCTGTGCAGGTAAGGCTGAACCATGTTTCTCACAGAAGAACCTTTTTCCACCTGGAGCAGCTCATTCTCAAGCACGATGCCGCGGTTCATTGTGTTGGGATCAAGCAGATTGATCAGGGGAGGGTAGAGTTTGTCCTTCCAAGCGAATCGCTTGCCATGGACTTTGTGGAGTTCTTGGCTAAAGTTAACCCAATTAAGCCAGATTACGTTGGAACCATGTCATATGATGCCGAAAGCGATATCCACAAGTCTACCCTCCCTGTTGAAATTTGTGCTGTTTGTCCTGGAGATCTCATCTCTCTTCCTCCAGAGGTTGCTGCTAGTTTAGGTTATTTGGGGCCTGTTGTCATATGCACCAAGATTACTGATTGCATTGTCTTAATGGAGCCGGTTACTATAAAACACCGCCTTTTGGATGCCGATCAATACTGGAGGTCGCCTTTGAAAACTCTGTTTTCTAGCGCGGATCTCGTGAGGTATGTGGTGGTAGATATAGAACCTACTTTTCAAAAAGTTAGCGTTGATGGCTCAAGGTATCAATTAGCAGATGTGATTGTTGATCGACGTTCGGATAATTATTTGGAGAAAGACACTCCACGGAAGGTGAGAACGCATCTAGGCCATGTTTTGGATATCGGGATGTTGGTCTTAGGTTATGCCATGTCTGGCAAATACAAAGGCCTTGGCCTTCCTGATGTGGTATTGATAAGGAAATTTCGTTGGAAACGAGAGAAGCCGCGCACTTGGGAACTGAAGCGTCTCGTCATGGAAGTTGATGACAGTCTCAGAAGTAGTAGAGGTTATGAAGAGAAGATAGAGATTGAGTATGAAGAACTTCTGGAGGAATTGGAGATGAACCCTGACATTTGGTCTCAGTATAGTTTCTATAAGAACAAGTATTACCAGCTAGCTATCTGAATTGGCATTTGTTGTTGGCCCTTCTCCTCCACTGGAGCAGTGGATAACCAGTTTAAAAAGATGGATAACCAACTTATTTTACATTCATATTGTTGTTTTCCTTGTATCTTTTGATTCGTAAAGAATTATAACACGAATTATATATGAAATTTATAGTGCTCCACAAGATCTATTCGATAAGATCAATGTTGAATATTTTTTTTGAACTTTAAATGCATTTAAATTTTACGGGCAGAAACGAAGAAATGTGTTTTTCATTTTTATTTGAAAAATGGTTATCCGTTGTGTTCCTACTGATTATCCAACCGGTTTGGACTGATTACCCATTATGTTCGTACTTGTTATCCAATCATATTTTTGACATTGGATAATCAATATGAACACATTGGATATCCAGTTTAAGAAGATGGATAACCACCCCTATTCTGCCCATCAGAATTAAGTCATTTTTAAGCCCGAAAAAATGTTCACTGTAGATTTCGTTGGATAGATCTCGACGAGTACTATATTTCATATATAATTCATTCACAAATTCTTCACGGATTGGGAGATATGCTCGTTGAAAGAATAGAGTTGGATATGCATACAAACCAAATAGATGGATATCCAGTACAAACAAGTTGGATAATCAGCATAAACACAGTGGATAACTAGTACAAATAATTTGGATAAGCATGTAAATCCATTGGATAACCAGTATTAGCGCATTGGATAATCAATATGAACACATTGGATATCCAGTTTAAGAATATGGATAACCAACTTATTTTGAATTAAGAAGTTGGATAACCAAATGGATAAGCAGTAGAAACAAAATAGATAACTAGTTCAAACTGATTGGATAATCAGCATGAACACAATGGATAACTAATTTAGAACAAGTTGGTTATCCATCTTGTAAAACTGGATATCCACCTCTATTCTGTCCATCAGAATTAAGTCATTTTTAAGCCCGAAAAAATATTTACTATGGATTTTGTTGGATAGATCTCGACGAGTGCTATAAATTTCATATATAATTCGTTCACAAATTCTTCACAGATTGGGAGATATGCTCGTTGAAAGATTAGAGATGTTTTTTTTGGAAGAGAGAGAAAAAATGACAGGGACTAAACTTGCAAAATATAGAAAGATTGATAAAAAAGTACAATAAGGACTAGAAATGGAAAAAATAAGAGGGGGGCACGGTGCCCCCGGATATACTGGATAAATTGCCTGTTATTCGTATTTCGGGTTTTTGGACACTAACACTGAGTTCCGGGAACTCAATTGTGAAAGAAAAGAGGAGTTTTAAGGGTTGGAGAGGGGAAACAGATTCATCAATTTCATTCATAACCAAAACAGTACTTTTTCTTCCCGGTAATTAATTATATACTTCAAACTCTAACTTCTCATGAATACAAACCATTCTACTAAAATGGGTTCTTGATTCTCCAATCTCTACAACTACGAACCATTTAAACACAAAATTATAATTTCTTCCCAAAAAGATTAAAATATATATAGATATATACACGTGTTTTACGCAAACGATCTATCTGCTTCCTCTCTTTTTAACAATTCTAACAAGAAATCATTCCAAGAATCAATGGGTCCAGGCAAACACCAATGCACGCAGTCATTAGCCATGGAAACAGTCTGATTTTGCCAATGTCCATATTTACTAGGATGACCGTCTGGTCTTAGTAACATAGACTGCGTGGCATCAAACAATTTAAACCTATACCCTTTTCTTCTTCCTTCCTTTTGAGCAATCCGAAGTTCTTGTAATTGAATAGTATACATTTCTAAGTTATAATCATCCAAAACTTTCTCCCCTCTCTTAAACGGCTTAGTCCTCACACAATCTCCACCTTTATCCCACGGCCCGCCTTCAAAATGAGATGGCGCAAATGTCCTAAGAAAAGTCACGCCTTTAAAATCATCTATATTGTTAATGGCCCTCAATGCTGTCCTGAATGCTCTTCGATAACTGAAATAGGAATTTAGGTGCGTGACATTTTCCTGCGGGCAATATTGGCAGCCGACTAGCCGGCCGTTCACGTAGAACATCGTTGGCCGGAAGAACCAATGACCGGCCGAGATGATGATGTAATCGTAGGTTCCGACATTGTTTGACCAGTCTTCGTCAAATTCATCTAGGTATAGATTGAATGGCTTGGTTACATCATTGGGATCGGTTTTTTGGGTTCTTACTAAATAAGGAGCCCAAAACATAGAAATGTTGAAGTTGTAATCCTTGTACACCCATCGTTTGTTTTGGTCTAGTGCGTTTGAAGTGTCTATTGGATACACCACCTGGATTGGCATCAAACAAATGTTAGTGAATTATGTGAAATGAAAATTTAATTAAGCCAGTTAATACAATTAAAGTATTATTTTGGCAAATAAGAGGAGTACATGGAAAATAACACAACAAATGTCAATAAGCATCATTTTCCCCTATTATTGTTAAAAAAAAAATACTACGGAAGGGTACTATTATTAGCATAGAATAGTAGAGTACTAAAGACTATCCATTTTGAAAAACAATAATATTATTAAACTAAAATAGTATAACAAACAAAATTCTTTTTTTATAAATGGTAAGTGTAATCAATCATTAGAGTAGTGTTTTCTCACAAGCAGGATCTCGGTTAGAAAAATATTAGAATTGAGTGGAATATAATAAACTCATGTAAAAATGATTAATCAACAATTCTATATTTTTATGGGGTAGGATGTAGGAACCTACATAAATTGTCAACGAAATGCATTCTTAAAGGCCATTTTAAAATGGATTATGTACCATAATGACACATCAAGATTTGGCACTAGCTACTTACTACCGGCATGTATTAGTGCATAAATTGCAGTAGTTGCAAATTGAATAAAAAAAAACATACGTTTCAATATATAGTATATGTTCCTCAATCCTCTTATGGACTTGGAGACTTCTCAAACAATTAATCATGGGCGTACCAGTACTGCAAAATTTTCATACGTGATTTAAAAATTTTCTTTCCCTACTCTTTCAGCCGTCGATCGAATACTAAATTTTATTTGATTTTTCTTTCATATGTTTGGAAAATTTTGGGTCATCATTACCAACTAAATAACTAATGCCGGCCGTTTACTAATATTTTCTTTTCCTATATATTGAGTTGAAAACATACACATTTGTGGACTTTTGTCGAAACACACTTTCAACTTAGAATTATATGTTCTTTCTGTCTCATTTTAATAATCAAGTTTACAATGTATTAACTCAATAAAAATATTAAAATGAACGGTAGAAATATACTGCAACAAATTTGGGGGAAAAGAAGTACTAGAAAATGTGTGGCATCAACCAAACACGATACCAAAATACAACGAATTATCAAAAGCCCGGGCAAAGGGAAAAGAGAGAGACCAAGAAAGAAAAATGAAAGGAAAAAATGTGGTACCTTAGACAAGAGGCAAATCAAAGACTGCATATGATTCCGGGCCACGGAATCACCAACAAAAGCAATAGACTTCCCTCTAACCATCTCCAGAAACTGGTTCGGGTCGAAAATGGGAAGCTCGCAGCCGTCGGGCTTCCACCTCCACTTCAAGAAACCGGTCTCGGGCCGCCCGAATTTCATGCAATTCTGATGCTCCTGAATTGCCCAACACGTCGTGTTCGTGTAATATGGGCCGTCCGGGTTCGGAACCCATTGACCCGAAAACAAATCACATTCTCCTTCTTCTTTATCAATCAATCTCGAATTATCAACAATATCCTTTTTACTACTAGTACTAAGATCATCTTTCTGGGAAGACTTTTCTCTCCGGCGGGTCGCCCGTCTCCTTTCCCGCCTTCCCGGTGATCTTTTCCTGGAACCCACCCGTTTCTTTTGTTCATGTTGTTGTTGTTCCTGGCTCTTAATACTATCATCCACCGTCTCCACCGGGTTCGCCGCCGCCGACGTTTGTTGTTGGCCGGAATTTTTATCTAATGCTTCCGCGATGGCGAGCCCACTTTTCGCGGAGCTGGAACGCCTTGCGGGGTCCATCTCCGGCTGTATAACCGTTTCTTCTTCTTCTTCCTTATGATCATTACTTTCGGCGACTTTCTCCTCCACCCCATTTGCATACTCTTCTTCGTCTTTCCGGTGATCGGAGATAGAAGAAACGGCGTCGGTGTTGGCTGTTGTTGATTTTTGATCAAGAGAATGATTATCATCAAATGAAGAAGAAGAAGAGGAGATTGACGTCGTTTCGGTTTCGGAGAGATTCTTGGGAATATGGAAATTGTATCGGAAAGAAGGATAATACAAAGGGATGATGGTGAAAAGAACGGTGAAGAGTATGAGGAGGGGTGCGATTTTGGGTGTTTTTCTTCTGGTAATTTGTGGTTTCCCTAAGGGAAGTTCAGAGGATGAAAGCTTCATTTGACGAAACTATGTTCAATAAATTAAGGGTTTGTCGGAAAGTTTAAATCATGTTAACGTGAAATAAGGAAGAAAGAAAAAGGAGGAGGAGAAGAAAATGAAAGAGAGAAGAGAGTTGGAATTTACATGGGAAACGGAGGTTGCGGTAAGCTCAGTAACTACAATGGTGGTGTCTTTCTTTTGTATGGCTTTTGTTTCTTTGGTTTATTTATAGTATGGTGAATTGTTTAAGAAAGGAATTACGTAAGGATTGTATATATACTACCCGGGGGTGTGGAAGAAAGAGAGAAAAGAGATACTCCTACACAATAATTTACGGGAAAATTTATTTTCTTCCCTTCCTTGTCAAGCAATGTCTATTAAGCCTTACCAATTACTGCAAGAATAAAATGTTGCTTCCCAAGATCTATTTAGCAATGTCTCTTTATTAGAATAAAATGTCTCTTTCCCAATGTCTATTTACTTATTTAGTAAATGCCCACAATATATTCAATGTTCTTCTCATGATATATATCCAACCTAATCGATCGCATGCAAATGAGCAGTCCATGTCACGTGATAATGATCAATACTACGTACTAATGCGAAGCCATATGAACGATATAATTTTCATCAGTCAAAACTATGATTTTGAAATCACTTCCTCCTCCGTCCCACAAAAATATTCCACATTTGAAATGTACAACTTTTTAATTTAATCAATGCAAGCAAATGTATAACTTATTCTCTGCCAAAAGCTTCCGATAATGTACCTGTTCTCCCTCGTCCCAAAACCCAAAGTCTAGGAACCGAAAAGGTAGGAAATGCGGATCTTCTTTCCAATTTTGGGTTTCCTTCCTTGAGCCGAGAAATACAAAGCCGCCGTCGGTGCTAAGAACCTCACAAACAGTCAAGAAATTGCTTTCTCTTCCGATCTTATTTCTCGCCGTTCAACATCTCCCATTTGCGAAGATATTCCAAAATCTAATTATGTTAGGAGTATATACAGGATCGTTGTCACTGTAGGAAACGTCAAACGGACAAATCGGACGACGACGGAAGAAGACGGAAGAAGTTGGGAGAATCTCGGGTTCACAGTGGAGATTGGCTTACGATCCCGATGATGTCCGTACAATACCCATCCGCCATTGCTCTTCTGCTATTTTTTTATTTACTTTTCCGAAGCAAAAAAAAATAATACATAAAATGAACAGGAACCACGACCACAGAAAGGAGCTTTTGGAATTGTTACTCCGTTGTGAATTGCAGAATTTTCCGATCGTCCGATAACTAATAAAACTTTAATTCAATCAAATTAATTTTGACTTTTGTGAAACTGGACTATTTATTTTTTACAAGATTTTTTATGAAACTGAACTATTTTTCTGGGACGGAGGGAGTATTATCTTTTATTAACATTCAACTCTTCTTTAAATTTTTCAGTCTGCGGGTTTTTTTTTTAAGCGACCATCATATATTTGCCTGATAATAATTAGTAGGTGATACTAGCATTAAAAAAAAAAATTAGTAGGTGATACTTCCTGATATTTCCTTGGTACGGTAAAAAAAAACTTTCATTATTAAGAGATTGTCTGGCCTTCTGCTTTCTTTTGTATTTTTTTTTCATATCTAGATAAACACTAATTTTACAAATATTCTTTCTTTTTTTTTTGTTTTTAATTTTACTACTATTCGTATAAAGCTTATGAAAATCAAAATGTAAGACCTCGTAATTACCCTGCCTTACCACCTCGATCTCTCTTTCTTTTTTGATAGTTAATTTCATTACATGTCAAATATTTTTTTTTATCTCAGTCGTGATTCACTCATGAGACAAGATTACTAAATAATTATATTTCATCTACATTGTCCGTAGCAATCCGCATGTTAAGAAAGATTCTCATTCTAATAAATAAATAAGAAGATGAAGAAAGATGCTCACAGATTTCAATTATTAATTAAAAAATAATAAAATAATACCAACCTTAGGTAAATGGATGTATCACATTACATAGGCCGGTCAAAGTCCACAAATATTGGGCCGAACTCCAAAACTCAAATTTCTCTGGCCGATGTAGGATCAGAAGATCGGTAATGAGAGATGGACCGGACCCTACTTATACAGAGCATTGATGGGCTTGGATAAAAAAAAAATTACTCCTTCCGTCCCAAAATTATTATCCACTTTGGTATTTCACTTTTAGTACAATTTGAACTAAAATTGAGAATACAAACTGGACAATAATTATGGGAGAGAGGGAGTACTACTATTGTATTATTCTTTTGTTTTGATCTCTTATTTTCTTGTTTAGTTCATACTGTATAAAATGTAAATTGCATACTGCTAATTTAAACACTACTGTAGTTTTAACTTTTATTATGTTGTAAGATGAGAAATTGAGAATGCTCACACTCATTGATTCGGCAGATCGTTCAGTTTTTACGACTAATTTTTTGAATTAATAGTAACGTATTTTAAATATTTATGATTAATTTATTTCATCGTTACTACTCCCTCTGTCCCAAAATTATTGTCCAGTTTAGGTTTTCACTTTTAGTATATTTTGAATTGAAAATGAAAAACGTAAACTGGACAATAATTATGGGACGAATATAGTATTAAATAATTCAATAAAATGAGTCAGAAAATCTTTCCGCTGATCATTGGCCACTCAATTATCATCCAAGGGTGAACATGAGTCTTGGAGGGAGCTAGCTAGAAACGGTCCAACAAGAATCATGGAGCTCGCTCCAAAGGCTCCTACTACATCTCAAGTGTCAACTTTTTAGATCCTTAGTTTTCTTGAGAGTTGACAATTTTAAAGCCACAAAAATCAATTGTTGCCAAATAATTTACGCAATCCCTCCCAAAGAAAAAGAAAATTAAAATTGAGTAATGTGTGTTGAACTAAAATAATTCATCAAAAACATACTCTTACTTTTGGATAGTTTGAAAGTAACCATTTTGTAATATTTAGGGAAAAAATATTTATTGAACGCTTATGTAAAGTTAATAATAATCAACTACAAACGTGGACATATCTCCTTCACATGGAGAGACATTATATATAGTAAAAAAAAACATGGATACTAGTAATTATTATCATAATGAATTTTCCCAATACAAATTGTAACATCAATCCATTTTTGGAGAAAAGAAAAAGGATTACTGAATTAATTAACAGTGGTACCATTTAGATTTAAGTTTAATTTGCACCACGCAATTTCATGGTTATTATGTTTTCTTTGTTCGTCGCCATAACCCAGGTTTTGATGGGAAAAAAAGGAGGGATTAGGATACGTGTTAGTGTTTACTTTTGTTACGTACCCATCAGACTCAATAGAGATTGATTGGCGATATGTAAAAATCATCACATCAACACAAGGAAGAAAAAACAAAAACAAGAAAAAGGAGGAAAAAAACATTAATAAGAGGCCAGGTTTATTTATTGTTGTACTATTTTAGTGCCTTAAAACAAACTATAAATCTAGAACTATAATTATTTGATTTAGTGTACTAATAAAATTGAAATAAAATAAATTATCTTACGAGGCATGCATGGGAAACGGAAGTCCCATCCCCTAAAGGCCTAAACACATTTTTGGGGGCGAGCATTTGATCATGTAGGGGTGTTCCTTAGCTATAAGGGGCAAGAAAAGAAGTCGGCGTAGTAGTTAAATTATATTCATCAATTTCATTTATCAAATCCTTTATTTTATAGGCACAATCACACAATTAGAAAACCAGCAAGAAGAATGAGACAAAACCAAATCGGTAGATGACTTGATAGATTGATTCCCTCGCAATATTATATATATATATATATTTATTTACAGCAACGATAATCAAAATATATAAATTGTATTCTCACCGACTGATCACTGATACATCAAAATACAAGGACAATCGAATAGGTATTTGTTTCTCTGATAAAAAATAATAATAATTAATAATCACGGATTCATGGTCTTGCATATATGCATTTCTCGTCCTTTTGTGCTCCCCCTCCTTCTTGGTTGCCAATTAATTTTCTATTATTTTCGGTTCCTAACCCCTCTAAATTATAATGCCTCGCCTAAAGTGGAGTTTATAGTAGCAGATGAGCTTAATTTAATTAATCTAAAACAGATGCAATATCTAACAGAAATGTCAACAGATGATGATGTACTTTTGAAAAAAGTACAATTGAGGTACAAAACCAGCGTAATCATACGAACCCGAAATTCACATTTTCGCATATTTTATAGTGGGGAAAAAAAAAAGAAAAAGAAAACCAAAATCAATTTTGTTTTGTGATTGTACGGTACAAGTCAGAGATATGTGGTCTAAATAACCACTTGAAATTCCTCCATAATTGCGTATTTCACCTTCCAATTTTCAACACTCCAACCTCTTTAATTAGCCCTCATTGTTGTGACTTATAACCGATTTCTTCATCTCATTTTGCTTCCTCACTTAGCTTCTTCCAAACCCATCTCTTCTTTTCTCCAACATACACTCAAAACTCTTCCAAGCCAGTGGACATATATCATTCACATACTTCCATCTGAATTCCTCAGGTTAGCTTCTTGTTTTCGGGTTTCCGGCTACCGGTTTCGCCTAATGTTTTGTTAACCTTTAGTTGTTTTCATATGCAGAAAAGTTCTTTACTACTTCTACTACTGGAGTGAACAAGAGAGTAGGAAGATGATGATGACGGGGTTTGGAAAGATGATGACAAATCTCAAGTCCAAACTGAAGACTCTGAAGATAAGGAAAGTCTATGACAAGATAGAGAAGAGCGAAAGCATGAGGGTGGAAATAAGAAGCAGGAAGGCAAGGAAGCTGATTGAACAAACTCTCAGGATTGCAGATTCTCCCAAGACCAAAAGCTATGCATTCTGAACTTGGTATAGTAGAAAGAATGTTTTGTTTTCTGTCTCATGCATGGTCTTAGATGTATAAGATGATAAACTCTTTTTATACTCTCTTTTTCTTTCACAAAACTCTGTAGTCTGAGTGATTATCAGTCAGAATCATAAATGATATGAAGTAGAAGGTAATTCATACTCTACATCTTCTTCTTCTTCTTCATTCTTCTGCGTATTTCAATCCTCACATACAAACTACAGATTCCAAATGTCAAACCATTCAGTACTCACAATTTCCAGATGATTGGAACTGGCCAACTGGGCAGTTTCTGAATCAATTCTGGTTCTGCCTAGTTTAACACACTTTTTTTTTATCAGCCATGTGATCTGCAAACCAGATTAGGTTGCAGCTCTCCCAACCCCCACCACCACAATACAACGAAGAACAGACAAAAAAGAACATGAAAGGAATATGTGATGTATAAATTGCAAGTAATTGTACTAAATTTACTGAAATTTGTAACTACATTCTACAGCGCCTGACCTTTTCCGGAGGGAAGCCGCCAGAAAAAAGCACAGCAAAACAAAGTGATGAGTCAGAGAGAGCTTGTCCTTATGTAATTTGTAGACCGCTTACATAACAAAGTACTGTCTATATTATCAGTGAGTCATCGTAACTCAAAAGCTGAACAAAGCTTTAAAGAGGCATACAAAATCCTTGCAACTTTGGGCCCTCTTTCTTGACAATCCACTCATCCACCGCAAAAAAAATAAAGGCTACAGGTCAGGTTCACTTCAGGTGCATGAAAAATGTGAGAACAAGAAAAGATTGTTGCCTTTTTCCCCCATACTACAGCTAACTATATAGCAAGTACCTAATAGTTTTTACCAAGGGAAAGGACAATGGTAAAGATAGAAAGTACAGGTTGAAGAGATGAACCCTCCATTATTAGTGTTACGTATATACAGTATAATTTCAAGACCAAATAGCTCTACTGCATTCAACCCAAGATGTATCACAACCAAAAGGGATGCACAAACAACTACAATCATCAACAAGAAAAGTTGCATCAACCAAGAATGTTATTTCAGAATATAGAGAACAATCAGTGGCATGATACAGACTGATGCATAACTTGCATCAAACATAGACCATATTCCTATACTTTCTTTGTTCTTTTTCTATTTCTGATTCGCTATTCAAACCAAAAGCCCAGTAAGACAGGGAGGTATTAATGATGAAGAACACGAGTATAACCACGAAAACTCCCTTATCGGCGTGCCAATCCAATTGAAACTTAGCAAGGTAACCCGCTTTGCAAGAATCACAATCGTAGCAAACGCTGTTGTTGCCACCTTTTGCCCATTGTTGGCATTCCCCATTCGGAGCATTCGACCCAGATTTTGGGATTTCCCAGTATGTATCATTCTTCACAACAAAACCACACTTAGGTGGTGGCTTGCAGCAACCTATCTGCCAAAACAAATTAAGAAAATATTAAGCTATATAGAACAGGGGAAAACCAAAATCCCAATTTCCATCAACATTCCTACCAACAACCCACAAAAGCATCATAAAGAATTGACTGACAAACTGTGAACAATTGAGAACATGGTTTAAGTAATAGTAACCTGTAGGAAGCGTAAATACTCCAAACGCAAACTGGGAGGATGATTATGGTACCATTGACAAAACCGCATGCCTTCCAAGCAAGTTTCAGCCACATCCCAATCTTTATCATTAACCAAAGATCTTCTCATCAACGGACTGAAAGCTTTCAACCAATCCCCATTCTGGGTCCTCTGATACATACCACTGGCGGATTCATTGGGCAGAGTTAAGAACATGAAAGCAGTGAAGGTGACACCAACGATTGTAGTGACCAGTATCGACCACATGTAGCAGTTCTGCAACGATTTGGATTTACAACAAGTGCCCAGTAAACCCAACAGAGAAATGATCACCAACCATGCCGAGATACAGAAAATCGCCGGGCCGGAATTCTTGTAGCAGTGTTTATTGGAGGAATCATGATTGGACATCAAAACGAACACACCTTGGAAAATCGCGAATGCCAAGACTATCACATTCACAAACCCGAGGAATATCTTACTGCAGCTTCTCATTATTCTTACCCCCCCAAAAAAAAAAAATTATAAAAAAAAGGGTTGGCTGCAAATAAGAAGATGGATCACACTATTCAATCCCAGCTAGGAAATCGATCCTTTTTGGGATGAAATTTGTGAAAAGTTTAAGCAAACCCCCAAAATGGAAAGAAGAAAAAAACTTCGAGAGAAGCTGGTATTTTTCAGTTTACTGGGGTATTGGGGAGAATCTTTGTCTTCATGATTTATCGGGGGGGGTTGAGGATAATGCCGTAAGAGATAATGGCGGAATTTCGAATGGACTGAACTTTTTTACCAATCAAACGGCTAACCCCTGCATCCCCATTCACCCGATTGAATTTTGAAGGTGAAAATAAAAACCCTCCCAGAATGAACGAACAAAAGGGGGCCAAAAAAATGGCACAAAGGGCTGAGGGAAAAAGAAAATATATAATGAGATGAGATTTTCTGGAAAAGATTTGTGTGTGACGACGTGGTTTAAAAGCCCAAGAGAGAATAAATGCACCAAGAATATCTTCAAGTGAATTTAGTGGTGTATTTACTTTCTGATTAAATATATATATATATATACATATAAAAAATTGTAGTGCTGGTATTATAAAAAGAAGCACAGATTTTACGCAATATAGTGCTTTGGTGGACCAATCACCTACGATATGCTCCAACGGCTAACCTGCAGGTGAAGAAGACCACCGTTGCTAATTGTGAGCCAACTAATGAGGAGAATTGGATTCCACAACACTCCCCCCCCCCTGTTGGTGGAATTTTGCAATTGAATCCACAGTATAAATTAGTTCGTATCAGTTCTATCGAGTATCCCGAATGCATAATGTCATTAATTATGACAATAAAATTCATAGTTTTGGATAAAAAGGAAAATTGAAATGGCCACTGTGCCACATACTGATTCTTAGCCAAAAGCCCAAACACAAAAAGGGTAAGAATACACCACTAGCCACTAGCTAGTAAAGTCTATATTTAATAGCATCAGCAGAAAGCTGGCATCTCTTATCCTCCTCGGTAGAGATTAGGAGATTAGCGGATGTTGAGATACATCCTCTGGAGCTCTTTGCAATTCCAGCACGTCCATGGATCCATTGGAGGGTCTAGGCAGAATGTGTGGATGCATTGATTCCAGCAGACGTTACAACGTTGGAGAAGGTCGTATGGTTCCCGGCAATGGCAGCGGCAACAAACTGGCTCTCCTGGTGACTGCAAAATGCCAATCAGCAAGACATACACTAGCTCAGGGAGAGAAAAAAAAAAAAAGGACAATCTATTGACTCTTATAGCATGGAGTAATCATGTGAAAGAAATAAATAAACAGATGTGAATATGTAGGGAGTAATTTTCGGCTTCATGGAAAACAGACGATTCAGAATTTCGCATCTTTACATGGATCATATCCTGTTTCAGGCTGACAAAATCCTCAACAGTCAACAATCTCTAAATAACTTTGGTAGCAGCAAACGCAAAGAACTTAAAGCTACTGCAGTCTCATCCACAGGCTTGCCAAAAAACTTGGCAAACTCTAGATTAAATAAATAATAGATACCAAGCTTGTTTACTTAATCATAATATAATGTTCAACAGAATGAAATTTACAAATCCTAAACGAAAGCAAAGTAGTAAACTGTGGACAGGAAATATCTGGTATATCATGGCAACTTACAGTAAGAATGTTCAGAGTTCTGTTTCCAGGAAGGATGAACACTCTTTCCATCCGCATATCATCATCAGGAATAGTTTGTGAGTATATCTTTTGATCCGAAGAAACTGCATAATCAACCTTTGTGATGGTCGAAAAAGGAGCCATGCACAACGGACATGTAGAAGTCTTCTGGCTTGAAATCTTGCAGTGGGATATTAGTAGAAGTTAATACAAAGTTAGTGCTTAAGCAACCAAAGCAAAAATGATCTAATGATGAGCTTTGGAGAATGAGAACATTACAACGAAGATAACTCTTGGCGAAAATCCTTGACAAATTTTCGCAATAAGTGACTACATGGCAGAAGCTACAAAGAAACTATCAAACCAAAAATCATTTTGTCCAATGGTGTCACTATCCCATCAATCAATGAGAATTCAGTGAAATTTGATGCAGTGGATATTATACACTAAACAAAAGTCTCACACCAACAGTAGTTTCCTAAAACAATTCAACAGATATGGAGCTATTGTATATAGTCGTGTACTCCCAGAACTCAAGATTTTGACTCTATTTTCAAAATGTTTCATACTGTTTTCCTTTTAAGAACGTTATTTCGTTCCACTAAGTTCTGCCAATACAAGGGCTGCAGCTCCATATCTGTTGTCAAGCTAGAACTATATATGTCATTCTGTTTTAGTGGTTTAACAGATATGCATATTGTGATTCAACATCATTAACCTTCAAGAAAACAACAGCAGATGCACGATAAGAAGATAAAGTTTGAGTATTTAGTCTCAGCAATTAAATGAACTTCATTGGTCCAGTACCCTACTCCAGCTGAGCAGACAATTTCTTTAGCATGCAATTCTTTTGACATAGACCTTTATGCAGAAAATGAAAGAGAAATGGCCATATCTTGCAGGCATCACATCACCAGCTTTTACATTTTGTGTATTTTAAAACAAAAAGAAAAGAAACAATAAATTAAGCAATCAAGAGAAAAGGAAGCAATCTATCAGTAATAATCTCAGAAATTAAAAAGAATCAGGAAGTCACAGTGAAAATGAAGTGTGTAAACTCAAATGCTCTACTTACCCTATGATCTGCCCAGGTCTGGATACAGGAGAAACAAAATCTGTGACCACATGACAGCACCCCTCTAGTTGCACTAAAATCTGTCATACAAATTACACAAGACAACCCCATCTGGGCAGGCTCTGTGATAGGTGGCACTTCCCGATTATCATTAACTTGATCAGACGACGCTCCCTTTATTTGTAAACCATCACCATACAATTCAAGGATATGATAATTGTTCTCAGCGTCACCATCATTCTGACCTTCGATTTGTTTTTCATCATTCAAACCTTCAATTCTGTTTTGTCCATTTGCATAACAGTTAGAATCATATGCATGTGTATCACTCAATCTTCTTTCATTTCCAGAACCTGCATTGTTAGAAACATCTGGTCTACTGGAGAGATCATTAAGATCTTGCAGTACAGGGCTTCCTTCTTTGTTATCAAAAGTAAAACTTGAACTTTCGTCTGTCATGTTTTTCTTCACCAGCCTACGCCTCCGACGTCGATGAGAAGGTTCTGCCAAAGCAGATCCACATTCTGAAGAGGTAGAATCACATCCATTCCCGGAATTCAACTTGTTTTCATCACTGCGAGCTGAGAGACTAGGAACAGCTCCACTATCAAAGACCTCATGGAAATCTTCCTGTCCTGCGGTTTCCTGCTCAGAATCAGAAGCTTCGTGTAAATACTCCTTAATAATATTTTTCTTCACCAGTCTGCGCCTCCGACCACCATGTGATGGTTCTGGCAAATCAGAGTTTCTCTTCTCCAGCCTCTGAGATGTTTGAGTTGCTTGCAATTTATCAGGCTATTTGAACAGGCAGAAGGGAAGTGAGAATCATAGCAGTTGCAACTCTAAATGACTAAAACAATCATCTTGGCCTCATTAATTCATTATCACAATACTGAATGACTTAAACAATCATCTAGGCCGGTTGAATTCATTATCAGCAGTTGTTAATCTATAACGTCTAAGGCAAATCATATAAAACAGATGAATCTGCTAACGAAGTAAGAGAATCAAGAATGCAAGTGGCCGTTATCAATACAAGCAGACAAACTCGTGCAGTTTAAGCATCAAAAGTGCGAGGAAAAAAGATTTCCAAGGAAATTTTAAAGTAAAGATTTTGTAATCGGATAATGAAGAGTGTTCCACTATTACCAACCGGGAAATAAACTTTGTCCTACTAGAACAATGCAATGATTTTCAGAACTTGAACAATGTCGGCAAGATCAGAGAAACATTAGTATGTATTTTGCACCATATTTACAGATCTAGATCACAGCAATACAAATGAACGAACCTTTTCTTTTTCACTCTGCCAATTGGTATATCTTATTGTCCCAAAAATCAGCAATGCATTTAACTTTAGAGGCCCCACATCGAATCCGCTGCCAGAAGTTTAGATATAGAGAGAAATCAATCAATTATAACGAGTCAACTGGCAATAACTGGCTAATTCTTTTGACCAGCAATCGATAATTAAATCTGAAAATTAACCAGCTATATTTGCAGGATTGCAGCCATCAAAGTCATCACAAATGGGCTAATTACTCAAATATTACAGTTCAACTAATTTGTTCTTACCTAATCCGTTGAGGCTAATACAGTGCACATGTGTACATAGTGAAAATCATCAAACCAAATCAATGGATTTCAATCTAACAGACACTAGAGTTTTAAGAGATATACCCCTACGTAATCTACAGAAACATCATGCGTAATTCTGTAGTTATAAAAGCAGCTTTACCTCTAGTTTCATCTTCACATTTGCAGGGTTTTTTTGTTTTTTTTGTTAAAGTGGTACACATTAGCAAGTTAGTAGTCATAGAAGCCATCAAATATTGAAAGGAACAACAAGATGAAGTTGTTATCTGAAAACTATTCAGCGAAATTCACAACCTACCACTTGTCAGTGTATTTATCCTCTGGAAGAAGTCTTCCCGCAGTTATGCAATCCTCAATCCACTGATGATTAACTATCACAGTGTTGAACCCTCTTGCTAATTCGTATTTTGTTCCTTCGTACTTCCAGCACACCTACATCACTCAAACCGGAAGTCCCCAAAAGGGAGGGGGAAAACCCCAAAACATTGCAAAAGGGACGAAAAATTTCAGAAATACTAAAACGGGAAAAAGGCACAACTGCAGCTATTAAAGATAACAGGTACTTTTATCAGAGGAATTGAAACATACCAAATGAGTAATTGATTGGCTCATGCTGCCCACATAATTACCGCCGGCCTTATCTATCAGCCTAATAAGGTTGAATCGCTCGGTACCTTGGTAGCCAGTCACCGTAGCCACCACCGCCTCCATGCCCGGGATCGGAAATCTCGCTGTAACAACCATAATCGACTGAAATCAAAATTGAATAGTAGATCTACCTGAACTAGAAAATTTGTGAAGCAAAGTAAGAAAGGAAAGGTCGGATTAAATAGCACATATGGAAGTAATTTTAACAGACGCAAATGAGCTGGAGAAATGAAAACCTAGCTGTAGAATTGGGGAAATCAAATTGGTAAGTTCCGAGAAGGGAAGATGTTGAGTGACCTCTTAATTGTGGAGGAGGCGGAGTGTCTTCTTCCATTGAAGCTCTGCAAGTGTGAAAGAGCAAAGCCGTCCCCGAGGGAAATATTTGAATTCATGTAAAATTGGGCGCCCCGCCAATAAGCGCCATAACTTAATTGGAAAAATAACACGACACAGTTCTACACTGGACTGGGTGAGTGGTAAATGAGTTTGGTTACAGGGCAGGGACGCAGTTACTTACCATTTTTATCTTCTTTTTTTTTTGGTTAAACCGTTAAAGTACTTACCATATTTCCCAACCACTTAGCCTTATGTAGTTATGTCTAGTTTATGACTACTAGTCTACTAGTGCTACTCTCTGTCTCTCAATCCCGAATACTACTTTTATTTTTTTTTATTTGTCACATCTTACTATATTAGAAACAAAAACCACACTTAAGAGAAAGCACCATCATTTGTCATGTGTCATTTCCACATCATATTTTTAAAATAAATTTTTATTACCATATCTCCTAAATTTAAAAGGCAAATGCAGTCTAAATTCACTTCCACCTCCTATTTTCGTCAAAACAAACAAAAAAAAAAAAAAAACCACGGGTTCATAAAAAAACCCAAATCCTCATCCTCATCTCCACGACAGTCGACTCCTTAATCAATTCCTTCTCCACAATTAAAAAATAAATAAATAAATTCCTCATCAATCATCAATTGAGAATGTGTGGTGAAATATACTCCTTTCCTATTAGCATATTCAATCTTTTCATTAGTGATGATCAACTACATCTTAATCGGATAAAATTTCAAACTACATCTTAATCGGATAAAATTTCAACTTCAAAAAATATTCTCTTTACCTCTCTATATAAACACAAAGGGGAAAAAAAAAGTCTCATTGATCTTACTTCGCCCGTTGTGGTGGTGCCATTGCAGGTATTAAAATTTAAATGATTTTATTGCCACAAATCATTGGTTTGATTTTATTATTTTTTGTTTTTCCCGTTCAAAAATAGTGTTATTACTATTATTTTTATGCGTCCATCCGTTACAGCTACCGTAGCCGTTGTCAGGTAGTATGATGTGATTTCTTATTTGGTTAGTTAGCCTAGAATTTTTGTATGATTTTAGTTATGTTTGGATTGAATTGATTGATTGGGTTTTTATTACAAAGTGTGATTTTTTAAATTTGTTTTTTATATTTTATTCAATTAGAGTGGTTTTCTTTTTTTAATTATGGAGTCTCAGGTTTTTTTTTCGTATATGGCCAATTATGAAGTGTGTTTTTTCTTTGTTTAATTGTTTTTGATTTTGTTTCATACTCCCAGTTGACCAATTATTATTATTATTATTATTATTATTATTATTATTATTATTTTATTTGTAAATGAAGCACGTTTCTTTTTTTGTGTTCGGAGTTTTAAGAATATACTTTTTTGGATTTGTTTTTTAGACTTTTTTTAGTTCCTCATCATATAAATAGTTTAGGTCGCTTCTTTTAACTAATTTATGGGGAATCCTTTTATGAATTTGGGGTGGAGAGGGAAGGAATGATGTTTCTACGTTTATTTGTGTTTTTATACATCATTTTTACCTACAGAAAAAAATAAAAATTCTCAAATTTTAATGGGCTATCTTTTACTTTTTTTTTATTTGCCATCGTGAGGTGAGTTCTTTTTTGCTATATCTTGAAACCTATGCAAATTTATATTATTTTCATTCTCATATTTGTGATCAACCAGTTTCAACAATTAACCAGTTTTAAAATCATATTTTTGATATTTTACTACCTATAAACTTTTGGAATAAATAGTTCCAGCAATTAAGCGTATACTCTTTGGAAGAAGCTAACTACAAAGTTATTATAAATCTCCAAAACTAAGTATTGATTTGGTACAACCAATGGAGAAAATCAATAAATTATCTTACTAATATTTAAACTTATTAGGATGCTTTTATATTTTGTCTAGCGTTTACTTCAAGACATATATTTGATCAAGTTTATTTATATTTAAGAAGTAACACTTATAAAATATTTCTAAAATCTTCAAACATTTCTAAAACGTACCGGGCCAAATACAATTTATTTTTTTTGCCAAATACAAACATCACACTTATAAAACATTTCTAAAATTCTTCAAATATTTCTAAAATATATCGGGCCAAATATAAAATATTTTTTTTTCATATACAAACATTTCTAAGATCTACAGATATATTGGACTGTGTGACCAGACATCACTAGTTAGGATATACACAAGTATCAAAAATACTGATTAACGATTAATTTAATATGTACTCCCTTTGTCCCAAAATTATTGTCCACTTTGATATTTCACTTTTAGTACAATTTGAACAAAAAATGAAAACTCAAACTGGACAATAATTATGGGACGGAGGGAGTAATATTTTTTTTCTTAAAAAAAATATACTCTATAAAAACTTAAAATTGGAGTAAAAAATAAGTTATTTTTATTAATGGTAAAATTAGAAAAACAGTAATTTAATATTACACTGCAAACGAATTTTAAATTGAACCTGAATTTAGAAAAATGGAGGTAGTATTTGTCTCGTTTTGATTTTAGGAGCCGATGGTCACAACTTGAGAGAGTGATTCAAATCTTACGTGTACGCCACCAACTTAGAATGTTTGTTTTGCGTTCCGAACTTTTGCAGCTCAAGTGCTGATGATATTCTTGGTTTGTTTCTTGCACCTACTCTTGATACTTTCCAAGTTCCAACTCACCTAACAAATGCTACATTGCTACTTAATGGTGTAATATGGCATATGCCATGAAGTGTACTTAAATTCTGGTCTTTATTTATTTACATTAAGACGTCTAAATTCGCAAAGATAAGCTGAATGTAAGATACACCCGAATGGAACGCTTCTCACCAAGGTGTCTTTTAAGCTCCAGGCATGTGGTGAAAATGTACTAGTACGATTTTGTACTTGTGTTAGCAGATATTCCATCTTCAATAAAAATTTTCTTTGCATTAAGTATAGGTTTTTGCTTTCTTATTGTTAAGAATAGGATGGGAATGAATGACTTTGACATCTATGTTTAAATTTATTCATTTTAGAAACCTGTTAGAGCTTTTCTTTACGAGTTCATTCAAGCTCAACTCAACTGTCGAATAAGTTGGTAAATTATGCAGTATCAGATCCGGAAAATTTACTCGGAAAAGGTCAACCCATTGGTCTCGAATTTTCCTGTGTACCTGAATTTTCAAGATCATTTGGATTTATTTACTATGATTGTCTTTAAGGTCAACTATTGCGGCCTCCATCAAGCCTTCTGATTCATTTTTCAATTACTGTGATTCGCAAAAGGAAGGTTTCAATTAGAGATTATGTTTTTTTCACAAAAAAAAGCGAAAAAATAATATTCTTTTTATTCTAAAATTAGAAGAGGAATACTTTCTCTGTCCCTTAGAGAACATCCGATTAAATTATAATATTTTAAAATTATTGTCTAATTTGAATTTTTATTTTTAGTTTAAATTATAAAAAAATTAAGACAAAAATCTCATTTGGACCACATAGGACAAAAATCTGGTTTGGGTAAGTTTTGAGGGAAAGAGTCATGGGGATAATTATGTGGGGAAAAAGGAAAAAAGTGCTCAATGGATAACAAATTGTTTGTTTTGATTGTTGTTGGTGGTGATAACGGTGGAGACGAAATGACCGGTGTTGTTGGTACTGTGACGAAAATAAATGTGTATAATAGTAAAAAAAAAGTTCAGAAAAGATATGAAACGGGTTTGAAGAGAAATAAAATCTAAAATTAAAAAAGTGTAAAAAATGATTTTGTAATGTAGTTTTGTATTAAAAGAATGAGAAAGCAAACATTTTATATGTTTCCTAACTTTTAAAAATATATGAATATTTTTGAATTTTGAATACAAGAAAAAAAGAAACTTGAGAAAAAAAAAAGTGAAAATGATATTTCAAACTGAGAAAAAAAAATGATTGGTTTTAACTATTAAAATTTAAAGGTTATTTAAATGTAATACAATTTTGGGTTATGCGAAAAAAAAAGAAAAAAAAAAAGGAAGAAAGAAAAACAGGTTGGGAACAAAACAATTAAAAAGAAAACTAATAAATCTATTTTTAATAAGTTTTTATACCTTAATAACGGGCATTTTTTCAATTCCAGAGTTATTGTCTATTTCTTCATTAAGTTTGAGGGAATTTTCGTCCAAAGGACTAAATCAACAAACAAACTCAAAATTTAAGATGGATTTGTTGAATTGGAAAAAGTTCGTTCTTTTGAACTAAATGTTCATCAAATATATACGTAATGATCATAAAAGTTAAGTAAACGATCATCATAACTTAATTGCATGATCATATGAAAGGATTACTGATCATTAAAAACAATACTGCAGGATCATTACTGGAAAAAAAAAAGATTAAACGATCATCAAAAAATTGTTGGATGATCATCAAAATGTAAATGAATAATAAAAAATGATTAATTATCAAATTTATTTATCTTTTTTGTAAATTTAAAGTTCTGAAAACATATTTACGATAAATCTTATTGAATAAATCTTGTCAACTATATAAAATTCATATACTACATTCACTTCCTTTTAACTGTAGAGTGTAGATATTTCTTCAATTCATCTGTCATTCTCTATTTCCAAAACATCATTAATGAATTATTTTTTTAATTTCACCCTTATCTCTTTCTAATTTGATTGGTTATATCAATAACAACTCCTTGTCATTTACTTTTTTGTGTATTTCCATACAATCAATTAAGGATAAATCTTTCTGGTTTAGTGAAGAATTATTCCCATTTTTTTCTATGTATTTCCCGATCTCCGTCATGGCTGGCTACGTAAGTATTTACTCCCAATATTCACTGCGTTTGTTCTCTCTGTTGCTTCATCGTGTAGTTTAAGTTGTATAAGCTTGAGTTTTCTTTGTCATTATTTTTTCAAGAATTTGTTGAGTTTGTGTAATGTTGTATCGTTTTTTTCTTTTCAGAGTACGTACTTGTCATTTTTTTACATAGAGATTCCACGCTATGAGAATCTTGATCACTTTTCAAGTTGTTTTAATATTGATTTCGTTTTTGTATGGTCGCATTTGTGTATGAATATTGAAATTGGTGGTGCCTGGTTTCTGGCTTTCTACTTCATATTGTGTAATTGCTAGGGTTTAAGAAATCGATTCTATCGGTCTTGTTCTAAATTAGGATTCTGTATCGCATATCTTTAATGTCTTGATGTTAGGGGTTTTTGCTTATAACATTAATGATGTAAATTTTAAACGTTTCATGGTTAGTACGTGGGCAGATGGTGTTAATGGGGATAAATAGTCGAGTCCATCTTAAAGTTTGATTCTCTAGTCGATTTCATCTCAAAGTATTTATAGAGGCTCAATGTCATCTAGAAGTTTAACACTTTGACTCATATCATCTTGCTAAGTACATTAGCAATTTTTGGCATTTGACTTAGTCAACCATTGTGTTTATGACTTTCTTACGCTTTCAAACATTAAGACTAAAGCAACAACTTAAATAGCATAATTATTTTCAAAAGTATGGCGGGAAGTTTCCTGATTTTATTAATTAGTTTAATTATTTTTGGAAAAAAGACAAAATGTTTATTCTTTTCTTAGTGAGTCCATCATTTAATCCTTAAATAAATAAAGCCTAAATTGCATTATGTTTCTTTATTTTCTTCTTTATTTTCTTTTGTTATTTGGGAATTCTGTTTCTAAATTCAAAAAATATGAAATGCTCAAACTAATTCAATTATGAAAAACTTTTATATCACTAAAACTTATAATTGACTAAACTTTTATGCAATGTATGCACCAAAATATAACCAAATTTTAGTATTTGTTGAGCACCAATATACAACTAACTTGACTGGTGAATTGATGATCAATCGTTGATAGATATAATTTTCGATACAACCAAAATACAATAAGGTATAATTTAGAATTTATTTATTAATAAGTGCTAGATGTGGGACTGACAAAGAAAAAAATAGACGTGTTTTACTTTTTTCAAAAAAAAATAATTAAGCTAATTAACGATGCCACGTATTTTTCTCATTTTTTTCAAAAATAATTAAGCTAATTAATGATGCTGCAATCATTAAAAAAAAAATCAGAAACCAACCATTTGACTAAGTTAAATGCTTATTAAAATACTTTAGGAGGGGATCAACCATTTCTCCATGTTGATGGCGATGAATTACTTTTAGAAATTGCAACTAAAGACTAATTTGAAATTATAACTTTAGATATTTAAACCTTACTCCTTGCAGAGGATTTTATAAAGTGTGTTCTTATTAGAATCTGGATCATTTATCTTGATATGATAATGTTCAAGAAGGGGCATATAAGTCTATCATTCCATGTGAAATTCGATTTGGATAACCATCAATAGTAGATGTTGAAAACTGATTAGTATGGGTGTATCTTGTCTCACGTATATGAACTGACGACTTGACAACATTTTTGCTATCACAAAAACTATATGCTACTAAAGGTGATAGGTCTATTGCAAAGGTGTTATTTCCACCTAGCAAACAGGCTGACTATTGTGAATCAGGGTTGATATAATTGTAGTCTCTTTTTTGGTTATTTTTTTGTTTTGATCTCCATGTGCATTCAGTTACAACAAAGCAGTCTGAGACACTAGATCCATCTTTTTTCTTCTTCTTTTTTTCTTTAGTTTAAGTCAGTTTGAGGCTTGTTGTTGTTACCTCTGATGTTCTTTCCTTGTTTAGGGTAAGATATCAAAGTGGGTTGATATCAAAGGGTAAAATGATTGGTCATCTACTCTAGAATCCAGATTATGATTTCATTCAAGAGGTATTGATCAGTTAGCTCTTATTTCAGTTATTACTTATTACTTATTAGCTCTTACTTCAGTTTATAGCTCCTAATTGATAATTGATCACTAACCATAATTTTTTGTTTGATTTCATGTATGTATACGGAAGGGACATGCTCAATTTCAGATAAGCTATGAGAGAGTTGAATACAGAACTGACATCCGAGGATTTTGTGGCAAGAAACTCACTCACTGCTGCCGATATCATGGTATTTTGCATTATTAACAACGCATTGAACGGCGACTTTACCTCTGATCAACTGATCTCGCAGTTCCCAAATGTTGGCAAACTTTATACTCTATTGATGGAGTGTGAACATTTTAAGGAGTCTTAGGGGAAGCAAAAGTTAAGGAGCTTAAGGCAATGGAGAACTACTTTCAGGGGAAAACAAAGGAGGTCTCAGATTTTCTTCAGAATTTACATCATTTGAGAAGAGGATAAAGAAAGAAAAGATCCAGCAAACATCATGGTTCGGAATTTTAAGATTGACAAGGAAAATTTCATTCGGTTCTAATCACTGATAAGGAAGACTAGTGCCTTCTTCTTCACTAAAGCAGTTGTTTGATATCAAATACACAATGCAATTTGAGGAACTCAGTTACACTGTTACACCGTTCAGACATCATACGAAGTACTTAATATTCGAACTGTTCAAGTGCACATGTCATTCTATGCAATCAGCAATACGAATTCAATGAGTAGATTATTTGCAGATTAGCTGATGAATTCTCTTCGACTTAGATATAGTAGAACTTTCTTTATACCATGTTTTATACGGCCAAACTGCTCTCTGTTGGGCAATATGCAAATGATTTTAGCTGTTAAAAGCAAGATTTGAATCATAGCTTCTGCATTGGGAATGTTCACTACAGGCTTGTGTATGAAATATTCTAATCATCCAATTTTGGACCTTTATCTTCTGGAGTAATATATTTCTTAGATAAATAGGCCGCTCAATTTGGATGCACTTTATATTGATGGTGGTTCATTTGTAGCAACTGTTAAGAAACCTCTTCCTTGGTTAGTATCATGTAGAAAACTAGAATGCTGTCTGATTTGCCTACAACAGAACTCCAGGGCACACTGCTTGCATTGGGTGGAATATCTCATAATGATAATCCCTTTTTCCGATAAATTGTCTCGCTTGAGGGAAGATACTAGAAAGCCACTTAATTCTTATACTCAAATCTGATCTGAAAAGTCACGGCTTCATCCATCGTGTATGAGCTTCAGAGTGAAATGAGTTACTACCATGTTGGCTAGTCCAAATGCCCATTAATTTTATTAATCAATAATGATGGCTAGTCCAAATGCCCATTAATTTATTAATCAATAATGATATGTGCGAGAAATAATTTATAGGAAAAATTATGAAGAAAAAATAATGTAAATTAAATCACATCCATTGTATTTTATACTTTTCATATAGAGTTTATGTATATAACATTAGGCGGACAATTTAGATCTTAAACGCATCATTCTTTGTCATTTTTCTTTTAAACACTTCACGAACGAAATCTGGTGTAATTATAAAAATTTTCAATGTGCTTTAAATATTTTTCTCACATTGCTACAATGTATACAAGCAGCTAAGAAACTGTAATCAGACTTTGCTCCACATAAATGTACAGAAGCATGTACTCTTCCCTAGTGGAAAAAATTCAGAGACAAAAATAATATCTATCAAGATTCAAATTCCTCCTACAAAATTAACTCCTAACAGTTAGGATTCTAAGTTCTCACAAATACAACAAACTCCATCTTGTGGGGATTACAGAAGACACCAGCTGCAGCTTCCTTCCAGTTAAGGATGCATCATTTCTCACAAGATGATTCCATGCGTGCCATACTCTGTGTAAGTAAGGAATTTCAGTTGTCGGAAGCTGGAGGGGCTTATTTTCCAATGTGGTTGTACAGAAAAGCAATGCCCGTTGTTCTCCTGTGTTAAAAGGGAACATTCTATGATACTCTCTGGAGCTCATCTCTTGGCAGCATTTCCACCTTGGGGGCGTGCTCCATATCCAGCTCCAGCACCATGCGGGGTTGGAACTGCTGACCCGTAAGGAGCATTTCTTGCAGTAGCTTCCCGTCCTTGAGATCCAGGAGGTTTGGGCGACGGATTATATCCAACGCTTTTTGGATCATAACCGGGTCCTCTACGGGAATCATATGGCTGCGCAGCTTGTCCACTGAAACTGGCGCTTTGTCCTTCATACGAACCCCACATACGAGCATCATACCCATGTCCTCTCTGGGGATCATAACCAACAACTGGGTTTCCTCGCTGAGCGTCATATCCAGGGCCCCCAATCCCTCTGTGCATATCATAAGCAGCACCAGTGTGCCCTCGTTGTGCGTTAAAGCTGGGACCTCTAGCTGCCTCATATGCTGTTCTTTGGGTGACTTGGTTTTCAGAACCAGAATGAGCACCAGCAGGAGGAGTAACCCCACCAGCTACACCACCGCTGGCAGAGCCAACAACAGTATCAGCAGCTAAGTTGCTGCTTCCGTCTACAGGAAATGGGCCTTTGCCCTGCAAAAATTATACAGGGAATGATGAGGAAAATAGTGAACGGAAAAGCAGTATCCCTTACCATTTTTCTTAAACTAAGCTAACGAAGAATTTACTCATCATTAAGCATAATTATGATCACTAATTCTACTTTAGGATGTCCGAAATTAGAAGCAACCAGTACAACTCACAGCAGATACTTTCAGATAAGTAAATATATTTTTAGCTCCATCTTTCAAATGAGCATTAAAGAATAAGAACATGATGGCAATAAAGAAACCTGAGAAACTCCATAACCATGGCCATAAGCATTTTGTCCAACCGGATAATTTCCAGAAGCATCGTTCTCGTTGTATCTCAAATTGCCACCATAGTAAGCACCTGCATTTATTAATTAGAAATTCGAGCACAACAATTTTTTTTTTTTAAAAGAAAAGAAATAGGAAGAAAAAGTTAACACCTAGTTCTCTTCTCTTACCAGCTCTGTCGGAATTGGAAGACTTAGTTAACTCAGCCCTAAGCTTTTCCACCTCCCTGGACATTGATAGATAGTTCTTCTCCATCACCTGAAGAGATTCCAGATGATCATTGGATAGTTTCTTCTCGTAGTCATACGTAGCTCTGTGTCAACCACCCATATTTCAGAATAGTACAATAGTGGATACAAAACAAAAAAATAAAACATAACACAGATTGCCAATTGTAGAGCTTAAGAATTACGGGGTTTGCTTCTTTGTGCATTCAAGAATGTCTCAATACATTATCCTTTATCACTCCTTATTGTTTTTATATTTTGAAGCACAAAAAATAGTATCATTCAACACCATTAATAAGTTAGAACATGAATCTTTTAAGCACGCTCTTAACATTGAGATCTCAGACTCTCAGTATCAGTTCTCTCTAGGTTGTTGGCAGTATCAAGGGTATAGAAACAAAAGACAATAAGTACCTGCAATGTTGGTACTCTTGCCTCAGACCATCAAGCTCAGATAACAGCATAGGAATCTGCTGTAAATCAGAGTGTGACTTCTGGAGATCTTGATTTAACTTCTGAACTTTTGACATAAGTTCTGGTCTTGCAGCAATCAAGCTCCGAGCTTCAGCTTGAACCTGTTGCAACTCCATTTTGACAGAATTGGCAGCTTGGAGATCAGCTTCCATCATTGTGATTTTGTCCAAAAGAGCCCTTTTCTGCTGCTCACTCTCAGATTTAATGTCCCCTATGTTAGCATGCAACATTTGCAGCTCATGCTGTGCAGAAGCAAGTTCTTGTCTAAGAGTCACATGTGTGGCAGCCAGCCTCCGGTTTTCCATCACGAGCTTTTGCATCTCTAAATGTTGTGTGGCTAGTTTCTGGCCCAGAATTTCTGAAGGAGGCAACACATCAAAAGGAGGGAAGCCACCGGTAGGGGGTCGATGTGGAGGAACAAAGGGGTCAGGGTGCACCATGCCGGGGTTAGGAAGAGGACGCCTAGGCGGAATCCGACCTTTGCTTCCCATCTAAAATCCAAAATACAGACCAGCAGTTAATACCCCTTAGTATTCGGACTACCTATTCATCCAAAAAGGGGGAGGAAAAATGCTGTTCCTATCACATCGGGAAAAATGTCTTTGCCTGAAATACAATATTTTCAATATGTCCAGTCAACAAGTGGCCGAATTCAACTCTCTAGTCCAGACTCCAGATATGAATAATTAACGACTCAATTAATACAATAACGAATCTGCACCATTGCTAACAAGGAAATCAAACTTTAACAACCAGTCAATATGGCCCCCCAAGACAAATATTCTTTGCAGTCTATATATCAATGGCCAAGAACTTACCAACAGCGAGCTAAAACAAAAGGCACATGTTCCCGTCCTGAATAACTATTCACAAATAATTGATAACTACTGCCGCGTTCCAAAGAAAATGAAAGTACTGGGCAATAGTTTTATCACAAGGAACCTTATTAAGATGACTGGAAGATTACTGTAAGAACATGAGTAAATGGTTGCTATCGAAAAAGGCTTTCGGATAAATATTTTGTTCGCGGGGAAGAAGTTTCCATCAACCCGCAATCAATAGCTGAAATTCAAGACAATGCATCCCAGTACTTGATCGTATCACAAGCAAACATAAATTAACTCCGTCCAAAAATCATTCCCCCGAAAAATAAAAATAAAAAACCCTAAACAACGGATAATACAGGAGTGATAATGAACTACGAAAATCACGTAAAACGGGAAACACCACACAAAATTCACTACAATGGATAATTAAGTTCAATTCAAGCTTATCGATTAACCTCGATTCTCAGGGGCGCGGCAGAAGGCAGAAGAATTTGCTTCCCGGTGGCCGCTTTATCAATGGAGATAGAACAGCTTGGTGGCGGTCGATGACGGCGAGAGGTGGCAGCGCCAAGGGCTAATCGGCTGGGCCTTTGAAGAAGACTGATCTTTCTCAGTCCCTACAATCTTCTTTTATTTGTCCCTGCAGAAGACTTAAAGGCAAATTCCACTCCCAATTTTTATTTTTTTTTACTTTTTTTTAAAGGGAAATTTTTATAAAGGGGAGTGAATTATATTATTCTCGTAAAACTAATGCGTTAATTGATATAAACATATTTTGGTTTATTTAACTTCTCTGTTAAAAGTTGTTCTATATTTCAATTTGAAGAATGAATTTCCAAAATTCGTGGAGGAAGATAGTCAAACCAATGGTGGCGATTCTTACTCAAAAAAATAATAATAATAATAAAAATAAAATTACAGCATAAAAGGGCGAAAGAGAAATTCTGTGAGTGTTTTCCAGTCTATTTTTTGGTGCAGGTTTTCCATAGTTCAGATAGTTTACTTTGGTCCATAGTTTGAATTTTTTAAAATTTAAGGTGAAAAATGAAGATCATTTCTGAGCACATCTATGGTATACGCAATTTTATTTTTGTGATGTAAGAATTCGATCGGGTCTTAGTACAACTGTACAAACGATATTTAGTTTGTACTCCGATCCTTAATATAAGACATTTTAATTTGTCTTAGATTTATCCTAGTACACAATTTTAAGCAACGAAAAAACTTTAAAAATATTTTATAATAATCAAGAGAACAAAGCGAATGTGAAAATATATTTATAAGGTTTTTTTATCAATTAAAAATGTGTGTTAGGTGTAATCTACGAAAAGTCAAAATGCCTTGTGACACGACCCAAATATTAAGTAAATTTGGCCCAATAACTTTGATGGACTTGGGCCCATTTGGAAGTATTGGGTCAAACCCAATATCCGGAAATTTCTAAAATGTCCTAAAATTACCTAGGGGTTTGTAAAATATTAGAGAATATGAGTAGAATCATGTAGTATTGTCTAGAATGTTGTGGAAATTTTTAGAACATTATAGAATAATGGAGGAAATTGTAGAAATTCTCTAGATTTAGGATTTCTAATACTTTATGTAAAAATTTTTAGAACTTTAAGGGCTTGGGGTTGCCAACTATAAATACCTCCGAGCCCCATATTGTAAACAATGAAGAATTCAAGGTGTTGAATTCTAGTTCACAAGTTCTCTCGACTTCTCTTTGAGTCCTCATTCTTTCCTCTTCCTTTTCTTTAAACCTTCGACTTTTCAATTTAATTCTTTTCAAGAATTTGGAGAGTTTTAAGAGTGAGGTTGAGCTAGCATTCTTCATTAGGGGTCTAGAGTGCTAGTGCTGCACGGTTTTAACTTATAAAATAGTTAGCCCGTGACACTTGTAATAAGGACCGGAGGGAGTAATAAATAATTATGACATAAATATGATGAATTGATGATGGAGTTGAGCGTTCGCGAATCTCCTCTTTAACAGCTTTCAAGTTTCAAAAAAGGGGAAATTAAAAATAAAATAAAATAAAAAAACAGAAGATTAAATGTCCATGGATCAACATACGATAAGGCAAATTTGGCCTAATCAAACACAAAGAGCTTATTTCATTTGTCATTCCCTTAGTGTGATGGTATTGCGTGTTGTTATTAGTCTTCCAGAATATGTAACTGGAAGTACTTCCATTTCAGAATCTCTGCAGCTCTTAAACTAACTGAGGAATCTTAGACAATGATTCTCTTATCTTATCCTCAGAGAATGACAGATCAACCATAGACCCTTGCAAATACTTCTCATAAGCCGGCAAATCAAAATGGCCATGCCCACACATTGCCATCAGAATCACTTTTGATTCCCCGGTCTCTTTGCATTTCAAAGCCTCCCTGATCGTGGCAGCTATCGCGTGAGTTGGTTCAGGCGCCGGTATCAATCCCTCCGTCCTAGCGAATTGTATTGCGCCTGCGACGAAAAATTGAACAGCATAGGGATTAGCATGCATCTTCCCTACGAAAATGCATTCAGTCCGAGGAAAAATGTTTACCTTGAAAGCATTCAGTCTGAGGAATCGCAAGTGCTTCCAAGTAGCCTTGTTCATAGACATGTGAAATCAATGGAGCCATGCCATGATAACGAAGGCCTCCTGAAACATATTTAACCAAAATCAACTTCTGAGTAAAAAAAACTACACACAGTATGTTATCTTAATTCCCAAGCATACAAATGCTTTTTTTTTTACCGGCATGAATCGGATCAGGAATAAAATCATGTCCAAGTGTGTGCATCTTCATCAAAGGAGTCATCCCTGCAGTGTCTCCATAATCATAAGCGTACACGCCCTTTGTTAAAGAAGGGCATGCTGTGGGTTCAACAGCTTTTATCTGAGGATTGATTTTTCCTTTAATTTTCTCTCTAATGAATGGAAATGCAAGCCCACCGAAATTTGATCCACCTCCAGTACACCCAATGATAATATCTGGAGCTTCCCCTACGGCTTCCATCTGCTTGATACATTCCTCACCAATCACAGTTTGATGCAACAGAACATGATTGAGAACGCTTCCTAAACAATACTTGGTATCGCCATTTTTAGCAGCAACTTCGACAGCTTCTGAAATAGCTATTCCAAGACTTCCAGGGCTTGTTGGATCCATTTGGAGAAGTTTCCTGCCAGCTTCAGTAACATTGGAAGGCGAAGGGTGGACTTTAGCTCCCCAAGTTTGCATCATCAGACGACGATATGGCTTCTGATCATATGATGCTCGAACTTGCCATACCTAACGATAATCGGATTTATTAGAAGAACTACTTAATCATCTGAACCTGACAACCAAAATCAAACAAGGTAAGGAGCACAAACTGATAACTCACTTCACAGTTGAGATTAAACAAACTGCAGGCAAATGCCAATGCACTTCCCCATTGCCCAGCACCAGTTTCTGTGACCACATTCTTCACTCCTTCCTGTGCATTATACCATGCTTGAGGAACAGAGGTATTGGCTTTGTGTGAACCAGCTGGACTATTGCCTTCATATTTGTAATAAATTCTAGCAGGTGTATCAAGCAATTTCTCCAACCTTCTTGCTCTACATATCAAAAGCACAAGTATAAAACCAATGCTCATACCATTTTCACTACAAAAAGAATTTGATTACTGTAGAGACAGAAACCAACCTGATTAGAGGGGTTGGACGCCACAGCTTATAAATATCTCTAACCTCCTCAGGAATATCAATGAACTGTTCTGTGGTTGCTTCCTGTTTGATCAATTCATCAGGAAATAGAGGAGACAAGTCCTCTGGTTTCACAGGCTCAAAAGTCTTGGGGTTCAGGGGAGGAGGAGGTTTGACGGGAAGATCTGCAATTATGTTGTACCATTTATGAGGTATTTCAACCGCCGGTGTATCAGCACTATAAGAAGATGCTCTTATCTTTATCCTGGAGCAAGATGAAAGCTTTAAACTACTTGGGTTTTTCTTCTTCTTCTTCAATCCAGCATACCATATCCTCTGTTCTTCACCTAAAGACCAGGAACAGAAAAAAATGATAGCCTAAGCACTACATACATACCAAAGTACATCTTTTTACATCAATAAATTAGTTCAATGCAAAAACTAACAATAATAGCAAACAGGGTTTTGCATCATTTTTTCATCTATGATACAGTTATCAACCGAATGGTACAAGAACAAATGAGCAGTAAAAGTCAACTGATAATAAAGACACAATATATTGCAGCCAACCCAAAAGACTCAGTACTCAGTTTGAAGTAAAGCTTGGCTCAATCAATCCAATCTTGGCAGAAAAAAAAAAAAAAACATGCTTTGGTACAGAGTAGTGTTACAGAAGAAGCAAGCAAAGTAGAAGTACCTAAGCTGGAAAACTTTGAGCAAACACTAGTTGATACAAACAGAGATTGTGCTGCCATTTCCTTTTGCAGAAAAAGCTCACCAACCACTTCTTACTTCTCAGCTGATTTGGGAACCAAATAAAAAAGGATCAGTTCTCCAAAGCCAGCACGATTAATTAAGGCAGCCGCCAACCCAGCTGGAAAGAGCCAGAGAGGTTGATGGCAAGTAATCACTAATTAGTTGGACCGCAGTAGCTTTACTAATTAAGGAAGACGGAGGAGTTCGTTTCTTTCTTTTTAGTATTTTTTCAATTTGGAATTAAATCATATGAGTCCCAATTTTGATTTTCCGTATCTCAAGTGGTGTTCTGAAAGCAACCGTTGACCATTAGTGTTAGGCACATGGAGTTGCTTCCATCCACGTTTGAGAATAAGTATTCCCTTTGTCCCAAAATTATTGTACAATTTAAAATAATAATTTAAATTAAAAATAAAAATTCAAATTAAATAATAATTTTAAAACGAAAAAAATACTACTCCCTCCGTCTCATAATTATTGTCCACTTTGCTCAAAAAAATTTGTCCCAAAATTATTGTCCAATTTGACTTTTTATGGATCAAGTTACACATTTGTCCTTAGTAAAAAACATTATCTATAAAATCTTTGTGGTTAAACAATTACTTATGTAGGGGTATATTCGGTTGTTCAAGGTAAAATATAGTTAAGTTTAACCAAAAATAAAATCTTTCATTTTAGTAAAATTGGACAATAATTATGGGACGGAGGGAGTATTTATTTCCAAGAATTCCTCACCATTTTAAACTATATTTAAGTAATCCAGTTGAGGTTGGAACTTGGGAAGGTTGGAAAAAGACAAATGTTTAGACGAAAGGGACCCCAACTTCCAAAGAACACAAAGAAATGAAAATTAACACGTGGAGCCACATTGTACTGTCGAAAAAACCAAAAAAATTAATAATTTGCAGCATACTGTTGTTGCCCTCAGTCGAGTCTAACCTCAAGAATACTTTGGTTTCCTTGGTAGCAATTGGTCTCGCTAGTAGCGGCCAATCAGTGGAACCTGATATACTCCCTCCATCCCATAATTATTGTCTAGTTTGAGTTTTTATTTTTAGTTTAAATTGTACTAAAAGTGAAATCTCAAACTGGACAATAATTTCGAAACAGAGGGAGTAATTGTTATTCTTTATTTAGGTAATACTCTCTCCATTTCATTCAAACTGGAAAGTAATTTCGGGATGGAAAGAGTTTTAGGAGCTATCATTGCGTAGCAAAAAGAAAAGCAAAGAAAAGAAAATGATCAATACTGAGGAAGTGCCTGGTTCAATGGCTTAAATATGATAAATGTATGGTTCGATCAATTTTTAGTTTTTATAATTCTTGACATTCAAACCCTCCTAATTAGTTGGGTATGGAAAAAGCCACTATAAATTGGAATGAATCCCAATTTAGTGGACCATCATCATTCCAAATAGGTGAACCAAGCAACCAAAACTCCTATGAAACCCATACCCAGGATATGAAACCTTCAAAACAAGCACCTCCTGAGCTTCTTTATTGATCATTATATATATTAAAGGAAAGAAAGATAATCGACACGTGTCACTCATTGAGACCATCAAGCCTCAATTAACACGTGTCATTTGTTAATTAGTTGATCATTAATTAGTTAAATTTTTTTGTAAACAATTAATAAATTATTTACTATATAAGATTTTTACAGATATTACAAATTCCTGATTGTGAGCTTGAAAATGAATATTTTCGAAAATTACTGAGAAACTCCCGACTTCATAAGTCCTTTCATTTACGAGTTTAAACTTTCAACCTATTGTCATTTTGGCCCTTAAAGTTCCATTTGTGTGCTGCTTAGTCTTCAAGTTTATCGATTTTACATTTTCAAGGACGATTAATTGTGTCTCATATTTTATTAGAACTACATCTAATTTCCCAAAGTCCCCTTGCCTATAAATAGGCCATAGGAATCTAAACATAATTTACGCATTTTTTAAATATATTTTTTAATCCAAACATAACATTAGTTAGTGGCGACAACTTTTATTATACAACTTTTGAAAATCTTTGTTGTAATATTTTTGACCAGATCTTACAAATATACATCTCATAAATAATATCAATACCTCTCATTTTGATCTAAAATTGATTAATCAAAAAAATATTACAGTTTTAAGAAATATTAGTAACTACATTTTTTTAAAAGAACTAGGACGGTATATTTGTAACTGCATTATCTAATTAATTCTTTTAAAAGATAAATTTTCAACATTGACAAACCCGCGCAAAGCGCGGGACACACACTAGTTTCAATAAAGAAAGGAAAAAGGTACAAAGGGGATTGAGAAAAGTAGGAAAAGCTAAAGACATTATTCACATTTGTGTTCAACTCTATCAGTGTTTCTGAAATTAAAGTTTATGACCAAATTTCCATCCATTCTTCTCAGGATGAAGCTCTCAACCAACACATAAGATGCAAACTTTCTCCATCCCTTATCGGTATGAATCACGTTTTCGCCTCGCACTCGAACCACGTCTTTCCCGGCGCCACTGTCGAACCATCCTCGATTGTCTTGCAGCCATTTGATTTTTTCGTATACGGCCGAACTCAAACCGACGTTTCCTTTCTTCAAATCTCTGGCTTTGGCCCTGAAATAGATGAAACCATCGGCATCATATCTGTCTTCTTTCTCCGCTTCCATCCCGTAAACTGAAGTTGTTAGCCTCTTGACACAAGCGTTAACAACCACCACATTGCTGCTGTTTTCGCCTCCGCCTCTGAGATCATTTTCGCTTGAAAAAATTTGTTCCCACCATCGCTTCAACGTCAACTCGTAAAACAGACTAGTTTTCATTTGCTCTTTTACTTTGGTGCTCATTTCTTTAACATACACAAAAGGGGAAAACCACTTGCCTAAAACAACAGGAGACGATCGCCTGGAAGACAGGGGAAAATCTAATCCCGGAGCGTGTGACAGAGAAGCGACGCGAAGGCCTTGAGCTTCTCCCAGCCTGAGGTTGAAGGAATGAGCAACGTGAACTTCCCATCCACCCTTTCTGAGGAATTTTGGAGGAGTACCATCCCAAGCTACCGGTACAGCATAAAAACCACCATTTTTATGGTGTCGAATCTCAAACTGCTGATATACATCCCTGTGATCAAATGGCTTCGGCTTTGGATCATCTCTGACATTGTTGTAACAGCATGCCGTTACAAAATCATCCTCCTTAGAACATGTGTACGCCTTCCTAAAACAAACAACAACGAAAAATGCAATTCCAATAATCAACTTGGACTAGAAAATTGGAAACAAAAATTTGTTCCTTTTTAAATGTAGTTCCACAAATTTGCAATGCTTCTCACCCTTTATGATAACCTTTCGCACTAATAACATAGTAGCGGTTGGAGGACAAGGGCTGATCTGGAACTGGTAATAACCAGACCTTGGAAATGCTTGCCTCTTGGTCACGATCTTGGGTGTGGACAATCTTCAAGAACCTATCCTGCGGGAAAGGCAACCTATTGATTCTGTCATTCTTGCATATTCCCCAACAAAAAGTATCCATCTCTTCAGATTCCTCATCACTGATCACTATGAACCCGGAAGATGGAGCTTCTGATGGCGGCCGGGTTAAGGCAGCAGCTGGTAAATTTCTGTAAAGAGAACGTGGCCTTGTGACAAACATTGCAGCTGCTTTTGTGAATACTAATTTTTAGTCCAAAAAACTGTCTTTGACAATGTAAGGTGATCAATTATATTGAAACATGAGTTGAGTCATCAGTTAACTTTATTGCCTCATTTTCCACCATCTTTTTAGTCCCACCATCCCTATAACTTAACATTTAAGTTCATAAAGAAAACACTGCTAAAAGCTACTACTTTTCACTGGCATGATCATGATCCACTTTCACAAAATTAAGGTTTATGTTATTATCATAATCATTCCGTCCCAAAATAAGAGTTACAGAAAAATCTAAGATTGCAATTAATAAAGTAAATAATTGAGGACCGCAAGACACTCATGACAAGGTTTCTGCATGACTAACCGTCTACACTCTTCTATCAACTCCCATGAAATTCCTTTTTCCCTTTGGTGTAGCTCCCAATGCTTGTCAGGAACACAAGAAATAAAGAACAAGCACTATAACAAAACGACGACTTGGAAAAAATGAAAACAAGAACCATTTTCTTTTATAAGTGCAGAAAAACTTTGAATGCTGACAGATATGATATTTTATCCAAACAACCCAAAACCAAGCCATGGATTCAAAGAAGTTCTACTGCAGCAAAAAGGAAACAAGGGTCAACTTCCTTATTGCACATTTACCAGAAAAATTATCAGAGAAATTAGGAGATCATGAACAAAAACCAAGGCAGATTGTTCTTTTTCTTTCTTTTTTTTTTTGTCAAAATAATTATTAAAATTCAGCTAAAGCAAAAAAGCATAATGGTAACATATATATATCAACCGAAAGAATGCAACTAACTAACAAGAACATGAATTCAGAGGCCAAAGAAGGCTACTAGTGCAGAATAGGATCATGTCCATTTTCTTATGCCCCCTAAGCACAATGAATGTTATCATACTATACAATCATGATTGCCAGATTTTCTATGAAATCACAACCTAATTCACTTGTTCTGTTCCTAACAATTCATTCATTACTAGGGACTATGGACGGCTCTGACCTTGAATATTAAGCAGCTCCGATGGTGTCCTCCAAGCTCGAATATTAAGTATCCAATGATGTTCGAACCTTGTAACTAAGACCCAAAATGAGCAATGCCTGTTGAGGTGGCGCTTGTAGGCACAAACAATTTTATTCTCGAAGATGGTGGAGGGTGTAGTCAGGGGTGGTGATCAGTGGGGCAAGCAAAATAGCTTTCTGAGGCGAGATCCAAAATGAGTGACTCTTGAGCCTATGGATTTGGGTTCGGTAGGAACTTCAAGATTTTCTTGTGTTTGGTTGTCTGTCCATATACAGCCCAAGCTCCTCAATGAGATGATATTCTCCTCCACATAATAGTTCACCCCATTTAGATGCAGTGGGGATAAGAAAGGGTTTTTCTGCATCACAATCTCCTTGGACTCTCCCTTAATCGGATCAAATAAGTAAATGCAAGCTGGGGAGCGATCTTTTTCATGACATAGTAGCAACTTCCCACAGGGAAGTATTCCCTCAAGCCTGAATCCCTGAGATGGCATAACATATATTTCTTCATCACCCCAATTCCCTTCGGCTAGCTCTCCAGAACTTCTCCTACTGCAGTTATAATGCACAACCACCATCTCATTGCTTTCGGGTGATACAGACACGACAGCGACGGGCCCAAAATTCAGCAGATCATACTTTGTACCGTTTCCTTGAGTATCAGGTAAGGGAATCCTTCGGAACTTCTCCTGGACAAAATCAAAAGCCATAATGGGGGCATCATGGGGATAACGTGGGTCTTTCCAGTAAAGAACTCCATCTGAGATCCTACACCCAGCATATATACTACTAAAAGGGAGATAGTACTTGTAACTATTAAAAGGAGATGAACGGATATGTCTCCAGGATGAGTCCAACCCGATGGTGAAAATCTGCCAATGTAGAGCAAACCCGACATTGTTGCAGGAGCAAAATGGATTTTCACTGAAAACCATCTGTGTCTGCAAGAGGAGAGCCCTTTTCTCTATCAAACAGCGTCCAAAGACTTGGGCCTTTATCTCAAAACTTTCGCCATGTCAAGTAATTCAACCGGCATAAAGATCAGGATCTTGTTAGGGGTAGAAACTTACCGGTAAAGCAACTTGGAGTACAGTTTTGTCCGCCACTTCTACATCAATTTTCTCTTCCATATTGGATATGAGAAAATTACTAGAAAAGTTAGGTGAGATCATACTCTTAAAACTTTAGACCATAGACCTGAATGGTGAATGCATCTCTATGGTCCCATGATTTGCATATATCAATTGAAGTGATTCAACAAAAACATGAATAGAGAAGCCAGAGGAAGAGAATGATATCAGTGCAGAATAGAATAACGGTATCAAAAACCACAAACTCAATCGAATGCTGTCATTATTATTATGACTTAAAAAATCATGAATGCCAACAATTTCTCCGGAACCACAATCTACATTCATTCAATCTGTTCCTAACAATTCATTCATTAACTTCCCACGCAAGAACTAAAGCTGCTAACACGAAGGAGGGCACCTAACTGAGAATGCTAAGTAGCTCTGATTATATCCGCACACTGCAAATAAGTCCCGAAATTCTCAATGCTTATTGAGGTCCGGATATGGAGGTTAAGCTTCTCAAGGAGATGATATTTTCTTCATAATAGTTCACTGGATTTGATTGCTGAGGGAATAAGAAAGGGTTATTCCACAACACGATCTCCTTAGACTCTCTCTTAACCGGATCAAACAAGTAAATATAAGCTGGGGATTCAAAATAATGAGATAATATCAACTTCTCGCTAGGAAGGATTCCCTGAAGACAGACCTCCTCACTTGGAATTACATATTTTTCTTCATCACCCCAATTCCCTTTAGCCAGCTCTCCAGACTTTCTCCTGTTGTTGTTGTAACGCACAATCACGCGCTCATTGCTTTCAGGTGACTCAGACATGACAGCAATGGCAATAGGCCCAAAACTCAGCAGATTATATTTTCTGGGGCATCCTTCGGGGTTGGGTAAAGGGATCAGTTGGAACTTCTCCTGGAAAAAATCAAAAGCAACCATGGGGTGATTTGCATTGCTTCCGTTCAACCAGTAAAGAACTCCATCTAAGTACCTCAGTCGAGTGCTTTTATTTAAAGGATTATTGCTTGCATCCATGGGAGGCAAACAGATGTCTCTCCAGGATGAGTCCACCCCGATCGTGAGAATCTTCCAGTTTCTACGAGACTGAGCTGTTTGCGCCTCTTTGGAGATGAAGAGCAATAGCAACTTGTACAATTTGTTGACGGGATCAAAACCAAGAAAATAGGCAAAGAAATTCTCGTTAGGAGGATTAACTTGGCACTGGACCGGAACGACTTCTAGGCTCTCCCTAGTAGCAATGTTATACAGGCATAAACGCTTCACACCGTAAAAGCAAACCAGGCCATTCACTACCATTGTGGTCTGCATCTGCTCCCAATCGCCACCGAACTTGCTGTGATCTACAGTTGAGCGGCGTAAAAGATAAGTGCGAGGGCCGTAACCTTCAAAATTCAGGTTGACAAAGGTAAAGACTGTCTTCTCATTGGTGCCTTCCTCCGGCTCAGGGTGTTCAACCACTAGAAGGCCTCGGGAACCAGCTCGGTAGACTAAGGCAAGGGATGGATCTTTGATAATTGAATGCCAAGTAACAGAGATACACTTGAATCGCATCAGGGACTTTACTGGGAGCCATCTCAGTATTTCCTGATGCAGTTCCAGAGGAAGTGCTGGAGAGTCCGCCATAAACAACTACTCTGAAATTCTCTAAAAGAAAAACCAGGGAATCAATTCAGAGTCACTAAGAGCAAAAACGTCAGGGCTCTGTTTTTTTTATTTATGGAGACCATGCCCTCTACAACTCAAAGTATAAAGTTATGTATTCTTTTCAATTCTACTTGTCAAAGGAATCACCTTTAGCAATCCACGGTTTTGGTTAATAATTACGTATAACTAAACATAGAAAATTATCCTTTTCCTATTCCACATTATATTACATATTCTGAAGCAATCAAAATATTAGTTTCTGACGAAGAGTACGTTTGATCCTACTATATTACCTATAGCAATGCATCAATTTTGATCGTTATAGCGTGGTAATCAAACATATACAAAGACCCTTCTTTGATGGGTTAGATAATAATACCCCTTCCCAAATACTCTCATTATAAGGCACGTATTGAAACTTTAGTTTTGATTTGAGACTCATAATTCCAAAAAAGGACCAGGAGGAGGATATATATTTTACAAAAAGAAACAAAATAACAAATCAGAAGAAAGCAATTTCTACAAAGTTCTGGGACTTCCATTTCAAGCGAGCTCAAAGGCCAACGAATGTTTATGTACATCTTAACGGGATACAAAAAAAAAAAAAAAAACAGATTCTGGAACTCTCAGAAGATTAACAAGAAAAAGGATCTCTCTTATCTATGTTAACACAGAATTTCAATGTAATTGCTTATAATTATAGCAGAACCTACTTTACTGTTTGATTGATAAACCAAACACACTTATTCAGGGAAAAACCAACGTTAGTTATGTCTTATTCCTATTACCTCCACCATCTCGTCTCGTTAGACCCACAAAATCTCAGCCAGAGTGCTCACACATCCATTGTAAGATATGCTTTTATAATTCCCATCATTTCACTCCCAGGAAACCGTCCAAGGCATCCTCTTGCTGCTGCTACCTCGTGAAACTCAAAAACACTATCACCACTGGAAGCTTGAGTTGGTTTGCTTTTAAGGCCTCCTTGAACTCCTGCGATATCGGTTATATCTTCACCAGCTACCACTTTTGGCAGTGGAAATGGGTCAAGAGAAATTTCTGAAAGGTGCGACTCGCCCACTTCCCTAACAAAATCTTCTAATCGACACAATGCAAATGGCACTGGTTCAAAACTGTGGTCGCCATATTCAACAGGAGTAGAGTGGTCTCCAGTGACACAAAGGAAGTACTGAAATTTCCCAGTTAATTGTGTCTGCCAGAGGAATCTTGCCAGCTGGCCTATAGCTTTATCAACAGCTTCCAAACCCTTAACTTTGAAAACGCTCGCTTTATCATGACCAGCATCATCGATTGCCTAAAGATTCAACAGGCCTAAAGATCAGGTTTTTGTGAAGTGTAGAAAGCTACCGACAAGCAACTTAGGTAGGAATATGTCCGGTAAGTCTGCGACTTGTACAAAAACTTTACTTCTCTTCTATGGTGCATATTTGGCATGTCATCTTTACTTAAACCTTAGATCATTACAAAGGAAAAAAAAAATAGCAAAAACTTGAAAAAGTTTCCGAGAAAGCACACCTTAATGTGAAGGAACCCAAAATCATAGCCATCTGATCGACCTGGTTTATGTTCATCAGCCCCAGGTACAAAAACATTAGGACAGGACTTTGAAGGAGCTGAGAGAGCCTCAGCAATGGCTTTCGCTTTGGAGGTCAACAAAGTTCGATAGTCCCCTGTAGCTCCTGGAGCTTCTAGAATATCAATGCCAAGGGATAAACCCAAGCCCGCTATAATTTTGGTAGGTGCTACCATGCATGGCCACAGTCCATGCAGCTTTTCAAATGGAGGAACCTGCAATATGTAATGTAAATTGAGAAACTTCCAGAAAGATTGCTACAAATAGAAAAAAGTGAAGCGTTTCTCAAGCAAATTGATCATCTCCCGACAGTCTCCCAAGCAGGTGAAGGGATTGTGCTTCAAGATAGCACAACCCAACAACAAAAATTCATACATGTAACCAGATATACCTCAATTCTGATGCCACAGCCTCTTAACAGAACAACATTGGCAATGTTCTTTCCTTCTGCAGCCCTTTTTGCATTTAATGGATGTGCAACCAAGATTTTAGAGATTTCACAGGACAACTCATTAACCACTTCAGCAGTATGTTTTGCTTCGTTGGTGTCATCAAGAGCTTCAGCTTTTAAAAGTAAACGATTGTCCTTTAAGGGATCTGTTCCCGAGATATTTCCACTTAAACTTGGTCCTTTAACAACCACTCCACATCTGTGCTCTGTCGCATATCTGGGCAATAATTTCTACGATTAAGAAAACAGATTCAATCCCATTCTACATTATGAATGTGGTACAATGTGGACTTTGCAATAACGATAACATCTGCCAGTTAAGTTTAGTCACTACTTCTCCTTCTCTTTCCTTTTATTGGAAACCAAAGAATCAACAAACTTAATGCTTTATATTTAAGCAAAGAGGAAAGAATGAAAAAAAAAGATGTCAGCAAATTGCAATGTAGACAACTAACATGCGAGGTAAGCAAACAAATCTCGCACCTGACTCTAACTTCATACTCCGGAAAAGATGGGAGTTTCATTCCATCAAGCGCAGCACATAAAATAGGCCCTTCCTCTTCAAAATGCCTATCTGCCCTCCTGCTAGTGACTACTCCGGTCTTTTCATCCAGTGTAGCAAAGTTTGACTGCGGAAAGATATTGCAAAAGGACATGGATCAGGAGCAACAAAGAAAACCAAGCGCTTCCTTAATTACGTATAGTTTGAGAAAGAAGAAGATGTGGGGCTACATGTCTACCTTGAAAGCAATATCTCCAGGTGACATTGCTAATCCAGCACCCATTGACTCAAACGCACCTCGACCCCGATAATACACTCTGGGATCATAACCCAACAGTGAAAGATGAGCAGTATCACTTCCACAGGCCAATCCAACTTCTACAGGATCCATAAGGCCATTTAACCCAGCAGAAGCAATGGCATCCAGATTTGGTATGTTGGCCACTTGTAAGGGGGTTTTGTGACCGAACCTAGGCAGTGATACGTCACCCAGTCCATCAATTAGCACGAATGCTACTCTACTCTTGGGTTGATCCATATTCACCATTCTCTATATCTGGCAACTAGCTTTTGCTCCCCAGTTACTAAGATTAAGCGTTTCAGGGGTAAAGGAAAGACGGCTTCAAACTTAATCACAATGCTTTGACAGATCCGGGGTGTTGACAGCACGCAAATCCTTAAATGCAACAGTGAAAAAGCCAATAGCGCATACCATTAGTTGATACATAGTGGAGACAGAAAAAAAAAATTCCCAACTTGGTCTAGCAGTTAAGCATTGAAAGCAACATTCATGCATAAATGCAATTAAAACAGGCAGCTTCACGGGATAAAACAATTGGGTTGTTTAAAACCCCATAAAGGATCCACCTTTAGGTCCAGGGGTGTCAAAAAAACATCGCACCACAATAGTTTCTTATAAGACCTTATATGTCTAGAAATGTCGACTTCTATTAAAAAAAACTAGGACAACTGATCCTTGATTTGAATCAACTAGATAGAGTCTACAACCACCAGAAAACCTAAACAGCCGAAAAGGAATTGATTCCTATGGTGAATTAATCAGTCACAGAAGAAAAGGTTGCAGGAGCTCCACAGAGAACCGCATTCAGCTTTTAAAAGAACACTCAGTGGTATAATAGTAAGTAGAAAGGTGACGGCAGTCACAAGACAAAAAACCCATTCCTTTAAAAAAACAATAAGTCAGAATCTAAAACATCAAAGATGATCCGAGCTTAAGATTTTGCAGCAATCACAGTTGATGCGGAAGCAATGAAATTTGTAACTCATAACTATCCGGGTTTAAATTTGTGTCCACAGTTATAACTCATAACTATCCATCTTTAAACTTGGAGAGTAATTCAACTTTCCTATGAATTTAATTTCTTTCCACGCCCAAACAAACAGAAAATGACTAACCACAAAAACGACTACCCGTGTTCATAAATGAATGAAGCATCGAAACTTTCTTAAAGCAGCAACGAGAATGCTGAGTAAGGTATTGAAAGAAGAGAATTGGGAGCTTTACCAGGTAAGGCGGTGACTGGGAGCCCTTTATGAATAGGGTTTCAGTTAAGCTTTCTAAAAAGTTGTGACACTCGCCGGATGGCTGGTGGCTGACAAAGGTGATTACTGATTCCGGCGGCCTTAAATCTTTGAAGCATTAGTAAAATTGACGCTATGATATACGGCCATTCGTTTAATCGTAGCCGTGAGATCTCTCATCCGTCTTATTTTATTTCCCCTTTTAGTTTTGCTTTCTTTTTCTCAAGGTATGCAGACAACAAGAATAATTTTAATGTATAATTACTCTCTTATTTGTGATTTTTTTTTTAAGGGGAATCTTATTTGTGATGTGGTCTAACAGAAAAATTTTAACCAAACATATTTCTTAAAAAAATACAGTACTAATAAAAAAGAGGCGATCTTTTTTCTTTTTTTGGTTTAAAATACTAGTAATGATTTTTTTTAATAAAAAAAATAGAAGTAAGCAATATAATTTCTTACCTTTTTCCAAGTTTATAATCAAGTTTGATAATAGAGTATGATTCTAAGAGGGAAGAATGTATTATACTTCCTCCATCCCACAAAAACAGTTTAGTTTGATAAAAAATGTTGTCCTAAAAAAATAGTCCAGTTTCAAAAAAGTCAAAATAAAAATTGAGGAAACTACAAAATTACCCTTACAACAAAACTAAATTTACTATTACCACAACAAAAACACAATTGCTTCCAGTTCACAAACCCAAAACCATACTTCGGCCAAATATCTCCGGTCCTCTTTCATCTAAGCCACCGACGAGACTCCCTTTCTCTGCGGCAACGGCAATGGCGGCAGGAATGGCAACGGCAACGGCGGCGTCCATGCTCATTTAGGCCTTCACCTTTTGAATAAAGGTAGGATTTTTATTCACAACATCTTGTTGATTTATTGAGATCTGTTCCGATTAGGTTTTGTGATGGAATCCATGAGAATGGTTCATCGTGGTGAAAAGTAGGAAATCAATGGTTTACCTGTTGATTTGTCATTCTTGTTTTGATTATAATAGTCAAAAACAATGTTAGCTCAAGATTGGTTCTCAATTAATGTTCGATTTTTTTACTTTTTGCAGATCCCCAGAGTATATATATGGTGGTTTCAAGTGGTTTGCCCAGGCTTTGGTGCCTCTTGCCGGCGAAATTTCTTTGCCTAGGCTTTGGCGGGATTTTTGCCTTCAATCAAAGGTACTGTCCAGCAGAGGAGAAGCAGAAGAACGCAGCGACAAAAGAGATCGAAACGGCGGAGCAGGGAGAAGAAGCAGTAGCATCGATTAATTAATTAATTTAGGGGTATAATTGGAAATATGAAGAAAAAATGAGTTGTACCTTGATTGAGTTGACTAAATTAAAAATAGTGTACATTTTCAAACTGAACTATTTTTGTGTGACTGAGGGAGTAGAGAATTGGAAGGTATTTCTAACTTGAAAAACAACTTACAAGAGAAAAGAGAAAATTTGATTAAAGAGCGGTGAAAAAAGTTAAATTAATAAAAGGGATATGACCTCAAAATATTTTTTATGAAGGGCGGTAAATTATTTGTCAAAAATTATAAAATAAAAAATACTTTGAATTGATAGTTATACCCTTGTAATTCCTACACAAAAAATAAAAAATAAAAGCCTAAATCTTAGAGAGTTGTTTCGCCTTTCGACCATTCTCTTGCCAAGGCATTAGAAATAACAACCAAAGAAGCTGCTCTCAAATTGGAACAATTACACGCACTATTTGCCAATCAGAACACCAAAAATTGAGAGTCCAACCTCTTCTTAACACTATGTAACTATGAAGTTCTTGAGTTTTTTTCCCTCATATTCCAAGAACCCAAAACCCACCGTCGACAGAGGTAAATTTTTATCTTTCTATTATACATGTTTTTCACCCTATTTGGGAATTGATAATCATGTATAAGTAGGTGCAGTTTATTAGGATTTTGCAATAAAACGAAGAGAATAGTTTTTAACTTTCCGATTAAATGCATGAAATCCTAAACAAAAGTGTGAGGATAAAAAAAATTGATTGCTGATTATGATGATGATGACGACAATGATGGTTTTTTTTTTTTTTTGTGCAACTTTAATTTGACGATGATGATGATGATTTGTTTCTTCTTTTTTTTCAATTTAGATTTTTTTTTTTTAGAAGAACTTTCTGAGGTTTTTGGGAGCAACTTTCTGAATTTCTAAACTCATGCATCCTTTTTTTTTTATTTTTGCATTGTATTTTCTATAGAAACAAATAAAACTACAAGATGTACAAATAGAGATTCTATTTAAAAGCACTACTCTTGAACGCAAAGAAGATTAGAGACAAATAAAAAGAAGTATGATTAGAACAATAATCACAATCTAGATATGTAGAGGGCATGCATGCTTAGCTTGTGACTTTTTCCTTGCCAAAAACGTAAAGATGCATGGAAAGATTGATTTCTTCTTTTCTTTGTAGCTTCGACTTCAGCTTCAAGAAAAGATTCACTTTCTATGTTGCTGGTATACTTCATCGTTTGGTTCATATATGCCTTTAGGCTCATTCTTTGATGGCTAGTAGCATCTGTTGAGTGGTCCAAGCTCTTAGCTTCTTGATTCTCTTCAAGACTTTCTAGCCTCAATCTACCTTTTAGCTATAAGTAAGCCTCTGCATGAACCACTTAAGCATGTGATTTTGCCTAATCAGTTTCTTGAGTATCCTGGTGCAACTCCACCATTTTTTCTGTAGCTTCTTTCTCCCTTAACTGAACAACAACAATCTCTAGCTTCTTATTACAGATTGAAATCAATAAGTAGTCTATTATGTATAGATGAACATGTAGGATAGATTCTAATGTTAATTTATAATAATCTTTTTTATGCTTATTTCATATGGAAAAACCAATCTTTTGTGATTGTCATTGGAGAGGTGAGAATGTGGTTTCTTCAGATGGTTCCGTCATGTACAGAGGAGGAATAACTAATTATATCACCGTATCGAGCAGAATGACCTTTCGGGAGTTTTTTACCACTGTTTATGAGAAAATGATTGTTGATCCGACAGACAAAGTGATACACTTCACTGTAAAACATGACTACAAACAACTCATTTTGTTGAAAAATGAGATGGATTTGCAGACATTAATCAATGCCAATGATGATTTTGCCCATGTATACATTTCAAATGCAGAACGACAAGTTCCAACGTCATCTCTTCATCGCAGTAGCATGTAAGTGCCTCAGATTCTGTACTATATTCTAAAATTTAACTTGTCTTCATTAAAAAAAAAACTACAATTCCTAGTTATGTTATATTATCAATATGCAATAAGCACTTTTACGACGATTTACTTCTAGGTTGTTGAATAATATTGTCCCCTCTTCCATTTCTTGTGACAACTTTGGCAATACATCATCGCAAACCTTAGAATCTCATGAGCAAGTCAATCAAGATACTGCAATGATTTGGAATGGTTTGCTTATTGGTCCTGGACAAATATTTGAGCATGCAAACTCTTTTCGTGTTGCTATATACAGATTTTCTATTGCTCATAGATTTTCCTATGATTTTACACATAATAAGCCTCATTATCTGAAACTAAGTGTGCTGTTAATAGATGCCCGTGGAAAATTTCAGTTATGAGTGATGGAAATACAGCCAATTGTCTGCCAAACAATTTGAAAACGTTCACACTCATTCAGTTGGTGATTTGCTTAACTTTAAGCCAAAGTACAGTTCTAAATTAGTAGGAGATATATTTGTGGATAAAATATCTCAGACTCCAACTGACTTACCTCGGCAAATTTGCAAAGATGCATGGAGTGACTACCACTTGAAGATGACCTACCAACAAGCATGGACAACATTTGGATGGAAAAGTTGAAGACTCTTATAAACTAATTCCTTGGTACTATTATAGATTGAAAGAGGTGATGCCTGGTACTATAGCTAAGTGGTCTTGTTATGATGATGGTACTTTTAAACAACTATTTATGTCTTATTGTTGTTGAATTTGGGGATTTCATGCTGGATGCAGACCAATAATCTTCATTGATGGATATCATTTGAGCTGCCCATACCAGGGCACTTTGCTTTCGGCTTCATCATTGGATGCCAACAATGGTATGTATCCTCTAGCTGATGGTGTTACTACTTCAAGAAATGAAGTGGATTGGTTTTGGTTTTTAAGGCAGCTTAAAAATGTAGTGCATGATAGGGAAGTGGTTATTATATCTGACAGGAATCCTTCTATATTAAGTGGAGTAAATGCATTATTTGGAGAAATGAATCATGCTCATTGTTACAGACATTTGCAAGAAAATTTCAGCTCATTCATCTCGAGAAATTCAACTTTCAGAATGGCAAGTGCTACAAAAAAAGTGCACATAAGTTATTGAATGAGATAGCATATACTAGAACTGCAAGTGAATATGAAAAGGCTTTGAACAAAATAAAGGATTTTCAGCCATTGTTGCATCAGTGGGTTTTAGATAACAAGCCTCAACATTGGAGTAATGCCTTGTTTAGTAAATTACGTTGGGATTGGATGAATAGTAACATTGCTGAAAGTTTCAATGCTTGGATGGGAGATGCAAGATATCTATCTATGGGCAGAATGATGTAAGCTCATGTAACAAAATATTTAGAACTATGGCTTAACAAGCTGTCTGATCTTCGGAACTGGAAGCATGACATTGGACACAGAATTGAAGGCAAACTCAATGAAAACATCAAGCGAGGAGAACGATTACAAGCATCACCAAGGCCTCTTCTTGAGGTTGAAGTTTATGAGAGGCACAAAGGTACAGTTGTAGTTAATTTGGCACTAGTAGTTGCACATGTTTAGAATGGCAAATGACTAGAATTCCATGTCGTCATGCTTGTTGTGCAATTGAGAATCAGAATCTAAATATGTATGATCATGTTAATACCTGGTACAAAAAGGATATGCAAGAAAAAATATATTCTGAACTGATGCATGGGATTCCAACAAATAATATGCCAGTATCGGATATGCTACCGGTTGCGAAAAATCATGATGGTTGTATTGAAGGTTCATGCTCAATGTGTGGATTGCTACCGCCAAAAACTAGGAGACCTCCAAGTAGACGCCGCCGTAAAAGAATTGAGTCTCAGTTCATGGATAAAAGACCACTTCACTGTTCACGTTGCAAAGGTGGCGGTCACAATCGTGCCACATGTAAAGAAGCAATATAGTTCTATTTTATTTTCACTTCTATAGACCAATTATTTTGTGTTTTGGATTATTTTTTGCCTAAAGGTTTAAGCTAAATAAGAGCCGTGCAGACACTTTTTTGTGTGAACATATGAGATTCCGATAACCATTGATTTTAATCTTTTTTTTTTATGTAAAAGTATCGTTATACAAATTCATCTAGTTGTTTTCTTGATGCAGTGCTTTTGAAGAGAATAGGTTGAAGCAAAACCAATATTTGCATGACTTGTTTAGACAAAGAATGTGTTGTATTATTATAAAATGAAAAGACATTTCTTATAAATAAACATCGGCTAATCAAAGCATGCTTAACTCAGTTTGATAACATCATTTCTGAAAGAAACAAACTTGAGCTAATTAACAACAACCACTGATATTTAAGAAGCTCAGAAATATTTCTAAATTATTGATACAGTTTATACAGTTGAGTTCTCCTTTAAAAAAAAACCTGAATTTCATTCAGTCCATGCATTTGCAAGGACAATGCTACCTTAAGCAATACATGAATGTTTCTAAGGATTATTGATGTATTAGAATCAGAGTAAAAGTAAAGAAGCTTTAAAAGCTAACATTCAGCAGTGAGCAATAATTTCCATGACACCATAAGCGTTTCAAAAGCACGGATCATAAGGTACAACAATGTTTCAATTGTATATTTTTATAAGTAAGATAGCTTCTAAACAATTCAGAAACACATTCATATTAAAGGTGGCGAAAATACTTTAAACACAAAAAAAAAAAAAAAAAACTCATTTGTACAGAGAACCAACTTTGATAGTAAGTCTCTTAAAACTGATAAAGTGACCATAAAGATATGTTTAACAACCGAGCTAAAGAGATCATTCCCACATAGTAACTCTCTCATTAAACTTATAGAATGGCCTTAAGAATAATAATTCCTTAACTTAATGGTCTTTGTAAGAATTTTAGTTTGTAATCACTAGTTGATCAGGTTTATCGCTTGATTAATGATATGCCTCAAAATTTCAGAATTGATGAATTAAAAATTACTTACTCAAAACCTTGACAGAATTAGAATCGAAGATGATAGCTGGTGCCCGAATTATCCCAACATTCCAATCATCCCTTTTTCTTTCCTCTCGAGCAACTCCTGTTGCTTTTACTTTTTCCAAAAAGCTCCTTGTGCTTTGATGTTCTTTTTCTTCAATCGATCAAACTTCGAGGAGACCGTTACTTATGGTTTGAAAGAAATTAATAGGGAGAAAAGAAAGTGGAAATTGATGGTGGTGGTGGTCGTTGCAGGAGGAAAGGAGGAGTAAAGGTTGGCGGTGTTTCAATGAGGATAAATGGGAAGCAAAGATGATGATCGTGAGTGGAGAGTTAGGCAAACGAAAGGTTCTGGAGAGATTTTATTATTCTACTATTTGAATCGGTTTCTTATTTTTTTTATTGTTTAAATCGGTTGGAACTTTGGAGCAATTTGGTCCAGATTTTCATTTCCTATCATTTTTTATTTTTTAATTTTTTGTAGGAAATCATAAAGGTATAACTATCAATTCAAAGTATTTTTTATTTTATGATTTTTGACAAATAAGTTACCGTCTTCCATAAAAAAACAAATATAATTTTTGATTTCTTCCACCACCCTTTAGCCAAATTTTTCCAATAGAAAAAAACAAAAAAAATGTATAAAGGTAATCTTCTTCTTCCACCGAATTATATTACGTAACTTATAATAACTTTTATTATTATCAATAGAAATAGATGGAAAACTTCTTCTCTTACAAAGAGGGGGAAAAAATGTAAAAAGGTTATCTTCTTCTTCCACCGAATTATTTACTTGTTGCACTTTGATGAGTTTTCTCAACTAAAATATGACCTTATACAGGACATGTAGTAATTGGTAACTTGTTCTCCTTTCGTCTGCATTAAAAGAGTCATATGTTTTTACTTATTAGTTTAATATACATGATGAGTATTAATTTTTTTAGAAAAAAAAAATAATTTTAAGCGAGACTTGTTGCTTTTGGTGCTGAACACCTTCGTGAATCGTGAGTATATGATGTTGTACTTCCATTTTTTTCTTTTAAAAAAAAAGTAATTATTATAAGGGATGTGCATGGATCAAACCGGTCAAATCAAACCGTGATTTGATTTTTGAATTGGATTTATATCTTTATTTCGAAATCAATGGATTCAAAATTTAGAAATCGTAAAGAACGGTCCGGTTTACGGTTTGGTATTCAAAAACCATCATCAAACCAAACCCAATTGTTTATATTATTTTTTTTATATATATAATTACATATAATAATTGTTATATATTTTTGAATGTGCCTTAAAAATCAAAAGTTTTATGTGATTCAATTGGTTAGTTCTTGGCCATTACTTCACGCATGGTTCTAGCCTCTCCCAAGTTTGAATCTCACTTCCCTTTTTCCACTGCCCACCTTTAACCTTTTATTCTTTTTTTTTCTTTGTTTCTCTCAAAAATCAATAGTCCAACCCGAATCTAATGCCTTTTTTTTTTTTTTTCTTTTCTTTGCTCCCAAAATTTTTAAACGTCGAAAAGATCCTTTGTCCTATTAATTAGAGAATTATCATTTACGTGATGTTGAAATGTACTTGGTAGTAAAAAACTATTTTCATTTTGTTGCAAATTAAAAAAATCTTGCTAAAAAAAAAAACAAAAGGCATAAATTTTGGCCTAAAAAAATCTAAAGTGAAACTCAAGCCATGAAACCGTAGAAACTGGACCGTTGATAACGGATTGGTTTAGTCTAGTTTCTAAGTGATATTAGTTTGGTTTTGGATTCAAAATTTTTTAAACCGTTCTAACGGTTTGGTTCAAGGTTTTGGTTAAAAATCGGACCACCCGGACCGTGCAAACCCTTAATTATTATCACAAAGAAAAAAAAAACTGAAAATAGGACGGAAAAAGGAAGAGAAGAAGACAATATCGTGAATACAAGAAAAAAAAACTTCGTTCATTAATTATTTTGACAGTGAACTTCTCTAAAAACTAAAATAACAACCTAGCTAGTGGTAGGATAATTAAATGAATGGAGATTCAAAATTGAAATTAAAAAATGCCAATTTCATTCCTGCATCAATTAATCATTACAAGAAAATGACATAATTAGCGCAGATGGTATTATTGAAAAAATAGAACATGATCGATGGATTATCAAATTGAATTGGCAGTGGTAGCTAGATAGCTGCTGGTTCTTGGCATGGTTCTTCTTCATTTGTTCATCCCAGTTGCATCCTTAACTGCATCAGCTGCTCCTTGTGCCTTAGCTTTGATCTGCTGACCAGCCTGAACAACACATAACAAAATTGAGATTAAAAGAATGAAAAAATCTAATATATATACTCCTTCTATCAAAAAATATAAAATAAAAAATGCTATGCCTGTTGTATTGCTTACTGCTTAGTATAACAAATAAGGTAACCTTTTTTTTGTTTAGAACATAAAAAATACTTCTTCTGTTTTAAAATAATTTTTTCTGTTTTAAGATAATTATTTAATTTAGATTTTTATTATTTTTAACATAATTTATACTAAAACTTAAAATCATTTCGAACGAGGAAATTACTTATTATTACTCCATGATCAAACTAGCTAGAGAGTTAACCAAACTAATTATGAACCTGCTGCATGGATTCCTGAGCAGATTCAGCAGCTTCTGAAGCCTTATCCACCATTTGCCCGGTCTTCTCCTGCAAAATTAATTGAATATAAATACATATAATGGATAAATTTCTAAGTACAGGGGACGATGATATGACTTTAAGATAAAAATTATACTATCTCTGTTTCAAAAAAAAATTAAAAATTAAAAATTAAATGTGAACTATTTGTTTAGAACAGAAAGAGTAACAAAAAACAATAATGTTGTAGAACAAGTACCCTGGCTTGGCCTTTTGATTCACCGGCCTTGAAAGCGTCCTTAGTCTGATCCATTTTGGATTATATTTCTTTCAAAAAGCAGAGAGACTCAATAAAAAGAAATGAGAAGTGTTTGGAGTGAAAATAAATGAAACTGATATAGGAAATCTTCTTGGTTTGAGGAAGCTAATGTGTTTCAGTGTACTATATATAGAGCTGAGAAATATGACATCTGATTAAAATACTTGGTCTTTAATTAATGGTAATTATTATTTCGCCTAATGACCCGGGATATATCTTGGATTTAGTAAATACTGAGTCAAATAATCTATAGAACTGGTTGATTTAGTGGTTAAAGTCTTCAAAAGTTTAGACGAACGAGTCCCACACAATCCGTTATTTGCTAGCTCAGATTTGTTGCATGAGTGAAAATCAAAAAATTAAAGTAAAAAGAAATAGCACCGTCCAGATTTAATAAATGTTTTAATATTCAACAATTTTTTTTTTTTTTTAGGTAAAGACACATATTCATCGTCCCCCAATTATTGATTATTATATGGAGGAATACAAATACATACAAAGATGTTACAAATGAATAATAATTTCCCCAGTGCAATGAGTATCAAATGATTAATATAGAAATTCTCACTGAAACTGTAAAGGGCTTTTGTACGTAAGAGGACATTCGTATTGGATACCATTTCATGTCTAAACTTATCACTGTTGTCATGTTTTTCTAATACAGTAAACAAAATAATTAATTTAGAACGAAAAGAGTAATTTTCAAACACCTAAATGACCAACATAGCAAATTTAAATATGCTGCAATGCAAATTGTGTAGTGTTCGTCCGGTTAGTCCCTAAAGTATTTTCCGATTCAATTTTCGTTCCTCATGTTTTTCACACGAATAAAGTAGCCTTGATAGTTTCTTCTTCTTCTTTTTTTTCAAAATTGGTCCTATTGGCCGGATCTGGCTACTAATCTGGCGAAATATGATTTTTTAAATTATTAAGAAAAGATAATTACATACTTTCTCCAAAATTTTATAATTTTATCATTTTTACTACAATTTTTTTAAAATTTTTCAATTGAACCCAATTTTAACTTTAGCACCTCACTTTTTTAATTTTACTCTATTCACTTTTATTTATCCAAATCAAATTTTTCTATCCAAAAATAAAAAATGTCCTACATTTTTTTTACCTTATTCTTCTCATATTTATCATGAATAAACTAATCTTAGGTATTTTTAAATTTATTTATTTTCTTCAAATTATTTTTTTACTCTATTGGCCCTATGCTAAACCAAAACCAACACTTCACCATTTATTCCATTGGCCCATACCAAATTATAAAAATATAATTGGAAGAAAATAAATAAGTAAATATTTTAGGATATTTTTTTATTTTGTTTGTGATAAAAATGAGAGAGAATAGGGTAAATAATGTAATAATTTTATATTTTTCGAAGTAAGATTTGATTAAATAGAATATTTTATATTTTAAATTTTTATAGATTTTTTGCCTAGCCTAATACTAAACCAAATATTATATCTTTTACTATTTTACTCATAAATTAAAATCATATAAATAACATTAAATTAAATAAAATTTAATTAAACTTAAATTTTAAAAAAAAATTCAAATTTCTTTTACCCGACTAACCACCTTTTCATATTAGAAAAGTTTGTATTTCTTAATATTCATCTTTTTAATAAGTTTTGTTCAAATTTTTTTTACCCGACTAACCACCTTTCCACAAGTTTATATTTCTTAATATTCATTTTTTAATCTCTTATTTGACCTTTTTACCTGACAAAATATTTTCAAATCTTGTTTTAGTTTACCTTATCTATACTTATTATGCCAAAAATATTTAAGCAGTGAAATATTTGAAATAAAAATTTTCTTTGCTGTTTTGATTTTTTTGTTGACGTAAAAAAAAAACACACATAAGGTAAATCAAATAGGATTCTAATTTTTATGAGGTGAAAATATAAAATAACTAGTAAAAAACATGACAATGAAAATTTTAGAATTTGAGAAAATGGTGTTCGGGAAGAAAGAATTGGACAGAAAAAAGGAAAAAAAAATCTGTTTTGGCACCTTTTTTTAAAAAAAATTTCAACAGTAATTTATCATGGAATATTTTATTAATTTAATATTATTCATTAACTTTATTTTATTATATTAGATATATTTCATTTTATATTATTATTTCATTAATTTTATAATTTTTTTTGAGATAATATAGTGAAAATTGATTGTTGATTTAATAATAGTAGCTGGATAAATAAATATTTTAGAATATTTTTTTTGGTTTGTTCATGGTAAATGTGACAAATAATAGGGTAAACAACGTGATAAATTTTACATTTTAGTGTAGTAAGATTTGATTAGGATAAACATAAGTAGATAGAGTAAAATTGAAAAAGTTATGTGTTAAAGTTAAAATTGGATTCAATTGAAAATAATTTTTAAAAATTGGGATTAAATTGATAAATTATAAAATTGTGAGGAAAATATGAAATTATACTTTTTTCAAAATATTTAAGAAATCATATTTTGCCGGATTAGTGGCCGGATCTGGCCAATAGGAATAATTTTGAATTAAAAAAAACTATCAGATCTAATTTATTCGCGTGAAAAACATTAGCAACAAAAATTGAATTGAAAAATACTTTAGTACTAAAAAGATTGGACGCTTTTTTTTTATTTGGGTTCCCCTAAGAAATTAAAATTTTTTGCATCTTAATTCGGCCAAATGGATATAACGTTGCATTGCTGGTTCAACCGTTTTAAATTTATTGATGAAAAACTTTTGGATCCACCTGAACGCTTTCGTTTTGATTTGCATATCGTAGAGAATCTAATCAACTCCTTGAAATGAATGGACTACTTCATATGCTCATCCCTTTGGAACTGAGTTACGTCTCTGCAGTGTATCTTGGTAATATAAGACGAGAATCCTCATTTGTGGCACGATTTTTTGCCAGTTTCTCCCCGAAATTTGTGACGTGGCGGATGCTGGTTGGACCCCTTTTTTTTCCATTTGGGCCATCTGTTTATTCTGTCTTGCGGTCTTGTTCGGTTGCTGGTCATATTTACACTACACGTGTCTTCTTCTACTATTGTCCAGACAGTGAAGAGAGCTTTAAAGTTTTCTATTATTTTGAAATTCATCAGTAGCCTTGGTTTTGTTTCTTCGTTGTTTCGCCAAACAGAAGACCATTGCAACGTGATATTCTACTCACAGCTCAAACCCCTTTTGTTATTTCCGCTTTCTTCCATTTTCTGAACCTATTTGCTTGCAGCTATGGGTCTGACCTTTAAGCTGCTCTTAATTGGGTTATTTGTTGTAATTTGGTTGGTTTTGTGGTACGATTTAGTTTTCTGAAAAATTAGAGTTCCGTTGATTTTATGATTAGTGGAGATAGGTTCCATACTAGGGTTGAATTTGTACCTGAAATAGTTAAGGCATGCCTTTTGTCAATTATTTTGTGAAGACACTTTATAAATGGTTTAATTTCCTTTTATCCTCATTACTGTATATTGTAGTATCCATTTGGTCAGATATTTCATTAGTGAAATGAGTATAATGTTGTCCTAATTGCACATATTTGAGTGTGTAACGTCTCTGGCACAGGCCCACAATTTGTCTTCGGTAGCCCAAATTGAATAGAGTCCAAATATTATTAGTAGTTTATGAGTTTAGAACTTAATTACACATACAGGCAATGTACTTTGCCATTTTGAATGGGTAATGACCATTCACATTATCTTTTTTGTATTCAAGTCAAGAAAGTTTATGCATCTTTTTTGTATATATGAAACTCGTTTGTGCTTCTTGAGTATGATGATGATGCGTGAAGAAACTCTTTATACTATAAGAATAAACTAGCTAGTACCCGCTCCGGTCCTTTTTATAAGATATTTTAATTTGTCACAAATTTCACCTAATATATTTTTCTAATTAAAAATAAATAAATTTTAAAAATATTTTTTAATATTTAGAAGGACACAATGATTTTAAGGATTTTTTTTTTCAATTGAAAAAATATACAAGAATTTATGACAAATCAAAAAATGTCTTATATAAGGATCGGATGAAGTACAAGATAGCGGTAGTAAGGGATATGTATAATGATAATGATACAAAAAGCTAGCTAAGTTATTTAAAAACTTCTAACTTAAAACGTTTACAATTGTTTAATTTCAAATAATCCATTGCACAGTATGTATTTCTTGCACCTACGGTAATGGTTTTAATTGGTCACTAGGTTTTGGACCTAGGCATTCGTACGAGTAAGTGAATACGTCAACGTTATATTTCTTTTGCTGTATAGATTTGTATATGTTATTATATACTCTCTCTGTCCTATAATTATATGTCCAGTTTTACTAAAATAAAAGATTTTATTTTTGGTCAAACTTAATTATATTTTTACCTTAAACAATTGGATATACCCTTACATAAGTAATTGTTTAACCACTAAGATTTTATGGATAATGTTTTTTACTAAGGACAAATATGTAACTTGATCCATAAAAAGTCAAATTGGACAATAATTTTGCAATAAAATTTTTTGGGCAAAATGGACAATAATTATGGGATGGAAGGAGTATAATAATAACTCACAAATGGGTGTGTAACAAAGAAGGCGTTAGTAACAAAAAACAATTATCTACGTCTTAATTATGTCGTGCAAATTCTTATGCAAAATGAAAATTTGAGGTTGTGTAAATTGTTCTTCAAAAAGTAACGTAGACACTGCCCAAAAAATTAAAATTAAAAAGACATAAGTAGCATACCGTTTATGGTATGCATTATTCATTTCAACTTCCAATAATATGCTGTAAAGAAGCTACTAATAACAAAGACAATAAAGGACTGATATGTACAGATTGATAATTCATTTACATGATAACATCACAACGAAGGTTGATTCAAAATAGAAAAATCAATTCACAACAAGAATGCCAATAACTAATTGTTTGATTGATCAGTATTGTTCCAAATGATATCAACTGGAGAATATAAAATGGAAGGGATATATATAGGGATTTTACTTTAGGATAAACTACGACCATATCGTATATGGTTCTTCTTTGGAAAAAAGCTGTGTTTTCAAAATCGGATCGGCTCGGGCAGTCTAACCGGTTAGCCCAAGAATCGGGAGCTTCACCGGTCTGATTTTTATAAAAAACTGGATTCTATATAACTCGGGCAAAATTGCGATTTGACCGAAAACCGATACCGATTAATATTATTTTAACCGGTTTTTACTGGTTTCGAGGAACGAACTAACCCGTTAATCTGATAAACCCACCAATTCGGTCACGCTAACGGTTCACCTTCGGATCCGGTTTTGAAAACATAGGAAAAAAGCTTAAAAGATTTGATACCAACATGGTTTGCTAAATCTCTCCATCTTCAAGAACATTCCATCTGCGAAGACACTTTCAGAAGCGTAGTTCAACTACTTACCAAAAACCAAACACATAATCTGCATCCTAATTTAAACTCCTGATAAGTGAGATTTTTAATAGTAAAGAATACAAGCCAACAGTAATTATTGGGACATTGACACCATCTGGGCGTCGGACCAGTGGTTTTCCTCACCGGGTGCAATCGGATCCTCCATTGACCGTGCAAGTTTGTTTTGCATATTCGTATCATCGTATTGAGGTCGTTCTTTCTTACAGTTTAATTAATCATTATAGTGGATGCAACTTGGGTCTAAAACTCTATGTGCATATATTTTGTGTGCTTTATTATTTCGGCTCCAATGGAGCATCCGTGCTAGTTGTTGACTACTTGACTTGTTGGTGATCAAACCATTTGCCAACTTAACGACGTCGTGATTGTGTAACTGTTCCGTTCCTCTTATTTTCCCACATACCAAAATCCAACCATCCCATCCAATTGACATAGACATTTTTAAGTACAAGATCGTCCGGTTTTCAAAATCTATTTTGGTAATATGCAATTCAAATTTATGAACGAAAAATTATTGTTTAGTTTGAGATTTTACTTTTAATACAATTTAAACTATAAATGTAAACTCAAACTGAATAATAATTATGGGACGGAGAGAGTACTAGAATATTAATAAAAATGTTTACATCGATTATTTAGTATCACTTGTGGCTTCAGTGTAGATGAATTTCAGCAGTTGCGTGAGCATCCTTCAGGAGTTAGGCTCTGTTTGATAATCACTTAATATAGTAACTTAATTTATTTAAGTACTTAATGAAATTAAGTGTGTTTGATAATCGTTACTAAAAAGTCTTAATGAATTAAGTTTTGAACTAATTAAGTATGTTTGATAATTAAAATTTCACTATCTGAATTAATTAAGTGCGTTTGAATGTTCGGTTCAATTATGAGCCAGAAAATAAGTGATAGGCCTACTACTTATCACTTATCACTTAATTCCTGTAATGACTCTTTTTTTCGTTTTTCTTTTTTTCTTTTTTTCCTTCGTCTTTATTTCGACGCTTATTTTTATATTATTTTAAAGTTTTTATTTTCTTAAGATGGATTAATTAAGAGTGCTTAATATTGAATTTATGTTATGAGTATAAAAGATCTCAAACTTTCAAACTCAAATTAAACTAATTTTAATACATGAAATTTGCTAAATAACAAGGTATACATATATATGTAATAATCTAAATTTAATTATATATTGATTATTTACCAAGTGTAATATCTACTTTCATTATATATACCAAAAACTTATTTTAAAATTATGATTATATTATTTAGAACAAAATATTAGTTATTTTTCTATTTAAAAGAATTTTGTTTATAATTCAATTTTGATGATATTAAAATTTTAAATAACTTTTAAACCTGAGTATTCAGATTCAGTCTTCAAATTCAAACATTTTTATCAAATAATGTAAATTTAGTCTTCAGACTTCAGTGTTAAGTGTTCAGATTCAGACTTTAGTGATTATCAAACGGAGCCTTAGACTACGTGAATAATAAATTAGCTTTCTAGATTACGGCCTAATTGTTTTTTTTTTTTAATTTTATGGTGATAATATAATTCATTAATATGAATACGAAAATTAATTAGAATGTGGAAGGGGAGAGGAAACTTCTTCTGTCACTAAATTAAATTAAGGAAAAGGGATGGGGAATATAAGATAATTAATAGCCATTGGATCAATGGAGGCAAGAAGTTATGGGGTTGATTGGGATCCATGCAGACACCAAATCCAGCAAGCATCCTATTTGACTCCAGCAAACACATTACACGATCATGACTGTGCATGCTTATCACTCCAAACGTACAAACTTATTCATAATCACGCTTTCAATTTAGTAACGAGGATGTCGATATTGGTAAAGACGGTAAATAATTTATCACATAAAAACTTTAAGTAAAAATAATGCAACGAGATGAGGTAATGATTGACATCATATACGTACATATATAAAAATAAATTATCTTATATTACACTAACGTTTGTGAAGAGACTGTTTGTTGGTTTGGTTTCATTATCAGTCGCTATCTAATTTTTACTAGATGTATCATATCACTCTCGATGTACAGTCATCTTATAATAAGTATTACTCCCTCCGTCCCATAATTATTGTCCTGTTAAAGTTTTGTTTATAGTTCAAATTGTACTAAAAGTGAAAACCTAAACTGGACAATAATTATGGGACGGAAGGAATATTATTATTATCACATAGTAGTACTTCCTCTGTCCCAAAATTATTGTCCAGTTTGAGATTTCATTTTTAGTACAATTTGAACTAAAAATGAAAATTCGAACTAGACAATAATTATGGAACAGAGGAAATATTTTATTGCGTGACAGTTTTATCACTTAATGTAGTTATATAGAGCATGCATTGATGGACGATTAGGTTGCAACGTAACATCTTCCAGATTGGGACCTTTTTTTAATACACATATAGTCTGTCATATGTGCTTTTTTAATTAATTGACCAAAAATGAAACAAAACCATATGGAAAATTTGATACACTGAGGAATCATTAAAAAGTAAAAGTAGAATTCAAACTCAGTCCAGTTGTAATAGCTGTAAACAATATCAAAAAGGAGCCATTAGAATTGGAGTTTCTATAAATAGGCTTTCCTTCCTTCCAGTGAGGAATCTTCCCCCATAGAAATAAAAAAGATTCCTAGGCAGCAGCAAAATCAGACCGAAAATCTTTCCGGGTCATGGCCAGTCGTGGTGTTGCCTACCCAAAGCTCCTCCACAAAAATCTCCCTTATTTCCTCCGGCGGCTCAGCTCTGCTCCTTCCCCAATTACCGCTGCTGTTTCCCCTCTCTCTTTCGGCGGATCAAAAACCCATCACCCAGAAGACCCCGTTACTTTCACCACCGACCCCATTTCCACCACCGTCCCGCCGCCTGATTACGCCCATCCCGGCGACCAAATCATCAATTTCCACGACATCAAGGGGCTCTTCTCCACGGTTTCCACCCCAAAACTGTTCAAATCGTGGGCTACTTTGCAGATGACGTCGATCGAGCCCCTTGTTGATGTGGGCTTGTGGGTTTTGTCATCCAGGCTCGTGGAAACGCCGGTGATCAAACAGGTGATTCTGGGAGCTATTAAGCATACTTTTTACGATCATTTCTGCGCCGGCGAAGATTTGGAAGAGGCCGGCCGGAGTATTACCCGCCTTTGGGAGGCTGGGTTGAGAGGGATGTTGGATTATGGTTTGGAACATGCGACCGATAATGAATCTTGTGATCGGAATATGAACGAGTTTATTAAGACTGCCGAATACACCAAATCTCTTCCACCTTCTTCTGTAAGCAAAACTCATCATTTCCTCTGTTTTATGTTTTTTTACTTTTTGTCAAGATATGGATTTTTGACACCGGAGTTATGTGAAAACAGGCTAGCTTTGTGGTGGTGAAGATTACTGCAATTTGTCCACCTAGTTTGCTTAGAAGAGTAAGCGATCTATTGAGATGGGAATACAAAAACACTGGTTATCATCTTCCATGGAAGCGTGATTGCTTGCCGGTTTTCGCCGATTCAAGCCCCTTTTATCACACAGCCCAAAAGCCACAGCCTTTAACTCCAGAGGAAGAACAGAATCTCCAGTTAAGTCATGAAAGGTTATTCAAGATTTGTGAGAAATGTGTGGAATACAACATCCCTTTACTAATTGATGCAGAGGATACAGCATTGCAACCGGCCATTGATTACTTAACGTATTCATCGGCTCTGTTGTACCGTAGAGGCGATGATGATGAGCCTTTACTCTTTGGTACTATTCAAGCTTATTTGAAGGACTCCAAAGAAAGGTTGGTAAAAGCCAAGAAAGCTGCTGATAAGGTCGGAGTTCCAATGGGGTTTAAGTTAGTTAGGGGTGCTTATATGTCAAGTGAAAGACAATTAGCAGCTTCTTTAGGTGTGGAGTCTCCAATTCAAAACAGCATTCAAGCAACCCATGATAGCTACAATGAATGCACAAGTTTTCTTCTTGAAGAGGTTGCTCGTGGATCAGGAGCCGCAGTTCTTGCAACCCACAACATTGAATCAGGTAAGACACCTTAAAATCCAACTTTTTCCTTAATCTGATTGATGTTCATGAATCTCAATTCCCAAATCTTAACTTTTATTGTGATGAACAGGGAAGCTAGCTGCAGTTAAAGCAACGGATTTAGGGATTGACAAGAACAGTGAAAGGCTCCAATTCGCTCAGCTGTATGGAATGGCAGAGACCCTTTCTTTCGGATTGAGAAATGCAGGGTTTCAAGTGAGCAAGTATTTGCCATTTGGTCCTGTAGATCAGATCATGCCGTATCTTCTTCGCAGAGCAGAGGAAAACAGAGGTCTTCTATCTAGCTCGTTTTTAGACAGACAGTTAATGAGGTACAGACACAAACAGAGTAACATATATTTTTACTGAAGTGTGTTAGTTTCACTTCATAATTAGACATCTTATCTTTTTTTGCATAAATTGCAGCAAAGAGCTTGCGAGGAGATTGAAGTTCCCAACTCCATAAATGAGGAAACAAAGTGTATCAAATTCGAGACATCTCTAATGGAACAGAGGAACCAGCAGAGCTCGAGACAGTGAATAATGTGGCAATGGGAATGGGATTTTTACAGTGAAAAAAAATATGTAAATGGTGTATTAAGGAAACAGAGGAACAAGTAAAGGTGACTGTGTAAATACGCCGTGGGATTTGCTGTAAAATGTACTACAACGCTTTGATGAAAGAATATTGTAAAGCATATCTTCTGAAAAGAAAAGCAAAAAAAACCGAAGATAACTTCAAATGTTGTAAAACGTCAACTAGTAGCATCCAGAAGGCCCTCAAAGAATAGAGATATGTTTGTTTGTAAGTTTCCAATCCATTTTCAATCATCAACTTGTAATAATGTTAAAAAAGTAATGTAAAAATTCATATATCAACAACTAGTCATCTTTAAGCAATTATTGCTGCCATTTGTACGTTCCCTTTCATCATCATCATGTGCATTGGAAATCGTTCACTCATCAAAAATTTCACCGTCAGAATTTGGCAAACGCCAACTGGATGGAAATGGAGCTCTTTCTTTCTCTCTTTTTTTCTGATGTGGAGGTGACACAGCAAATTGAAAGTACGTTTTTTGGGGTTGTTTGAATCATTCAATACGTATTTTCCGGAAGCTCCCCACATGAATCATGGGATGATATTTGATCAAAGACCAGGCAAATGTTTTGCTCAGTTCCAGAAGGCGCGCACAAGAGAAGATGAGCCGTACCGTTACTGGAATCTAGCAATAAAGTGTAAAATCCGTTATAATTGACGGTGACGCAGATGTCATCATGTCGCAATCAGGGGAAATTAGGCACCAACAAAATTGGAAGAGATAACGACGTTAAGTGGACTGTCTTTCTTTTTTTTGAATGTTTTAGGACAGTGTATAGAAACTTCAAAGGCTAATTATTAGTAGTATTCAAATGGGTGGATGTCTTAATCCGGGCTTCAGTCAAGTGGGAAAAGCATCCTATCCCACTTGATGATATTGAGAGAGAATCAATCATCTCTACGGAAGTAATAATATCTGACCCGAAACAGGAAGATTCCTAGTATACAGAATCTTCTTGGTTGGTTGGAACCTGATTTGGTATTAGTACAGTGATTTACAGTCTGTCTTGCATTGCATTTTTATCGTGAAAAGTGGGAAAATTGCATTTTTTCTAAAACCAACCACCTCCAATCGTGGTGAAAACTGATCAAAGTTAAAGCTTTTACTTCTCCGCAAACATCAATTTCCAGTTCACAACGAGTCCTCAATGCTTTATTTGTTTAGTAAGTTAAGCTTTAGTCACACTCACTTACCTTGACTTCTACTCTAATACTGTCAAATATCTTCAAAGAAATTTAACACGCAAATTTTATTTTATTTTTTCTCTTTTCAAAATAATAATAATAATAATACTCTCTCCGTCCCATAATTATTGTCCAGTTTGAGTTTTCATTTTTAGTTCAAATTGTACTAAAAGTGAAATCTCAAACTGAACAATAATTTTAGGACAGAGGGAGTATATTTGAATTTTCAGTTATCAATATAGCACCTTTCTTTTTCCATCAACAATTATATGATAATTTTAAGCGGTGATAAAAACATACTTATACTAATTCTCATTTAGTTCTCAACAATCACTATGAGGTCACTCTCACACACAAAATAGCACACTCATTGCATCATTGCCCATGATTTTTGTATTTGCAATGAGGGGGAAAAAAAAAAAAATGAGTAGCACAAGTGATAAGGCTCTTCGTAAAATTTTTGGAGTTCTAGAAATGGAATCTTATCCGGACGGAGATGGAAGTTTAACTAAAATTATTCAACTCCTCTGTGGTTTGTGTTTTATCCCCAATTTTAGAGATCGACATTGCTTTCATTAATTTTTTCAATTTCCCCGTTTTTAACAACCTCTTTTAAAAATAGATTAAATATCTTTTTTATAATTTTGATTAATTAATTACTCTTTTTTTAGCAATGGCTTGTTTTAGTTTTTTGTTTGAATTTGAGATATAATTTAAAATGTGTTTTGACAAGAAATTTAAAAAATTGTTTACCTAATATTTTAAATAAAACATCAATATTTTTATACCACCACCGGACCACCTCCATCACCTGTGTCGCCGCCAGACCGTCGCTGGGCGGCGATCGATTGGCTGGATTCCGGCCACATTTTGACGCCTGGCCGACGCCGGTCCGACTGCGGCAGTGGGCGGTCCGGCAGCAGACGGCGGAGGTGGTCTGTTGATTGTGCATAAAATTTGTGTAAAAATAATTTTTGCGTATGGAATTTTCTGGTCCCGGCCCGCAGAGGGATTGCCATGGTCCAAATTGTAATTGTTAAGTGCAGACATTGTGCTCTTGGTGTTTTAGTCCACGTTCATCTGTCGCAGACCATATGATCCAGAATCTATAATAAGTTTAGGAATGCAATATGTATTTTCCTAGTTCTTGGCCAGGAAACAATCCAGTATGTACTTTTCTACTACAGAAACCATACTTCTGTCTTCCTAATTTCCTGTAAGATCTCATCATCTCGACATAAAAATATTCTCAGCTTTTGGCTATGTTAATCGTGGTATAAACAAGTTGATTGTCGAAAAATATGTGCAGCGCCACATTCTTGAAGCGGACTTTGCACCAGAACTCTACTTGTATACAATCACTTTCCAGTTTCCGTACATAAATCAAAAATGTTTTTGCATCCCAATCCCGCCAAAAGTAACGAATGAGGAACGCAACTCATCAGCTTAGAGTTTGATATCCAAGGGGGCCATCAAGTCCTTTCTGTTTCGCGTCATTCCTTCCTACCAGTGAAGGCACCCATGGGAACAATTTTCCGAGCTCCTTGCCTAGAGTACTAGAGCTCGGTCTCCAGTCATTGATCCCAAACTTGGCTCTTTCAATTGCTTCCATTATATCCTCCCTCGACACGCATTCAGCTCCTGTCAAACCCAACAATATACAAACACCAGTATAAGTATTCTAATCAATTACCGTAACAGTAAGAGTGATGACTTCCTACTAAGTGAGAGAAAATGAATACACTTCTCATTGTTGATTAAGAGATCATTAATCCAAAAGAAAGAACCAAAATGGATCAAGTCAGTGGAAAGTTTCATATAACCTCTACGTGCAGCAAGTAAAGCAGCTTCATTGACTATGTTTGCTAGATCAGCTCCTACAAAGCCCTGAGTAAGAGGTGCTACAAGGTTGCATATTAGCTCAAGGTCTTCCTCCAAGGGCACTCCTCTAAAATGTATGGCCAAAATTTTTTTCCTCCCAATTTCATCTGGTTGTCCCACATATACTTTCCGAGAGAAGCGTCCGGGTCGGCAAAGAGCTTGATCTAAAGCTTCTGGTCTATTAGTTGCAGCTATAACAACAACATTCACATCGGACTGGAAGCCATCCATTTCAGTCAGTAACTGCGAGCAAATAAACAATGAAACCTCAATACCGAAGAATGTATGCTATTCTAAGATAATCCCAATATCAGTGCATAAGAGCAACTAAAATGACTGAAATCCACAATAAAAATGGGAAAGGTGTTCCCAATACAGTGCTGGTCAGTGCAATACTTGAAATGTACAAGAACATCAAAATATTCCTCTTATAGAAATAATTACGATTAAGGAAGCCACTACAGATCGAAGTAATAAAGAGGTGGATCTTGTTAATGGACAAACTTGAAAGAGTGTACTCTTGCTTTACATTTATAATGTAACAAGGCTGTGTTTCAATTTCAGTTCCCATTTGATCTCTTGCCTTTCTCTACATGAAATTTATTTGTTTCCAAACTCTGATCAATTAACAGTATCCTTTTTAGTCTAGACGAGCTCTCTTTAGCATATTATTTGTGTATTAAGATAACTTCTACGACTCGGGGTACTTTATCTAAACGGTGTGATGATTCGATTTATGGGAACACAATTATACAAGGGATACTATCTTCTGTCTTTAAAGGCGTATTTTTAATCCTTTTTTTTTAAAAAACAACAATAAAGAGAACAAATGCCGAAGTTAGAGCTGGCTTGACTTCAGAAAATACCTGGTTCAGTGTTTGATCTCTTTCATCATTGAAACTTTTCCCACGCTTTCCTCCCACAGCATCTAGTTCATCAATGAAAATTATAGAAGGTGCTTCCTTTCTAGCAACATTGAAAAGATCTCTTATGCGTGCAGCTCCTCTCCCAACGAATAACTCAACAAATTCACTGGCAGAAACTGAAAAAAATGGTACTCCAGCTTCGCCAGCCACTGCACGAGCAAGTAAGGTTTTTCCAGTTCCTGGAGGCCCCACAAGTAGCACTCCTCTAGGCAATTTGGCACCAAGCTTACTATAATTAGTCGAACCTTGTAGGCATGAAACTATCTGTAAATAAAACAAGTAGACAAGTGAGGTAATAGAAATGGGAAAACAACCGTGTATGTTCTCAACAACTCATATAATCTACTAATATGAGATGCATGAAATAAATGATATTTAACATTTTGAGATTAGAGAGCAAGACGTATTGATCAGCAGGGATCTTTGGTGTAACATAGCAAGTTCTATAACATAATCTCATGAAATATCAATGTGACAGTGGTTTCTAACAACAGCATTGACTGCAGGTCTGTACGACAGCGCTATAGGTTTTTCACACCATTTTATGATATAACTTGCTTACCTCCAAAAGCTCCACTTTTGCAGTGTCGACACCTTCTACATCCTGAAATGTAATCAACTGGTTACTTGGTCTTCGTTTTTTAGCTGGGCTTCGGGCAGTGGAAATTTGACGGTAAAGAAGCCACATTAAAGGAGCTAATGGAATCCATAGTGTTAGCACAGTGATTAATGTATTCCTTAATGATGTGAGCGCTGACTGAGGAGCAGAACCATATGAAGTTCCTCTTTCCCTCATCAGACTAAGAAGATAGCCTTCATCGTGATCAATCTTTCGGGTAGAAAACTGCCAAGACGGGGTAGGAGCTCGTCCTTTGAACATTTTCTTTAATGCATTTCCACCTGCTAGACGGGTTTTTACGTGGCCATTGCTAGCACGATCAACATTCCCACTGCCTTGTTCAGATACTTGAGTGCCTTCCTTAACCCATGTGTTCATACTATAGTATATTCTACGAGTGCCTTCCTCAAACAAGACCTTAGAAACCATTCCATTTTGTAGGCTCATTATCAAGTCCGAATATGGAACAGCTTTTGGTGTCGGCATTGCAGTAACTTTTAGAAAGAAAAAGCATAATCCTAACACAAGTGAAATGGAAGTTGAAAGTGTAATTTTTCTTCGGTTCTCACGAAGAAATGTTCCAAGACCATTTAAGATCGAATTAATCCGACCATTTCTGAATCTTTTCCAGAACAATCTCAACCTTGGTCTCAATCTTAATGCTATTTTTCTCTTCCTATATCTTTCCTTTCTCCTTTCTACCATATGAGTTTCTCCATGGCTATTCTCATCGATGAGAGACTTAAGCCTGGCGGTCTGTAAGCTCAAACCATATTGAAATGAACAATGACTATAATTCCAACCGACAACAGGCACAGAAACTGAGCTACTACTGTATAGCTGAGAAAATGAACAACTTCTACACCTATATCTATCCAAAGATATCGAGGCTCCAACATGAAATTTGAATTTCCCTTGAGCTATCAAGAAACCATTATTGGAGACAACAGGAAAAGATGCCATCTTTACACTAAACACAACACAGCAATTCCATAACAAAAGTAAAATATAAACCGAATCCAAGGTCGTGGCAAAGAACTTTTCAATTGGCAGGAGCTACAAATTACCTGATAAAAATGAACAGCTCGAAAAGGGTTGGTTGGTTTACTTGACACCAATTCTTCCAATATCAAACAAACAGCAATTAAACACCTGAAATCTCCATTCCCCAGGTCGCATTGAGAGCTGATAAAAAGAATAGAGAGTATCCTTTCGCCGCAAAACTAATGAGGTGAATCCCCAACTCCCAAGATAGTTGCAAGATTCCAACTTTCGAATAACCCGAATGTCAAATTCGGTTTTACATTCAGAATTCAGTCTATCCCACAATGGAATTGAAATATATCACTCAAATTTCTTCGTATCCACAAAGATACTCAGGCAAACAGAGGACTTTGTTGAACAGCGGATAAACTTTGCTGGGATATTTCTTCTTCTTCTTCTTCTTTTTTTTTTTTTTTTTTTTCATTTACCGGGTTATTTATTTATTTATTTTTTTTTGAGAATATTTACCGGGTTCTTTATGCTATGGTAGGAGAATCCAGTTTTAAGGTCCAATAGCTTCTCTTCAAAATCCGTGGTGGAAAACTAGAAATGGAGTGACAAGAAATGAACCATACCAAACAAAAATTGCGTTGCGGCTTCAACTTCTCTTATTAATGGGCCTGTGAACCTTTTTCTGGGTTGAAGTCCAAATCCTTTTGAGTTTTGACTTTTGACGAGCCCAAAAATGGAGTCAGAAAGAAGTCAAAATACGACCGTAAACTGGAAAAGGACACGTGGATTGATGATAGAGAAGTCAAAGTTTTAAAAAATCCTATATAAAAGGTTCATCCGCTCCTAAAGTAGCGGGTCGTCCGCCATTTTCTGGAGTTCTTTTTTACAATCAGCCTTCATCGATTACCGAAACTCTGTATAAATTCGTTCAGAAAGCATTAGGGTTTCATCTTTCCCGGAAATTGGTAGTTCCTCTCGTTGTTGATTTCATTCACCGCGAAGCTTTAATCAATCTGCATTGCATCGAGGTTTTCATAGAGTTGTTAGATTTCCACGGTCTAGATTGCCTGATTTTGAAGGTTTAACGATTGGAATTGAGCAGTTGGCACAAGTTCTTGCCGGGATTTGTTCGATTCAATCAAGATTCTATATTGGTATGTGCGTTTCTTTTCTTTTCTGGTTGTAACTGTTAGTTTTGTTTCGTCATGGTTGCCGTGATCTTTGGTTTGCGTTGGATCGTATGAATTTTCCATTGTCATTGAGATTCTTGTTATTAAAACAATTTGATTCTATAGAAATTCCATTCCTGGGCAAGATTGTTGTTACCCTTCCGTCAACTTTAATTTGGTCCCTTTCCTTTGTTGTTAATTAAATTCTTCAAATTAGGCTCTTGTTTATCTTTCATGATTGAGTATTTGAGTTTGTCAATGATTTTAATGGGCGTATGTGGATTCTGTTTGTAATGTCCTCTGGTAATCGATTGTTTTCTGTATATATGTATTGTGATTTTCTAACATATCTTATGGTCTGAATATACAGAAGATTGAATGATCTAATGGAGAGTAAAGGTGGGAAAAAGAAGTCTAGCAGTAGTAAATCCTTATCCTACGAAGAGCCCCTTGGATACAGCATTGAGGACGTTCGACCTGCCGGCGGTATCAAAAAATTCAGATCTCCTGCTTACTGCAACTGCACTCGGATGCCATCTTGATATTCCCCCCTGGTCTTTCGATTAACTACGAAAATCCTGCTCTTTTTCTGCTAGTTTGAAGTTCTTACTTTTTTGCTCCTATACCTCTTTTATTGCTTTCAATCAGTGCTCCTTTCCTTTCTTCTTCGACGAAAATGGCCTCGCCAGCTGTCTCTGCTATTGGCTTTGAAGGTTTTGAGAAAAGGCTTGAAATATCTTTCTTTGAACCTGGAATTTTCGCTGACCCTGGTGGTCGTGGCTTGAGATCTCTGTCTTCTGATCAGTTGGATGAAATTCTGAAACCAGCTGAATGCACAATTGTGTCCTCATTATCAAACGATCAAGTGGATTCCTATGTATTATCTGAGTCTAGCCTCTTTGTCTTCCCTTACAAGATCATTATCAAAACTTGTGGCACTACAAAGTTGCTTCTTTCGATACCATTTATCCTTGAGCTTTCTGACTCTTTAAAGTTGAGGGTGAAATCTGTGGTATACAGCCGTGGAAGTTTTGTCTTCCCTTGGGCTCAACCTTATCCTCATCGTAACTTCTCTGAGGAAGTAGCTGTCCTTAACAGCTACTTTGGCAAGCTTGGAACTGGCAGCAAAGTGCATGTTATGGGTGATGATGCTTATAGGAAGCAATGGCATGTCTACTCAGCATCAGCTGAATTTTCTGAAGTTCGGAACCCAATTTACACCTTGGAAATGTGCATGACTGGGCTGGACAAGGATAGGGCATCTGTCTTTTACAAAACAATATCCAGCTCTGCTGCTCTCATGACTGAAATTTCTGGCATTAGGAGAATTCTTCCAGAATCAGACATCTGTGATTTCGACTTTGATCCATGCGGATATTCCATGAATGCAGTCGAAGGTGATGCAATCTCCACCATCCATGTGACACCAGAAGATGGCTTCAGCTACGCTAGTTTTGAGGCTGTGGGATATGATTTCAAAGTAGTCAGCTTGACGAAACTTATTGGAAGAGCATTGGACTGTTTCCAACCAACGGAGTTTTCTCTGGCTTTACAAACAGATAGCTCCAGAAGCCAGTTTGAGTCGGATTTCCAGCTGGAGATTGGAGGATATTCTTGTGATACAAGAATCTGCGAGGTACTTGGTAACGAAGGTTCAATCATCTATCAGACTTTCAAGAGCACCAGGAGCTGCAGTTCTCCTAGGTCAATTCTGCAATACTGCTGGAGTGAAAGTGAGGATGAGTATATGGAGAAGAACCATGATGAACCATAGATGGTCTTTGGTCTGATGAAGCACAATTAAGGTCCGCCTGATGTCTCTTAGTTTTGATAGAGTGATGCCCAGAGTCTGCACTGAAAATCACTTATTGTTGTGTTAGTTGGTGGTAATGGTCTAATGTTTCTTCTCTCCATTGTGCATATGAGGTCTTTACCTTTAGGCCCTAGCTTACCTGTGGTCATGATTTTTTTTTCAGAGGATAGTATACATATGCTATTGTATTGTCTAGTATGGTGGAGACTATTTTGCTTCCTTTAGTTTGTTCTCTTTTATTTCAATTGTTTAACCGGAATTGGATTCTTGAGAGTTCTAATACATAATTTTTGATTTTTCAAATCTTCTTTCGTCGAGTTCCGAACCTTTAATTTATACAACATTGTTGCAACCCGTGAAAATTTCCAGTTTTTAAATATTGCTACTTGTTGCAACATGAAGACTTTTGAGGTCTTGAAGTGGTCCCTTAAAATATCTGTACCTCTGTATAGAGTGCTTGTGTAATGTTTTTTTTAGTCGCCGACACTATTGACTCAGTGACCACACTAACAAGGTAGTTTTCCATGGAAAAAAGAATGAGACTTGACTTTATCATCTATGCTGTCCTCTGAATCTTGCTGAAATTCAACCATCTGACTTCGCTCAGTAAGCTTTACCATCGGCCTTTTTTGCTTTCCTTTTCACTTCTGAGTTGTTTTTTTGATCCCGTCGTATATCTAGTTGCTTTGCCATTCAGTTCTCACCAGTAAGATGGCTTCCTCCATCATTGCTTATCTTAATTCAATCTTGGAAGATGTAGAGTTGCTGGTGAACGAAACTTATAAACCCGGTACAAAGTTGAAATTTAAGACACTGATATTTAGGCTGAAGAACCTCAAAACCTTTGTTCTTTGTGCTATTAAGTTGAGCAACCAGCCTAGTCGAGAATCCCTCGTGGTTAGGACTAAACATATTGTTGGAAGAAACACTAGTATGATTGACGCCCTTAGTCTTCTTTCAAGCTCTGAATGTCCTTTTGGGTCTGATGAAGAGGTCGAAAATTTTGTGCACAGCATCGAACCCAACATCCAATCCTTGGAGGAAGAAATAAATGGTTGGTACAAGACTTTGTCAGCTCATTCGCAGCAGTCAAATTCTCTAATGACTGACGAAATTGAAATCATTGATTCCGTATTGGAAAATATTGAGGATTTTCTCAGTTTTGGATCCAGATTTTTAGGCACCCATGTTCTGGTGAAAGCAATGGAAGCTTCGCGGGAACAGATGGGATTCATGAAAAATTTCATCCGCTTCGTCGCACTGAGAGGGTTCGAGCATCACAGACCAACGGAGAACTTGTTGATTCACTTTGCAGGTGTTGCTCTGGATGCAGCACATCTCCGTCGGTGTGACGAACTTGACGAGGAATGGTGGAAAGGATTGCAGTTTAGGATTTTATTGCTGCTGCAAAAGATCAAACCTGATTCACCTGAAATCTACAGACAACATGCTCCAACTCTAGACATGGATCATGATCCCTTAATTGTTATTAAGGATTGCCTGGATTCTCTCATTTCTCATCTTTTGGAGATACTGCAACTTGATAGTTTCCATGTGGTTTGTCAGAAGGATCAACTGCGAGTACTATATGAAGGACTCAGATTCTTGAAGACAAGTTTACAGCAGCCACAAAACAACTTTACTGAGAAAATCAGGGATCAAATTGGGTCAGTGCTATATGATGCAGGTGTGTCACTTTGCTCAGTTTACCAGACACGTGTAGAATTGGATTTTGGGCTTTCAGATTTGTTAGAAAGCATTAAATTTATCAGGACAGAAGCTGGGAAGGAAGTTTCACCAACATCAGTTGTCAACTTCCCCAAGACTGATGGGCTGGGTTTTTTGGACTTCTTATTAGAAAATCTGATGGAGGTATCGGGTGGTCAGGCAGAACCAGATGTCAAGTTTTATGCTCAAACTCTTCAAGAAGAGCTTATGTTTTTCAGGTCTTCCTTGGGGGAGATCAAGGAGTTGTGCAACGAACAGAATGAGTTCCAAGTTTTCTGGAATCGCACTATAGAGATGGCATACAAAGCAGAGTTTCTCGTTGAGCATCTGGGAGTTGGAGATATATCACATACATTTCCAGTATTATTTGATTCCGTCAACAAAGACATTCAGAATTTGAGAATTGGTGCATTGAAGGTTTTACAGGGCAAGGGGCATGCCATCGAAGTAAAGAGTGGAAGCAAGAAATCTAGTCAGGTCTCATCACAAACCACTCCCACAATAACAAATGATGTTGTGGGGTTTCGTGATGAAGCAGCATCAATTGTTGATCGCCTTACCCGCGGATCCAATCAGGTGCGGATCATTGTTATTACAGGTATGCCTGGACAAGGTAAGACAACTCTAGCGGCAAAAGTTTATTCTGACCCTTCTGTTGAATACCATTTTCATATCCGTGCATGGTGTGTTGTTTCTCAAATAATGGATAAAAAGAAAGTGTTGCTTGAGCTTTTAAAGCAAATTGATCCTCATAGATATCCCAAAATGACTGAACAAGGTTTAACTGAAAAAATCTGGCGCCATTTAAAAGGGAAAAGATACCTTATCTTTCTAGATGATGTATGGACCATTGAAGCCTGGAATAGTTTGCAAGGATCATTTCCCAATGATTCTATTGGAAGTAGAATTATCATTACTAGTCGACTGCATAATGCTGCGCCTCATTATATGCTTGACCAAGATCCTCTCTTTCTCCGTCAACTCAGTAATCTTGAGAGTTGGGAGCTCTTGCAGAGGAAGTTATTCCTTACAGAAGGCTGTCCTCCTGCATTAATTAAACTTGGGAAGAAGATTGCAGAAAATTGTAAAGGATTGCCATTGACAATTGTCATTGTAGCTGGTCTTCTTGCAGCAACCAAGCAAGAAGAGTGGGTGAACATTCTTGATGGTTTTAGTTCAAGTTTTGTATCTAGTACAACGCAGTGCATCAACACATTGGACCTGAGCTACAAACATCTACCTGATTTTCTAAAACCATGCCTTCTATACTTTGCAATATTTCCAGAGGAGCAAGAGATTTCAGTGAGAAGGTTGGTTCGGCTATGGATTGCTGAAGGATTTATCCGAAGAGCTGAGTTCAAGAGCCTTGAAGATGCTGCAGAAACTTACATGACAGAGTTGATTGGAAGAAGTTTGGTCATGGTTGTCCAACAGAGATCCACCGGTGGTATCAAAAGATGCCGTGTTCATGAGTTGTTACATGGTTTTTGCTTAAAGAGGGCCAAAGAAGAACATTTTTTCCATCTTTTAAAAGGGTATGATCAGCTTTTGGCTCTTAATGAACCTAGCAACCTGCGGAGACTGTGCATTCACTCAGAGCCAAATGCTCATGAAGGACCAACTCATTTTAAGAAGTCCAAATTAATCTTTCCAGGTGCGCGTTCTCTTGTTTTCTTCTCTCAGAAACCATGGGATCGACAAACCAGGCTTGATATTTCATTTGTCATAAATATTTTCAAAGGTCTCAGAGTGTTGGATTTAGAGCAGATTCATTTAGTTTCTGAATTTCCTAGTGAAATCGAACTTCTTGTTCAGTTGAGATACTTGGCAATTCGAGGAAAATCCATTCCCACATCCGTGGGTAAACTCTCAAAACTGGAAACACTTATCTTAGATCCAGAAATAAACATTGTTTCCATTCCAGATACTCTGTGGCATCTGGGGAAGTTGAAGTTTCTTTACATAAGGAGTGTTTACTATTGGTCTGGTGGCAGGTTGCCCACTGAGAATCTTGACAGCTCATTTGTTTTGTATGATTTGGACCGATTATCTGGGGTGATCCTTCCTTCTTATGGTTGCATGGAAAACCAAATGAAAAAGTTTCCTAACATCCGTAAGTTGAAATGCAAAATTTTCGAATATTGGGATAATGACGAGAATTTTGACAAGATTTTAGTTCCGGACTTTCTGACTCGACTGGAATCACTTGATATAGGATATGTTGGATTCCAGCATGGTAGAATGTTGGAGTTTGGCTTGCCTACAAATCTAAAAAAGTTGACATTGTCAGACTTTTGGTTGCCTTGGGAGGCAATGTCAAGTATTGGGAAACTGCCCAACCTTGAGGTTCTCAAGTTACTCAAAGGTTCCTTCACAGGGGAAAAATGGAACATGGAAGAAGGGGAATTCTCAACACTCAGATTCTTGGCAATGTCATCTTTGGACATAGTTAGTTGGACAGCTTCTGACGATCAATTTACCTGCTTCCGGAAATTGGTATTGTTCAAATGCAAAAAGTTGAAAGAGTTGCCTTCTTGTTTGGAGTACATTTCAACGCTCGACATGATTGAGGTCCTGAAATGTTCTGACACTACAGCAAGTTTAGTCAAGAAGATTGAGGAGGAGCAATCGAACATGGGGAATTCAGCTCTGAAGATTATGATTAGGTAACATAAAATGGTTTGCTGCTGAAATTGACAGCATCGATTGGTTTTTATTGCCTAATCTGATATCTCCTTTTGTTGAATGAATTTAGTGGGATGATCTTTGTTTCTGTACAAGCTAATTCATCATCCATCCATTGTTATGATATATGGGTATTATCTTCTGTTCATACAGACAATACACATACGAATATTGTTTGGCAGAGGACATTTTTACTATTATCTTCTGTTCATACAGACAATACACATACGAATATTGTTTGGCAGAGGACATTTTTACTAACCTACTAGTTTTTACTTTTTTAGTAAGATGAATCTAAGCACTGAAAAAAGGCCTTCAGCAATTTTGTATTCCAGTTACCCGCCTCATCCAACCAATATAGAAGCCCTGAAGGTGCGAAACACTGCTTAGTCGATTAGAGTCTTTAGAGACAGTGGAAATCCAATCTTCCTCCACCAATACTTCTCCCACTTAAAACCTTTTACGATGACCACAAAATACTTCTCCAACCTCACAAGTGAGAAAGTCTCTTTGCTTTGCATTTTTTTTTTTAAGGAAGACTTGAGAGCAAAGGGTGACGAGGTATTATCCATAATTCTCCACGAAACTTTGGCTAACAATGCGTGGTTCATCTCTTTAGTTGACTAGAATCTCAGACCACCCTGTATTTTGATGGAAATAAAATAAGTCTAAGACTTCCAGTGAATTCCTGTGCCTTTCTATCCCCATTACAGATAAAATTTGCACGCGAAGTGACTGATTGAGGGAGTTTAAAAACACCCATCAGATAGGTTGGTAGGGCTGCTACGCAGTGCTTCGCCAAAGTGATCCGTTCCATCATTGTGAATGAATTGTTCTTCTAGTCCATAAGTTTAGCCCAAATGTGCTTACTATGCTATCAAAATGTTCCATAAAATCCAAGGAAAGATCAAGATACTTGCCTGGACAGGGTTTGCACGGTATGCGTAACCATGTTTCCACAAGCTCCTTGTCACACTGTTTTGGGTTCGGACTTATTAATAATGACGACTTATCAAAGTTCACTTGATGACCCGATATCTTGGCATACTGGTTTAGGATTTGCTCAAAGCTCTGATATTCTCCTCTCGGCACTCTATAAAAAATTAGACAATCCTCTACATATATGAGATGTGAGAGCCTGTGACCGTCTCTTGACATTTTTATTTGAAAGGTTGAATCGCCAAACTCCAAATTGCGTAAGATTAGAGAGAAGCCTTGCTGGCAAAGTATAAACGAATAAGGTGAAAGAGGGCATCCTTGATGGAGTCCTCTCTTAAGAGAGGATTTTTTCGATTACCTTCCATTAACGCATGTGATATAAGTTACTGAGGTGACACATTTCATAATCAGTCTGGAGGGAACTGTCGTATTAGTAAATAAAAGTAATTCGTGATTTTTATTTTTATTTTTTGGGTCAAAAAGCTAAATTCGGATAGGAAAATATAGTAGTTCGTTAATTTTATTATTATTTAGTAATTCAAATTGAACAATAATTTCGAGACGAGTGAATACTTTATATATATGTATATATATATATATTTATATTTTCCATATTGCCAAAAGTATTATTAGTGGCCAAAGGATTTAAGATTGGCTCCATGCCCATGGCGAGATTCGAGGATGGAGAAGTCCTTACCACTCCACTACAACTTCTTTGGTTATTATTGATATAATTTTGAAACTTGATAATTTATCATTCTATTGGGCCGCACGCGATCAAATCTACAAGGGGACTTTTGGACTTTTTTTTTGTAGAATAAAATGTCCAAATGATCTCTTACATTTGAGTTTACTTGAATTTACATTCCTAATATTAACATTTCAATATCGTAGTCCCAAATATTATGTTTTCACACTTTTTTGGTCTCATTTCACTGTTTCGACCACTTTTCTGTCAACTCGATGTTAACCGGCAGTTGACATGTCGGAATCAGGGGTATTTTTGTCTTTTTTAATTTAAATTTTTATTAAAAATTAAATCATTAAAAATATTACAAAAATTCACATTTATTATTTAATTGTTAAAATATTATTTTTAAATTTTTAAATTTAAATTATTTTCAAAGTTACTTTTTCTTTACCATTTACTTTAATGTTAATTATGTTGCACTTTTAACCCCAATCTACTGCAACTTTAAAAATTTATCGAGTCACAGTAAATAATTCAAAATTTAAATTAAAAAAAAAACCAAACAAAACCAATAAGACCTGAGTTATTTCTAAAATTTTAGCGCGCTATAGTAATTAATTCAAAATTCAAACTTTTTTTTAAAAAAAAAATTGCAAGAAAAGTGTGGTGTGAAAATCCGGATAAAAAATAATTTATTTAAGTTTTTGACTTATTTTTTTTTTAGAACCAAAAAATAAATCTAATAACTATGGCTTAGTTAGTAGTTTGAATTAAAGGTATAACTTAAAATGTGGTAAATACTTTATTTAAAGATAATTGAAACCTACTTATTAAAGCAATTAATTATATAATATGTATAATTAATTTTACGATCCTATTATTCCGATCCTACCGATCCCATTTACGATCCGATCCTATGATCCCATTTCGATCCTACGTAAGATCGCGATCCTGCAAACATTGCTTCTGACTTTAAACTTAGAATGGTATGTAATGCATGCCAACTTTTTGGGGACATTGGTGTACTTGTTTTGAATATATTTGTGGTGTAAATAAATACACTCTTGTGGTAGGGTTTGTTCATTAGTTTGATTTGTATGCTTATTTATTTATCTATTTATTTATTTTTTTTTTTGGAGGTGGGGGGTTGTTTGTGAATTGTGATTGCAACATCTGCAACCAGTTGTGAAGTGATAACATCTCCTATTGTATGTCTTTCTGCAGAACCAGACTAGCAGCCCTACCAGATCATTGGGAAGGATGGGATTGATCATGTGACTTGTTTTTACGAATTTGGTTCGAATACATGGCTTCTTACCTTCCGAGCTTATAAAGAAGATGATGTCCCAGCAAATGCTGAAACTTTTCGGGCTGAGTTTATGTTTGGTGATCCACGCCACACGCAATGGCCCAGATGTGTGGGTCGTTGCCTACTCAAACATGATCTCCTAGAAGAAGCAGCCAAATTTCCATGCCCTCTTCCATGCTGTCCCCTTCCCATTAAGGCTGAACCTTCACTTTTTTATTGTGCATGCTAAGCTGCCATCCCAAGGCTTCTCCCTTGACATGTTTGTGCTCAAGTTAGATTCTTGTGCTCAAATCTTCCTTGCCAAGTATATGTTTGGCGATTGAATCTGCGTGAATCTCGCAAAATGGGTGCTTTTGTCAAAGTCACCTCGGGCTCCCATCTCAAAACCAATTGGCAACGAGTGGGGTGGCCTTTGGCACTTATAAACAGGTGACAGATCCTTCACGATACCGATGTGGGATTTTTTTGTCCCAACACCCTCCCTCAAGTCCAATGGGGTATTTGGCCCATTGGGGTTGCACAACGCAACATAATTCACCAGATATACTACTGGGTCAGTCAACAAGCCCGTACACACGGGTACATACTCCGAATATACTGTCGGATCAGTAACAAGCCCACCCGTGTGCACGGAAGCAATTGACGCAAGTCCAAGGCACACGGATCCAAGCCCGCACACACGGGTCCATAGTTATCACAGGTCCACAGATCGTGGGCTCTGATATATGGTATCAGAGCGGGCTCGGCCTATGGTGATTTTAAGCCCACGATGTTATTCTGTGGTCCAATTTAAGTCCGCGATGTTATTCTGCGGCCCGTGATGTTATTCCACGGTTTATTTCCTGATCCTTATGATTTAGTCCAAGCCCGTTTGGCTTGAGGGAGAGTGTTGAGTATCTCACATCGGTAGTGGGAGAGAGTTGATATCAATATATAAGTATATGGGCTACTCCCCTCATTGCCAATTGGTTTTGAGGTGGAACTCCATGGGTTTCTATAGCTTTCTTTGTGAAATGGAAGATGTTCTTGATCCGGTAAATGAGAAGATGTGGATGAGAAGGCAAATGGAGCAAGTCGCCGAGCTCTATAATCCACATGTGGTTTGTGATTCTGAATCCTTAAGCATGTTAAGCTGCCGGTATAGGCTTGTATGTTTTAATCTTGAGTGCTATTTAGACCAGTAGTCAGTAGACTAATTGAAACACATTTTTGAGTGGTGTTTGTCATTGGAATGGTTGGTGGATTAGAACAAGAAGAAGATGTGTCTATGAATAGTACCTCTTGTATGTACACTATCTCAAACCGCTATTTATGCTTGGGCGAGTGTCGATGAAGAATTCCAAATTCAAACTCTCTATTTCCATTTTACATGTATGTCAAACAGAGGAAGGATTGTGGATGGGTCCGGAGAAATGGGAGAGAGCGGAGTAAAATAGGCAGGTGTTTCGACCACCTAGAGCGCTTGAGTTCAAATTCACTATGACAAGCAATTGTGCCATCCTTTTCACTCGAAGCAAAGTGAAATTAGTAATCACTTGAACAGAGAAGATCAATGGTGTCCCAACTCCCCTACACTCTTAAATCTGGTAATTTTGAACCATCTGATGCCTATGTTGAACCTGATTTCTGATTTCATTAGCGATAATGTACTTAGGTAGCTTATGTTACACACACTAACACGAGATAATTCATCAATAATTAGTAATAAATTAGATATAGTAACAAAATAAAATAACAATAAATATTTTCTGGTTGCTGTAATCAATCAGCAACTATATTATTAGGAAGGCTGGCGATATTGCTAGGGCGGAAATTAGTTGCCAGAGCAAAATTAACTTATTTTTCAATAATACCCTTAAAGGGTCAAACTCTGAATTTAGTCTAACTTTTCTCTCTTATTGTTCCCTTATTCTTATCTTCTCGTGGACAGATATGCTCTATTTCTTATGATTTTTTCCTCTTCAATTTCACTCTTTGTTAATCCTTACAGACATAGTTTTAAGACTACGAAACCAAAAAGAACATATAGATTAGGTTATTGTTCTTTGAACCTTAATACTAAGGTCTATTTACTGTACTTTTACCCTACTAAGCAAACCTGCAAAACCAATCTAAAAGGTTTCCTTGGAGAACGTAATACCTGAAATGGATTCTCGATTCATATCAGTTTTGATGACTTAAGAGTACATAAGTTGCAATTAGCATGTGAGATAGAACCTTTAGGGATTCAAGAAAAACTTCATCCCTTGAATTAAAGATCAAAGGTGGAGCAACGTGTTTTGCATACTCAGAAGAAGAATTTGATTTTCGCCGCCACTGTATTCCTTTGTTATGTAAAGTTTGGTGTTTTGAATTTTATAGTTAGTTGAATTATGAAAAATTATATTTTCTGTCTTGAATTTGAAAACAAATGCACCAGGGAAATGTTGGTGATTGATAACAATTGGTGGCGTTAATTAAGAATTGAAAAAATGATTAATTGTAATATGAAAATTAATTTATAATAGATGAAACTTGTAGTCCAGAAATTTTATTTTCGGATTAAGAAGATGAGTCTGAAACTATCCTGATTTACGGCTGGTGGAGCAGATGTGGATTATTGATTATTCCACAGTTCCAGAGCTCTACCAAGAGGAGAAGGGTTGAGTTAATTTGAAGTTTGACCGGTAAGGGTACAATGGCAAAAATAATTCAATTTTGCTATGGCAGCTAATTTCTGTCCTGGGAATATCGCCAGCCTATTAGGAATTAACCATTCTCATTTTCAGCAGCCTTGTATACTCCCGTTGGATTCTTATGCTAACGATAAATAAACGATACAATTGCTGTTGTCCAATCGTTTTCTAATTAGATATCAATAAACCAAGAATCTAACGAAAATCAATATAATGATATTCTTAAAATTACATCATCTATGATATATCATAAAACAAAGATCCAAAGCGATCAGATCAATTATGAAAGCCAAAACTCAAAATAGGGGAATTTGCAATTTTTGAAACTTACGGGTTCAATTGAAAACTTTTTACTAACGTTAGAGATGTGGTTGCAATTCCCTCTAAGATATAATAAGCTGTTTTTCACTTTTTTAGTTTGCAATTTTTTGGGATACACATTTGAGAAAATTTTCAAAAATCGCATACTTCAGCTCAACATTTGAAACTCGGAAAATAAGGCGAAGAAGAAAAGCAGCTCATATGAGACCGCTTTAGGGCCTCAAATGACGGGTCCGTAAATCATTGTAAATTTCCGCCGGAAAATTGCTCCCTTTATGCTTTTATGATTGATCGTATTGGCGGCGGCGATAACGGTGTTTTATTGCTTTGGATTTGGAAACTGCTGTTCTTCCTGCCCTTCTAAGCTGGTGGTGCTTTCCGGGAAGCCGTCAACTCCTACTATTCCCTTTGGAGAGCACTCAATATCCAAGGTTAGGAGTAGCTGTTAGTAACTCCTATACTATTCATAAAAGTTGCTTCCATTTGAAAAGCTGGTAAAGCGAAATTAGGTTTCCTAATGCCAATCATTTAAATAAGCTTTTGTCAATTTTATTTGTGGGTCGTGTTTACGATGGGTTGCTTAGTTAGACTGAGCAGTGATAATCTTTTGGTGAAAACCGTGTGCGCCATTGTTGTGAAGGGACATTGGGATACCAATTTGAAGCCCAAGATTGGCTCTTGTGTGACTTCGAGAATCATCAATCAGGCACTAGTTGATCTCTCGGCGTGCGGGTTTTATCTTTGTTGGTCATTCTTCAAATGGGTTGAATCCATTCCGGATTATAAGCATTCTTTACAGTCCTCTTGGACTATGATTTGTGTGCTCACCAAACAAAAGCGTTTCAAGACCGCACATGGTATGCTTGAAAAAATTGCGCTTAGAGAGTTTTTGTCGTCCCCTACCGTGTTGAATGCACTGGTGAGTGGTCGCGATGACCCGGATGTGAATTCCCATGTTTTGAGTTGGTTGGTGATATTTTATGCTAAGTCTAAGATGACACAGGATGCAGGTCAAGTCTTTGAGCACATGAGGGTCTGTGGATTTCGGCCTCATTTGCATGCTTGCACAGTATTCTTGAGTTCCTTGGTCAAGGATGGATTGTGTGATACTGCATGGAAAGTCTATAAAAAGATGATAAAACTTGGGGTTGTTCCGAATTTACACATATATAATGTGTTGATTCATGCTTGTCGTACTTCTGGGGATGTGGAGGCTGCAGAAGAGTTGTTGAGAGAAATGGAATTCAAGGGTGTATTTCCCGATCTTATCACATATAATACTTTGATCTCCTTGTACTGCGGAAAGAGTATGCATTATGAAGCTTTGTCTATTCAGGATAGGATGGAAAGAGGAGGTGTATGTCCGGATATAATTACCTATAATTCTCTCATTTTTAGTTACTGCCGTGAAGGTAGAATGAGGGAGGCTTTAAGGCTTTTTAAGGAAATCAAAGGAGTCACGCCTAATGAAGTTACTTACACTACCTTGATTGATGGATATTGCCGAGCTAATGATCTTGATCAAGCTTTACAATTGCGTCATGCTATGGAGGCTAAGGGACTGTACCCCAGTGCTGTCACATACAATTCAATCCTTCGAAAATTGTGTGAAGATGGCCAAATACGGGATGCAAATATGCTGTTAAATGAAATGAGTAGCAAAAAGGTTGAACCTGATAATGTCACTTGTAACACTTTGATTAATGCATATTGTAAAATAGGTGACATGAACTCTGCCTTGAGAGTTCGAAGTAAAATGTTAGGAGCTGGCTTAAAGCCGGACTCTTTCACTTTCAAGGCATTGATTCATGGGTATTGCAAAGTGAAAGACGTGAATAGTGCTAAATACATGTTATGCGAGATGGTTGCAGCAGGATTCTCTCCAAGTTCCTGCATATTCTCTTGGCTTGTGGATTTTTACTGTGACCGGGATGATGACAAATCAATAATAAAATTGCCAGAGGAACTTTTGGAAAGCGGTATTTTTGTTGACATCTCTGTCTACAGAGCACTCATACAAAGGCTTTGTAAGCGAGAGAAGGTTGACTGTGCTCGTTGCCTTTTCATCTCCATGAATGAGAAGGGAATGTCAGGCGATAGTGTAGTCTACACTAGTTTGGCATATGCTTTTTTCAAAATGGGTAACCTGGCTGCTGCTTCAAGCTTGTTGGATGACATGTATAAGAGACGGTTAATGGTGACACTAAAAATCTACAGAAATTACTGTTCTTCTTTCTCAAATGAAAGCTACCTCTTAGATACATTTTGGGATAATCTGGTCGAGAGAGGCCTAATTTCCAGATCTGTTCAAACTCAAATTGATGGGCTTAAGTTGAGAGCTTGAATCCAAAAATTTTGTCGTTGGTGCCAACAAAAAGCTAGCTCTCTCATACTGGTTGCACGTCATATTTAGCTCTATTATGCAGCTAATGATTGTTTGAGAAAGAAATTCTGCTGTGAAATGTGAGTTCCTTGATTATGCTGTGCTCGAGAATGATTCATCCTTGCACATTGGAAAGAGAATTTCTTATACCTTTTTAATGCTGGTTGGGGTTGCGGATTGTGTGACATTAACACATTCTGATGTTTTAAAGCTGGATGGGTTTCACTTTCTTGGCTTAACAGTGGTAAGCACTGCACAGAATTTTATTTTCCTCATTTATGATCAAGACTAATAAATTTAGTGATACGCAAGAGTTGATTTGATTTTCTTTCATCTCCTTCTGGTACTTTCTTTGTAGTCCTTTCATTTTGTTCCGAATGTTGATTTTTATTATTTATCAGCTCCTTCACAATCTCCCTTACCTAAAGCACTAAAAAAGATGTCCTGTCCGGAGCCTTTATCTGATTGGTTGATTTAAAAACTTTCATTAAATTTTTTATTTGCGTTATGCAGTGAGGTACATCGAGACAAGGCAGCCATTGGCTTGGAGGCACGAGAACTATGCATCATTGAGACAAGGTAAAAATCTGCATGCAAGATGTGTGAACAATGCATGACTAAGGTAGCTATCTGCACCCAAGAATTCCGAACTATGAATCATCTCTGCTGTTTTCTGTTTCACAAAGTTAGCAATGTTAAGGTATACATAAAATTCAAGTTAGTATGATGGAAAAACTGCAGACACTTAATCTTGTGCAAGACTAATAGCAGATGATACCTTTGTTTCTTTTTTTTTTTTGGTGCACAAAAAAAAAAAAAAAAGATGATACCTTTGTTAATTTTTTTAAACCAAATAAAGAGGTGAAAAAGAACTGCTGTTAACTTATCATCTTTCTCTATTTAAATGTTCAGAGAGGTGTTTTGTTTGATCTTTTCCTTCTTCATCTTTTAGAATCGTATTAGAGAATCTTTGGATCAAAGAAAATGAGGTAAGGCAGCCAGATAGGACTGGTCGAATTATATTCTGATGAAGTATTTCTAGGGTTGTTACTCAGAATTTGACTGCTTATCGACCTTGGAAACTATTCTTTATAAACTAATGAATATCAGGGTTGGGCAACTGGTTGTCAAAGGAATGCAGCATGCAAGATGGTGTCTTAACTCATCTACGACCGTAATGGGTTTTTTTTTTTTTTTTTTTTTTACCTATTTTGTACTTTCTGTAAATATCACATAAGATTGCAAAAAAGCACAACAAAATAGTGGAATACTACATCAAAAGTGTTACATGTAGCGGCAGAGAAAACAACTTTATCCCTAATCACATTTTCTGTGCTCGTTCTTTTGCATTAGGGCACTTGAAACCAATCAAAATAATAAGAAGAAGAAGAAGAAGAAGAAAAATTCGTTATTCAACTAGGAATTGCTCAAATGTGTCTATGGCATGCTCGTGTTATTGGTATTGGTGGGTCTGAAAATGAACCATTGACTAAATGACTAGCTATCCAACGATTTGCAGCTTCAGTGTAGTGCAGCCCGTCCCAACTGATGAATTTTGAAGGATTTGTGCAGGACCCAGCATAGACTAAAGTTCCATTTATGATTCCTTTACCCCCACACCCAACGTCGTAGTTGAGTCCATGAATCCCACAGCAGATATTGAATGGGTCCTCAAATCCTGGAATTCACCGATTCATAATTTTAACAATGACGTAGTTGAGTCCATGAATCCCAAAGCAGATATTGAATAACTTTAAATGGGCATTGTTCCAAGAATGATGTATGTAGTTATGAACTAGATATCATTTAAATGTACGAGACTTCATTTTATTTTCCCGGTCAGCATTGTTCCAAGAATGATGTATGTAGTTATGTACTAGTACTTCTACATACCTAGTTCTTTGGCCTTAATGATTAGTTCATGCTTTGCCCTGAACATGTCCACATAAGTTATCGCAGCTTCCGTAAGTTCTGCCCTGAGTTTGATAACAGCAAGTTTGAGCTCTCTGTTGAACTTGTTAGCTGCGTCAATTCGACTCTTGTAACAGCCATGTTCGTCCAATAGCCGGCGATCTTGTATCTTCCAAGTTGTATACGGAAGGCACCCATAGGGACCCGTGTTGTGTATCCAGAATACTCTTGCTCCTATCGCATACATGCTCTGTTAAAGAACATTAGCCCAACAAGAGCGAACTGTTATAGTCCAACAAAATAAATTATTTCTTTTCTCTTCTTCTTCTTCGTGTTTTCTTTTTTTTAGACAAAATGAGTAATTCATTGCTGGTAGATGTCAAATTATTGATACAAACTAACCCGGATTTGTAATGCGAATTGTTCGATAACAGCCGGCAAGGTGGCAATATGTTGCTTTTGCTTCTTGGTCATGTTCTGTCGGAAGCCGAGAGCAATATCATTTTGACCCATGTCAATTGTGTAGAGAGACCTGGAGAAGTCCTGTGGTCTAGGTAGCCTGTTTAGGCTGTTGATATCAGATTCCTTCTTGGCTGAAACTCGAAGAGAACAACTTCTTTTCTCAATCATCAAGGGTTCAAAAGAAGGCGAAGGGAGTGATTTACAGTAAAACAAAAAAATCCAGGTACAGTACCTAGATTGTAGAAGTATGCAGTTCGGTTTTTGAACTGATTGTAATGTTCCACTTGAATGTCCAGGGGAAACGGAGGTATACCACTTTCGAACCACGACTCATTCAGCCTCTGGATTGTTGTCCCTGAGACCGCAAAATTCGCTCCATGCCGGAAACTGGTTCCGATTGAATCCAGGTACGCACTCAACAGTGGTAAACCCAGGTGCTCAGCTTCATGAAAATCCCAAAAGAAAGAAACACGTTCGATTAAGCCAATCAATCAAAACAGAGGTTTCCAATTAAGGTGGGGAGGAGTTTAGCATTACCAATGAAGTCTATGATGAGACGGCCGTCCGAAACCCGGCCAGCGGGTCGGTGAAAATATGACACGCCCTGTGGTTCTACCCTTGGGAAAAATGCCGCCGCCGCGCCTCCGGTATCGGAATTCGAATCTCCAAAATTGTATATTGCCGGAAAATCACAGGAAGGTAAGTCGTTCCACTCTTTCTTACCTTGTGCTGATACTACTGCAAAAAATGGAAGTAAAATGACCAAGAACAACAGAGCTTCTGAGAACTTCATTATAGTTGCTAAACTCAGTGAGTTGGGTTTTTTGAAGTGGAGCTCCAGGACCCTCTTCATGGTCTGATTAATAACTTGGTACCCCAACCCAAAAAAAAAAAAAAAAAGAAAAAAAGAAAAAAAAAGAAAAAGGCACGATCTTGCAAGCGATGCAATTGATTGTTTTGTTGTAGTTTAATTTATATGACCTGTCAATTGTGAGGAACAATTTGGTCTTTGTTTGGTTGACTTAACTATCAAAACGTACGGTCTCTTATATACGGGTGTCTTTCACTCGTTTGGCACGAAAATTGATCATGGAAGGCCATACAAATGCTACTATTTAATTAATGAAACTATAAAAAGTCAACTTCTTGTTGTCTGCAAAATGTTGGTGGATCTGGCTATTTGGGATGAGGGTTATGACTTATGAACATGATCATGTCTGCACAAAACTAACAAGGACAGAGTCGGAGAAAATGGTCAATTTGACCTAAAACTTTTTTCCCTGGCCCGATGGCCTCCAAAACTGTATATTGCCGGAAAATCAGGAAAGTAAGTCGTTCAATTCCTTGAAACTTCATTCTTCTTCTAAGCTTATTAGCTAAAATCACCAATTTGTTTTCTTAAAAGAAGCTCACAAGATCCAACTTCACAGAGAAGCAAGCAAACCGCTCTCACTTCTATCAACAATTCATGGTTTGATCCAGAACACACAAAAAGCACGATCTAGCAAGGTTGTTTTGTAGTACTAGTTCATGTGATTGTCAAGTTGCCAGGAACAATTTGCTCTTTGTTTAAGTCAAAATGACAGATTTATGATTTTATTTGTCTTGAATAACGTTATGAACATGGTCATGCATGTGTGCACAAAACCCAAAATGGATAGAGATGTGGGGGGAAATCGTAATGGCAAATGACTAGTAGTTTAATAACGAATCACATGAAAATTGAAACTTAATAAGTTATAGAATTTGAGCTTCTTTTTTTTTTTTTTCTTTTTGCAAAAAAAATAAGTATATGGATAAACTACTGCTATATGTCCAACTTTCCAATTGACGAGTAAATTCACAAAATTGTCTACCAGTATACAAAGACGGAATTTTTCAAAGGAAAAGAAAAGAAAAGAGAGGGAGAAAGAAATACAATATAAGTTAACCATATTAAGTCAAGGTTAGCAGCAAATGAAGCTGGGAATAGCATATGATTGGTGGCATGGGAGACTGTCTGTAAACCCAAAAAAGGAGGAGGATTGGGAATCAGGGATCCAATCATATGGAACCAAGGCAGCTTTGGGACTTGGCTGGTAAGAAAAACATCCTCTGGGTTAAGTGGATTAATAAAGTATATTTGAAAGATCAGAACTTGTGGGAATATAGCTATCCAGCAGGCTGTGGCTGGCATTGAAAAATACTAATGCAAGGGAAGGAGAAAATGAAAGAGGGTACTGTAGCTGGAGCATTGCGATCAGATGGAACAGACTACAAAATCAAAAGAGGATATGAATATTAAAGGAATAAAGGACAACAGAAACCAGAAGCAGAGATGATATGAGAATAGATGGCGCCTGCCAAAACATAGCTATATTACCTGGATAATATTTTGTAAATGAGTTTTGTTCGTTTGAAGTAATAGAATTTACCAATTTTCATAAAAAAAAAAAAAAGAAAAAAGTCAAGGGTAAGATTAACTTAGCAGCAAAAGTATAATATACTGAGCCTTATGTGGAATTAATGTCTCTTTTTTTTTTTTTTTGTTGAAAGAAAATTTCAAATAGCTTCCTGGATAGCCAATTTACAAGCCTGAATTTCAGCTTGTAGAGCAGTGCAAGCGCGGATAGGCACTGCTTTCATGTGGAATTAATGTCATTTTTATGTTTGTCTATATATTATGATGTGCTGTTTCTCATATGCTGGACAAGAAGAGAGTGGCTTGAGCTTTTGAACCAAATGGATCCCTGTAGATATCTCCCCCCCCTCCCCCCCCCCGAAATAACTCTCTGATCATAAAGGAAAGGTATACCTTATCTTTTGCATGTATGGAGTATCGACCATTGAGGCATGGGATAGTTTGGGAGGATCATTTCTTGAAGATTCTATTGGAAGTTGAGGTATCATTATCAGTTGACTTTATAATGTTGCTTATTCCGTCTCAGAAAATTAGTGTACGTTACATAAGTACTAATATACATGACCAAGATTTTCTCCTTCTTGCTCAACTTAGTAATGTAGTGAGAGTTGGGAGCTATTGTTTGCTCTAGATTACCCTCCTGCCATAACTGAACTTGGGATCAAGATTGCAGAAAAATATATTACGGTGTTTTTATTAAAAAAAAAAATTAAATTGATATTAAATTTTTAAATTTAGACTAAAAAATAATACAAATTTAAAAATTTATTGTGGACTATTTTTTTTTTTTTAAGACGACTTTAACAATTTTCATAGTTGGTGCTCTCCTTGGTCCGAACAAGCAAGATATGAAAAATTGTGGATGGTTTAGTTTAGTAGTTGAATCTCTCCTTATTAAAAAGGTATTTTGATTTCCTTCTTTAAATTTTATTTATTGTATTCTTTCACTTTTAAGATACTAAAAAAAAATTTCAAAAATATATTTTCACATTTATTGTATTATTCCAATTTATTATAAATTATTTTAAGATTTCATTTTCAATTGAAAACAAGATAAATAAAAAAATTCAGGTTAGGGAGTACTGGCATCGGCACGTTGGGACCGATCGAGCTACAAACATTTACCTAAGAGATTTCTTGAAGCCAAGCCTTGTCTACTTTTAAATTTTTACGGAGGATCAGGGGATTTCATAATGGAGATTGGTTCGCATTTCGGCCATAATGGACTGCTGAAGCATTTTTGTCATCATAAGATGTTCGCCTACAAATCTCAAAAGAACAGCATTGTCAAACTTCAATAGGTTACCTTGTCGACATTGGCTTGTTTGGACATCTTCTGGTATGGCATACATTGAGGAGGAGTTGTTTAACAGGGGAAATTTGGCTTATGAAGATCAGATTTTTGTTTCCTTTAATCCATACCTTTTCTGCTTTGTACTACTTGTACTTGATGAATCTATGTTCAAATCGATGTACTTCCATCTGTTTCCCTTTCATTAATCTTTTACCTGAAACTGAAAAACCAATCTTTTGATCATGTCTGAGGAATGGGTTAATCTTGTTCATATTATCGACCAGTCCCCAATCATTGATATTCCCGCAATTTCATAACCGGAAAGTGTATGTTCCGACAATGATGGACATTCAACTTGTATTCCCGGATCTGAGGTTTCTGGTTTGTTTGTGGATTACATCCTCCTCCTCCAAGGTTGAGGATGATGAGAAGCAGAAGAAGAAGATTGATCAGGTGTTCAACAAAGCTAAAGCCGTAGCAAAAGAAGCAGAAATCCATCTTCAGAAGGCCGTGATTGACAGATTCAGTGATGACCCTCAACGCCAGATGAAGTTGACTACTGGCACTAAATTGGCCAACTTGGGGAGAAGTGCCAGGGATTCGTTTCCATCTGTGGAATCCAAAATGCTTCGCTGTGTTACCCCTTTGAGGGAGATGATTGATTCTTTGAAACCACTGGTGGAGGATATTCTGTCCCGCTTCTCATTAGATTTCCACCTTCATCACCCCACTGATTCTGGTCCGGCCGCCGGTGACTATGACTGGAACCTTTTCCGCTTGAATCTTGAGAAAGCTATCAAGGCTCTGAAGAACAAGGCCAAAGTTGCTGAACCCTTGTGCGAAACCTTGATTCGGGTTTTGAATTCACTGGATTGGCTCCACACTTTGACCACAACAACAAAAACAAAATGTTGGAAGGAGAATATGATGGCTGATGATCGTCAGTTCGTAGGTATGCTTCTCCATGTTGCTCATTGCTGTTGCCTTTTTCGGTCGAATCCATTCCAGGTGTCTCAGTTATCAGTTGTTTGTCAAAGCATACAGAATCTGCACTCTGAAATGATTGCTCCTGCTCCAGAGTTCCTAGACATTATTGTGGGATGCTTATTAGAACAAACTGATGATCATCAAGAAAGATATATAGTCTCTTTTGTTGATTACATTATTGGTGTCAAAGCCGAGTTCGAACTTATTCGCAAGGAATTGTTGTCCTTATTTCCTGTTTCATAAAAAACACGAGGATGATGAAGGAGGATGTGCACAAGATATTAGTCGACATTGGGATTAAAGATGTAGTCCAGGAAGCCGGACATCTAAAATCAAGAGATGCAAGAGCAGGTAGAACTCACTATGCAATTTTGTTGGCTAACATTTGGTCTGTTCAGGCTGAGATTTTCATCAAAGGTGGCGACACTAGTACCATCCTCGCAACACTTTCCAAGGACAAACATCTGCAGGCTCTACATGCCGGGTGTAGGTTCCTCAAACACCAAGAAAAAGAATCTTCTCTGATCTTAAAGGTCATCGAAAAAGTTCCTAATCAGGTGAAATCTCTGTATAAGTCTTCTCCTGGTAACCAGAGTTTGGCACGTATCAGAGTTAGCATTTTCCTCTTCAAGTCTCTTGTTCACATGATACTAATTAGGGCAAATGTACTTTTGTTGGAATTGTTAGGAGAGAATGCAAGTCTTCTGGTGCTCGGGCTCCCCTTGAAGCACAAATTTGCAACTCTTCAGAAGGGGGTCCTTTTCTTGATAGATGTTGTGATTCATAAGACAAACCGGAACATCACAAACCGGAACATCGAGGATGAGATGTCAATCTTAATTAGATACTAAAGTAGTGGCTAACGGAGTAACATCTGTCTGCAACACATTTCCTCTTGCCGAAAACCTTAAAGGAGGAGGAGTTAAGGATATGGACATTCAGCTTTTTGAGTTGTTGGAAAAGGTTCAGCATTTGAAAGCAAAACTCATAGGGTTCTTTCGAATTCCACTGTTTAATGTCCCGAAGGTTCCTGGTTTGTGCTTCATTGAATTTCTCGTCCAAAATGCGAGAGATCTGCTTATAAGTAACCATGACTCCATAGCATATGCGACTCATTACATTGAAGCCTTTCGCACAGAGTTGGATTTCATAGTATCTACGTTTCCAGATGTTTTCAAGCAGGGCATTGAGAAACAGAAACATGATGGTCTTCTTACGCAGCTTGTAGATGTGGCGTATCAAGTAGAGCACGCCCTTGGCTCCGTATTGAATAAAAATAAGCATGCTTGGGAAAATTTTCTGTGGCTGGATAATCTATTGGAAAAGATTAGGCATCTCAGAATGCAACTCACAGATTCTGATGGAAACAACAATCTTAGAGACAGAGTCCACAACTTTTCCCAGCAATTGATGCCTGTTTCATCTGTCTGAGGTTGCCACCACCACAGTTGAGGAAGCTATGGTTGGACTCGAGGATCAGAAAATTGAGATAATTGATCGACTCACTAGAGGTAGACAGCAGCGAGATATTGTCTCCATTGTTGGAATGCCAAGAATCGGTAAGACCACCTTGGGTAATAATGTGTTCTGCAATCAAACTGTAGTGCATCACTTCCGCATTCATGCTTGGATCTGCGTTTCTCAAAAATATAAAAAGAGAGATTTGTTGCTTGATATTTTGAGATACACTATCCCTATCACTGATAACATCAATGCAATGAGTGATGATGATCTACAACTGCTATTGTATAAACAGCTGAAGGGAAAAAGATACCTTATAGTCATGGATGGCATGTGGAGTGCTACAGCATGGGATGACTTGCGGATCTCATTTCCAGACGACTCAAACAGTAGCAGAATTTTGATAACAAGTCGTCTCAGGGACATGGTCTCGAAAATCAGTGATCCTCATCTTCTTCGTCCCCTATCTGAGAAGGAAAGCTGGGAGTTGCTGAAATTAAAGATTTTTCAGGAAAATGAGTGTCCTCAGGAACTATTGGAAGTTGGTTGGCAAATTGCAAAAAACTGTAAAGGTCTGCCACTTGCGATTGGTGCAATAGCTGGTCTTCTTAATAGGACTGGCGGAAGGAGCCAAGACGTGGAATCAAATTGCCAATAGCGTAAGCTCGCGGCTAGTTAGTGATCCAGAAAGTCAATGCAAGAAAATATTAGAACTCAGCTACTATCATTTACCTGATCATCTGAAAGCTTGTTTGCTTTATTTTGGAGCATTTCCAGAGGACAAGGACATCCCAGTTTGTAGATTGCAGTGTTTATGGATCGCGGAAGGATTTGTACGTAAACTGGAGGCCAAAAGCTTAGAGGATCTTGCTGAGGATTGCTTGATGGACCTAGTTGGTGCCTTGTCATACTGGCAAAAAGAAGATCAAATGGTAAGGTGAAAGCATGTCGGGTTCATGATGTAGTGCATGATTTGTGCTTGTTGAGAGCTAAAGAGGATAAGTTTTTGCTGCCAGTATCTGTTGATGATGAACCTTATTCTTCTTTTAGTAGTTTAGACAGTACAGTTTCACTTGAGTTTTTTGTTACTTCAAATGGGAGAACATATGAAGAGTATCGGTTGTGTTTTTCTGTGGATCGAAAGCATTTTGTTGCATCGAGGCCGTCTGGTACATTTGTCAGATCTCTATTATTCACTCCCACCGCTGACAATAAACCCAAGACGCCCCTATGATGTCTCCTTCATTCCTGTCAATTATAAACGACTTAGGGTGTTGGATTTGGAGTCTATCAATATGGGTGCCGCTTTTGCAAGTGGAATAGAATTGCTTGATGATTTAAGATACTTGGCTGTTTGTGGTGATATGGAGGCTATCCCACCATCTTTGGCCAACCTGGAGAATCTAGAAACTTTACTTGTGAAGAGTTTCAATGATAAAGTCTGTGTTACCAGATACTGTGTGGAAGATGAGGAAGCTGAGGCATATATATGTAACTAATTGTGTAATCTTCTCTCAGGGGTCCTCTAAAGATGAAATACAAAGCTTGATTTCACTTTCTTTTCCTTGTTTTACTTGTGGGAAGGTGGCTGATGACACGATAAAGAGGTTTCCCAACCTTAGAAAATTGAAGTGCATAGTTGTAAAACCAAGAGATTCTATGGTCCTCTCTCTATTTCCTGCATTTGAGTCACTGTGCATGTTGGAGTCGCTGAATATATCATACTATGGGAATGTTCTTAAGGCTGGTGAATGGAATTTCCCTTCCAGTGTAAAGAAGTTGACATTATCACACTTTCACCTGCCCTGGAACGATATCTCAGTGATTGGGAGGTTACAAAATCTGGAGGTCCTCAAATTAAAAGCTGAAGCATTTGAAGGGGCGAGTTGGACCATGGAGGAAGGGGAGTTTCTTAATCTTAAATACTTGAAATTAGACACATTAGACATTATCCATTGGGACTCCTGAAGTGATCATTTACCCCAGCTTCAGAAGCTCATCATGCGAAATTGCAAACAGCTTGAGGAGGTTCCTTTTGACTTTGTGAGCATTCCAACATTGGAGAAAATTGAAATTCAACAATGCGGAATATCTGTCGAAGAGTCTGTCAGAAGAATCCAGGAGGAAGAAGTTGAGGGGCTCAAGATTTTAATCAACAACTCGCATTTAGGCATATAAGGAATGTCGTATCAAATTTGCAGGTATCCTTATGTTTTGCAAGTGATTCTCAGCGATTCCTGTTGATTAAGCAACTCCAAACCTTTGTAGTAGTACGTGCTCCATTGAACAAAATCACTTTTTCAGATTATATTCCACTATTCCAGCCAAAGCTAGTAGTTGCAAGCAATATTAACATTTGTGAATTGCCTTATTTTGATAGGTGGCCGTTTAGAGGGAGCTCCAGTGCAGTCTTGGCGTTTGAGGTATAGCTAGCTATACAGACTCCGCTGAACTTACCAACTTAATGTCGCTGCATGATTTGAAGTTATGAGACTGCAGTTTTCCAGAGCTGTATGTAACTGCATTAATTTTGAGCATTAGGAAGCTTGTATTCATGGTATTTTTTGCTATTTTGTATGTTTGATGAAACAGTTGTTTTACAATCCATTTCAAGATGGAGCTTCCAGCTTAGTTTTCAATCACAGATGTTTTCGCTGCTTAAAGTTTCCGTCACAAGCAAAAACACCTATGATAACTCTACCTTGATATATCAAATTTATTTCTTTTGCACTTTTTGTAACAAGCGCATAAGATTGCCAAGCACCACATAAAGAGTGAAAATCCTTTATCAGAAGTGTGTTACATGTAGCGCTTGGGAAAACCACTTAATCCCCCGTTGCGCTTTCCGGGATCATTGTACTGATGATTTAGGGCATTCGAAACCACCAAAAGAAAGGGGGAAAAAAAAAAGAAGAAGAAAAAGTTGAGTTATTCAACTGGGAATTTCTCATATGTGTCTATGGCATGCTCGTGTGATGGGTACCGGTGGGTCTGAAAATGAACCGTTGACTAAATGACTAGCTATCCAATGATTAGCAGCTTCAGTGTAGTGCACTCCATCCCAACTGATGAATTTAGAAGGATTTCTGCAGGATCCGGCATGGACTTCAGTTCCATTTATGGTTCCTTTGCCTCCACACCAGACGTCGTAGTTGACTCCATGAATCCCACAGCAGATCTTGAATGGATCCTCAAATCCTGGATATTGCCAATTCATACTTTAACAACGGGGCTCTAATACTACTCGAAATAAGTTACTGACAATCTTTGCTACAGGAAACATTTCTGGCACAAAAATGGTGTAAATACTATTACAGAACCGTGTTTAAATTTGTTTTGTGAAAATAGTGTGGATGTTCCAAAAGAAAAAAAGGTGTATTTTATCAAACAGAAAGTACAACCCCCCAAAAACCGATTGATTGACTGGTAGGCGGTAGCTTTTCTTACTTGCGTTTTCAATCATCACTCAAATGTGCATTCCTTGAATTAATAATGAAAAGATGGTCCAAAAACAGTCACGGGGCATGTCGGGTAGCACATAATAAAATTAGTGAAAAGTTAGAGATGCAACTTTTTGATGAATCTTGCTGTCTCATTATTAACGTTTTCTTCAACCAAACAGTCTTTTCTCTTTTCTTTTTCCCCCTCAATTATAGGGTTGTTAGAGACATTGTTTGTTGACTTTAACGTTTAAATGAATTGAGCATTCTTACCTAGTTCTTTGGCCTTGATGATTAGTTCATGCTTTGCCCTGAACATGTCCACATAAGTTATTGCAGCTTCCTTAAGTTCTGCCCTGAGTCTGATAACAGCACCTTTGAGGTCCTCGTTGAACCTCTTAGCTATGTCACTCTGGCTCTTGTAACACCCGTGTTCGTCCAACAGCCCGCGATTTTGAACCCTAACAGTTGCAATCGGCATGCACCCGAATGGACCCGTGTTGTGTATCCAGAACACTCTGGCTCCTTTCTCGTACATGCTCTGACGAAAAAAAACATTTGCAACAACGTAATAAATCAAACTGTTTTAGTTCAACAGAGTAGACAAGGCGAAGCGAGTAAATAGTTGACTTAGAAAACGTACCCGGATTTGTGCTGCGAATTGTTCGATGACACCTGGAAAGGTGGCAAGATGCTCCTTCTTGGTCATGCGCTTGCGGAAACCGAAAGCTACATCATTTTGACCTATGTCGATTGTGTAAAGAGCCCTGGAGAAGTCCTGTTGTCTAGGCAGCCTGTTTAGGCTGTTTCTATCAGATTCCGTCTTTGCTGAAAATCATACAAAGCGTATTCTTCAAATCATTAAGATTCAAGAAAACGGGGAAAAATGTACATAAATGAAGTATGATTCCAGCCTTCAAGGTACCTAGATTGTAGAAGTATGCAGTTCGGTTTTTGAACTGATTGTAATGTTCCACTTGAATGTCCAGAGGAAATGGAGGCACTCCATTTTCAAACCACGATTCGTTCAGCCTCTGGATTGTTGTCCCTCCAATTGCGAAATTCGCTCCGTGCCGGAAACTAGTTCCGATTGAATCCAGGTAAGGACTCAGCAACGGCAATCCCAGATGCTCAGCTTCACGAAATCCAAAAAGAAAGTCAACAATTGGTAATAATTAAGCCATCAGGACAAGTTTCCAATTAAGTGGGAAAAGAGAGGAGTTTTAATTAGTCTTTATTTTACAAATGAAGTCTATGATGAGACGGCCATCAGAACCCCGGCCAGACGGTCTGTGAAAGTATGTCTCGCCGCAGGGGTCTGCCATTGGGAAAAACGCCGCCGCCCCGCCTCCGGTATCGGAATTTGAATCTCCAAAATTGTATAGTGCCGGAAAGTTACAGGAAGGCAAGTCGTTCCATTCCTTCTTGCATTCTACTATTACTACTGAAAATGAAAGCAAAATCACCAAGAACACAGCTGCTTCTGAGAACTTCATTCTTCTTCTTAGCTGATTATGAAAGCTGAAAAGATCCAACTTCTCAGAGAAGAAAGCTAACCGATCTCAATTATTTAAGGCAATGTTCATTTCAGCACTTCAATGAAAGTGATTATGGTTCTAACAATTTGCAATATACTACTCCCTCCATTTCAAAATGTAGGTGGTTTTAGGTTTGGAGAGATTTTTCAAAATGTAGGTCGTTTTACAAATTCTAGACAAATTAATGACTATTTTTCCAAATTTACCCTCAATAAATGATGCTAATCTATTTTTATTTAGTTTTATTTATAGTTTCAATGTAATTAATGAGGGATAAAAAAGATATTTAACATATAAATTAATTTTTGGATGATTGCCTCCTTAGTTTACGTGCTAAATTTAAAAAGATTTATATTTTGAAATGGAGAGGGTATATTTAAATTTTGGTGGCGCCTACAAAGTTAGTAGTATATTTTTACAAAGCAGACAAAGATCATATTCTTAAGAATTTTAGGCATACCTCCTCTGACTCTGTGTTGTACTGTACTAATTAATAACGTTGGTATCCCGACAAAAATGCACGCTCATAAGCAAGTTATGCGGGACTTGTTTTGTAGTAGAATAGGATTTTGTCAGGAATAATATTTGTTCTTCGTTTAATTTTGGATTTTGATTAATTTTGAAACGGAAAAAAATATAATTCTGTACAAATACAACCTAAAAGAACTCAAATTCCAATACATAAGACAAATTGAATCCATGACGCCGTATTTCTTTTCTTTTATTTCTCCTTGAGGCAAGTAACGCCTAGTTTTTTATTCAAAAAAATAATATTAATAATAAGAGAAGAAAAGGAAAGTAACGCCAGATTCATTTGGTCATATAACTGACGAAATGATATGGCCGTCTTTTCTTTTCTTTTTTTTTCTTTTTTTTTTACGAAAAGGTAATAAAAATAGTTCTAATACATCTTTTTAAAACGGATTGATAAGTTAGGAGTTGCTTTGAATAAAAATGGACTTATATGATCACATAATATTTTTAAACTATTAATTTCTAAACTTTATATTGTCATGGATCAACGAGCGTAATGCTGCTTTTGACAGGTCAGTGGTTCAAACCGAAAAACAACATTTCTACAAAAAAAAAAAAGGAAGGGGGTGGGGGGGGGGGGGGGGTTTAGTATTCATTATCCGGGAGTTTTTTGGCATTGCAAATAGATAATGGCAGGTATAAAAAATATTTATTAAATGAAAAGCACAACCAATTTCTTGTTTTCCGCAAAATGGATGTGGGTCTAGTTTTTAATATATAATGTCAAAACACACACAAAAAAAAAAACAGATTTATTTGTTTATTTACAATACGAATACCATCATGTGCGTAAAAAAAATCCAAGGATAGTGATGCGAGCGGAGAATATTATGGCTAATAACTAGTAGTTTAACAATGTTCTCTTAAGCGAGATCTCGAGTTCGAGTTTCGTGAATAGAAAAAGTAATATTGGGAGAGCTCTCTCTCTGGAAGGAGACCGTCCCGACTCAGTGTGGATTAGTTTGAGTATAATGCACTTAAAACACCGTGCGGAATATAAAATATATATATGTGAAATTTAAAGTAACGTTATAGAATTCCTAATTTTTTTTTCCTGAAAAAAATAATAAATGAACCGATTTCTGCAGAGAAGCGGGCGGCGAGACGGGCATACAGCCCAAGAACCAACTGGGTGTAGTGTAGCCCAGAAATCTGGTATGCCCTCCCAATAACTTAAGGTGTCCCCTTGGGACAACCGATTTCTGCTACATGTTCACATTTTACAAGTACGTAACTACGAAATTTAGTGAATTCATGGGACTGTAACAATCTAGAAAGATGGAATAAAAAATGGAAAAAGAGAAAGAAATACAGTATTTTTTTTTTTATAAAAAAAACACTCATATTATCCTAAACAGCAACTTGACAGGACTAAATCAGAGATTCAAACAAACTCCCCATAAATCTCATTTTTCTGTTTCAAGACTTTTAACTATCGTTCATAATTTCTTCCACTTAATTAACTTAATCCCTAGTCTAATGCCGAACTGGTAGATACGTGGCAAACCTTAATGGCTCCGAACCCTCTATAAATACAGTTCTTCAACCTATGGATTTCTCATCAAGCCTTTACCGAGTTTATAATTATTATTACTTAAAGCACCAATTAGCCCTAATCCTTTCTGATTAGCATTTTCAGCACAAAAACCCACTTTCAGCTCTTTTTTATAAGCATGGATAACTCACACAGCGCTAGCTACCAAGCAGGAGAGGCCAAGGGCCAAGCTCAGGTAAATTTTTTATCTTTTCCTTTAATTAGTGTTATTATTTGTATAATTTGCATTTTCATTTTATCAATAAACGAAATGTATTTTGAGGATACAATTATAATTAAACCTTGTGTGACTTTATTATGTTTTCAGGAGAAGGGCAACCAGATGATGGATAAGGCTAGCAATGCTGCACAGTCTGCGAAAGAAAGCATTAATGAGGTTTAATTTCTTCTCTTGTTTTTTTTTTTGTCCAATTTTTAATTAATCCATTAATTATACTCTAAAATTATGTTTAATTTATTATTATTATAATATATATAACTTTAATTTTAATTATTATTACAATAGGCTGGACAGCAGATAAAGGCCAAGGCACAAGGAGCAGCTGATGCAGTCAAAAATGCAACTGGAATGAACAAATGAAGATCTTGACGATGAACCCGATCCATGCACCAAGCTGCAGTTTTTTTTTTGTCCTGGAATCATCCATCAATTTAAAGCTTCTGAATTGTTTTTTTTCCCCTTTTTTTTATCTTCTTTTTTGGCATGTTTCAATTTGTGGAACAATGCCTCCAGTTTTGAGTTTTTTTTTTTTTTTTTTTTTGGATCGAGCTTGTAGTATTGATGGCACTATCCAGGTGATCGAATAAATAAAAATTTTGCTTCACTACTTGCCTTTTGCAACAATACCAGACTGTGTGTGTTAGTAGTATTTCTTTCTTATCAGCTACAAACTAATCAATTCGTAACCTGCTTAAATTGATTCATGCATATTCCCCCCCTCCATAACTTTGGTAAAAGGAAAGGTCCAATTTGAGACACAAAAATATGTATAAATCCCATAAAAATTGCGGCTTTGATATATATCCAAATTCCAACACATGGGAGAAAGTACCCTAAAAATAAAATCATAAGGTGTAGTTGATTAGTATTCTATAAAGAATAATGATATATATGTTCAAAAAAAATAAAAATTACAATGTAGAGTAAGCAAGAATGATGTGGATTAAATTATATTCATTAAATTTTATATTCCCTCTGTCCCATAATTATTATCCAGTTTGACATTTCACTTTTAGTACAATTTGAACTAGAAATGAAAATCTAAACTGGATAATAATTAGTACAGCTCGAAGGACAGCTTTCTGTGATTTGAAGTGTTTACCTTTTTAAAAAATATCAAGGAAATCTTCGTCGAAGAAAGCTAAATCATTATTAATTTCACTCATATACACAAGTTGAAATTTCTCCAACTTTAAATTAGGGTTAAAACTTTGTAATTTAAAAGAAAAAATTCATTTGTCTTAATCTATACTTTTTCTCTAGTTACAATAAAAGTCTCTAGGAAGTTTAGAATCTCGATTCTGATTGGTTAAAAGCCATTTGAGTTTAATTTGAGCAATGTAATTGGTCAATAAATAAATTAAGCAAGTTGATTGGGGTATCAGCAAATTAAAACAGGGTTAGTAGCGTCAATTCACAAATCAGTTTTCTTTATTTTTTTGCCACCCAGGAGAACTAAACGACGACGTTTGTTGGAAAGATACTATTTGAGTTTTCGGATTTCGTCTTCCTTTTTTGCGCCGATTAGATAGAATAGAACCCTAAATCAATAAGAGACTCGAAACTGAATCCGTCGACTGTGCCGGGAAGAATTCAATGACATATCAATCTCATCAACTCGATTGAATTGGAGGCTCCGCTGCAATTTCCATCTATAATTCCCGGAATCTTTTTCAGGGTAAGTTTTAGCTCAGACCAATTCAAATTAATTCCGTTGATATTTGTTGATTTAAACCAGAGCAACTGAGCAGTTGGATGTTGCGTCTTGAATCGTATTAATGTCTGTTCTATGTTTTTTTTTTATCAGTTACTGATCACTATGTGAGATCATCATTGCACGTGCTTCCTTGTTTGTGTAAATTCAATTTTGGCTTGTGATTGTGGCTTGCGATTGTGGCTTGGTGGTGTTCTGTACTTGTGTCGGTGTATCTTTCATAAATTATGAGAGTTCTTTTTAAAGCATTGCACCATGATGTTAGTATCCTGTAATCTCATTGATCTATGTTCTCCTCCGTCTCATCAAGAGGCTGCCGCTGCCAATCAAGCTTTCTTGCTTTTCCTAGCCACAGTACCTTAGTGCACTTCCAGGGATTAAACTAGGAAGATAACTGAATTATTGTTTCTGTTTGTAATGTAAATTCCTATCCAATTAATTTTTTCTTTGTCAAAGAATGCTTTGAAATTGTATGTTATTCTTGTTACTCATCTTCCCAAATTTCTGTTTTTGGTTGAATGGAACTGTAGTTCGCATAATGTTCGACGAAAAGTCTCTGATAAATTGATTGATGATATTTGGTTTGCAGATGCGAGGCAGTTCAATATCTGAGTCCTACTGTGCATTAATTAGTTAAGGCCTTGTACATTGCTGACAAACTCCATGTCGATGGGAAGCTCAAGTGCGGCAGGGGATGTTTCAATTCCCCGAGGAGGCCCCATATTTCTCCAAAACGCTGTGGGTTCCCTAACCAAGGTTCCCGATTTTGAGCACTCTGTTTATGATGAACTGGAGAGCCTCAAGGAAGAAATTGGTTGGGACTCAACCGAGATATGCCTTGATGAAATCTCTGTGGATGATCTCAAGATCATTAAGGAGGAGGAATTAGTTAGCAGGGCTTTCGAGGAGGCTTTTAAGGACGGGGAATCAATTCAGAAAGACCTGGAAATCCTCAAAGATGGCACATCACCTGACACTCCACAGCCTTCCACAGACAGGTTGCTCAATGAGAATGACACTTTAGTTCCGTTTGGATCATCAACCTGTGCAGAAAGGTTGCAAGGAGAAAGCAATGATGTAGTTTCTTATGAGCCCTCAGGCGATGGTGTCCCTGAAAATAGTGAGTCAAAGAAAACCACTGCAGGAAAGAAGAAGAAGAAGCAGAATAAGATTAGGCAAAAGAAAAATGTTGACCTTGAAGAAGGTTACGTTGCAAAGGTGCGAGAATTGGCCACAATCAAACAGAAACAAGATGAAGATAAAAAGGCAGCAAGGTTGCATTCGTTTGATGGGAGTAGCAAGAATCCACCTGCAACCTGTTTTCGGAATAAAAGACAGAAGCAGACGACGGCATCGGTTAAGTCTTTAAGCTGTTCAGCTCACGCAAGAGCATCATATTCTTCTGAACATGTTTCAATTCATTTTCCTGAAGTTATTCTTTGCATCGAGGTTTACCACAACAAACGATCATGGACCAAGTCGCAAGAATTTTTAGTCCTGGGACAACAATTTTTAAGTGAAATCAAAGACAAGATATATTGCTTGACTGATGAAATTATGAAAAAGGAAGGGGTGGAAGATTCATCTGGATATTTCCTCATAGAGGATGTGTTTTGTAATGACACTAGGGAACCTTCTGCTATAGACTATAGTAAACCCATATTTGAATGGCTTGAACAATCTGAAAATGAGGCACTTGACAAGTGGGAATACATTGTATCCGGAGAACAACAGCTGCAGCAAAAGCGCAAGGCATTTTTAGACAACAGTGACACTGTACCTCTGCCTCAATTCAAAGCTGTTGATATGCAGAAAATTCGCATTTGCGATATTTCATTTCGAATTGGTGCTGGATATCTTTATTGTCACCGGGGAGATTGCAAGCACATAATTGTTTTTAGAGATATGAGATTGAGTCACCCTGAGGATGTACAAAACCGAGCTGCTTATCCATTGATATCTTATCAATTGAAGTTAATTTTAAGGAAGTGCTCCGTCTGCAACATATACAAAGCAACGAAGATAACAGTTGACGATAAGTGGGCAAAGGAGAATCCTTGCTATTTCTGTGATCTTTGCTATTACATGCTCCACTATGTAGATGGTTCTCTTCTATACAGCGACTTTTCTGTGTATGATTATTTTCATGAGTAATTAGGTAGATAGAGGCTTTCGTAGTCTTTTGCAAAATGTTAGTTTTTGTGCTCGGTGGATCTTTGAGGCCATAATCACTTTTAAACTTATTGCCTTCATGTGAAGCAAGTTTGTTACCTCAATAACCTGTAATTCATTGATGCTGTTTTTCTGGATACTACAGGGATTTAGAATGTGGTGGTTTGTTAGATGCTGTATATATGAAAGAAGAAATCACTTTGCTGGATATTCAAGTACTTCTTCTGGTCTTACGATGTGTCGGAAAAGCCTGTGAAACCCTCTTGTTACTTTACTTTAAAGTTTAAACCACAAAAAACTCAAAGATCTTATTGTCAAGGTTATTAGTTACCATTTAATGGTTTTTGTGGTATCGTTCAAAGCATTTTCATTCTATCCCTCTGTGTTGTGCAAATGTGAGTGATCTTTTATATTTTATTTTTTAATTTTCCTCATTGTATGTGGTGAATGATAATTTCTAGATTAACCTTTTGGTCCTCTTCTGTGCCACGAGGTGTATCTTCATGGCCCTGAGGAAAGAGAGAACTACTAGGTGCTATTTCAAGGACAGTATTCTTATCCTTTCCATTCTGTGGTTGTTTTTGTAGGAATCTGCTTAAGTGCTTATTGCTCCTCTAATATTTTGCGTCCTGTTTCGTGTCACAAGGCTGTTACAGTGGCGGGCTATTGTTTCCTGCTTCTGCAAAGCCTAGTTGGATTCTCTCTTTCACCACACCTGGAATCATGTTCATTTTCTTTCAATTTTTACTGCTGTATGGCATTTGAATGAAGATGTGTTCCCCTTACCTTGAACTGCAAAAAATGCTACTTAAATTTATGTTTTTCAAACTTACATTGCTCACCCCTCCACCCATTCTAACTGCTGCTGATATTCAGTACTAGAGGGCTAGTAAGTTTCTTATTTCTGCAGAGAGGTATTCTTCTTTTCTTTCAGTTTCAGCTGGTTAAATATTCCTATGTGGTTATGGATCTTTTTTTTTTTTTTTTTGGTTTACAGGTTATGGATGTTTCCGTGCTGTAAAGTAATAGGATGAAATCATAAGCATCACTAGGTACTACGTATTTGATGTCTGCTTTGCTCAATGTGCCACCTTTCTTCTATGTTGGGTTCCTTGGTAGCTTGTGATTACCATCTACTACTCCCTTAACTTTTCGTGCTTGATTTTCCTCAGTAAAGCAGCTCAAATAGGCAAAGTTCCTTCTTCCTTTCCCTTCCAATGCATTTTCTGGTTAGTGCAAGAGTCGGTGAATGGGGGAAATATACGTTCGGCACTTAAGTGAACAAGATGTATTTGTTTATACTGAGATTGTGGAGCGCTGTACAAGGATCATCTGTGAACCATACATATTTTGCCTTGTGTTTTTCTGATGAAGTTTGAAGCGAGGTTAACTGTGATTAATCGTCCTCACTATTCAACCTGTGGGTTATTCACTCAATGAAACTCGAAAGAAATATCAAGTTCAGAATGGATAAGGTTTTAAATACATGTCGAGTACTTGTTCATCGAGTTCAGTTTCTCGACCAAAAAGTCTATGGGTGAGATATGGTTTAAAATTAAAAATATACTTCGTCGACTTTATCTCATGGAGTTCCTTTGCTCGACGACAAAGTCAACGAGTGAGATAAAGTTTTCAAAAGTATAGTTAGATTTGATCATTGATTGAGTTCTTTGCCCCATAACGACCTCCACGACTTTTTTAAGAAATACACCGTTGACTTTGTCATCGAGTTCTTTTCTCCGAGTAAGAACTTTCATTTTACAAGATAAAGTGCACCAAACATCTAAAGCTGCTAAACTCATGGCTTACCTCCGCAATGTCAAGATTGTGGTTGCGGAATACCTTGTCTTATACTATGTATTATAAGCCTAGCAAGAATCTTTGTTTAAATGAAAGGCATTATGGCTTGTTATTTGAGGAAATGAAACATAAAGCAACCGCTTAAACAGGTTCGCGAATTATATCAAAAGTTGAAGAAGCAAGGAGATAACATAGTGTCTCTACTTTCACCAGAAAGTAGATTTCGCTTATCACTAAAAACAATTATCTGCACAATTACATTTTCTATTTGCATAAAATCAGGTGCTATACTAATTCATTTCCAGCAAAGCTCATCAAAATAAAAACATGTGATAGTTCATTAAATCAAGAAAAGGGAAGTAGATGTTGTTTTCCTTTGCAGCAGATACTGCCAAAACACAAGTATCAACCATGTTCTATAAAAGAATAAAAAATAAATTTTTTTCACACTGCAAGCAGATCGAGATAAGAACTAAATTAAATTAAAAAAAAAATCCGCCTACAATCGGAGTATTTGTGAATTTACCGCACATTTCTCAATAGAGATTATGCAAGTTAAATGCATTGAATAGGGTGGTAAGAATTGACAAGGAAAATTTGAAAGATGACTAGTAGAGTAAATAAACTTCTACACAATTAAAGAAGAGATTTTATGTTACAACATGATGATCAAAGTACTGTAATCATACCGTCTTAGGCTTTGGCCTCCTCTTTCGTAACACAAAAAAAAAAAAAAAAGGAGATTTTATTTTGTGGAGGGCTAAATTCTATTTTTACCAATAAGTAAAGGACCAAACGGGAGTGTAGTGATATAAAAGTTCAGGGACAAGAATGTCTTTCCAGAAATGTTTTGCCCATTCACATTCATTCCGATTTCGGCTGATCCGTAGAGGACCAAAAACCCTAAATCAAATCTAAAATCCCTTTCCTTCCACAGCCGAAAACTATTGTCGTTTCTTGATCGATTTCTCCATCGGAATTGATTCAAAAGATCCACCGGAATCATGAGAAATCACTGGCGACGGCTTCTTCTTCTCCGGTGCTCTTGTCGACCTCGGCCGCTCGTTTCCGCTTCCACTCCACTTGGTTCCCAGGTACAATCTGTCCGATCCATTTCGTCTTCTCTGATTCCTGGACGTGCTCCTCCTTTCATGTTTGATCGAATTCAGAGTCCCATTGTGCGTTTCTATTCTTCTTCTGAGGTCGCTGCTGAACCCCCAAAAGATTCGTCTGATGGAAATGAGATTGCTGTTGCTTTAACTAATATTTTTACTCATGCAAACCTCTCTGCTGAAACTATTAATCAGGGATTAGAGTCCAATAACATCCTTGTTACCCATGATTTGGTTTTGAATGCTTTGGAGAGCCTTCAATCTGCCCCTGTTGTGGCGCGGAGGTTCTTCAATTGGGTTTCGAGGAATGAAGAGCAGAGATTGAGCTCTAAATCGTATAATTTGATGCTTTGTGTACTGTTAGAAAATGGTTACTCTAGGGAGTTTTGGGAAATGGTTGGGGTTATGCGTGGGAAAGGTTTTGGAGTTTCGAAGGCTACATTTCGTAAGGCGATGGATAAATTCGAAGAGAAAGGGCTCCGTGATGATGTGGAGAAGTTGAACAAATTGTATGCATCGGGTTCCACTGATAATTCTGTTGAAAATCTTTCTTTTCGAGTATGCCGAGTCATTAGACAAGATGTATGGGGGGTTGATCTCGAAAAGTGGCTTAGGGATTTGAATGTAGAGTTTTCAAGCGAGTTGGTTTCCATGGTTGTGGAAAATGTTGGGTTTGAAGGGAATAAGGGGTTACTTTTCTTCAGATGGCTTGAGGAGAGTGGTCTGTTCAAACATGATGAACAAACTTATGGTGCTTTGTTGAGGGTCTTGGCTAGCGAGGGTTCGAGTGATAAGTTTTGGAGGGCTTTTATGGACATGAGGACTGCTGGGCTCGAAATGGATACAGATACTTATGTTTATTCTTCAGATAGGTTTGTTAAGAAGCTAATGATTACGGATGCTGTAGATTTGTATGATTTTGCAATGCGAGGCTTGAATAAGCCATCAGTGCATGACTGCACCTTTCTTTTGAAGAAGATTGCAGTTGGAAAGGAGCTGGATATTGACTTATTTTCTAGAGTTTTGAGGGTCTTTAAGGATAGTGGGAATGCGATTGGAAATTCTATGTTTGATGCCGTTCTCAAATCGTTGACCAGTGCTGGAAGACTTGAAAGGTGCAATGACATCTTAAAAGCGATGAAGGAGGCTGGTTTTGTAGCCAAGTGGACTTCACAAAGTAGAGTTGCTTTTCAATTGAGTAAGGCGGGTAAACATGAAGCAGCAAGTGAGTTTATGCATTTCTTGGAAGGAGATGATTGCGGTCCAAATGATAGAATCTGGTCTTCTTTGGTTGAGGGTTATTGCTTAGCTGGTGATCTGGAGAAAGCTTCTGTTAGTTTTCGGGAGGCAGTCAAAAAGGTGCAACCGTCTACTGCTGGACATGTTTTAGAAGTATTAGTGAATGCTTATTGCCATAAGAGCAGAGCAGCAGATGTATGTGGTCTTGTTTCTGAAATGATTGTTGAAAAAGAATTGCCACTTCGGCATTCCACGTACAGGATATTGATAAGCATGTTATTGGATCAGGGAGGTTTCAAACAAGCTTTAGATGTTCTCCCTCTGATGAAAAACCAAGGTTATCCACCCATTTTGAAGCCCTTCATTGACTACATTGCCAAGTCTGGAAGCGTTAACGATGCTGTAGCATTTTTAACAGCAATGACGGTGAAGAGAATACCATCCCGTGCCGTTTTTATACAATTATTTGAAGCTTACTTCGAAGCAGGAAGGACTAGTGAAGCACAAGACTTGCTTTCCAGAAGTCCAGTATACATTAAAAATCATGCTGATGTGTTGAATCTTTTCTTGTGCCAGAAAGCTGGCGACTTGGAGACCCCTGCTGTCTTGACTGCGTCTTGAATGCCTAGAAGGATGTATTACTATGTATTTTTGTCAGCTGAAAACAGTAGTGAATCTTTAAGAAATTTTGGTTTCCTTTTTGGTGTATTTTACTCTTCCCATTTATTGTTCACAGCTAGAGGATAGATGATGGCGATGTTGATAACAAAGCAGCATTCGTCAATCAGTGATGTTTCAGTTAATTTTACATTGAAATAGCATAGCTGCTGGGTTTTTGGCATATTGCTTGAAATAAATTGCTTTTAAGTTTTCATTATGCTCCCAATTCTTATCAAATGCAGCATATTTTTCTCGGCATTGTGTTGTGAAACTTTTTTTTTTTTTTTTTTTTTTGGCAGACAGTACTGTTGTTAGTCATTGTGCTGGTAGGAACTCTCAGAGGCAGGTTAATGGCATCATTTCAGCAAAATTGTTTTACAGTTAGTTTTCAGATGGTGGAAGGCTGTTTGAACCGACTCGGATTGAGGGAGTTGATGATGATGGATGTGTTTCTGCCTTTCTGTTCACAAAGTAATTGGGAAGGGAGGAGCAACAACTAACAACTATCACCTGAGTGAAAGTGTTCAGCTCCTGCATTCACCATAGTTTACCACTGTAAAGCGGTTAAATGTTCACAGTTTTGCACATTTTTCGGGTTCTTATTAGCAGCAGCAGAAGCAGCAGCAGCTCCTTAGTTAAAAAGCATATCCTGAAACTGAAGATAAAACTGGAGGTAGAAATTCTTGTTGGACAGGAAGACTGAAGAAGAGAGTTGAGAGTGACAGTTCAAGCATAAACAGGACCACTTATCTTCATGGACCAAATGAGACTTTCTGAATGTGTACCCTGTCTTCATTACAAAAACCCCTTTCACATAAATGGGCTTTTTTTTTTTTTTCTCATTTCAGCAGAGAATTGAAGGGCTAGACAAAGCCTGCGGGGTGTGTTTGTGGATCGAATGAGACATTTCAATGAGCAGAACGAGATGAACGTGACCAAACAGAGGTAATCCAATGAACTTTGAAGATTTCAACTGTATTATTCTGTGTCGTATGTTTTGTTTGCCCTGTGCCTGCTTGCAAGTTTATCATCATTTTTAATTTTCATTACTCACAACTTTACTTAGAAACCCATATCTTCCAGGGTAAAAAAAGAAAAAAGAGCTTTGGATTTTAGGTCAGAGTTAATGTAAGTCTGTAGTTTTTTCTCTTTTTGTTTTTTGGGCAGCCAATAGATGTTAAAACGTGATGGATGTGTGTAATGATTACTAGCTAGCTTATACCACGGGGGAGGGGGGGATTTTTACTTCCACTTCACAATGAAATCATGGCGACTGGGAGTGGCTGGTGAGGGGGATGGAAGGAAGGCCTAAATCTAGTAATGGAATATGAATATTTCATGATTATGACAGTAAGATGTTGTCTTGTGGTCGAAAGAATTTCTAAAACGAATCATAATGATACTGACAGAGAAGGTGAATAAATTTTAGGGAAATTGGACACTGCAATTTATTTTTACTAAATTACGATATGGTTTGCTATTTTTTCATCGAGCAATGATAAGTAATGTATTCATCCATTTTTTCGAAAAAAAAAAAAAAGAATCTGCACGGACATAATCAATTGAATTAACGTAATGAATTCAAAAGGGCCCAACTTCAATGGAATCACGAAACTCAGCAACGTTGGACAACAATATGAAGATTGTTTATACGGAAAGGTGAATTGTGAGAGATTTGCCTCGAGGACCTCCAGTACATAATAATGCCAGTCAATAGTAATGAAAAGATTTTCCTAGGATGATCAGTTTTGTCTTCAAATTTTAGCATTAGATAACCTAAGGGTTCGTGGTGGAGTGCTAAGAACTCTTCCACCCTTAACCATAGGTCGAGGATTCGAATATCGCCATGGACAGGGAGCAATTTTAAATTTTTTGGTCAACTCTCCCACCTATCGAGGTGCTTACCATGAACGAGGGAGGGGATTAGTCACTGTTGCCGATAGTGAATATCATGCAATATGCAACCAAAAAATAAATATAAAATTAGCATTAGATGATATGTTACCCTGGTCTTGTTTTTTATGTATTAAATTTGAGATGGTAAGCATAATTGCACCTTATAAACAGGACCGGAAGCCCCCCAACACCCCCAGTGTGGGGAGATGTACGAAGATAGTGGGAAAGAAAGGGACAAGTAAATCCCAGCTGTACAACTTGAAATCTAATACATACGTATTTGTCATTTTCCGGAATGAATCCCTTAAGGTGGAACCTGTTTTTATCCTCCCTGTTTGGTCAATTTCGTCCGTCCTGGCTTCCCCTTTTATTTTTCATTTTCATTTCATTTTTTTTCTGGTCGCTGAGGCTGAAAGAAGTGATTTTTTTTTTTAAAAAAAAAAACTATTTTTAAAATTTTCCTCAATCGGGCCAATGTCCCCCACCTTCCATTTTCATTGGATTCAATACAACTATCTCAGTCACTGAGTCACACAAATCCTAAAACAGAAGAAGGTGTCATAAATAAGTGCTGTTAGTGGCAGACCCTTCTGGCCCTGATGAAAATCTGATTGATGGTTCTATAAGTGCTGTATGGGCTCCAAAATGATCAATCGGATTTTTACTTTTATTTTTATTTTTTTTCATGAAAAATTCACCAATCTGGATTAAGGGTTCTATTATCTCCGTGATGACGTTCTAACAAAATGTGAATTTGTTGTACTCTTTTCATTCCAAAAGGATTTTCTAATTTGAATTTTTATTTATTTTTTTATATGAAATGTGTTGAAAATAAAAAATCAAACAAGACAATTATTTAAAAGAGAAATATATTAAAACACTATATATTAAGATAGGACGGATGGAATATTTACTATTCCAATTTCATGCATAACGTGTGCTAGTAATATTTCCTAGTCTTCACTGATTAGGCTGTATTTTTGGCTGGGTGTATTTGGCAGCTTTGACGGGTCCTGATTAAGTTTATTCATTACAAAATTAAAGAACAATTGCTAGCCAACAAATATTCCGACTAGAATAGTAAATTAGCACTAACAACATGGACCTCCATTTCCGGGACGAGGATTTCTACAACTCTTCTACGATCCGCTTCTTTATTTTTCTAATTATCCCACGACATTGATTTTTTTTTTATATATATTTTTTGGGTGGCATCCAACATTGATCAACTACTATTTCAACAGTTCAACTCGTTCTACTATTGTAACTTGTTCGCAAACTTTTGTTCCTATCTTACATTAATATTCAAACTCCTGATTTTTCACTAAATTTTTTTCATAATTTTTAATTAATAAATGTCTCATCTTAATATTTTTTTAGCATTTTCAATAAATCTTTTCATATTTTCAATAAAAAAAAGAGTGAACCTCAAAACAAGTCATCAATCTTTAATATATTTCCACTCTAGGTCATCAATTAAATTTATTTGTAACACAGGTTACCTTACTAAAGTTTTAATCCATTTCAGATTATTCTGTTAATTTTGGCCGTTAAATAGTGACAGAAATTCATTTTTCACATGTTTTTGGGTTTAGGGGTATTTTTATCATTTTTTATTTTTTATTTTTTAATCTTTTAATTTTTTTTTTTTACAATTCTTTTTCTTATACTTCCTAACTTGTATATACTGGTAATATAATTCTAAATTTTAAAAATTTATTTTTCTTTGGTATTTTAACTTCTAGATTATAAATTTTTTTAAAAAAAGTTTAATAAATGAAGAAGAAAAATTCGAATTAAAGTAAACATAAAAATTAATAATTTACCATTTTAAACAAAAAGAAATTAAAATAATTAGTTAAGAAAAGTTGTTTCTTCTAGGTTATTTAATTTTTTTCAACTCGATTGAATTATTTAATTATTAATTTTCACGTTTCTTATTCCTTTTTTTTAATAATCTACAAGTTAATATACAAATGATAAATTAATTTTCATGTTTACTTTAACTATAATTTTTCTTCTTCATTTCTTAAATTTTTTTAAAAAAATTTTATAATCTAAAAGTTAAAATACAAAAGGAAATTAAATTTTTAAAATTTAGAATTATACTACCAGTGTATACAAGTTAAGAAGTATATGAAGAAGAATTGTAAAAAAAAAAATTATAAGATTAAAAAATTAAAAAATTTATAAAATGACAAAAATACCCCTGAACCCAAAAGCATGTAAAAAATGGATTTCTGTCACTATTTAATAACCAAAATTAACAGAATAATCTGAAATGGATTAAAACTTTAGTAAGGTAACCTATGTTACAAATAAATTTAATTAATGACCTAGAGTGGAAATATATTAAAGGTTGATGACTTGTTTTGAGGTTCACTCTTTTTTTTATTGAAAATATGAAAAGATTTATTGAAAATGTTAAAAAAAATGTTAAATTTATTAATTAAAAATTATGAAAAAAATTTAGTGAAAAATCAGGAGGTTCACTCTAAAAAAAATACTCCTTCCGTCCCACAAAAATAGTCCAGTTTTAAAATATATAACCTTTTTAATTTGGTCAACCTAATGAATGTACTACTCATTGTTATCCACTAAACTTCCATTTTTATCCTTATCAAATTATAAAACTAGAATCCGACTTCTTCTTCTCTCACTTGCTCTCACCGCCGACAACCACTGGGACTCTCATCGCCGACAACCACCGGAACTAATTATGGCTTCCTCTGTTCGCCGGCCATCACCTCTCAATCCCAATTAGATTTTTTCAATTATCCGGCGTCCTTAAATACCAAAACAGAGACCATAGAAAACCCCACCTCTTAAATTTAGGGCTGTTTTTTTAACATAAAACTGACCCGAACCGAACCGAACCGTTAGTTTGGATCGGTTCGGAAATAGGACAACTTTCTATTGGATCACTATGGTTCGGTTCGGATTAAATTTCGGGTCTAAACCGAATTGACCTAAAAAGAACCATTTGTATCCGATGATATCATCAAAATATTACGACGACGTCATCTTGCTGGCGCCGGTTACCGGTCGTCGGAAAATCGATTTTCCGGCAATATCGCCTAAATTTTTGGCCGGGAAAATCAATTTGTCGGCAATGTCGCCGGAATTTTTGGCTGCAAGTTGTTGCCGGCGGCGGTCGGTGGCGATCAACGGCGGTCGTTGGCGGTCAACGTCGGAAACTATTGAAATTTATTATTATTATTTTTTGTTTAAATTAATTCGGTTCAATTTGGATATTTACTTAACCCGAACCGATCCGGACCATTCCACTCTTTCAAATAATTGATCTGAACTGAACCGAACCGAAACTAAATTTTTGGATCGGTTTCGGGTCGGTTCAGTTCAGATCATCGGTTTGACCCGAACCGTGGGTCAAAATGACCAGCCCTACTTAAATTGAGTAGATTTGTTTATTTATTTTCAAGGATTTTGTTTGTTTTGCTCATATTGAAGGATCCAAATCTGTATCAAGTGAGCGATCTAAGGCATTAGAAGAACGCAGGATCTAAAAAAAAAAGTCAAAAGAGATACCGGAGAAAGAAATCCAGCCAAGTAAAAGAAAGTATTGTTAACCAGGTTAGCAAATCTTAGAAATCAATATAACTAGCCTTGATCGAACGAGATGAGCGACGGAAAATCGTGTCTATGGAGAGAGAGGTGAACGGAGGATTTGGAGAGAGAGCCGACAAGATAAAGATGAGAAAGAAGAATTCGGCCGGAAAAATTGTAGAGAGAAAGAATGGTTTGATTATAGTTGGTGACTGATTGAGGGCAGTTAAGTTATTTCATTTGTTTTAATCTTGACTTTTTTGAAATTGGAATATTTTTTTGGGACAAAAATTTTTATAAAACTGGACTATTTTTTTGGGATGGAGGGAGTACTTAAAAATACACACTAAAAAAGATGGAAACATATTAATCTGTCCATCAACTAAATTATAACTTTGATGTCTCTTGGATTGTGTCATGGTAATATAGTACTAGATGTTACACCCGCACGATGTGCGGGGTAAATCAATGTGTTTGAATCACAACCTTTGGAATAATAATTATTAAAATTTTAGAAACAAAAATATCATGACATAATACGCGAAAAATAAAACTCCCTACTAAGATAATTTAAATAAGATGTAGAGAAAAGAAAAATTGCATAACTTCGATCGCACCATGTAGACATTCTATTGTAGATCTTTGGTGAGCAGTACTTCTTCACAATTAAATCATCAAACTGAGTGATCTAAAAACAGTTGATAAAATATTTCCGCAGAAAAAGAGCAAAACAACCATAAATAATCAAAAGATTGAAGTAGAGTCAAAATATGAATAAATTCAAAAGATGAGAATTCCACAAATTTTCTTAATAAAAAAATTCATCGGAATTATTGCCAAGAGCTTGACAAAATGAAACACGTACCAGGGAGTGGAAAGGGTTTTGAAAGGGAGTGAAGAGGATGTTGAAATGTATATACACACCATGATCATAAGGATTAATAAAATGGTATCTTTTTTAAATTAGTAATTATTAATATCATACTTTGAATTTGGATTATTTTTGAAATTTAATTATATAACTCCAATCGTTTTCATTAATAATTTGTCATAAGTTTAGGAGGTCATCATTACCGTAAAACATTATCATAAAATCAGTATGACTTTTGAATTATGATTTAGTTCATTTTAACCACATCTTAATTATACTAAATAATGAATCTGGACGTGATTTCAATAAATAATGAATATGACTAGGATTTGATCCTTTTTCTTTTTTTGGTATTATCCGTACATTAAATATAATCATTTAAAATAGAATTGGTGTATTTAATATTAATTAATTTTGATAGCTATGATGATTGGGGTAATTTGATATTATGAATATGTGATAGGGACTATTGGCATAAATTTTAAAACTATTTTATATCTAATTTTTAAGAATTTGGCACGTAGGATTTTATCCTACGTGGCGATGTAGGAATTCTCCTTAAAACCTCTCACTGGTTTCTGTATTAGTATAATATATATAATAGATAGATATCTACTAGGTGTTATATTGTAACTTTTACATATTCAATTGAAAATAACATATAAAATTGACTCAATTGAGTAATGATCGAAATGACGTGATGGATATATATATATATATATATATATAATTATACACTTTTTAAACCGCTGCAGAAATTTTAATCAAACTTGTAGAATACGTAATGAGCTGATAACTATGTTCAACTTCAATGTGGTATTTGAATCCAAGATTTCTTTAACTTTGATCAGATACCATGTTTGAATCCAAGGTTTCTTTTGTACTCTAAACATAATAATCATTTGAAGCAATTCCACCAGAAATCACTAACCGTTGGAAGCTGCTTAAAAGAGATGCCACTTGTAAAATAAATGAACAGCTTCTCGTTTTTTTTGTTTTTACCAAGAATTAAAACAATGGTGATGATGAAGGAATAATCGTTTATACTACCAAGGAAGAAAAAAAACGACAAAACATTTTGTCGGGGCTTTTCTCGTCATCACGCGCACGAATTTGGGGACTCAATCCAAAACCCAGCAAAATACATGTTTCTACCCTTGTCTCTCTTCTCTGTTAGCTCGTGGATCATGAATGATGGTTGGGCAAATAAAAAAAGTGAACTTAATTTAAGTAAAATTATGTTTCATATAATGGGTTTTGCTTTACTTGCTGGCTGAAAGAAAGGATTTTTGCGTGTGACAATCGAAAAGTATTCAACTTAAAGTTTGCTCATGGAATGAAGAAGAAACAAATTAATGAGAGAAGTAATCAGCTTTTAAACTTTATAAAGAGACAAAAACTTCCATTAAAGTTTACCAAACCCCAATAAAGATCCTTAATGATCTCGCTTTTGCGTTCTAAAATTAAGGTTAAAGAACAAAATCATGAATGTGAGTCATTTGTTTGAGATTCTCAACATTCTTATGACCCTTTAATTTATGTGCAATTTTTTGGTTTCATGTTGAATGGCATAACTCAGAGAATGTCGGATTCCTTCCTTCCTCACCACTCTCACTGTAAAATAAAAACTCTTTTTATGTACCCAACGTTTTTGGCTGGAGCAAAGTGTAAATCTTTACATTCAATTTGAATGGATACTGACAAAATCATGTTACGAATACCTAAGCAAATTAAAAAGACCATGAATTTTGGTCTTTATTGGGTCTAGGCACTGCATTCTTGCTTTGGGTTTACTGCCTGATTGGATTAATTAACTCCCAGTAGAATCTTAAGCCCTTTTTTTTAAAATTTCTTTTTTTGTCATCCTCTCTAGAAATGGTGGCCATATGAGAGATATCATGATATGTTTCTTCTCTTTCTTGAGCATGCTACTGACCAAATGGTAAAAGCATGCCACTTTAGTTTCTTTATACAGCGAAAAGGGCTACTGCTTTCTCTTTCCTGTGTCTCCTTTCCTCAAAAACTATGGTAAGATAGAGAGTGTAAGCTGCTGGCCTACAAAGCCTACGTTGCCATCAGAAAGAGGGGTTTTATCACATTTACCCAAAATACCAAAACGAAACTCTCATCTTTTTGTGGGATTCTTCCAAAGCAACTTTCACCTACTACCCACCCACCCACTGGCAATCTTGACCAATTATAGTGGTAGGTTTTTCCAGAATTGGAGATTTCTCTGGTTGTTTTGTTTATGGTTCTTGTGAAGATGAAGAAAATGAGAAGAGAAATTAAGGGAGCCTTCTGGGTTCTCATATTTATTTGTTGTTTTAGCTCTTCATTAGGCTTGCTCTCTCCCAAAGGTGTTAACTTTGAAGGTAAGCATATACATGATTCCTTCTGGGATTTTTTTTTTTTTATTAACCATGAATGTGGCAATGGAGGATAATATCATCCTAATCATCCCTATGGTTTGATTCTCCAGTTCAAGCTTTGATGGCAGTAAAAGCTAGTCTGGTGGATCCCCACGGTGTTCTTGACAACTGGGATGGGAACTCAGTTGATCCATGTAGCTGGACTATGATAACCTGCTCTGGTGAAAATCTTGTCATTGGCCTGTAAGTTAAAGTCTGATGAAGAGAAAATGATCTTTGGTTTTCATTATTTCGAAATTCCCACATGATATAGCTTCTCGAATTAAATGTTCATTACATTTGGTAAGATTCAATGATCCAAGATACTTTGGCAAGTTATTAACGTGGCTTCAGATGGTCTGATGCAGGGGAACTCCAAGTCAGAAATTATCCGGCACTCTTTCACCTAGTATTGGGAAGTTAATGAACCTTCAAATCATGTGAGTGATTATATTTGGTATCTGGAGATGAAGTTTTTAAACAGACTTGTAACTCTTTGTTCCCTGATAAAAGAGGTTGATTTTGATTGCAGACTTCTACAGAACAACAATATAACTGGTGCAATCCCCGCAGAGATTGGAAGGCTTTCAAAGCTTCAAACTCTTGATCTTTCGGATAATCATTTCACTGGCCAAATTCCTCCTTCTTTGGGGCATCTGAACAACCTCAAATACATGTACGCAGTAGTATTTTTTACTTTTTAGAGTGGCAGCTACCATTCTTTAATCAGAAATATCATATTGAGACATGTTTTTGGTCTGACTTCTTCCTTCATCTTGATTAGGAAGCTGAACAATAATAGTTTATCCGGTGAAATTCCAACATCATTCGCCAACTTGACGTTGATATCTCTCATGTAATGCTCTATCACTTCTTCAGTCAGTACACAAGCAATTAGTCCATTCCTTTGTGTTCATGTAGATTTTGAAATTTTCATGTGCAGGGACTTGTCTTTCAACAACTTGACCGGACCTGTACCCTTATTTCCTTCCAAAAATCTAAAGTATAGTGCTTCTAATCCCCGTATTCTTAATGATTAGTTAACACTTGAAAGTAATGTTCAAATGCTGAATGTCTTCTGCACTGTTCGTTTCTATTGTTTTTACAGTGTTATGGGCAATCCTTCAATATGCACATCTGACCTGAACTGCAACACGATGACATTGATGCCGATGTCTATGGCGCTGAACACTACGCAGGGTATGCACCAGTTAGTTACTCAATATTTCCCCACATATTTGTCATCCCTCCAAGAGAATTTAAGAGTTGACTATCTTTTCCAATTTCAACAACTTAACTTTAACTTTGCGCTATTCTTCTGAAGATAATGGGCGGTCCGGAATGACTAGGAGTCACAAACTTGCTCTGGCCTTGAGTTCAACCTTGGGGTGTCTCTGCTTACTTGTTGTTGGGGTAGGTTTTGTGCTGCGATTGAGATGTAAGCAGAACCAATTGATACGGAAGGCTACTTTCCATGGGAATGGTTAGTACTACACATATTCAATAATTGGTTCATTTTGCATTTGATAGAAGTATCGTAGTGGCCAATAATGATGAAATATTCATGAAAGTTTTAGATTCACGAGATGAGGAAGTTTCACTTGGGAATTTGAGAAGATTTCAATTCAAGGAACTTCAGATGGCAACAAACAACTTCAGCAGTAAAAACATTTTAGGAAAAGGTGGTTTTGGAAATGTATATAAAGGTCGCTTCCCGGATGGGACTGTGGTAGCGGTCAAAAGGCTTAAAGATGGAAATGCTGCAGGAGGGGAGAGACAATTCCAGACTGAAGTTGAATTGATCAGTTTAGCCGTGCATCGTAATCTCCTTAGGTTATATGGTTTTTGTATGACTGCTACAGAGAAGCTTTTAGTGTACCCATATATGTCAAACGGGAGTGTTGCTACACGTCTTAAAGGTGGCTTTTTTATTCTCTTTAAATTTTCCCTAATCCATCAGTTTTAAGTGCGCATTTAGAGCCCCAACTAACCTGTGCCTATCTGTTTATCTGAACAGCAAAACCAGCACTGGACTGGTTAACAAGGAAGCGGATTGCCATAGGAGCTGCGAGAGGACTGTTATATTTACACGAGCAATGCGATCCCAAGATTATTCACAGGGATGTGAAGGCTGCAAATATATTATTAGACGATTTCTGCGAGGCAGTTGTGGGAGATTTTGGTTTAGCAAAGCTTTTGGATCATCAGGATTCACATGTTACCACGGCAGTTAGAGGAACTGTTGGGCATATAGCACCAGAGTATCTCTCAACAGGTCAGTCTTCTGAGAAGACTGATGTGTTTGGATTTGGGATCCTTCTCCTTGAATTGATCACAGGGCAGAGAGCTCTTGAATTTGGCAAAGCAGCCAATAGCCAGAAAGGAGCAATATTAGATTGGGTGAGCAAGAAATCCTTTCTATCTTTACACTAAATGATAATTTGCTTAAAGTTTCGTGCTTTCGGACACGAGCTGAGTTAATTTAACTTTTATCTAGGTGAGGAAACTTCATCAAGAAAAGACGCTCGATATGCTTGTTGATAAGGATCTGAAAAACAACTATGATAGCATTGAATTGGAGGAAATGGTTCAAGTGGCTCTCTTGTGTACTCAATATCTGCCTAGCTCCAGGCCGAAAATGTCTGAAGTAATTCAAATGCTAGAAGGAGATGGAATTGCGGAAAGATGGGAACTATCTCAAAGACTGGAACCTAACAAGTATCGGACACCGGAACTGTCAGCATCAGAACGATTTTCAGATCTCACTGATGACTCTTCACTACTTGCCCAAGCAATGGAGCTTTCAGGCCCAAGGTAAATTCATACTAGCATTCTTCTAATTGTCAACACAGACGAAGATCAACGCAAAATGGAAATTCATAGGTACAATATCCAAACATCAGCGTCCTAAGGGCCTTGATGATCCTGCATCACAACTGTACAGAATTTATTTTTTACATAATGATTTCCTAATGTAGAACTTCATAGGGTGTGCTATAGTTTAGATGCATGTTATGAAGCAAAATTTTGAGGAATAGTATGGTTTGAAAGTAGTCCGTGAAAAGTTACCACAAGGCTGCAAAACAAACGAAGGTTAATGATGAAGTAGACAAGTACTGAGAATTCTTCAGCTAGTCTTCAAATTTGAGTTTCGGCGGTTTTGCCTTGGGTATTATAAACCATCAGTTAGATGGCTCTGTTTTCTTTGTGAACTGTAAATGAACAGTATGGATGAAGCTATGACTTTGTTGGATTTGGGTATAAGGATTAAGTTTCTCTAGTAAGTGATGAATCAGCGAGACAATTTATCTAAAAAGAAATATCATTCCGAATTATTCCACCCAATTCAAGCAATGTGCCCTGGAGTTCTGCGGTAGGCAAATCAACAGCATTCTAATTCCCTTGAGGATACTAACCAAGAGGTTTCAAAACACTTGCAACAAATGAACCACCAGCAATATAATGTGCATCCATTCAAACACAATTGAGCCGCCTATTTCTGTATAAGAAATTATTATACTCAAGAAAGAAAGGTCCAATATTGGATTAAAATAGTTAATACTCCTGTAATGAACATTCTCAATACAGAAGATATGATTCAAACAATTGCAGAATCATCTTGCTTTTAACAGCCAAATCATTTGCATATTGCCAACAAAAAGCAGTTTGACCACATAAAATATGGTAAGAAAGAAAGTTATACTACGAATTCATCAGCTGATTTGCAAACAATCTATTGATTCGACTCTTAAAGCTGCTACGTCCAATAACCACTTTCTTCTGGAATATTAATCACATGTCCTTCCCTAAACTTCACAGCGGATGTAAAAAATGACCCATCTAGGTTAATACTGCACTGAAGCACCGAATAATTCTCATACATATTAGAACAAATCACTAAGGAAGATGAAACCAGATTATGCCCGTAGATGCAGCATAAAGATTCAACCCAACTTAGAGTAAAAAAATTCCCAACAGCTGTGACTCAAACTTTCTTGTACCGACTATATTGAATCAACAGATGCCAAACTTTCCATGTACTTGAGAGGATCAGCTTTAATTTTCAGGGCAACCGATCCATATTTAATCTTCTCGCAGGCTTTGTTTCTCAAGTAGTATCTTCTTTGATGATGCTGGTCAGCTTGGCCTTTAATTTTCCCTGTGTACTTATTTTGTGACTTGTACGTATATAGATACTCGTGATCTGTAACCAATGCAAGGTTATCTGATATTCTAGCATGAAGGGGCACAAAATGTCCTCTTAGAGTGAACAACCTAGTCCAAGAATGTTTAACACCATACTCTCTCATTATTAAGACATCAGTTGCGTCATGGTTTAAATGGCGAGAGATACAAAGGCATCCATCTAGAATAGTAAACCCAAAATAATAAACAGAAACTGCATCACCATATTCATGGTCGTCTGGCAAAGACAATTCTCTAAACTGATTCGCCTCCTGATCAAAATAAAGAATTAACTGTGCACTACCAATCTTTTCCTTCACTATCCAATGTAAATGTTCCTCCAAAACATGAGGGTAGCTGTAAGAAAATCTATAAGGGATACTAAATTCCATTGGCATTTTCCCCTCCTTTAAGGAAGCAACATAAACGGAGGAGTTTATACCACCTCCAGTATGTACCATAGTTACTGTCACCACTTTGTAATCATCAGAGGACTTGTCGAAACAAAATCCACAAGACATGGGATAACGTGAATTCAATTTGCCAACCAAATCATTGAGTTGAGGCATTAAACGACATGAATTCGTCAACGGGTTCCATAAATATAAATGTTCATCCGCAAGAAAGAGTACTAAACCATTACAGCTACCCAAGAATTTAAACTTATCAGAATCATCTAAATATTCAACATGTGGAATTGGAAGCTTCACCACTGAAAACTCATCATCTATTGAATAAAAACTCATCGGCTCTGAATAACTCCTCACAATTATGCGTTCCCTCCCGGAGGTAGACAGAACAAAATTGGGGTCGGAAATAAGAGAGTTCCACAGTTTACAAACACATTTAAATCGTAACAGGGTTTTCACGGGTAACCTGGAAAGTATCTCGACGACGGCGTCTTGTGGAAGCTCCACCGCCGACACCCGCTGCTTCTTCGCCTTCGCCTTTTTCATCTGTTTCCGGAAACCCTTTTGATGAATCTGAATTTGCCGGAAAATCTACGTACAAGATCGAAATTTCGGAAACAGGCAAGGGGCTGTCGAGTGCTACGATTCGGACGAGAAATAACGTGGATATATCTGCATAGTCGTTTTGAGAGAATTGGGGATTTTGATTTTAGGTTTTTTATTTCTTTCGTTTTTTTTTTAATCCTACGGGCGGGAAGCTGAGTGGTGGTGGCGCCCACAAAAATGAACATTATTTGACCCAAAATTGAGATAGAGAAAGTATATTACTAACACATTATATGGTTAAGAAATAAATAAATGATTGTATGATTAAAATTTTCTCTTTTAGTCTAAATTATATTTCGTGATGTCATCTTTTCTGAAATATTAGTAAACTGAATTTTCATTTTTAATATAAATTCCGCACTTTTACATCGATGAAAAAATTTGTCATTTGAATAGTTATGATTAATTGCGATATGATGTACATGTACTCAAAAGAAAAGTTATGTTATGTTGATGAGATTTCCAGGTAAGATGGAGATACTCTCATCTCATGGCGTGATTTTTTATTATTAATCATAACTATTCAAATGACAAATTTTTTCATCGATGAATGCAATGAGGGAGACAGGCTTTCCTACGTCGTTTTGATAAGAATTACAACTCTTCATTCTGTATTTTTTCATGGTATCAATCGCGTGACTCTCCTGTCGTCATGACGAATACCACAGATGAAGGTTCTTCTCGGGTCACAGCGACTCCTCTTGGTGGTGCCACCGGCGGTGATGCGTCCGTTCACCAAAAGACTATCTCACCTTATGATGTGACTTCCAATGCTAGTCCTGGCTCGCCAATTACTCAGGTCCAACTCAAAGATGAGCTCAATTATGACGAATGGTTTTGCAGTGTGAAGACCGCCTTACGGGCTCGTAAGAAGTTCAGATTTGTTGATGACTCGATTCCGGAACACCTGCGGCTTCAGCTGATCATAAAGACTGGTGGACGATTAACTCCTTACTGGCTTCCTGGATCATGAATTCAATTGAGCCAAATCTCTGTTCAACGATTACTCATATGGAGGTGGCGCTGATCTCTGGTCCGACCTTCAGGAACGTTTTTCCGTCGTCAATGGTCCAAAAATACAGCAACTCAAGGCTGATCTTGCATCCTGTAAGCAGAAGGGACTCTCCATGGACATTTATTATGGCCGGTTGAAGAAAATTTGGGATGAACTGGGATCGTATCTTCGTCCTCCTTCTTGCACATGTGGGAAGTGTAAGTGTAATTTGGGTGCTGCTGCCGATAAGAGAAAAAATTCATCAATTTTTGCTGGGACTTGATGATGTTATTTACTCCACTGCCCGCTCAACGATTCTCACCCAAGATCCGTTGTCGCATTTAAATAAAGTGAACTCCACCATGGTTCAGGAGGACAAAAGGCATAACATTACTCAGTCAAAGGAGATTTCGCCAGATGTGGTTAGTTTCGCTGTTCAGATTGTCGCCGGTTCTTCTTCTGTTTCTGCAACTTCCGGTGATCCTGCGGCATTTGTGGCGGCTGCTACGGCATCAAATCTCAATAATAACTACTCAAATCAAATTTTCATTTTATTAAACAGAAAAAGTTATCATTTTATTCTTTTTTAGTTAAAAATAAAAATGATCTTTCCATTGAAGATCTAAAAAAGAAGAAAAAAGAACACTTTTCTCAACTATGGCAGCCATTGTCAATGGGAAAAGGTGTTATTTTCAAGAGGGTTAAAAACAAACATTTTCATGTTGTGTATAATAATGATAATGATGATTTTTGGATAACGGGAGAATAGAGAGAAGTATCAATTTAGTCCAAACATTTGTTCTGATTGTCGATTTAGTCAAACGTTTGTTCTAGTTGTCGATTTCATCCATATATATGATTTTTGTAGTCGAGTTAGTCCTTTGCACAAGAATAGTCCTCAAACTAATTTAAATTAGCCCAAATAGTATAGAAGTTTTCAAAAATTACCTCTTATGGTATTAAAAGATTACAACTTTTACTTTTTTTTGGTTCGTTGTTTTTTGGTATTTCATCCAAATGCATGATTTTTTCTTTTTTTTTTTTGGCAGTAAGTTTCCCCGCCATCTTAGTGATACTAGTCTAATAAACTTTCACTTTAACTGCCAAGACTCGGATTTTGGTAACGCTCTTATAGAATTATGTTGAGCGTCCCTATATGATATGCCTTTCCCGATCGGCGGGAACCGTCAAAATAGATAATCAGTTGTGACTCATCTTTCTCCACCATCAAATATAAGTGTCCACTCACCAAAAGGCCACTTGGGCAAATACTAGGATACTTCGGTACTGATCCGTAAGGAAACTAATGCCCGTAGATATCTCCCCATCCGTTAAACTAGCAAGAAAAGCAGAAGATTTACTACGAGCCGCAAACACAACTTTGTAATCCACAAATGATTTGTCAAAGAACAGTCCAGCAATAAAGGCACAAGAATGTCTTAATCTTCCATGCAAACCATCAAGATGGGTCATTATACGACAACGTTTCATCAAAGGGTTCCCTAAATGGAACGATGCGTTGGTAGAAAAGAGGATCAAACTATTTGAAGTAGCAATGAAACGGAGGCCAACATAATTGTATGGAATTTCACCCAAAGGTTTAGGAATGCTTACCACTGACTGTTCATCATCAATAGAATAAAACTGCTCCGAATCATTGGCGAAGGTAGAACACATCATTGAGCCTCTTCCTTTACCCAAATTGGTCCGCACAGAAAAATTTGAGCAAGATGACAACCAAACGATTGAAATGCGAAAGAGAAAAGGGTTCAAAGGAAAAAAGTTTTGCGGGACATGACTGGTAAGAGAGAAATGGTTGAACACGATGAGAAATATCGGGAGATTGAAAATTTAAAGGATGAAGGATGATGAAAATAAAGTAAACAAATTTTCACGATTTTTCTTAATTTTTAAACTAATGAATTAGGTAACTTTATAGTATTTATATTTCATCTCATCAACTTTAGTATTTTTTTTTAGATAAATTTGTGAAAATAATACTGCACAATTGAGATATTTTTTAGTTTGTCCACAAAAAAAAAAGGAAATAATAGTTAAAGAATGTAGGTCACAGTTTTAGATTTGGCTAAATTATAAAAAATCAAAACAAGTGAGAATAAACTATAAAATGTTAAAAAATCAATAAAACTAAAAATCAAAAATCAAAATTTTGTCGAACGTGAGCAGGATAGTTTTTTTTTTTTTTTGCTTCCCTTTTATATTACACATTTAATTTTACCGATATATTTTGAGAAACAAAACTCCCGGATATATTTTGACGACGATATATTTTGATTAAGCTGAATTTTTATATATCAGAAGAAGAGGAATATGCTTATTTCTTAAAATTACTAGTAATGTCTGGTCGCGTACTGCGCGACCCTGGCCCATTATATCTGTAGATCTTAGAAATGTTTGTATTTGAAAAAAAAATATTTTGTATTTGGCTCGACATATTTTAGAAACGTTCGAAGAATTTATAAATATTTTATAAGTATGATCATAGAAATGTTTGTGTTTGGCAAAAAAAGAAATTGTATTTGGCCCGTTACGTTTTAAAAAAATTTGAAGATCTTAGAAATGATTTATAAGTATTACTTATTAAATATAAATAAAGTTGATCAAATATATGTCTTGAAGTAAATGTTAGACAAAATATAAAAGCATCCTAATAAATTTAAATATTAGCAAGATGATTTATTGATGTTCTCCATTGGTCGTGCCAAATAAATACTTAGTTTTGGAGATTTATAATAGCTTTGTAGTAAGATTCCTTCGAAGGGTATACGCTTAATTGTTGTAACTGTTTCTTCCAAAGGTTTAAAGGTAGTAAAATATCAAAAATATAGTTTTGAAACTGGTTAATTGTTTAAACATGTTGATCACAAATATGAGAATGAAAATTAATGTAAATTTGCATAGGTTTCAAGTTATAGCGAAAAAAAATTCACCTCACCATGGCAAATAAAATAATAAAAAAAAGTAAAAGAGCCCATTAAAAATTGAGAAATTATTTTTTTCCTGTAGGTAAAAATGATATATAAAAACACAAATAAACATAGAAACATCATTCCTTCCCTCTCTACCTCAAATTCATAAAAGACTTCCCCGTGAATTAGTGAGAAGAAGCAGCACGAACTATTTATATGATGAGGAACTCAAAAAAGTCCAAAAACTAAATCCAAAAAAGTATATTTTTGAAAGTCCGAACAAAAAAAAAAAAAGCACTTCATTTGCCAAAATAGTAATAATAATAATAATAATTGGTCAAGTGGGAGTATGAAACAAAATTAAAAAAATTAAACAAAGAAAAAACACAATAATGAAATGAAACCACTCTAATGGAATGAAACATAAAAAAAAAATTAAAAAAACCAAACTTTGTAACAAAAACCCAATTGATCAATTCAATCCAAACAGAACTAAAATCGTACAAAAATTCTAGGCTAACTAACCATATAAGAAATCACATCATATTACCTGGCAACGGCTACGGTAGCTGTAACGGGTGGTCGCATAAAAATAATAGTAATAACACTATTCTTGAACAGGAAAAACAAAATATAGAAAAAAAAAAGCCAAACAAATGATCTGTGAAAATAAAATCATTTAAATATTAATACTTGTAATGGCATCACCACAACGGCCGAAACAAGATCAATGAGAAATTTTTAATTTTTTTTTCTTTGTGTTTATATAGAGAGGTAAAGAGAATATTTTTTGAAATCGAAATTTTATCCCATTAGGATGTAGTTGATCATTACTAATGAAAAGATTGAACATGCTAATAGGAAAGGAGTATATTTCACCACATATTCTCAGTTGATGATTGATGAGGAATTTGTTTTTTTTTTTTTTTTTATTGTGGAGAAGGAATTGATTAGGGAGTCGATTGTCGTGGAGATGGGGATAAAAATTTGGGGTTTTTATGAATCCGTGATTTTTTTTTTTCGAAGAAAATAGGAGGTGGAGGTGGATTTGGACTGCATTTGTCTTTTAAGTCTAGAAAACTAATGCGTAAATAAAAATTTATTTTAAAAATATGATGTGAAAATACCACATGGCAAATGGTGGTGCTTTCTCTTAAGTGTGGTTTTTATTTTTAATATAGTAAGACGTGACCAACCGCATCGAACTCAAATTAACTATCTAAATCAAATAAAATATTTTAATCCTATGTTATCCTAATTCTATTCCACTAATTATACATTTTTTCGTGTAAGACAGGATCAAATGTTATAATTAGAATGGATGATAAATATATTTATAGAATTTCATCAATTTCCTTTTTCCAATATGATTAGAAAATTGATCGAGGAGTTTTTAATTATGTGTTGCTACCAAAAAAGGAAAATGGATTTAGTGCAAAACCAAATCCAGCAAGGATTATGCAGCAATCTATTTAAATCCCCACAAACCTTTCTGTACAAGAAATTTGACACCTACATATATACTTCTCTCTCTATTTCCGGAACTCATTCGCATGATCAAACAATAAACTGTTTTGCTTCTTAATTGGTCTCGAAACAATTGAAACGATTAAATATCCATCACAAAGCACATTGTTTTGGTTCTTAAAATTGGTCTCGAAACTTGACAAAACCTTGTTCTAGTCTTTGGTTTTCGGTTTAAGATGATGAATTTAACGACACCTTACATTTACAATCCCAACGGTTATTACTATACCCGGAATTTTCAGGGGAACGAAAGACGAGACATTCAAATCAATAAAACAACCAGAATTATTTGCACACATCCAATTTTGTATGGAAGGCTCTGCCTCAGATGTGCTCAACGGAGAGATGATGATTCCGGCACAGTTGCACTTAGCTGTATACATTCAGGAGAAATTAAGGGTTCCTCACCACGAACTTCATCGATTACGCGATCAAGACTTTAGGTTCTGGATTTCCCAGAAAAAGCTGTCCTTGGTTCTTGATTTAGACCCCACACACACACTCCTGAATTCAACTCCGATCAATGAGCTTACCGAAAACGAACGTTTCTTGAAAGGCCCTGGAGAAAATCTACCTGATGTTATAAAGAGCAGCATATACAGACTAGATTCTATGCAACTGATGACCAAGTTAAGACCTTTTGTCCATACTTTCCTGAAAGAAGCAAGCAAGATGTTTGATATGTATTTATACACAATGGGGAGTCGAGATTACGCGTTGGCGCTGGCAAAGTTGCTGGATCCGAGAGATGAGTATTTCAGGCGCAAAGTGATCGCGAATGAGGATAGCACCCGGAGAGATCGGAAGGGTCTTGACATGTAGTTCTGGCGAAAGAGAATACAATATTGATACTTGATGACAGGGAAGACATATGGGAAGCTCACCCTCGAAATCTGATACTGATGGACAGATATCATTTCTTCGCTTCGAGTGTTCGAGAATTCCATCCTTCTTCTCAGTGCGTCTCCCATTTATAAATTGACAATTTGTGATATGGTCATAGAAAGATGTACTAGTAGTAATAAACAATTTCAAACAATTATTGATCATTTTGTTATACTGTACATGACACTGTTGCAATGTTACCTCGACCATTTTTAGATTGGAGCCAATCAATAATGTCGATTACACATCTATGATTAATATAATTGCAACCACTATGAACAATGATGTGATTTTAAAGGGCCGTTTTATATATATATATATATATATATATATATATATATATAGAGAGAGAGAGAGAGAGAGAGATATGATGAAATTTTTAGACATCCAACATATATATTATACTCCAGTTTGAGAAAGAGTATCTTTTTTAAGACAAAATCCTTTGCTGTTGTGAAAATTGAAGACTGTCACTGGATTCCGGGTAGGCAAATAATAATATAGTTCGATTTGCTTTTAGAAATCAGACTTATTGATGAATTTTGCACTCCTATCATTTTACGATTATATTTTCAACGTTTTAGTTTTTACACATTCTTAATTAATCACATTCTGCAAAAGCCAAAAAGACAACAAAAGAAGAAAAAAGACATTAAAAGTTCTGGGAACTGTTTGGTAGATGGTTTTTCTTTTTCGATAATCAGATATCCAAAAGTAATTTATTTGGTGTTTGGTGTTAGAAGCCATTCGCCCTTGGAGAGGAAACAAAAGCAAATGAAAGTAGTACTCCCTCCCCTCTCCCCTCTCCCCTCTGATCCTTATAATAAGTCATTTTGAGGTATTTTGATTTTATTCTAGGTTTCACGAGAATCTCTTTTTAATTGAAATAAAAGTCATAAAAACATTTCATAATAATTAGGAGTACATAACGAATCTGAAAAATATATTTTTAAAGTTTTTTTTCCTAATTAAAATGACATTCTAGGTTAGACCTAAGACGAAATCAAAATGCATCGGAGAGAATATTACAGATGCAGAGTAATGAGCATTATGATAAAATTTCCCAACCATTTCCAGTATTCCGCACTCTTCGCCGCCGTTTCCCGTAATTTTTTTTTTTTTTTCAGACAAGCAGACAACCACCTCGTATTATCAAAACCATAATCAAAACAAGTAAAGATGATAGAATTTATCAACACTGTACAAAACCCCCTGTTTTGATCCCATGGATTTCCAGGGCAAAGGAAGAAGGCAGAGTATTGGTTGTGCACATCCAATTTTGTCTGGAGGGCTTTGCATAAGATGTGGTGAAAGCAGAGTGGATGAATCTGGTACAATTCCGCTTAGCTACATTCAACCCAACTTAAGGCTTTCTCAAGACGAAATTAATCGTGCAATTGTAGAGCTTAGCTACAATTCCGCTTAGCTACTGAAGTTGTAGAGCTTTTTCTTTTTCTTTTTCTTTTTTTTTTTTTTTGCAAAAACAAAAAATAATAATGTTAATAAATAAATTTGATCCTTTGATCAATTTGTCCATAACAACTTAGTTATCTCATTACTCCGCAAGCATATGATAAGATTTGGAACGACAGAAGATTAGCACGGCCCTGTGCAAGGATGGCGCCCACAAATCTTATTCTGCAGTTTCTTGTTTCATATTCATAACACTCTTCGTTCTATTGAGTGTATAAGAACATAGAGGGCGTGCGCTAAGCGCGTCTACGCCATCTCGTATTCCATCACTAAATGTTTTTTCCCAGGTCTATTATTACATTCACTCTATATCTGTCAGATTCTACCCAAGCCTAAGATACACTAACATCTATTACAATCAAGATCTTCTTACGAATGTCAGCTAAATTATGACGATTTTGCCTGGTAATATGACAGATAACTGAGGCCTTATACCAAATGTCCACACCTTATAACAATCGATGTCAATTTCTACATTTCATCAATATAGCAGGAGACAGACTATAGTAATGGCTCAAAATGGCTTCCCGTAATCTTGTGTCGGCTGCTCCCAACCGCCCCTCAAAAAGCCTACAAAACCATCCGAGACTGCCCTTAGAAAAGAACAGTAATAATACTACTGCATATAAACTTCTTCTACATTTGACCTACAGTTTCCAGAGAACATTGACATGAATGGTGATGTATGGCTGGAATATCCTACACAGAAGGTGAAAGGGTGATGTGTCTTAACAAGCACTAGACAGCAAACTAACATAGTCTTTGGAAATAAGCAAGTTTGTAAATGTGCATGCTGCCTAAGCTACTGTAGTTTTCCAGCAGAAAAGAAGCTCCCTTCGGAGTTAGTACCTCATTAGCTGGAAGAGAAAATGGATTCACATGGATGCAGTTCTGCAATAAACTTTCAGCAACTAGCGAGAACATCTTTACTACAATCAGCATTAAGTTTTACGGTGAATATCACACCATCTGGACCCCCACTCGATTTAATTCCTAATCCTCAAAAGATCACAATTAGGCCCATGAACTTTAAGTTTAGAGCTATAAAGAGTCCCTAAACATCCATTAATTGGAGAGTTCAGTCAAAACCCATAGTATGACTGAGGGTAGTGATGTAAACTTAAAGGCATTTGTTTTGACAAAACCGTGCAACTACAGGACTAAAATAAGGTTGGGGAATATGTATAGCACTAAATCGCAGTTCAGGACTTAATTCTTCAATGTCAACGACCAAATCAAAAAGGACACCAACTATAACAACTACTGGGATCATTTATCCAAGTTTCATAACCAAGAATGACATAATCTATTGGCTCACTTCAAGGGATGTTCAATGAAGAGAGGGAAAAAAAAATGAGAGATGACATACAAAATAAAGCTTGTTATAAACAAAAAAGAAGTTACTATGGAAATCATAGCCTATTAAGTCAAACCACCAAAGATGAATAATATGTTCCAATAGTCATCAGGTCAATCTCGATAACTCTTTCTATGTGGTAATAATCAAATAAAATAAAAGAGAAGGTCCAGTATTATTGACATCTTATGAAACAGAGATGGTTAAAATGCTCCTTATTTTAGTGAGAAAACAGTTATTAGAAAGTTTCATTTCCTGCTATGCACAATCATAATGTAAAGATAGCATCCATAACAGGTTAGCACCAATGGCAAAGCTTCATAAAAAAATGAATAGAATACAGAAACTAAATTTCCAACATACTTAACGGTATTTCTCCGAGGGACATATATATGGGATCATCAACACCAAGAATCCCCTGAAACAAATCAGCAAAATTACAGCAGCTGTCAATGTAAATGAAGAGACACTGACTAGTGAAAAGCAAAAGGTGCCTAATTAAGGTCCAAAAAAAATTTCTCATCATGTTCAGAACAAATGATGTTCAGAACACATAGCCGACCCCATATAGTGGGATAAAGGGCTTTAGTTGTAGTGTTCAAAACAAATGAAGCTCGGATACCTCGCCATTATCAAGGCCCATATCATCATTGTGCAGAGCATCTACGTCAGTGGGTACAGAAGAAGAACAATTGGGTATATCATTTCCCATCAATTCTGATATCATAAGTCCATAACCACTGTCTGAGGAATCAGGGATTTCATTCGCATTAGGTGCATTGCCAGAAAAGCCACCCAGGCCTGTGAAGATATTCTCATTCCTGGGTGTAAAAGAAAAATAACTCCAGGTGAAAAAGAGGCTTATCACATGTTAGAACTAAATGACGGAATAATAAAGATAACAATGCAAACTAGGTATGAGAAACAAGGATATCGAAAACATAAGTCCATACCTTCCATCTGAATTAGTAGTCAAATCTCTGTCGTCGTGTACTGAGTCATTTTCCAAATCAATCACTTCAATGTCTCTGCCATCAAGATTATATTTACCGTACCTATTGGGTACTACCTTGGCATTATCATTATTATGCATGGACAAATCTATATTAACAGAAACGGCTTGCATCCCATTTCCCCTAGGGGGCGAAAAGGAAAGAACCGTGTCATTATTGTCCTGATGATGATGACTTGGTTCAGAGGCTGCTTCCATGAGATTCAAGTCTAAAGTCTTAAATGAACCAGGTAAAAGCTGTTTCTCTTCTGTATGCCCCGTGTCTGGTTCATTGTCGCTTTTAGGGTATGAAGTAACATCCAATGGCAAACTACTAGCCCCACCTTGTGACATCATTACATCCTCTACAACCGACCTCCTAACTGGAGGATCCAAAAGGCTTAGACCAGCATTAGATCCAGCATCTTCCAAGGGAGGTGATTCTCGGAGTTTTTTGTTTCCCAAAGAACTGTCGCTACCTTGATCTAGTACACGTTTTTCACCACGATCCATAATCATGGTGTCGTTGATCCTTCCAAAATCAGGTAGTTCATCATCTCTTACAGAACTTCCATCTAGTTCAGAATCATGTTCAGCAGCTGGCATGCTTGGTCTATCCAAGTTGATAACAGTTGATTCTTTTATCTGATACCCTAAACCATCTCCAGAAATATTATAAGCAGTTACATTTTCATCACAAGCCCCAGACCCTTCAGAAGGTTCACCCTCATGGGCATTATCATTCACGATCGAAGGATGATCTGTATCAACTCTTGAAACTCTAAATGCCATGGAGGAACGGGTTCTTGTAGGAAATTTAGCAAAACGACAAAGGCTTAGTAAATCGGTAGTGGTATTTTCACTTGTTGCCTGGCTTCCCTCATCCAAAGACAACGCCATGATTGTCACAGCATCCTTAGGGTCTTGTGCCTTCAATTCATCATTCTTTCTGACGTCCTGAATTTTCTCAGCTTGTATACTGAGTACTTTAGTGTCATCATCTTTCTCATCAGTTTCCTTATCCTTTTTACTGGAAGAAGAAACACTTTCCTCTGCGCCTGCATTGTCCTCGGACTTGAGTTTTTCCAATGTATAATGTGGAGATCGAGCAACTTCACTTTCTTCTGCAAAAACTACATCACTTGCCGGTGCTAACTCGGTAATCAAAGAAGTGCGTGACACCCTCCCACTCTCATTATTATTAGCTTGAAGCCGATCATCCCTATGCCTCGAGAGGACATCACTACTCTCATCATCTCCATCAGAAGCCCTAGATCTTTCCGACCATGATCCACTTCTTCCCATCTCCCGGTTCCAGTCAGAACCATAATTCTTGGATGATTCATCTGGTCTTTTCCTACCTCTATAACCACCTTTCGATCCCTCATTACCATACTCATCCGCGGATCGTCTCCTCCCAGGTAGCCCTGAGTCAGAACCTACACCAGCTTCTCCTAAGCGAGAAAGTGCCGATGCACGCCCGCTCTCTGCATCTTGCGCCCTACCAATGAGGTTCTTCAAATTACCGTTTTGCCACTTCCCTGAAAGTGCATTGGCAGGCAGTAAACCCTTGGCAATCAAATACTCAGCGGCTAGCTTACCAGCTTCCATAAAAATGTCTCCACCACCACCACCACCCCCCTTGTGTGGCAGAGGAGCCGGAGGCCTACTATTGAATTGCCTCGATTGCCCGCGTCCAAACCCACCTCTATTATAGCTCCTATATTCAGAACTATACCCTCCTCCATGACTTCTCATGGAAGATTCGGGTGAAACCCTAGATGCAGTTGCTCCTACACCCCCCATCCCCACTGCATGAGCAGCTCTGTATCCATTACCAGGACTTCTGTTCCTCGCATGCATCTTCTAAACCAGTTCTTCTCTAACCTAAACAACAAGCATGAGTGTGTATACAAATAATGCGCACATAACCAACCAGTCAACCAATTCAAATTCACAACCAACCAACAAAGCAACTTCCTTCTTCGAAATTTCCACCTTCAAAGAAGATAAAATTACAGATAATCAATATCAAACTTCCAGCTAAAAAAAGTTCAAAGCTCAAAGCATCAATATATCATATTATCATCAACATCAGCATCATCATTCAGGAAATAACAACTAAATAATTCTGATCAGCTAGTCAAGACAGTAAATATAAGTGGGTCCAAAAGTCCTTCTCAAGTGAATTGTTTCTAGTTTTTTTCCCTGTTTCACCCAAAAATAAACAGTCCAAAATTTTAAAGATTGGATCTCATGAGTCATCAGAGGTCATACTTCAGAAATCAACACTGTGTAGCAGTTAAAAATGAACAGATCTGGGTCACTGGGTAATCAAATTCTAATGTAATAGTAGCATCAAGTTCATCAGGAGCAGCACCAGCAGTAGGTAGATGATAGGTTTGCGTTTACCTTTTTCTTTCAGCTGAGAAGAAGAAGGTATTTCTTAGGTTTCAGATCCAGTTCTCAAATCCCCACCAACAACATCATCATCATCATCTCAATTCGTGGTCAACAAATCAAGGATCAGTCCTCACAGAAACAGCTGATTAAAATGGCAGCCCACGGATTAACATGGGATTCATGGTACGTGAAAAAAGGGTTCTTCAAATTAACAACCGAAAAAATAGATCGTTATTCCCACAGAAACAGCTCTGATCAGATGTCGCCGCGGCGGAAACAGCTCCGTCGCAGTTTTCGGCGCACGCGCTTGGACCTCCGATAGCAGTGACTGTTATTTCGTCTGCTTCCGAGGTGGATGAGAAGGAAGTTCAGGCAAGAAGGACTGTGCCCATTTGTCGGAATCGATCTGAGTTTTTTTAAATTTTATTTTACTTTTTAAATTTTTTTTCTTTAGATGGATGGATGTAAAATGTAAAAATACTTTAAAAATAGAATGGTGGGTTTGCGCTTTGTATAGTAGTGTGGACGACGAGTCACGCTAAAGAGCGGGTAGACGTGTTTTAGTTGCCTAAATTTATCCTTAAAAACTTACAAAAAACAAAAAAAAAAAAAAAAGAGAAAGAGAATATTTGTACTGAAATTGTATTATGTAATTCCAAACAACAACTTTAGTTGAGCAGTTCTTTGGATCAATTTTCTTAATCAACCTTTTTTTTTTGGTGAATTGCATTTGTATAAGTTCCTTTTGTCTATTTTTCCGTTGATTTAAAAAAGTCAAAATATCAAGTATCAAGTTGACGTAATATTGAAAACTTTGAAAAAATATCGAGACTCATTATGATGCAAAAGGGTATCCCTCCCACATATTTCCTTTTTTTGAATAATTAGGAAGCCAAAAAGCTTACTAATACAAAGAGTTAATATTTCAAAAAAAAATAAAGATAGAAATACAAAGAGTTAACTGAAGAGGTGTTCCAAACATGTCCCTACATATAATATCTGTAGCTTAGAGGGGGATTTGTGAATAGAATATACATCCAAAGGGCTATTTAATCTTCTGTCACACTTTTATATTACACTATGTGACCTCATGCAAATGATTAACACGTGTCAATACTAATACCCTAACCAGATGATAAGTGAATCTGTTTGAACAAGTGATTAAAATACGTGTCAATCATTTAACCAATTATAATATAGAGATCCTAGGTACACCTACCAAGGTGTACCTAGTGTGTAAGAAACGCGCTTGAACTGAGGCCAAGTTGAACTATTTACAATTTATGCCATTGAGTGAAATACACGGGCGCATTAAAACCCCTGCAATCCGCAACCTTTTTTATTTCAAAAATCGAAAACCGCCATGATCTCCTAAATTCCGGCCATTACCCAAACCCAACTTCCTATTTATTTCAATCCATTCCGTCTCAACCCAAAACATCCGAAAAAACTAAAAATTCACTCCTCCGGCAATACAAAAATATAAACTTCAGCGGCGGAGATTACGATAAAGAACCAGAGGGTATCAACAAACCAATTGTTCGTGGTTGCTAGGAAATGAAAATCCGGGTAAACTACGGTTAAATTCTGCGGCTTTTCATCTGTTTAGTTTGTTTTTTAATTTATGAGGTTTGAATGTTGATTTTTTATCCGAATCTTTTATGCAGAAATCAGATATCATTTATTCTGATTTGGATTCTGATGCATTTGTGAGGTAACACTGCTGTTGAACTGTTAATAGATCTGATGGGTTATGTAAATTTAAGATAATTCATTCGATTGCTGATGTTGTTCATCAATTTAATATTGTTGTTCATCTGTTTGTGGTTATTTTGGTAAAGATTGATATATTTATGTATTCTTATCAGTTTACAGTTCATTATTCGTCAATAAACATGTTTATTCATCACTTTTTATAGCCATGTTTAGCCTTTTCTAGTAGATTTGATGAACTGTTAATAGATTTGAGGGTATTTCTCATTTGGGTATAATTATTCATCAAAAGGATATCATTAATCATCATTAAACTCCTGTCAATCTCATATAGTTCGTCGATAATGTGATGATTCTTGTACGATTATGAGATTTATACATTATTCATCAGGTTTGTATAATTATTCATCTTTTTTAGTACGATACTTCATCAATGATTTAACTATTTTTTGCGTTTTATGGTGAATTTCATAAAATGTTAAAAGATAATGATAGTATTCATTATACCAGAGTCGAAATTCATCATGTGAACGTCATTATTCATCATGTATTTGTTGTTCATCAGAACTTCACGTTACTCTACTCATAAACTACAATTATTCATCATGTATGGATAAATATTCATTAGTTACAAAATATTACACATCATTGACTTCATGACATTCATTACTAAAATCATAACCTGCATTACTCTATTCATTAAAAACAATACGTTACTGGTACTCTATAAATATTTATCAGTTAATTATAAAAATGCATTACCAATCACAGCAACAATCATTCAGAAAAAAATAACATATACTAAATATGATCAAATTACCTTCCAAAGATTCAGAAACACGATCTTCGAATTCAACCAAAGATCTATCATCACTAAGAACAATTGGTGAAGCAACATGATCAAAATCATTGATTTCTTCAACATCATTATACGAATTCAACGATCCTTCGCAGTCTGCAACATCTTTAACAACATTCGCAACACCTTCGCCATCATAATCACAACCCTCCTCACCGGATTTACTGTTAATTCTGACGTTTAAATCTAAACCTTCCATTGCTTATAATTATCCAGAATAAATATTGGTATTCCGAATGGTGTAAAATCACTCAGTTTTGGTGAAAAAGATGAAGGCAAATAATAATTGAAAGATGAATGATCGTTACGATATTACAAATGGTAACTACAGTTTCAAAATTTAAATTCTTCAGTTATTATTTGCCTTGATCACGTAATTAAAATTCGAATTTTGCGGGATTTTTTTTAAAAAAAACATTTGCTGATTAAATGATGCGCGTGTAAACATGAAAACCGGGATGAAATTGGCCACTTTTTATTCACTTTGGGTGATATACACGCACTGCTAGGTACACCTAACTCCTTGCTAAGTGTATCTAAGATCTTAATATTATTTGCCATCATTTAACTAGTTTCACAATAAGTACATCTCAAAAGTGTCACAGAAAATCATTTGTTATCTAAAGAATATGAATATCTTATAATTTAAAAATACTTTACAGCGCATCAAATTTTTAATTTTGAAACTCCCAACCCATCGATGAATCTATTATCACAAAACATAAACGATTTTCTCACAATCTACCTCGAATTGAATTTTGGAGTAGCCACGTAGTATTGCTACTTACAACAAAGTAGTAGAAACCTAGGTCAATACCCCAAAGGCCCAAATTCACAATTTTGGATCCACCAAAAAATGGAGAAAGCTCTCCACAATACACATCGCCTCTTCCTCTTATGCTCCTTATTGTCCTAAGAAAACTCCCGCCATTTGTAACGGGTGGACTCAGAAGAATTCTCTTCTTCTTCTTCTTCTTCTTCTTTTTTTTTTTTTTTCTTTTTCCTTCGTCCTATAAATGAAATGCAGCATGATATCCAAACAAGTTTTTTTTTTTCCTTGGGACAAAAGGAAAATCGTTTTATTAATTTTCAGAGAATATTAAACAGATACTCGAGTTGTGAATATTTTGACGAGAGGTTTTGAATGATTTTAGTTTCATAAACTCAATAGTTAAGTCAAAAGACAATGAACATTGAAATGGAAATAAATGTAACATTGGATTATCTCAACTTTCAACTGACAAAAATTTCCTCGATGTATTGTTAATTTCATAATTTATATAATTGTAACTCAAGGAAGAAAAGGCAAATAAAATCAATGAAATGTAATTTTGTTGTATTTTTGTTTCTTGTTCACTAAAACTTTTACAAGCGATTTAATTTAAACCACGTCATAATTTCATATATATGATGCCAAGTGGTTAAGTAGAAGACTCCAAACGAATTTACATCTACGTCCTACAAGTATTATCGGTACAAATAATGTTCCTCCGTTCTATCCTAATTATATAATTTTTTGAATTAAAATAGCAAAACAGGATAAAATAAGATGGAGAAACATTTTCTTTTGGTGAAAATAATATACTCCGTCTGTCCCAAAATTATTGTCCAGTTTGAGATCTCATCTCTAGTACTGTACAATTTGAACTAAAAATGAAAACTCAAACTGCTGTCCTAAAATTATTGTCCAGTTTGAGATCTCATCTCTAGTACTGTACAATTTGAACTAAAAATGAAAATTCAAACTGGACAATAATTATGGGACAGTTTGAAATTAATTGTGTTTAATATTCAGGTGGAGTTTGTTTACGGTTTTTTCTTATAATCATAAATAATGGACTTTGTTCTAAACACCTATAGCCTTCCGGAAAAATAATCCAAATTGGAAATTATAATCCACAAATTGGGTGACTTAATCTTTCACAACGAAAAATTAATTCAGAAAATTAAACAAGAGTACCATTATGTATATTTATTAATTTTATAAATAATTTTCTGACGATATAAATTAACCTGATAAGTCCAATTTTAAGGTTTAAATTATCAAAACTATGGGAGTATGGTTTGGCGTAGGAATGACATAGGGTGTCACATTTCGGACAGCAATTGTAACTTTCTTGAATTCATGCCACTTTGATTACCTTTGCTAAAGCTTTTAAATTTTAATGCTCGTTTGGAGAGCATGAATAAGGCCTGTTTATTTTAACCAGCAAAACCAGCTTTTGGAGTGGTGGAATTAGGAAGCGAATTGTTTACTGGAGACTGGAGTTGCTAAGAGGACTGTTACATCTACACGAGAAACGCGATTCGTAGATTACTCATGTGTGTGAAGGCTGCAATTATTTTGCCAGTGAGACTTTGCAGGGCAGTTGTGGGAGATTTTGGTTCAGAATAGCTTTTGAATTCCCTGGATTTGTATAGGATTGTCATGGCTGTTTCGAAGAATAGTCGGGCAGATTGAACCACAATTTCTCTCAACAGACCCCAGTCTTTTGAGAAAACAGATTACTGTATATTTTAAGTTGGGATCGTTCTTCTTGCACTGATCATGGAGAAGAAAGCTCTTGAATTTGGGCAAAGCGACTAAAAATCAAAAAAGCGCGATAACCCAAACTCTGGCTGGGAATCATATTCGAATCCCAATGAGCTGATCTATTTGAACTTTTATCCAAGGTAAGGGAACTTCATCAACGTGAAAAGATAAATATGCTGGTGGATATCTAAGTTTCAAGAAAGAACTACGACGGAGATGGAGTTGCAGTAGATGAGAAATATCTCAAACAATGATACCTAACAATTATCTAACAAAAGAATAATTGGCGTCTTGAACTCTGAATTCACTCTTCATTACTTGCTCAAGCCATCATGGAGAGTTGAAATCATACTAGTATTACTCTGATCAGCAAAAAAGGCACGAAGGGAAAAAAAAAAAAAAAAAAAGTAACGCAAGTTGATCTCTAAAACATTCTATGCAAGTTGATCTCTGAGATGCATGTTATCATGTACCTCGCCTTTTTATGGCTATGTTAGGTCTTTGATCAAATGAAAAGACCTAACTGTAGTTGTGTAAACTCTTTGCCTAAGTCCCAGATAACCCGAGACAGACATGGCCATTGTCAAAAGAATTACTAAAAGGTATTCAATTCATTGTGACAGTGACACTAAGTTCTCTGTCGCGCAGGTCAGAGTGACTCCTACTAGACTTCCATGGATGAAGTGTGCTTTAACAATCAACATTCAGTAAACAAATGAAACACCGTGACAAACCTAAATTCAAGTCGTGAGCCTATTTGGTCAAGAAAAGGCGCAACAGACTAAATAGTAACTAATACAGTCAATTGAATCCTCTTTCTCTTCTGGTCTGAAAGGTGTTCAAATTTCAAACTCGCTGTTAAAAATATTTGCATCTTGTTCACTATTAACAGAGAGCACTTTGACCACATATGTTAAAGAAGAAAGAGGGTTCAAGGATAGATTGGATCAAGGTATCTATTGAAAGTAAACATTCTGTCTGATATATATAAGGCATAATAACCATAACGCATACTTGTTTCCTCTTTGGCTGAATCAGCTCCAAGCAACCTTCATTCCCTTCAGATGAACTCTTAATTCATGTTGCAGTGATTATACCACGTATGATCAGTATCTTCTAGAAAACCTCCCAGTTGGATTCATGCTGCCAATATAAACATAAAAGAAGATTAAAAAACCAATGCAATTCTCATATATCATGACAACAATTTATATATTCTATGTTCGTGAGAGTGTGTGCGCGTGAAGAATCCACCATTTTTCAAGAACTCAAGTGTTAATACCTGATACAGAACTTTATCATGCCTGCAGTATGGCATCAACTGATGCCAAACTTTCTGTGAACATCAAAGGACCCGCACGAGCCTCATGGTTTCGTAGGATCTCCATTTTCTGACAGCTCTTACTTTCAAAATTGTATGAGTATAGAGAGTGATCGTATGTAATCAAAACTAGTTTGTTGGAAATCCTAGTGTGAAGGGGTACTAGACACCCATTCATGGTGAGTAATTTAGTCCATGAAAGGTTATCACCATATTCTCTCATGATTAAAAAATCATCATCATATCCGGAAAAACCACGGTCTCCATGACCAAATAACCTTGTAGCCCTAGATACGGAAAGGCATCCATATAAATTAGTAAGTCCAACATAGCGGAAACCATGCTCATGATCTATAGGCATTGGCATTTCTCTAAATTGGTTTCTCTCCTGGTCGAAATAGATGATAACCTGCTCATGATCCTGTTTCTGTTTGTGCACTAGCCAATGTAAATGCCCACTCACTAAAGCACCCATGTAACCGCTATCACCATTGAAGAAGCCGAAATCATAAGGAAACCTAATGTCCATACACACTTCCCTCTTCTTTAAACTAGCAACAAAAACACACTGATCAAATAACCTACAATAGCGGGAAAAGGGTGGAGTCACTACCACTAGTTTGTAATCATTGGAAGCTTTGTCAAAACAAAATCCAGACAATGTGGCGCGACATAGTGAAGGAGCTTGTAATCTGTGAGCTAAAGCACCGAGTTGAGTCAATTCGCGACAACAACTCGTCAATGGATTCCACAAGTAGATACTCTCGTCAGCATAAAAGAGAATCAAACCATCACAGCTACCAAGGAATCTAAATTTATCATAGTCAGACGGGACTTTACCAGTTGGATTGGGAAGCTTTACTACAGTAAGATCATCATCTATTGAACAGAAATTCATGGATTTCATACCGTAGGGTGAAAAGCCATTAATTGCACGTTCTCTTCCGGCGGCAGAGAGTACAAAACTAGGGTTAGAAATTAGAGCTCTCCACAGTTTGCACACACTCTTGCATCGGAACAGCGCCTTTCCAGGTAGTCGGGAGAGTATCTCTAAAAGGATATCTTCTGGTAAAAGGGACATTACCTCAGTGACGACAAATATGGAAGCTGGAAGATCAATCGGCCCCACAACCTGAGGAGAGAACGACATGTATATGTATATTTTCTGGGTCACTGAGGGTTTTTCCAACCCAGCCGTAGAACCCTTGTTGGAGGAATTTCGCACTTTAGGTAATTTAGTTTATTATAAGTGTAAATAAAAGCTGAGGATAATGTACATTCTTTGCAATTAGTTTAGAGTCGGTGCTTCCTCTGTAAAAAATAAAGAAATACTCGGATGCATATATATACGATTTCTTTCGATCTCAAAACAAAAAAAAGTTATCAAATTTTGACAATATAGACTACAGTAGAACATCAGTAAATTAATAATCGATAAATTAATAACTTCTAATAATTAATAAATTTCTCCGATCCCAACTTGGGACTTGTACAAAAAGTAACAAAAATCAATAAAATGATAAGATAAAAAATTTTCAAAACATTCTCCATATATCTATAGGTCCCGACAATACCATAAATTAATAATATCCTAAATAAAAAAAAAGTAATGATAATATTTATAAATGTTTACTACAATATGAACTATTAATATTTTTTTTAAGTATGAGATAATAATGTGAACTACGTTTAGATTTTAGTATCTAGAAGAGTTCCATTACTTGCTTGATTTGGATGATAGATAATGAACTTAGATAACTTAGTAAGGATTATTTTTTTCTTACGAAAATTCTTTAAATTAATAATTTATTAATTTATCAATTATTTAATAATTCTCTAAATTAATAATTTTGGGTGGTCCCAACACTTTTAATTTATAGAAGTTCTATTTTATTTTGTTTGGTACAGAGAATACAAACCTGCTCCAACTCCTTCTTCGACGTTTTCTTTCGTTTTCCTCCTTAATTTGCTCAATGAAAATTACTAAATTCATAGTAACTAAAGTATAAGTACTCCCTTTTGCATTCAATTTTTTTTATAGCCTGAGGTGAAGTTTGATTACTGGAGGACCGATGAAAAATAAACCAACCACAAAGTGTATTTTGTTCACACAAAATTATGAAGTTTATTTACATTAATATGTATTATTCCCTCCGTCCTGACCCGAAATTATATCAAGTTTTGATTTTTCATTTTCAATTCAAATTGTACTCAAATTAAAAAATTCAAATTGGATAATGTTTTTGGAACATGGCCTAAATATTTCTAAATGATGGTTGAATATTTATCAAGTTTTCTTTAAAAAATTTGCCACTAGATATTACCTAATGATACTTCGTCTGAAGATAAATAATCAGAGTGTAAATTTGAGCTACTCAAACGTTTAACATGGTGGGATAGTAGAAGTATTGTATGGCCAGTTTACACAAGCATCTCTCTCTTAAAAACATTTGCATATTGTTCAACAGAGAGCACTTTCAACATTTATAGATTTTAGTAAGAAAGATAGTTTAAGGATAGATCAGTAGATTATATAGGTATCAACCGCTAAAAGTAAATTCTCTAGCTAATTCTACAAGGCACCACAACCAATAATGCTTTTGATCTCATTTTGGCTGATTTAGCCTAGACTCCAATCAGCCTATCTTCATTCCCTTCAGACGACCAAGTGATTCGGCAGGGAACACATGCTGTTCAAGTCTAACATTAGTTTTTTCTACCAAAACTGTAAATTGACTTCGTAATGCCAACAGAAAAAGAAAAAGAAAAAAGAAAAAAAATCAATAAACTCGCCGGAAAAACTAGACTCAAACCAATTATGAGCTAGATATTCAATCTTTAGTACCTGATGACGACCATCCTTGTGGAAGCAAGTTGTCGGATCCTTCTAGTTTTTGTGATTGTTTCTTGAACCATTGTTGACCTTCTAGGCACTTACCTCGACAATCATTGCTGATTTCTCTATTCTAATATATTTTTAAAATTTTTTTATCAATTAAAAATATGTATTATGTGAAAGTTAGGAAAAATCAAAATTCCTTATAATAAGCACCAAAAGGAGTACTATTATTAGAAAAGACTCGACACACGCCCAAGCTTCATTAGGTGCACTAAATGCTTTCTGGCTGCAAACCTAGACTTGACACTTAATAGTGTCATTGGTAGAAATCGAATCCGAATCTCCTGATATTTGATATAAGAGCTCAAACCGTTTGAACTATTCCCGTTTGGCTAGCTATTAATTAATTTCCCGTTTTACCCTTTATTAGAAACAAATGGGACATCATATGATTTGCAGGACTAATAAATCTAAAAGTGGCTATTCATTGATGACTAAAAATGAAACTTCAATATATGAATGGGACGAAAAGTTGTTTCCTCCACCCACCCCACCCCCCCTAAAAAGGTTCATACTATTTCTAAAGTGAATATGCTTGTAGTAAAACTGGAAAAAAAAAAAAAAAAAAAGACTTACAAAACTCGTTTTAGTCAAACCAACCAAAAAAAGAGACTCATAAAGTTATAACTCATAAGTCATAACTCTCGTATTCCTCCTAAGTGGAGCGGACCCTTGTTAATGTCGGGTCGGGCGGAATTTTATCTCAGTATTCAGGAGACTACGAATCCGTCGAATCGAATTGCCGCCACTAGCGAGACGCGATAATGGAGTGCGTGGTTCAGGGAATCATCGAGACACAAGTAAGCTCCGAAGCTTTGCTTCGATTAATTTTTGCGAGGCTTTCCTTGGAAAGTAAAGTTGTTTTTTTTTATTCTTTTTGTTTTTTGGTGGAAGATGAACGATTTGAGTTTTGCTTGAATGCGCCGTGTAATTGAGGATTGCTGCTTTTAATAGTTCATAATTTCGATCAGATTGAAGTCTTTCACGATTCTGGGATTACGTTGCTCTGATTTATTTGATGACAGATTCTAGTATTAGGGTTTAAGTAGTGAATATGCTGCTGATCCACAGGAGCTGCTTGTCTGTTTCAGTTACGATTTATGGTGTTGGAAATTGAATTCGTTCCTCTTCATCATTGACGATTCAGTAGTAAGCTGCAATTGGGGTTGAAAGCTAATAATTTGATAATTCAAAAGGAAATAAAATTTGGCTATGATTTTACCTTTGACTTATGCAGTTCATTGGAACAGTGCAAGCTTTCTTGAATTCATCTCACCGGACAATTTTTGTCATTGCGACAAGATACCATTTAATTTGTTAGGGGATGAGCATAGACATTGTTTTTTTTCGTCCAGGTTCTTCATTGTGTTATATCTACCTTTCTTTTGAGTGCAATTGTTCTGATGAATGTTGCAAATCAATTTTGCCTTATTGTGTTGATCAGGTTCTGATTTTTCCATCAATTCCGTAGAATCTCACTAGTCTATTTTCCATTTGTCCAGCATGTTGAGGCTCTGGAGATTCTTCTTCAAGGACTCTGTGGTGTTCACAGAGAGCGCCTCAGGATCCATGAGTTGTGCCTAAAAAGCGGGCCGAATTTAGGTACCGATTTTCCCTTCGTGAGAGTTCATACCGGAATTTGAATCATAGTTTTTTAATAAAATGCCAAAAATAAAGAATGATAGTACTTTGAAAACTGTTTTTGGCTAATGCAGCAGTTTCTTCCACTGCTATTTATGAGGACCTTCACTATCTCTTGAAATGGCGTAATCTCCCGGAGCTAGATTCTTCCTATGTTTTTCTTCTTCTCACATGCAGATGTTTGATAGCAAAATTTACTCTGCTCGTAGGACTCGTTTCTTCAGAGGTGAGGCTCTTGTGCGATCTTGAACAGCCTGAGCCAACATGGTAAGTGATAAAGTTTGTGCAAAGGAAGTTACTTTACCAAGTTCGTCGCAGATTTTTATGGGAACAATGAAATCTTAGGACTGTCCGACAAGTAGGTGGTGCAATGAGAGGTGCTGGTGCTGAGCAGATATCGGTGCTGGTTCGGAACACTGTCGAAAGCAAAATAAGCAAGAATGCACTTCGACTGTTCTATGCTCTTGGCTACCAATTGGACCATGAGCAGTTGAGGGTGGGATTTGCCTTTCATTTTTATAGAGGGGCTCAGATAACTGTAACGGTCTCTTCAATAAATAAGATGTTGAAGCTGCATGCAATTGATGATGCAGTTCCTGTAACTCCAGGCATTCAGCTAGTTGAAGTCACAGCGCCTGCATCTTCTGAGAACTATAATGAAGTTGTTGCTGCTGTATCGTCTTTTTGTGAATACCTTGCCCCGTAAGTGCTTTTAATTTACCTAAACCTTGCAACTCTTGATAAATATTTAATTTTGTGGAGCAAAGAGTGCAGCTATCAGTTGACGTAACAAAACTGGGAGTTATGGATAATGGATATCTGGTTTTAGTAGTCCTCGTGAATATGTTGTTGTATAGCTGTTTTATTGATGTCGAATCCCAGTTTTTTCATTCCTGAATTTATTAGGAAACTGTTCCATCTTGTCCTATATCTTCTGCTTGTCAAGGGCTTGCTTGCCACCTGATCAGGAGTTTCTTGACTATTGAACCTAAAGTCGCCAAAACAGTTGTCTCCACTGTCCTTTATCCTGTTTCATTATGCAATTCCACAACTGTTGTCAATGATTACACTGTGTTTGGGTTATTTAACTGATACTGTACAACTTATTCTCTCTCTCTGTTCTCAGGTTACTGCATTTGTCAAAACCAGGTGTCTCAACAGGGGTTGTTCCTACTGCTGCCGCCGCCGCTGCTTCTTTAATGTCTGATGGTGGAGGTGCAACTCTTTAGCTGTGTCCCACAATCATTTGGGATGGTATTTCTGACTTGTTGCAGACGATGGATCAATTTTCTACTGTCTTACTTGAGAAGCATTGTTGTACTTAGGCTAATACCCAGATGAGAAATGAAGATTGGACGTAACTGGAACCCAGCATTTTCTTTCATCTCTAAAATGCTGAAACCCTTTTGGTCTGTATCTTAGAATCATTCATTTATGCATTTTAGGGCGTAGTCTTTGAGATTTAAGATGAGCAAGTGATCATTTTCCAGTGTGTGAGAGTATCGTAAACCTAGACCAAAATTGTGGCTATAAGTATGCTCTTCCATCCAAATCAAAGAGGTTGAGCTTTCTTTCCGTATCATACAAGTTAACCCTGTCTCATTAGTAAAACAACAAAGCTTCATAACGGTACATAAACGTTGTGACGTAACTGAACATAAAGCAGTCTGGAAATGGAGCAGGTTCCTGAGAATTAAGCTCGAGACTCGTTAATACTAAAAGGGATTGAAAAAGAAGGGGGAGGCATGTAGTTTTCACAGGACCCAAAACCCACGTGAAGAAGATCAGTTTCATCTCAATTAGCTTCTCGTGTGGGTTACTTGTGCCCCCATCCAGGCTAACTACAGTTTATCTCCCAGAACTTGTGGCTGAGGAAGGATGCTAATCTGGCCAAGTCCCACCCCAAAAAAAATATGGCCCTATCCCATTGGCCCAAGTCGGGTGAGATCATTTGAGTTGAGTCATCGAGTCGAGTCAGCTTTGTCTATCTGTGAGTAGTAAAGAGTACATTTTTATTAGGTGGGCAATTTTGCTTGATTCAAATGTTGCCACGACCAATGTGCTAATCTCCCTTTTGTTTGTGTGTTTCTTTTGTTCTTACTCCCCTATAATGTTTCATCCACTAGATACACATATACATACATTAATTGCGGAGTTGTAGACATTTTCAGTGTGTCAAATTGTCAGATTCATGACCGCCGCAATATTGCATCAACCCTCAAGAGTGTTTTCCCTCCTTGGTTTTGATTTTGTGACGGAGACATTGGGGGAAGACTTTTTTAGCTAGGTAGCTAGCAAGTTTTATGCATATATAGGGGAATTGTAGGCACTCCAGCAAACCAACTTCTATACAATCACATGGGAAAATAAATGACCCGACTCGCTAGTGATTGGAATGCTCGTCTTAAATTTTGATTGAGGAGGTTACTCATAATGCCGTGGGAAAATAAATTGGTCACTTATTGAAACACGAAATATTACGGAAATATTTCGTGTTTAAATATTACGAAAATATTACAAAATATTCAACCAATCTGGTCTTTATTCCCAAAACTTCCAATCCGATAACTCCAAATGACTTTCGTCCTATTGGTCAATGTAATGTCAAATACAAGATTATTACTAAGATGATCACAAATAGACTAAAACATGTCATGAATGATCTCATTGATGAGCATCAAAATGGTTTTGTTCCTGGTAGAAATATCAGTGAAAATATTTTGATTGCTCATGAGGTTATAGAATACATCCAGCAAAAGAAGGGTGACACAGGAGTGGCTGCGATCAAATTAGACATGAGCAAAGCCTATGACAAAGTCTCTTGGTCCTTTCTACAGGCGGTTCTGATCAAATCCAGATTTCTTCCCCATCTGATCACTTTGATTATGCATTGTGTCACGACGGTGACCTATTACATCTAATTTAATGGGAATGGTCTACCTTTCTTCTCCCCCAACAAAGATCTAAGACATGGTTGTCCACTTTCTCCTTATCTCTTTATACTGTGCCAGCAAGTGTTATCGTCAGCCATCACATCAGAGATACGTCTCTTCCCAGGTTTGGGTGTCAAAGTCAGCCGCAATGCTCCAAGGATTAGTCACCTTATGTATGCTGATGACAGTCTTTTCTTCATTGAGTGCAAAGAAACTTCAGTACTCGCATTGGCAGGTCTGCTTGAGGAATATGCTGCCTTTTCTGGCTAACGTATCAATTTTCTCAAGTCTTTAATTCTAATAAGTCCTAATACCAAACCAGATATGAAGCATTTTGTTCATTCTACTTTGAAAATACCCGAGGGAGATTTTCATAGTAAATATCTGAGAATGAGTCTTGACTTCAAGGAGAGAAAGAAGATCATTTTTCAAGACTTCACTACCAGGCTCATCCATAAATTTGCGGATTGGAAAACCAATCTCCTTTCTTTGGCGGAAAGGGTGCCACTGGCTAAGTCAACTCTATCATCCATGTTAGTCTATCCAATGGGTGTATTCAGACTCCCTGCATCTACAATTCAGAAGGCCGATCAGATCATTGGATGCTTTATTTGGAAAGGTGACAGTATCAATAAAGGAATCCATTGGAGGGCTTGGAAAAAGATCTGTAAGTCGCAAATCCATGGTGGTTTAGGTCTAAAGTCAACTAAAGAGTTTAACCAAGCTTTGTTAGCAAAGCATTCCTGGAAAATCATGTTTGCCCCAGAATCATTGCTATCCCGTCTCGATAGAGCAAATATTACAACAATGGAGTATTCCCTCTGGTACAACCTCCCAAAAAATCATCACGGGGTTTCAAGAGTATCATGTAGGGTGGTGAGCTCTTCAACACCATACTAAATGGAAAATCATTTCAGGGAGAGACATCCCTCTATCAGCTAACTGGATTCTTGATTCTCAGAATCCAATTAGAGATCACTCCATTGTAGCTATGTCAACCTGACCGTGGATCGATTTATTCATCTAAATGGTCATTGAAAGATTCAAGCTCTTAGAAACTTCTTTCCAGATCATATTATTCCCCACATTACTGTAAGACTGCTTCAAAAAGACAAGCTCCAATGGACACATGCAGAACATAGTGCCTACACAGTCAAATCAGGATATCAATTGGCCATCAACTCTCTCTTTCCACAACCTGTGCCAAGTCCAGCAATCCAAAATGTAAAGAAATTAGCTTGGAAACGACTTTGGAATTCTGGTGTTCAACCCAAGTATAAGTTCCTCTTCTGGAGAGCACTACTCAATGCTATTTCTACACGATTAGAATTATTCAGAAGGGGAGTTCAAGTCCATCCAATTTGCCCCAAATGTGGCAGACAGGAGGAAGATTGCTTACACTTATTCTTTAAGTGCGAAGCCTCTCAGGCCATTTGGACTCTAGTTTTTCCTCTGTTTAGCTCTATTCTCAATTCTACCTATGACTCCTTGCATCAATGGTTCATCCGTTGGACTCAGTCTCATCCCACTAAAGAGGAAGTTGATCTGTTTCTTATCATCATTTGGAGGATCTGGCTGGAGAGGAATGATAAGATTTGGAGAAACCAATCTAATGATCCGGCAGTACCTTGGAGACTTATCCAAAATGAAGTCACTCTTCATAAACAAAACCTTGGTAGACTGAGAGCTGCAAGGTCCTCCACCAATACACAATTGTCACAACCGCCTCGAGGTCCGGCAGATTCATTAGTGATATTTGATGGATCGTTTAGCCATCAATCACGCAATACAGCTGGTGCTTGGAAGATACTATCACCTCATGGTATGGTGATGCAAATCAAAGCGGTAGATCTAAATGTACATTCTCCATTTCAAGTCGAGGCAATGACTTGTCTTTTGGCTTTGGAGGAGGCGTTGTATTTAGAGATCACTCGCCTTTATGTTTACACGGACTGTGAATCCTTGACTGGAGATTTACGGTCTGCTTTAATCTCTTCTGGGGCCCAGGAGGTGGTTTTTTTGTTAGTTATTGCAATTTCCTCATTTCATTCTTGTTCACTGATTAAAGTGAGTAGACAAGATGTCGTAGAATTATATAATTTAGCATTCCATAGAATGCGTTGTAATAGTTTATATGTTTTTTCATAATTAATACACAAGTACCTAATTAAAAAGGTAACTAGGGTTTTATACCCATGTAATTGATGTATTTACGATAGTAATTTGGGTTTCTCTATGTAACCCTAATTATAACTGTATATATGATCGATGAATGCAATAAGGGAGGCAGGCTTTCCTACGCCGTTTTGATAAGAATTACAACTCTTCATTCTGTATTTCTTCATGGTATCAATCGCGTGACTCTCCTGTTGTCATGATGAATACCACAGATGAAGGTTCTTCTCAGGTCACAGTGACTCCTCTTGGTGGTACCACCGGCGGTGATGCGTCTGTTCACCAAAAGACTATCTCACCTTATGATGTGCCTTCCAATGCTAGTCCCGGCTCGCCAATTACTCAGGTCCAACTCAAAGGTGAGCTCAATTACGACGAATGGTTTTGCAGTGTGAAGACTGCCTTACGGGCTCGTAAGAAGTTCAGATTTGTTGATGACTCGATTTCGGAACACCTGCTGCTTCAGCTGATTATAAAGACTGGTGGATGATTAACTCCTTACTGGTTTCCTGGATCATGAATTCAATTGAGCCGAATCTCTGTTCAACGATTACTCATATGGAGGTGGCGCTGATCTCTGGTCCGACCTTCAGGAACATTTTTCCGTCGTCAATGGTCAAAAAATACAGCAACTCAAGGCTGATCTTGCATCTTGTAAGCAGAAGGGACTCTCCATGGACATTTATTATGGCCGGTTGAAGAAAATTTGGGATGAACTGGGATCGTATCTTCGTCCTCCTTCTTGCACATGTGGGAAGTGTGAGTGTAATTTGGGTGCTGCCCGATAAGAGAAAAAATTCATCAATTTTTGTTTGGACTTGATGATGTTGTTTACTCCACTGCCCGCTCAACGATTCTCACCCAGGATTCGTTGTCGCGCTTAAATAAAGTGTACTCCACCATGGTTCAGGAGGACAAAATGCATAACATTACTCAGTCGAAGGAGATTTCGCCAGATGTGGTTAGTTTCGCTGTTCAGATTGTCGCCGGTTCTTCTTCTATTTCTGCAACTTTCGGTGATCCTGCGGCATTTGTGGCGGCTGCTACGGCATCAAAATCTGGTGGTCGTGGTCTGGTTCGGGAGGGTGGTCTGTTTTGCACCCATTGTAACCGACCGGGAC